TGTCCTCCAGGATGTCATTACTTGCTGTACGGAGATCCTGCAATTCAAGCATACCGAGCCCGTTGCCAAGTTCCTGACCAAGGTTGAGAAACTTCATTCCTTTGTTCACGAGTGGCAGCTGGTAGCTAGCAGAGAGTACTCGGCTGCTTCGCTCTATGATGAGATCACGAACATGACCATCGGTTGGCGCCGTCTGGAGCTGTCAACGTGGGCGAAGCTCCTGGATCTCGAGAAGGAGAGATGTGAAGATAACGCCAGTTCATGGTGGTTTGTTGCCTATGAAGCACTCATCGGCGCTCCTGTTCAGATGGCGGAGTCTGGCGAGACAGATTTGAGCGAACACGTACAAGGCGTGATCTCAACCCTGGAGCAGTTCTTCCAATCTACAACTCTGGGTCAATTCAGTCGGCGACTGGACCTCGTTGCGAACTTCCATGCTCTGCTTGCTGTCTTTGTCCAAGATTTCGACTGCCTACAACCGCTTGTTTCAGCATTGGGCAATTTCCTCTTCCATTATCGGCCTTTCGAGGCTCCAGTGGAGAAGATTCTCGCTGAGAAGAGATCGACCCTTGAAAAAGACATCAAGGAACAAATTCAGCTGGCGAGCTGGAAGGACACTAATATCGTTGCGTTGAAGGTAAGTGCCAGAAGGTCGCACGTCAATCTGTTCAAGCTGGTCCGCAAGTATCGCCAAGTCCTTGGCCAAGCAGTGCAGCCTGTCCTTGAGCAAGGACTGCCGGATATCAATGGGGAGGCTAGTCAAGCTGAAGATGTGGTGTCAGCTCTGCCTACTGTGGTCCCTGAAGCTTTGGTCATTTGCCAGGAAGATGCCAAGTTGTGGTCAAGCAGAGCACTCAGATTCCGAAACCCAGACGGCACAGCCGGGAACATGTTGAACGTGTATTTGTCACTTCCTGCGGAGTTCGACGTGTCGAATGAACTTGAGGCTTTTACAGTATCCGTCATCGAGGGCATCGACGAATTCAAGTCTCAGACGCCGAAGGTGCTCACCGAGGAAAACAAGGATGATGTCCAGCATCTCAAGGTTCAAAAGCGCCGTCTCTACGCGGATACTCTCAAACGCCTCTTCGAGATGGGCGTGAAGCGCAATGCCGGAAGCAGTGTGATCGAAACTCAGACCTCGCTCGCACAAGTCCTTGCTACCAGTGCACAGTTTGAATATGGCAGTAATACCCCGAGCTCGATTCAAAGTGCCGACTCGTATTTCCACAGGCTTCTGGACTACCTCCCCCGTGCCCGCCTGGCTTCGCGCAATTATTCCGAGGAACTCAGCAACGTTGAGGTTTTCAGAAGCATGGGATCCATTGAGCACCTGCTGTTCATAGCCAGGAGACAGCGAGGTATCATCTCACCGACACTTTCCCAACTGGCAAGATTCAGATCCACGCTCGTCACGATGGAGAATCTCTGGACAACGGGCCCGGCGTTGCTCTCGAGAGCCCAGCCGGCCGAAGTGGAAGATCGGACAGACCTGACTCGGGTTGTTGCTTGGTTGATTCCTATTCTTGATTTGGCCAGCACGATTCTTCAAGTGCATTCGAAGTTCTCAGATCTTGATGCCTCTTCAATCATTGAAGAGCTACGATCCAACAAATCCGGACTTGAGAAGCTGCGCCGATCTCTCGATACCCTGGCTGTTTTGCCGTCTGGTATTGGTTCCCAAATGCACCAGGAGACTGTGCAACGGACTCGTTCGGCGCTTGAGCAGTTGAGCCATGACTTGACCCGATGGAGCCAGTCCCGTCCCGACTTGTCCTTTGCTTTGGATCAAATTACCCCCTGGGTCCACATCAAACTCGCCTCTCGCTCCGATTCTAAGTCACGAGGCGATACTTCTCTTCAAAGCTTCGACAACAATCTTCTCGCAGCCATTGACAAGATGCTCATCGGTCTCCAACAGCTCAAGGGTGTGTCCTCCGCAATCGACTTCCCTGGGCAACTATCCAGAAGCGACGAGTTCTTCTCACGCGCATTGAAGGCCGTTCATCTTACCGAAATCACGTCGTCGCTGCAGGCTGCTCTTGACCAAATTCAAAATCTGCAAAACCACTCCTCTGGCGATATTTCCACTGCGGCCGCTCTAGTCACCAGCATTCTCCCAATTGCCAACAGATACTATCAAATCTGCCAGGATCTGACGAATCGCTTCATCTCAGTCCACCGGGAGGTCTGCAAGACGTCCTACATCCTCACAAAAACGTTCACCCAGATAGCCTCTGAGGGTTTCTGTAGTCCAGCTGAGGCATCCGAAGAGTCTGGTAAAGATGGCAAGTTGGAGAGTGGAACGGGTCTGGGTGACGGAGAAGGTGCGGAAGACATCAGCAAGGACGTCGGAGATGACGAAGATCTCTCGGAACTGGCACAGCAGGAGAAGAAAGAAGACGCCAATGAAAAAATGGATGACTCCGCTGACGCTGTCAACATGGACCAAGAAGAACTTCAGGCCGAGACTGGAGAACAGCAGGAAGGCGAAGAAGATGAAGAAAAGGATGAGGATGGTTCCGAAGAAGAGGACAATATCGATGAAGAAGTAGGAAGTGTCGATGATCTTGACGACGCCGCTGTTGACGAGAAGCTCTGGGATGGTGCCCATGACGAACAGCAGAAGGAGACCGAGAACAACGAAGGCAAGGGAACTGGCGAGGCCGAAGATCAGGCCGCTGCACAGGAACAAAAGAAGGAAGACGAGAAGGGAGAAAAGGGCGATGAAGAGGAGGATGAAGAAGCTGACGAGGATGAAGAGGCACCTGATGATGAAGGTGAGGCAGTTGGTCGCGAAGATATGGATGTGACCGACCCCCAGACCAAGGAAGAAGATGCACTGGACCTTCCAGAGGAGATGCAGTTGGACGGCGATGAGAAAGAAGGAGGCGAGGAGGAAGATGATGATGGCATGGATGACATGTCCGACATGGGCCCTCTTCCCGAAGACGACGAGAAGATGCAAGAGCAGGATGAGCAAGGTGGAGATGAGGATGAGAGAATGCCACCTGATGAGGAAGTGCCAGGAGAGGATGAAGAAATGGGCGACGAAGGCGCTACCAACGAAGCCGAAGAGAACGGTGATGAGAACGAAGCCGAAGGTGAAGAACCCGAGGAGCCAGAACAAGACGACTTCCTCGCCCAGCGCGACGAGAACGAGGCCGCCGGCGACAATGTTGCCGAAAGTGAAGCTGTCACCGGTGGGCTGGGTGCTGATCAGGACCAAAATGAGGAGAAGGGTGCTTCTGGTGATGCCCAGCAGGAGAGCGGCTCAAATGATCCCAGCGCCAATGCGGAACAACAAACCGGTGCTGCAAAGGATAGCGAAGAGAGCAAGCGGAGCCGGGACGCCGGTGGTGCCGATGATATGACCCCCAACGACCCTCAAATGCAAGCCTTCAAGAAGCTGGGCGATATCCTCGAGCAATGGCATCGGCGACAAAAGGAGGTGTTGAACGCATCGCAGGAAGAAGAAGACTCGCAGCCTTTACCTCAAGACACCGATATGGCCGATGCGGATTTCGAGCACCTCAAGGATGACGATGATGTCGCTGACACCCAAGCTCTCGGACAAGCGAGTGAGGAACAGACACAGGCCCTCGACCAGAACAAGGGCGTGGAGTCAGACATCAAGCCGGGAGAGAATGAAGTGCTCCCGGATGTCTCGGACGACTATCAAGACGCTCTGGACAATCAACTCGAAGACCAGATGCAGCTGGACCGCGATACCGTTCCTGCGGATGACCAAGCTGCTGGGGCTTTTATTCCCGGTGGCCAGTCCTCCCATGACCACATGGACGGCGCGCCAGAGGCACAAGAAGCTACGGAGGAACTGGATGAAGTCGACACGCAACTCGCGGCTATCCACCTCTCCTCCTCGCTGCCCGCATTGACACCACAAGACGAAGCCAGGCGACTCTGGTCGCGCTACGAATCTGCGACAAATGACCTCTCGCTGTCCCTGACTGAACAACTCCGTCTCATCCTCGCCCCGACGCTAGCCACCAAGCTCCGCGGCGACTTCCGCACCGGCAAGCGTCTCAACATCAAGCGTATCATCCCCTACATCGCATCCCAGTACAAGCGCGACAAGATTTGGATGCGACGCTCGATCCCCTCGAAACGGAACTACCAGATCATGCTCGCCGTCGACGACAGCAAATCCATGCTGGAAAGCGGCAGCGGTCAGCTCGCATTCGAGACGCTGGCCCTGGTAGCCAAGAGTCTGAGCATGCTTGAAGTCGGCGATCTGTGCGTCCTGGGCTTCGGTAATGAGGAGCACGTCCGCGTCGCACACGAGTTCGGCAAGCCCTTCTCCTCTGAGGCCGGCATGCAGGTGTTCCAGCATTTCAGCTACCAGCAAACAGGCACAAATGTGCGCAAGCTGATCGCCGACTCGATCGCGCTCTTCCGTGAGGCACGCTGGAAGCGCTCGCCTGGTGCTGGCTCTGCGGATCTCTGGCAGCTTGAGCTGATCATCTCCGACGGTATCTGTGAAGACCACGATACCATCCGTCGTCTTGTGCGCCAGGCTCTCGAGGAACGCATCATGATTGTCTTTATCATCGTTGATGCGGTCAAGGGCAGCTCCATCCTTGATCTCTCGCAGGCGAGCTTTGAGCCTGATCCCATGGCTGGTGGCGAGATGAAGCTTTCTATGAAGCGGTATCTGGAGGGTTTCCCTTTCCCCTACTATCTTGTTGTTCGGGATGTGCGTGAGTTGCCGGCTGTGCTTGCCACCGCGCTGAAGCAATGGTTTGCCGAGGTCGTTGATGTGTCGTCGTGATGTATGTAGTTTTTTTTTCTTTTTTTTCCCTTTGTTTTCATTTCATGGCGTTCAGGATGACTTTTGTACATAAATGATAGAATTTATTGGAACATGTTTCGTACATGAAACTAAATCGTCTCTACTGCTCCTACAATGTAGTCTTGACTCGGAAAATGCATTGAAAATGCAGTAGATGGCGGCTGGTCTCTCATGAAAATATCCACCATCACTACCACCCATACTTCGAGCCCGCCTCCTTCTTGTTCCGCCTCCCCGTCGCAAAACTTTCCTCCAGCGCTTCACGCTGTGAGTTCGCCGCATTGACCAGCTGCTGGAGTGTATGTTTGCCTGGCGCAATGGCCCGCACGGGATTGTGCTGCTGCGCAGCCAGCTCGCTCTGTGCCATCGCCTGGTTCGATGCGTACTCCTGGTCCGTGTTGAAGGTGAGGACCCGCGACTCTGCGGGAATGGCATTCCGGCCGAATAGCTGGCGGCGCTCGGATTTGGATAGATTGAGGTCGTTGGCGATTGTGTTGAGGGTGGCGGGATTGAAAGATGCAGCACCAGTGGGATCGTCTGGTGTGGCGGAGGGTATAGATTCTGGCGCGGGAGCTGGTCCGGCGGATGGGGCTTCCATTTCGGTACTGTAGACCAGTGGCTCGTAGGCTGCAGCGGGTGCGGGGGCCGCGTCTGATCGATCTTCCGAAGATAGAGAGAATAGGCTGACTTTCGGTTTTGGCGGGGCTGGGGCTGGGGCTGAATCTGGGCCCGATGTAGTTTCTGTCTGGGATGTGCTCGGCACTGAAGATTGAGCTGTGGGTGGTGCAGCTGGTGCTGGCTGTGGTGTAGTAGATTTGGGCGTCTTTTTCTTCTTCGGATTCGGTCTTCCCACAGACAACGGCCGAAACATCATCGGATTGCCTTGGAGCTTGACCTGACCCGAATCCAACTTCTTCTCCTCTGGGGCACCGGTGGATTTCGCGGCACTGTCGCCCGGCATGATAGACTGGCCATTTGCTTTGCCATCATCAAATGGCTGGCCGACCCCCATCTCCACGTCCGCCTCCCGATCAAACCCCGGTGTCGCGCCAGTCTTCAAACTGAACACCTTCCGGCTCGACGGCGCCGGCGCTTTCTTCTCGGCGGCCCGTTTGGGAGCGGGCAGCAGCGCATTGAAACCGGATAGAGCACCACCCCCGCCCCCTCCTAGCCGTGCCTTCTTGCGCGCGGGTCCATCGTCTGCCTGATCTTGGGAGGGGTCGGGCTTGAGCTCCGGGAGCGCGACGCGGATCTTGCGCGGGTTGCTGCGGTCGACCTGAAACCCGGTGGTCGACTCTGTCTGCTTTGCTGTTCCGGAGGGTGCCGCAGGCGTGGTCTCTGGTTCGGCATCTGAGCCCTCAGAGTCGGAGTAGGCTACCAGCGCCATGATGAGAGGGGTGTTGGTAGGTGAGTTGGGTCAGACGGTGTTCCCTGCGTCTACGGAGATTTGTCGATGCCTGATGTTGGCCTCAAATACATGCCTTCTGTTCCAGGCATCCATCACGACTCTGATGACATAATCCGGGGATGGGGGCAGTAAGCTTCGCAAGCAATTGCGATGGCTCACGCACTCCGGGAAGGATCTCGCTACGGTGTGTCTGTCGACCATGCTCCCCCTCCGCCAGCGTCGAGGGATCTCGAGCAGTGCACGGACCAAAACCGCTCACCACGTCATAACGTCATCGGTGTCATCCGGTTTGTCCGTCCGCGCTTCACTGCGCTACGTAGTCGGGGAGGGAATGGGGGGAGGAGTGCAGAATTCATGACATGCCCGGGACCATGGGATGGACGCCGAGCACCATAGTTAGCTAGTGAAGAATGGGCGTCCCCTATCACCACCAGAAAGGATGCCAACCTCCAGATCGATCAATGCGTCATTCGCCCCTCCTCCCCACTCCCTGCCTCTCGCTCTCTCTCCCTCCCCTTCCCGTCCGTCCCCGTTCCGTGCCTCAATCCCACCCGCTCTTCCACCCTCCACCTCCCCATGCCGAGCCTAGGAGGTCTGTTGAAAAAGCGGCGAAAGGATTCGTCGATCTCGAAGGATTCGGACCACCCCCACCCCCGAATAATAGTAACCCGCCCTCTTCTTCCTCTCCTCCCTCTCAGACCCCCGAAGGTGAAGGCGCCTCCATGCAAACGCAATCGCACCCAACGCCGCCGCAACCGCAGCAGCAGAGCCAGCCGAACAATGCCTCGAGCATCAATGACCTAAGCAATGCCGGGACGGCGGACAATGCCCACAATGCCAGCTCCCAGACCAAGGAGCGCAGCACCAGGGGCAAGTACGCACAGGAAGACTTCACCCTGCAACGCACTCTCGGCACCGGAAGCTTCGGTCGCGTCCACCTCGTGCAGTCCAAGCACAACCACCGCTTCTACGCAATGAAGGTGTTGAAAAAGGCCCAGGTGGTCAAGATGAAGCAGATCGAGCACACCAACGACGAGCGGCGGATGCTCACTCGCGTGCGCCATCCCTTCCTCGTCACGCTGTGGGGCACCTGGCAGGACTCGCGCAATCTGTACATGGTCATGGACTTTGTCGAGGGAGGCGAATTGTTCAGTCTGCTGCGCAAATCACAAGTGCGTCGTGTGTCCCGACTCCCCCCAACCAGCGCTCGGCTAACCTTTCCGGGCTCTCTAGCGATTCCCCAACCCCGTTGCCAAATTCTATGCCGCCGAGGTGACTCTGGCCTTGGACTATCTGCACCAGCACCAGATCATCTACCGTGATTTGAAGCCGGAGAATCTGCTCCTGGACCGTCACGGCCATCTGAAGATCACGGATTTCGGATTCGCCAAGGAGGTGCCCGACATTACCTGGACGCTGTGCGGTACGCCCGATTATCTGGCACCGGAAGTGGTGTCGTCCAAGGGCTATAACAAATCTGTCGACTGGTATGTCTGTGCGAATGGTCCTGGCTGGCCAGTCTAACATGGTCTCTAGGTGGTCATTGGGAATCCTGATTTTTGAGATGCTGTGCGGGTTCACTCCATTCTGGGACAGCGGCTCTCCGGTCAAGATCTATGAAAATATCCTTCGAGGCAAGGTCAAGTATCCGCCGTACCTGCACCAAGATGCGGTCGACCTCCTGTCCCAGCTCATCACCTCCGATCTCACCAAGCGCCTGGGCAATCTGCACGGAGGATCAGAAGATGTCAAGAACCACGTGTGGTTTGCCGAAGTCACTTGGGACCGCCTGGGCCGGAAAGACATCGATGCGCCATATATCCCGCCCATCCGGGGAGGCCAGGGCGACGCCAGCCAGTACGACAAGTATCCCGAAGAGACGGAGCACTACGGCATGGAGGGCGAAGATGCGTAAGTTCCTCCCTTCGTTGGCATCACCCTTACTAATGCGTGCTCTAGATACGGACATCTTTTCCCAGATTTCTGAAGCGCTTGTATAATTTAATGACGAACGAGATGAAAAGGCCGCGCCAGGGAGCTTATTTGGAGTCGCCGCGCGCGGTATACGAAAAATTTACTTTCCGTTGGGACTTTGGGATGGTCGCGATATATCAGGCCTTGATTGATTGGAATTGATTGAGTTGTATTTTCTGTTCTTCCTTTCCCAGTATCTATCCTGAAAACAGAAATGCCGCCGCCCAGCCCATAGTTTACACGGGCGAATCTGGCCGCCGATATTGTACATTGTGATTGATCATCCTCGCCTTCATCGTAGCAGCCCGCTGTCCTTGTACGACGAATTCAGCTCAGCCCTCCGCTGCTCCCCTCCGACGCTCCAGTCGCCATAGCCGCAAAGGCAGCAGCATCTTGGCCGCCCAGACGCTTGCTTTCTTGCCCGACGCGGGCGATGTAGGTGCGGCTGGTGACGTTCCACATGGCGATGTACTTCTCCATACAGCTAGACAGGCAGGTGCTCTCCTTGGAGGAGAGGGTCGAGCCGGGCGCGGGGATACAGGCATCGAAGCAGTGCTCGTTGATTTTCTGGGTGGGGAGGGGTTGTTAGAAGCTTCAATGGCGGAGGAGGGCGGGAGGAATACGTACTCCGATCAGAGCGCGGGCGTTGGCCATGGCGGCTTCCTGTTGCAGCTGGCGCACGATGGCGGACTTGACATCTTCGGCGGGTTTGGCCGGGGCGGCGGAGGACGATCCGAAGAATGACATGCTGGGTGATTGGTGTGGAGGGCGTGGGTGGTTGCGGAGGTGGATGTGAGAGGTGTGAATTGAAGAGAGCCCAGTGGACGGGAAGAGTTCGGTCAGTGGCGCAGTGGTTCGGCCCCAGCCACAGTTGGATCATTGGGGCCACCGTAGCATAACAACGATATACTACGTGAACTCTTCTGCAATTGCTTCCACTCCTTGCCTTGTTCGATTTTCCTTCACCTTGCCCCCTCCTCTTTCATCCCGGGTCCTCGGGTCCTGGTGACACCGCGACCGTCTTCTCGTCTATCGTTCACCCTCCGTTCCTCTCTCCAATCCATTGGACCCTTAATTCACACGAGCCCACCATGCGCCTCCCGTCGCTTTCCTCCCTCCTCTGCCTCGCGGGCCTGGCGTCCCTGCCAGTGGCTACAGCCTACGACGGCAGTGATCCCAATATCAAGAGCATCCCCGTATGTACACTATACCTATGTCGATACCCCGTGTGGGACGGTAAACAACCTCGGTACTAATGCGTGACGGTCTTCCAGCTTCGCACCCACAGTCTCGCTCCGGTATGCCCGCCCTAGCTTTCTCGTGCCATGGACGAGAAGCTTTATTTGTGTTGCAGAACAATCTTTGTTAACAACTACTGCACAGCCATACCTCGATTCCGACTTCCAAAGCCGCTGGTTCGACTTCGGGGGAGACACGATCATCCGCGCTGACAAGTAACTGCTTATCTCTCCTCCTCTGCTGTGAGCCAGTGCTAACCGGTGGCAATCCTAGATATATCCGCCTAACCTCAGACCGCCCATCGCAGCAGGGATGGGTCTTCTCGCGTGTGCCTCTGACCGCGACCAATTGGCAGGTTCGTGCGGAACATTCGACGCGAGGCCTCTTTGTTTGAGACTTACTCATAGCCTGCTAGATCGAACTCGAATTCGCAATTCACGGCGAGGGCAATCTGCACGGCGATGGCTTCGCCCTCTGGCTCACCAAGCAGCGCGCCACCCAGGGCCCGGTCTTTGGTTCAGCAGACCAGTTCGAGGGCCTGGGTATCTTCTTCGATACCTACAAGAATAACCGCCCCGGCACGTCGTTCCCCTACGTCATGGCCATGATGGGTGATGGACAGACCACGTACGACCAGGCGCACGACGGCAAGGCCAACGAGCTCGCCGGCTGCTCCGTGAGTAATACCTTTGTCTTACTATCCAGTCCGCTAGTCTAATCAAATACAGGCCCGCGGTATTCGAAGCGCCCAGGTCCCAACCAAGGCCCGTCTTACCTATTTCCAGGACAAGTCCCTGACCCTGGACCTGCAATACAAGACCGAGGACACGTGGACAAACTGCTTCACTCTGTCCGCCGACGACGCCAATATCGCCATCCCCTCCGTCGCTTACCTGGGTCTGTCCGCCGAAACGGGTGAGCTGAGCGACGCCCACGACATCATCTCCCTCAAGGCAGAGAACCTGTACTCTATCAGCCGGGGCCAGAATAACGCTGGCAGCCGCGGTCCTTCATCGGATGGCCGGACCAACAACAAGTCCAAGAAGGAGAAGAGCAGCGGTAGCTGGCTGGGGTTCTTGTTTAAGACAGTGCTCTTCTTCGCGGCTATTGCTGGTGGGTATATGGGCTGGACGATCTACCGGACGAAGGCACGGTCTTCGCGGTTTTGATTTGCCTGAAGTAGGATATAAGCATTGAATGGGGATGGAGATTGAAACTGTGGTTTTTTTTTTGGTTCAAAATGTCCGACTCTTAAATGAACTCGAGATGCATACATAGCTCTTCCCTCAATTCTGTTTCTTTCCGTTTTTATACTCGACATGAATGAACTCCAGTCATAATTGAACAACTATAATATAGACCCGGGGTATCGATAATCATGAAATGCGCCGCCCATATGCAATGACTCAACGTTCACGCTTTCGCCCTCTCCTCGTTCCACATGCGATCCACGATCTGGAATACCTCCGTGACGCTGCGCATCACGACTTCGTCAACGCCAAGAACCCCATACCGGTGCTGGATCTTATCCGGATGCCAGCGAACACGCTCCGTCTTGAGAACAGCCAATAGATCCTCTTCTGGCGGAGGCGCATGGCGCATAAAATCCTCCACCGAAGCAGGCGCCACATCCCTGCGCTTGCCAGATTCAACGGGCCAGAACAGTAGATTCCGCAAAGGCTTCACATCCTCCGACTTCTTCTCGTCCGCAGAGGAAGACTCCATTGCAGACGCAACAACCCGAGCAATCTCATCCCACGACTTCAGATAATTCTCCCAAAGACCCTCCCATGTCCGCTTTCGCTTCCTTTCCCGTCCCCGCCGAAGACTCTCATCCATCGCGCGCTCAAACTGCGCTCGTTCCCGCTCAGCCGTGCGACCCTGTTCCTCGTTCTTTCGCTGTCTCATGCGCTCTGCCCGCGCCTGCTCCCGCGCCTCTTCCATCCCCTCGCGCGTGCGCTCCCACATTCGCGCGCGGACATATGCCGCGTATTCGTCCTCGGTCATTTGCTCCAGTTCCCCCTCTGGTCCCGTGGGCACCTGCGGAACGCTGTAATTGTGGATCGGTTGCCCGTAAACGCCCTCCCAGTATGAGGCGCCTTCATCGTCGCCCATTGCATCGAAGAGAGATTCCCGGAATGCCGTCCGGGGCGAGAGTGGGGGTTCACCATTGACATGGTCGTGGGCGTTACTTTGAGGGCCGTTGCTCTCTCGGCGTTGTTTGTGGCGGTGTCTGCGGCGCCGACGTTCGTAGCGGTCTTCGTGTCGGGCTTTCTCATCTGAGGTTCCGTGCCGATGTCGGTGGCGGGATGAGCTGCTCTTGAGCCGGAAGCGGCCTTTGCTGCCGGGATGCTTGGTGTAGTCATCGTGCGTGCTGTGAGGGGCTTCCGAATGTAGTTTTGCCTCGTTTTCCGGTGGCCCGCCCTCAGCCGGAGGGGCGTCCATCGTGGATGGTGTGCCCTGGCGCTGATGTGCAGATTATAGACTTGTTGGGAAAGACATTTGGGTGAGAATCGCAGAAGAGGCGTCTGTAGGATGGAAAGAAAGTGAGGACAACTGACCGATAAGGTGCCCGCTGAGTCAGCTCTATCTTATCTTAAGTTAGTTAGTTAACTATCGGCTTATCTGGGATTATTGTTTCCTCCATCATCTCGATCTCCTCAAACATCTCTGCCAACTCTCTCCCAGTGATCCAGTCATCCACTGCATCTGCAAACCACTGTGGCTCATGAATACACCACCCATGCCAAATCCGCCGACACTGTACCACACGACTCCCATTCTCGCGTCCACCCACCACAGCGCGAAACAGCTGCCGCGCACTCTCGATCTTGTCCTTGGGAAGCCATGTCTCTCTTGTGGCCGCAACGACCAGTGAGCGTACATGAATATCTTTCAATGTTCTCCCATCAGATAATGTGCCCACAACCTCCTCACATAGTGCCAGCGTGCCCTCTCCCTTCCTGAGACGCTTCCACTCCGTCACTGGCGAAGAGACCATTCCAAGGGTACGCTGCAGAGTATATATGAACGGTGGGAAGAATGCCGCCACGACCCTCCATGGCAAAAACGTATTGAATCCTGACCCCAAGACTGAAGAGATATGCTCTGGCCCGCCGAGCGCTGCAAGACTCGCTGCGACATGTGCACCCAGACTCATGCCGACGATATGCGCCTTGCCGTTGTGCGCATGTGTTATGATCAATGGCAGCAACAGCTCTGCGGCGAGCTCCACATTGAATGGCTGGATTGTCACCGAGTCGCCATGGCTGGGTAGGTCAGGGACGAGCAGGTGGTAGTCCTTCGCTGTTAGGAGTGGCACAACGAGATCCCAGTCCTTGCGGCTGCTGAATCCGCCGTGGATTAGAAGGATAGTCTCGAGGCCTTCTGGGTTATGGACTGAGAAGGAGAGCGCCGCATCTGAGGGGCTGGGTTCTACTGAAAGGGCCATTGGCTGCGGAGTCTGTTCCCCCGGGGCAAGGATGTAAGGTTGTAGGAAGCTTTTGGGCTGAGGGAAGTTGTCAGGAAGCAAGCAACTTCTTATCTACAGCTGATGGAGTAGATTTTCATGGCTGCTTACGCCACCAACTCATCCATGTCGGCTGTAATGGGGGCCATATTATGACCTACGGCTTATACTCGGACTAACTAATGACAGCATTAGTCTTTCTATAGGACACTACGTTTTAACTACGATGAATTGATGCACATTACTAGTGAAATATACTCAATCTGCGGCTAGGGCTGCAATATTTACCACCACTGATGCACTCGGGCAGCCCTGTCTGTCTCCTAACATCACAAATTTCAATTCTGCACACGCAGAAGCCCCTTATATTCTTTCTTGCTTCTTGCTTCCTACTTTTCTGACACCAATCTTTCAAGCTCACGAGTGCAAGTGTTGGAAATATGCTGGTTTTACTTAGCCCTTTCGAATCGGTTATGAAATGTTTCCACGTTAGTCATCGAGTCTATGTTCGACTGGCCCAGTGGTTAAGGCGCCCGTCTTACACACGGGAGATCGCAGGTTCGATCCCTGCGTCGAACATTTTTGCTCTATTTTTGATCGATTGGTGATGAGTTGAACAGGTATTGTTCGGATTGAAGGTGGGATGGATAGGGGGAATAGCAGAGAAGAAACAGCTATGAGCAATAGGGTTGAAACGGAACTAATTATTGCTTGGACATTCTTATTCAAGTAGTTATAGTTTGCAAGTAATAAGCAGCTAAAAGTCATAATAATTACTCTATACAATCAACCCCCAATCTCCCGCTACAGAAAAGCAGCAGTCAAGCCCACAAACCCACCGACCAGGGGGAAGATACCCCGAATACCATTCAGCATAGTCCAAGTATTCAACAAGCCAATCGTCTCCTCATCGGACGCCTCCGACTTCGACAGCGCCATTTTCTTTAGCTCATTATTGGTGCAGGCCATCACACCCAGTGTCCAGGGCGTAAAAGCCAATACCAACAGGCCTGCAGCCACATACAAACCTGCCAGACTGGTCTGGGCCGGGCGAAACAATGCTCCCCCTTCGCGAACAGACCAGGCGCAGTAGAAAAGCGTGCAGGCAATTAGCGCGGAAATTTGGGGGTTCTGCGAACTGCCATTGTCGTACAGGTGTCGCCATTGTTTGGCCAGTATGCTTGGAGAGACATTGTTCTCGCGGTGCGAGCGGAGCAGGGCGGGCATGACGATCATCGACAGGGTGGAGATGTTGCCTGCGATTTGATTAGAGTGGCTGCTATCGAGCAGTAACTGCAAGTACGGGTGGTTCCTTACCAGAAAGCCAGGCTGCGCCGGACAAGCCAACGGCTTGTGCAATGCGGAAACTCAAGGGATAATCCATGGTGATGTTGGTGGGGTCGAAATGCGATATGAATTGGGAATGATCAAGTAAAGTCCAAGAGGAATGTTGACGACAAGATTGAGCGACTTATTGAAACTGAGATCCAGATTGAAAGTGACTATCAAATGTAAGAGTCTATGATGCCCCGCCGCCTTTCAGGCCTCCAATGGCCATCGCGGAGCCCCATTCCCGATAGACCGGTCCGGCTGCGTAACCACCGATCCGACCGATACGTGGGTCGAGACCATCGGTCGGTCTTTGGAGAAGTGGGATCGAGCTCAGTTTTTGGCTTCTGTACTATTATTGCCAAAGGTAGACATTGTTTGGAAGTACATGAGCTCCAACCATAAGGCTGTTCAGGAATATTTCATTAGTCAAAAATCTGGTGGGGTCACCGCATGAGCCTTGGAGACCGAGTCGCTCGAGATTTGCCAGGGGTCAGATGTAAAGATTCTATTTCCCTCTCACTCTTGGTTGGTGTTTCGTTACCATGCGCCATTTATAGGATTGTATTGCATTCCCTTGTAAATAACCTGTTTTTGTCTGGGGACTACTATAGCTGGCCCGATGTAGCTCCGCTGTCGTTGATCTCATTTGCCAAATAGTCCGGGATGGCCATAAGCTTGTATCCTACCCTCTATCTCAACTTGACCACGATATCAGCCGTCGAAACATCTCTGGTTATCTCTGGAACGTTTCTCTTATTCAGTCGACCTTATGTTCTAGTTTCGGTAGTCGGACCCGGTACGCATGCCAAGCTCGCCCATTTATCCTCAATATGTAGACAGCTATGAAAGTGCATTTTTTTGACAAATCTCCCTGACAAACTTCCTTGCGTGTTAGTCTGCAACTTCTTAAATAGGAGCCTTTGTCTCTATGGTCAATTTTAGTTTATTCTGCCACTAGTCAATTTTAATTGGCTTTCGTTGTGTGCCTGATAACCCTTGCTATTAAAGTCCGAGGTCTCCGAGTCAACTAGAAAGAATGATGTTTCACCTTGCAGATGGCGTTGAAATCGCGCTTTTCTTCCTCGGCTCAAAAGTGCCGCTCTAGACTTCGCCGACCTTCTAAGGAATTTGCGCGTAACCTTCAAGCGCAACCTTCAAGGAATGGAATGCGGCAGAAACAACAACGCGCCACAGAGACTCGATATTTTATATTAACCTCCAATCTGATCTACGCCGATTTAAAATGGATTTCCCACTGTCTGCAGGTTTCTTTAGCCTTCTATTACGGGGATCAGAGTTGATCACGTCGATCCATTGCTCTTTACCTCGTGGTGGGCAGATCAACGTTTTAACTCGGCTGGCATGTCACGATTTCTTGGCCTTCGTGGCAATGGCCTCAACATTGCCGCTATCCTTGGCGTTCTGATGCCGGGGATCATGTCAGTCGGCTACAACACATCACTACTCGGGGGGGTGTTATCTTTGGATAGTTTCGAAAAGCAATTCCCAGAAATCAGCGTGGAACGTGCTCACGCCCAGTCTAATGCATCAGGACTCCAGGGCGCCACCGTGGCGGCCTTTACAATAGGCGGATTCCTTGGGACACTCTCCTGCATCTGGTTGGGTGACTGGCTTGGGCGTCGGCGTCTCATGATGGTAGGAACGGTTATCCAGATCATTGGGACCATCATTGCCACCAGCGCCTGCTCCCTTGCTCAGCTCATCGGTGGGCGAATAATCATCGGCCTTGGAACAGGTGAAATCTGGGCTACGATTCCTCTTTGGCTCTCTGAGATTTCACCCGCCCAAAAGCGTGGATCCCACGTTGCAACAAAGGGTATCTTTAGCAGTCTTGGATGCGCTTCAGCCTTGTTCTTCGACTATGGAATGTCCTTTACGCATGAAGCCATCGCCTGGCGCTTGCCATTTGCATTTCCAGTTCTGTTCTCCGTTGTCATTCTCGGATTTCTTGCTTTCTTGCCCGAATCGCCTCGTTGGCTTATTCGACAAGGCAGAGTCTGCGAGGCTAGAGAAATTCTAGCAGCTTTGGAGAACACAACTGCCGAAGATGATCTTATTGAAGCGAGAGTTGTTGAAGTGCAATCTTCGCTGGCACTATCAGGAAAGGGAAAGCCTCTCAAGGAAATGTTCTGCATGGGTCCTCAGAGAACGTTCCACCGAGCTCTTTTAGTTATTGGTGTTTTGATGTTCGGACATTTGACAGGTGCTACAGTTACCGCGTTTTATAGTACGTTTTGCCCTATCTTGCACTTTTTCTCATCGCCACTGGAACTAACGCATTATTCTATGTTTAGCCACTGAGATTTTCGAGCATAATCTAATGCTAAGCGAATCAACGTCCAGGCTTCTAGCCGCAGTATACCAGATGGTCGGTCCTATTGGTGGTATTGTCTGTGTTCTCACGATCGAATCTTTTGGCCGACGGAAATTGATGCTGGCAAGCGCACTTGGGAACGCCACTTGCTTAGTCTTGCTTGCTAGTCTTGGATCTGAGCTTGGCAAACCGTGGGCAGCGCACGCTGCAGTCTTCTTTCTGTTTTTGTTTCACTTCAGTTACATTATCGGTTTCGGGGCCATCCCATACCTTTATACCACCGAAATCGCGCCTCTACATATCCGCACGACAGTGATCAGCTTTAGCATGAGCATCTCGTGGATGTTTAGCGTTGTTATCGCCACCATCACTCCTATCGCATTCAACAGCCTTGGACAGCGATTTTTTTTCATCTTTGCGGGGCTCAATGTGGCAATGATACCAACCATTTACTACCTTTGTCCTGAGACCTCCGGACGCAGTCTCGAGGAGATGGACGAAATATTTGTCCTCTCGGAAGGCACCTTGGATGCTGTCAAAGTCGCGAAACGACTTCCGCATCGTCACTGCAACAACTCGGCGCTCCGTGAAGCAATGGTGGAGATTGCTATTACTACCAAGAAAGTATAGTTCAGTTGGTCACCGATATGGGCGTACTTATTAGGTACCACTTTATATTCTGTCTAGCAAACACCCAGTGGAAGACTGGTCATATACGCACATGGGATCCAGTCAGTAGTTCGGTAGGCGCCCATCAGTACCCAGGCCGCTGAAAGTTGATAATTTTGACTTCACTACTTTCCCTCTTATTTGTCTATGGAGTTTTGTTTCACGTAGGTGGTAAAGAGGTGACCAACCTTTTTGTCTGCTGGAGATAGAGGCACAAGATAGCCTGATGACTGGAACCTCCCAATAGAGTATATAATGCTATCCAAGCAGGTATCCGATGATCGGAGTAATAGTGGAGGTGATGGAGAGTATTGAATGAAACATATAAACTAAGACTACTATAGGAAAATGAAAGACATTCTACCTATCCCAATTAATACCGCAGTCGCTCACTTTGAGTAGGACACCTACCTCAAAACGCATGACGACTTTCACCCTCAATTCAGAAAATCACCCTTGGTCTTGGCAAGTTGCTCATCGTAGTAAGGTTGAAATGCAAGCCATCCCTTGTCTGGGCCGCCGACGGTCTGTACGGCGTATTCCGCCTCCTCTTGAGGAATCAATTTCTTCTTGTAACCAGCGGCGGCAGCAGCATCGGCAAGCAACTGGGCCTGGCAAGTCTTATCGAGACTAATAAACCAGAAGGCAGCTTCATCCACGCTCTGACCAACAGTCAGGAGACCGTGGTTTTGCAGAATGACTGCCTTCCCATTGCCGATGGAGTCTGCAATGCGTCTGCCCTCTTCGGCATCAACAACGACCCCGCCGTACTGACCGTAAACAGCGTGGCAATTATAGAATCTCAGAGAATCCTGCGTAATCATTTCGAGCTCTCGACCGAAGACAGAGAAAGCCTTTCCGTGAACGCTATGAGCGTGACAGGCTGCATGAACATCGGGCCTAGCCTTATGGATCGCCGAGTGTATGGTGAAGGCAGCAGTGTTGATGGGCTCATCGCCCTCAACCACCTGTCCTTCCTCGTCTACTAAGATTAAATCGGATACCTTGATAAGAGCAAAGTGCATCGACAGAGGATTCAACCCTATGAGGGTTAGCCAAGAAGCAGTTTAACAGCCATTTGGCGTTTGGAGCAATGCAACGTACAGAAGTGATCCGTCAAGATCGGGTCACGGACAGAGATATGCCCAGCGACACCCTCATCGAATCCACGATCAGCAAAAACTCGAAAGGCTGCAGCCAAGTGCTGCTTCCGATAAACGCGCTCTTCCTCGAGCGTTGCGAACTTTGGGTATTCACGAATTTTCAGCAACCTGCCGTCTTTGGTCCTTCCCATGGATTGCACCTGGGGAGGCGGCTGCAGCGTGGCAGTGACCGAAGTCGCTGTATGGGTCACAGTTGAACTCATTCTGTTGGTTAACAATTTTTATCCTCTCTTATAGTTGTCTGTATATGCTGCCAATGCTGAAGCAGCGAGGTCATTGGAGTGGAAACGTGCCAAAGTGAAGAGTGAAAGACCGCAGGTTAGAGCTAGTGTAGAGTTCTGAATGTGTTCCAAGATAACACCCCCACCGATGTCCCCGCATGACTTCGGAAAACAGAATCTCGGAAATCGTTACCAGAGGCCGGATTTCTACACTAGTAGAATCGAGCGGATACCGATTGGAATGGACTGTCCGGGGATGTGGGGAAATCAACAGCCCTCCCCGACTCCCTCGGCCATCTCTCCGGCCTCGGAATTGGCGCAAGTGGCTTGAGGAATATTTATAGTTGGGTATTTCTTCTGGACCCCTCATTTAAAGTAGAGAATATACATCAGTGACAAGTACTTCAGGTACTCGTCCTCCTAATATATATATAGCTGTGCAAATCGTACTGTGGCCCACCATGGGAGAGTTAGACGGCAAAGTAAGCCTTCATATCAGAAGGGGAGCGTGTAATCCTGACACCAGATTTGTAGGTTATTATCGTCACGGGGGCAGGAGCCGGATTTGGCAAAGGCTTGGTTGGAGCTCTCACCATCGAAGGAGCCAAAATCGTTGCTGTCGACCTGAATGACGAGAATGTCAAGGCAACGGCGGCCGCGGCATCACCCAAGTCGTGTGTGGCTCATACCGCCGACGTTTCTTTGGAGTCCTCTTGGAGAGACATTCTCAAGACTGCATTGGACACTTTTGGGAAGGTCGACACCGTTGTCAACTGTGCTGGCGTCCTCCACGATATCGTTCCCTCACATGAGGCATCCGAAGACGTCTTTGACTTGATGTTCCGGGTAAACGTGAAGCCAATACACTGGACAACGAGAGTCATCATCCCATATTGGCTGTCAGGGAATATTCGGGGCCATGTCATCAACTTTGGAAGTAGTAGTGAATATCGACCAAGAGCTGGATTGCTATGGTATGCCGCCAGTAAGGGAACCATAACTACGGTAGGGCTACTCTTGCAAACTACTGTGTGTACATTTCAAAGTACCGTCCCTGACTAATTGCATTACAAAGGCGACAAAAGCTCTCGCCCTAGAGTACGCCAAGTCTGGGATCCGGTTCAATTGTATTCGCCCCGTTGTTGGTGAGACTGGAATGTGAGTGACCAAGTTTACATTACAGAGGCGCCATTTGCGTTAAACTAATCCATGATAGGATGCTCAAAGTAATGGGCGGGGAAGACACCCCAGAGGCTCGGCAAAGGCTCTGTAGCACTATCCCGCTCGGGAGACCATGTCAACCCAGAGATATTTCGAATATGGTCACCTTTTTGGCCTCAGATAAAGCAGAATTCCTCACAGGAATCACCATGGATGTGGATGGTGGACGGGGAGTGGCTTAGGATTCTAGATACAACCTTCCTTTTTGGATGAGCGTCTTGTCAAGTTCTCGTGCTGCTGAACAGATCATTAGACCTCAGGCTGAAGAATGTTGAGAGCTCCGCCAACTAGGTACAAACTCCCTGTTATGAATACTTGATTTTGACCTTCCTGGGATGCTATATCCCTTGCAAGCTGGATGGCTTCTTCGATCGTTTCCGCAGTTGAAACCTTTGCTGACTGCACTCTGAGATCAAGCTCTTTCCAAATGGAGGAATACAAAGCGAAATGTTCAGGAATCGACGATTCCGGGACTTTGAGCATTTTATCTATCACGCTTGTTAGCTGGATTTGGCAAGGAAGGTTGCACTGGGGCCGAACCGAATCTTGTTGAACCATCTTTTCTCTCTTTGTATGTTGTGAAGATGACATGGTCAGGCGCTGCGTTGTTGGCGAGCAAAGCTAGTACTAAGTGTCTGAGAAGGGCGGGCCCATCTCGTTCCTCTGAGAAGTGTGTGAATATGAGAACACGATGTCTTGATCGCGTATGTCAGCCGGTTTCCATCGCATTGACAGTATAGGACTTACCCTCGCTGGCAAGAATTCGTAATTTTGGCATACCACTCAGCGGCCTGACCAATACTCAGTTCGTTATGTGCACCATCCAAGAACCACCGAGTTACACCCTCATCGATGATTTCGAACCTTCCAGGCCAGGAAAAGCGTTCCACACCGAGAGATATGTCATCACCAGTGAGGTGACTACCGGGACCCTTTGAATGTAGAAAAGCCTTAGAAAGCTCCAGAGCCAACGAGAAATTCAGTCGTTGCACGGGAACTCCAAGAACTTTGGTATTGCCTGGAAGCAAGCTGTCATTGACTGAGACAAAACTCAAGGTGGTCCCCTTCTCCGCAGCACGTTTCCTCATGACAGCTGCGGGACTTGGTTCTTGCGGCAGCGAAAACGCGGGCGAGCCAGTCTTGAATATTCCGGATTTGTGCCACGCAATGTTTTCGATCGTAGGGCCTAACTGCTCGACATGATCTAGTCCTAGAGAAGTGATTCCTGTAACGACGGGCTTTTGTATGACGTTCGTCGCATCGTACTCCCCGCCATGGTGGGTTTCAAAAATCGCAGCCTCGACTTTTTCCCCGATGAATGCGTGGAAGGCCGTTAAAGCCAAGAGCTGCAGAAATCGAGGCTGTCGGAGGGTCTGAGCATCCGACTGGCGATTGACAGGGAATAAACAGTCCCAGACTTCAAAAAAGTATTTTGTGAAAAGGTCTTCAGTGATGGGTTTGTCATCGATCTGTATTCTCTCTCGGATACAGCGTAAATCTGGAGAGGTGTAGAGCCCAACACGTTTCGGAAACCCTGTTCTCAGGCCATGGGCACGAAGAAGACAACGTGTAAAGGCACATGTGCTTCCCTTGCCTTTCGTTCCAGTAACATGCACGATGTTTAATCCATTGATGTCCCTATCCTACAGAGTGTGAGATGAAAGAAGACCCCACTTCAGAGAAGGATCTCACCGAATGACCGAGGAGCTGCAGCCACTCCTTCATTCCAGAGAGACTGGGCAATCCTCGAAGGGCTTGACTGCTTCCCTGGGACTCTACTTGTAAGGGCGCATTAACAGCTTTCGGGCGCGCATTGCGCCGTTGACTATTGAGCAGCTTGAGTGCATTCTAGAAACCATTAGAACGGGGGAAGGAATGAATCAAAAATACCGGGTGATACAAACCTCATAGCTCCGTAGCATAGTGAGCACTCCACGGGGCTTTCCAGACGATTGCATGGGGTGGGTGAGTAAACGGGGGAAACATCGATTTTCGGACACGGACACGTGACTGACATCAGAATTGGCGTCCAAGATATCCAGATACTTATTTTCTACGACAGAGAGTGTATGCATTATGATAATCAATTCGTAGGTGCCTAGATATAATCAACTCCCAAAAAGGACAAAGAATCCCGCCTGTCCTCAAATCCGATAATGCGCCATGTTCTTCTTGATCTCGTCCACGATCTCAACAGCCTCCAGTGCATTCCGCGCCTCAAAGTCATACCGCTTCTGCTCCGTCGCATCGTTGCCGCGCAGCACCACCACCCGGAAACTCTTGGGATGTCGACGACTGACTTTGCAGCCCACCACATCGTTGAAGCTGATGGAGCGTGTTTTGCCGTCGGAGCCGGCCTTACCCGACTCTCCTGGCATGATGTGCATGTAGTCGTTGTCAAAGGTCAGAATGCGGTGATTTGATGCCGTAAAAGACATGGACTGTTTGCGGAAGACATGGTAGCGTCGGTAGTAACCTCCAATAAGGTCTTGTTTTTGTGTCAGCGAGGGTAGCATGCGCTTTGCTTCTTTTTTGCCCTTTTTGACTGTCGTTGGAGGTTGGCTCTCGACCATCAGCGGCGCGTTGGGGGACGAGCTGCCGGGAGAACCGCCCATTGTCAGAGGACCAGCCCCAAACCGACGGCGAACAAGGTCGAGATCTGTGATAGGTCCCAGTGCTTCTACGGTGCGATCCAACGGTGCGATGGTATTGGATCCCACCACCTTGAGAAGGTAATTCCCTTTATCAAGCCCCCAGCGCTTGCACACCGAGTCAAGGATCTCCGCAATATAGCTGTCCGAGGTCGTGTTGATCGTCATGGCGTGAGCCGATGCTTCCAGGTTGATGAACCGGACCTTCAGGGTCTTCGAGACACCGAGACGGGGGGTGGCGTGGGAGATTGGCACAGCAGGACGATCCGCAGGTGTAAGTGTGCTGTCATTCAAGGCAGACGAGAAAGGGCCTAAGATGGGGTTTTGGCGAGCCGCAGTTGCTTTGCTTTGTGAAGTAGACTGGGTGCCTGGTGCTGCCAGATTTGCAGGTTGGTCGCCCTCAGCAGATCCAAGACTCTGACTGAACTGCGGATAGAGTCGTTCGTTTTCCTCAAATTCCGAATCAGAGGCCTCCACGAGCGCAAACTCATCGTAAGGCCTTCCTCGTGACCGACCCCGTGCCTTGCTCGCTTGGTTGTTATTCGAAGTGAAATCCGTCATCGGCAGCGTTCGTCCCAGCGCTGGAAAGTCGAACTCCACTTCCCCATCTTCCACCATGCGAAGCGTCCATCGATTAACCGTCAACTTTTCGCGGTTGATAGATGGGCCTCGCGCATCTTCGGAGTATTTCCAGAGCGCCGCACCGATCGCTTCAGAGACAGTGACTGGGGCCGGCTGTTTGGCCAGTTTGGACTCTCGCATGAGCGGCAGGTCAAGTGGATCTTCTGGATCCGAGGAAAACGGCACGTATATTTTCAAGTACAACGAGTCATCCGGGCTTTGTCCCGAGAGAACCATAAACTTCTCAACCGGATTGCTTGGTGCGCGCTTGCGAGCTTTGAGCTGACGAGTTAATAAACTGACTGGCTGAATGGTGCTGATAGGCCGTGGCGGAGGAAGATCATGTAGTTCGGGGGCCAGAACTTTTGTCTTGCGTGGCGACGTGTTCTGGGGTCCTGTCCCACTAGGAAGCTTGTGCATCAAAGCCATAGGCGACGAATCCAAACTTCCAGCAATGCCCACCCCGGCCAGGAGCATGGACCCAGAGCCAGCAGTACCATCATCAAACTCGGACGATAGGGCAGACCCAACAGATTCGGCGCCCGAATCTTCGGCTTGTTCAGTCAACTCTCCCAGGGCTAAGCTCTCCGCACCTCGGCTTCCAGTTCGCTGGCGCCGTGTACGGGGACGATCGACCACTTGATCATTTGAGGAGAATTGAACTGATCCAGGTTTGTAATTTTGAGGGTCGCCTTCGTTGTCCGTTGACATGTCACTGCTAGTAGTCGTGTCTCGGCGTGGGCGCTGCCCTTTGATCGCCGATACGTTTCCCAGAGATCCTGTACGATAGTGGCCCGCGCCTTGATTGTGTGTTGGGGCTGTGACCATCACCTCTGGCCGATCACGGTCCTCTGTCGAGCGGATTGGGGACGAGTCAGCCCGATTGCGGTTGATGGGCATCTTAGAGAATTTGATTGCATCGACCGCCCTGTAACGTGTGAGAATGATATAAAACAGGGTCAGGTACAATGGTTGACCAACCGGTGAACATTGTTCTCGTCATCGTCGCTATCGTCACTTAGGTCACTGCTATCCTCGTCCTCTGGCTCGGTCGGCCGCTGGGTTTCTTGCTGGTGTCTTTCCCGGCGCCCTTTTTTCTTTGTACCTCGTCCATGATGTCGTCGTCCAATCACATCCATGTTGCTTTTCCCGGTGACCATCCCCCCTTCTTCGTCTTCGCCGTCGTCGAGGCCGAGCACGTCGTCCCGTGCACCGTTCGCATCTCGAGTAGCCAGCCGATAATATTCCGAGGAAACAGCAGCCGTGGTAGGGATAGGTGGAGAGTAGGTGCGTTTGAGACTGGAGGCGCTCTGGATGTTGGGGTTCGCGGACGCGGAAGACCAGCCCGCGGCGCGAAAGCCAGGGGTATTGAGAACGGAGTTGTTGACATTGATCAACCGGTCTCCGATGCCATCTTTAATCGTAGACAGATATGACGAGCGTAATTGCCAGATCGTAAAACTGCACGTTGGTGAGTGCTGTCCAGCAACGCGCAAGGGAGGGGCGGGGCAGATCCTCCGCGCGACTTACTCTTCATTATGAAGGAGCGACATCTTCCCGATCGCTACGAAGGAAATGTTGATAGCAAACCACGTAGGTAGCGCAACGCGATCGGCGAGTTAGTGATATGTTGGGGTGTCAAGGGAGTCGGTGAGGCTGAGGCCGCATGCTCTCCGGGGGGGGGATGCACAGAGAAGGGAGGCATGCGCCTCAAGAAGAAGTCTTGGGGAACAGAAAGTAAGGCAGAGAGAGATTCAAACTGACAGGCAGGACCAGCCTGGGCACGGAGAATGAGTGAAGTGAACAGAAGCCGAGGGGGGTAGCTAAGATGGAGAGGCGGTGATCCATCGGTCGCGATGCCGATCCCTGCCAATCATAGCCGCGAGTACAATACGTCTACCTAGAGCATACCATCGGGTTCTTGTATAGATTGACCGGATGATGAGTATCCGTGAGCTCAAATATCTTCTGCTATTGGTCTCCTCGTATATCTGGATATGATGTCTCTCATATTATGCTAGCTACTCCTGCTTATCGTTCTGTCTGCTAGCCCCAAGTAAGCACCGAGGTGCAGTGGCTCGGACCATGCAGGCATTATTGTACAAATCACGCGAAATGCTTATGGTGAGCATTTGAATCGTCGCTCTAATTTGCTGCACTACTCCTTTTATTTTGTCCCGAGAGAAGTAAGCACCGCAGAAGTACTTTCTCACCTCACCCCACCGAGTCGAGACCAACGTGGATGACAAGGACACGATGAACATGAGTGATAAGCACGCATCCACCACCGTATGGAAGATGGTTCTTGGTATACTCCCAGGAAATGCCCAGGTCCTTTTCATGGTCCTCTCATCTTTAGATTCGGCCTCTATACACGAAGCACTCATAAAGGATGGGCCAACGCCTACGAACAAAATTTCCACCCTGAGACTCACTGGCATCCTTGCCACGATCCCAAGTCATGGTTAGCATGGGATTTGAAACGGGTTCAGTGCTATAGGAACTGCGGCGCACAGTTCCCTTCACGAGAAGACCGCCCCTACACCAAACTCGAGAGAACAACAAAAGACCATCCTAACGAATACTGATTACATACCTAGAAGTCATGTTAATATACAACCTCGTTAAACTACAAAGACAACGCACGCGACCTGGAAGCTATGCATCCAACTATGAATGCCTTCCACCACAATACAAGCAGTGCCGTCGAGTGGGGCTGTCTTCCCCGGCTTTACACATTTGTCCACGACTCTCATGGACTGTTCTATTCCCAAGGTCGAATCGTGAAGTACTTCTCCGATGTGCTCGAAGAAGCTTAGAACCAAAGATATGGTGTGATTCTAATTTTGAACGGCTGGGAGGCTTGGACTGGCAGAGAATCTGATCAAATTGTTGATAATATACAAGACGCTGGATTCGAGCTGGAAGTTTCAGGCCTCCGAAGCAACAAACCCACTCTTTCTTTCTTTTCTGGTACTAGACATAACTGGTTAATAACATCTTCCATGTTATTAACTGTCTATATAATATAGACAAGACTCAGACCAGTTAAAAAGTGAGCAGAACGGTCCGCAAAAGCGAGAAAAAAAAATGTAACTGGACGAATGGCGGATCGAACGCCAGACCTCTCGTATGCAAAACGAGCGCTCGTACCGCTGAGCTATACGCCCAATAACTTTAAAATGAAGAAAATAGACAATGATTGAAATAGTAGCGTAGCATAGTGAGAGTTTGGAATGTCTCCTCTTCTGCCCGGGGGGGGGGGGGGGGGGTCAATTTGAGATTGGAGACAGCTTAACACCGACCCGCTTGCGCTTTATTGAGAAACCAAGGGTCGCGATTCCTTAGTTCTATAGTCGTCCCGTGTTTAGTTTAGTAGCTCGTATTCATTCAGCCACTCTCAAAGTCCTCGTTTCGGCAAGCGTGGAATTAGATCTCGCCAAGAGTCCGCGGGTCTTGGCGGTCCGACTCTTGACGGGTTTTGGCGAGGTCTATTCCAATCATGCTCGAGGCTTTGTGCGGTCACCTATTCTAAAAACCCACCTTGTACTACGACGAGCTAGCGAATTTTCCATATGACCGGATTCGCTCTTTAAGCAACGAAATCGAGCATTAGCCGCGCCCTTGCGTCTAAAGGTTAGTCAAAAAAGACCACCCGGGTCATGGCCTAAGAGCGCAACATAGGCCTTCGTAGCAAATAGTCATATATGTAATAGTACGGAGACCAGGGTTTTACCAGATGACCACGGTCTTACCAGAAGGCTGGAACACGCCACATCGGGCTAAGAACTAGAATACAAGCAGCTAGTCGCTTATAAGCTGAGGTTACGAGATAGCGGACTGGCTCGCATTTATTTTCAATATCGTTCATAGCTTAGATTTACGTTACGCGAAACTATCTCAAATCAACGAGATTGTTCTCCATTTACCCCCGCCTGTCTTAGATTGTGGAAGGAAACTTTAGTTGCGTACGTATCAAAGCTCGCCTACTATTGCAGTTGTATACCAGCTTACATGTCTAAAACGTGTAAATACATATCCTAGCTATAGGTGCAGTCTGAAGTGCTCCCTGAAACCCTAACCCCTAAACAGTAATTGAATCCCCTAATAAATTAGCTGCCAGAAGCCCTGTCCTTCCTCCAAGTCCATATCTTTTGTTGCGCTCTTCCATACTGGCTGAAACAAAACCAATCGTCCTATGGGACGAGCAGAGACACCGCCTAATACCAGGATCGCACTTCTCTGCAAGATCCAATTCATTGAGTCTCCCGTCACAGTCACAATGGGAAGGCCTAGATATCCGAATTTGTCGGTCGCTTCATTCACTCTCCTCTGCAGATTCTGTGACACTTTCTCCACATTCCGCGATTTGATCCAACTGCGCCACAACGCGACTATAAGACCGGTATACCTATGGGAGTTCATCTTCTGCATCACCTTAGCAAATGCATCCTTCTCGGCGTCTGTCACCAGCCCAGCTCCCTCAACTTGGTCGCGCAAAAAGGTCCACAGTAGCTTCCGATCCCAACCCACATTCTCGAGCGTTGCAAAAAGGCCGGCAGCATGCGAAAACGTCCATTCGCGGTAGGTAATAGTTGCGATGCAAGGTATAGGCAAGAAGAAGTGCCTCGATTGCCGCGGCCAGAACTTGATGTGTCGAGGTGGCCGCCTACTGCTCTTTGTCTCATGAGCAGCGCCGACATAGCGGATGAGGTCAGGATGTATACGCTCAAAGTGTTTCAGATACAACGCGACGGGCGCTTCGTCAGACGATGTCAGGGACCAGTTTGAGGAAAAATGGTAAAGTGTATAGGGAAGTGTGAAGGGGAATACAAGGACTTCGACAACCAAGAGAATTGGGACGATGATAAGGAAATAAAAGATTAATATAAATATTCCAAACGCATATAGAAGGGTGGTTTTCATAGTTTTTAGCGAAGAAGCCATTGGAGACAGGGGATAATATTAACGTGCTATGACGCTCTTGACGGCAATGACGATAAAAAAGGATTATGAAGCTTATTAGCTGGTGCGTTCGGTCTATTTTGTATGGGAAAGGCCATATTTAACATGAGGAATTGGGCAGGATACGAGGATAATCAGCTAGCAAAGTTACTTACATCAGTGACTAGGCTTAACCATTTAGAGACTGCCAAGAGTCTCTGGTGTCGGAGTTTCGGATCGGCTTTCCGTTTACTTTAAGTGTAAGGCGCGAGTTCTCAGCGGTTAGATAGCAGCCCCCTCATTCTCATTGCTTCACGAAGATGCTAGAAGCCAAGGAGGTCTACTTCCGCTACGAGGCTTGTGTGCTTTACCCCTTGGAGTCCTTTGGAGTCCTTAGGACGTCAATTTATGGACTTATTATCTAATGAAGTCTTGGAATTGGAATGCATCTTATGATGTATCATTGCCCCACGTGTCAAGCGCTATGCTTTGTTGAACGCCATAATCATAATGGTTAACGAGAGAACTAGGAGTCATTTTCTTGGGCCTACTGTAACGACAGACTAAGTTAAAGGTGAGTGATTATTAGTTGAGGTTACACCATAGGGAGCGGTTGAGGTGTTGTTCGCCTACAAACAACCGCCAAGTGGTTAGAATAGTTGTTGGCCGCTAGTATCACTTTGAGGTTCTCTACGCTAAAGAGATAGCCTCATAGATGACGACTAGTACACACCGCATAACATGAGAAGGAGAACTGAAGTCGCCTAGAAGATCATTAAGTTACCCGGCACTAGGAAGCCCTCCCTACATGATTTGCAGATCTACTATACGATTCTATGGAATTCCACCGACGTTTTACACGTATGGTGTAACTTTCTGTTAGGATACATATAGTACAGAGCGCATTTTATTGCGCCCTCGATTTAGCACGGCCAGCTCAATAAATGATCCGCGCTAACGCCTTGGAAGTGGGGCCAGGAAAGAGTTTCTCAGTGTATTGGTCAAGGCGATTTCGAGCACGACTATGAGTAAACCTATAACTCAGAGGTTCCGTAGCCAAATAAGTGGCAAAAGTGCACATCAACCAGGGGGGGAAGTAATGATGGTCTAAATTAGTATTGCATAACATCAGATCTTAAGTAGCCAAAGAGGTGCATGGCGAGTCAATGCGATGCCGATCTCCATCTATCCTGACGGATTTTGTAAGTGGACGGATTGAACGCACTCTTTGATTTAATATTGAATTTGCTTACACTGATGTTGCTACTTCCGGTTTTAAGCTGGGGATGCAGATGCGCGAGTAGCAAAGTTTACATACTGGTAATACTGTACTGTACATCCTTAGGGCGAGATAAATGTATGTTTACTGTATGCGATATCTACGGCCCGCGTGACCGATTTATTTCAACGCCGGTATCGCCAAGCTAAACACGTTTTCTGGATCGAACTTAGCCTTCAGAGCCTTCAAGACCTCCACCTTTGACCCATATGTTTTTTCTAGTGTCTTTGCCGGTGACGTTGCTTGAACAGTAGTGGCGTATAAAGACACGTAAGCCGAAGGGAGTACATAGTCTGGGTCGGCCTGCTTGATATCTTCTGCCATCTGAGCGGCCCACTTCTCCGACTCCTTCTGTACATCCTTCTGAACCGTCAATCCCAGTAACTCCAGCATATAGTGAGGCTCTCGGGCCTCAAATACCGAGGAAGAAATGCCTTGCGGTTCTGTGGACGGCCCCCGAAGCTGGTGAATTGACACCATGGTGCCTGGGTCGGAGGGCATTGAGGCCAGACCGCGTCCGATCGTCTCAGCTATGACTGGGGACACGCGGCTGATGTTATGCGTGTATGAAGAGCCAAAGGCCGTCGGTGGGACAAGAGCCCCATTACCGCGAAACCAGTCCTGAATGTTGGCAGGGGCGACAGTATTCGCTACAAGAGGACCAAGACTGGCGATCTTTTCGCTCCAGTATTGGCCTTCTTCAATATTGACACCGCTCCAGACGAAGATGGTGCCGAAGCAGCGCCCCGTGGGAGCGTTGAAGGCAATTTGTTGGATCGTAAGTTCTAGCGGTAGACCTTCGGTGTCGAGGAGGTTTTCATAGGCAGCGTTAAAGTCCACGCATGTTTTAGTGATATTAGAAGAATCGAAAATAATGGCACCGGCGAGGAGCTATGGAGATGTTACTAGTCAGACCTGATATAATGTTTGATATCTGGATGGTAGGAGATAGCTTATAATGGTACTTACACTGGTGAGTGGGTAAACCTTAATCGTGAGATCAAGAATAACTCCGTAAAGACCGCCGGCGCCGCGGATACCTTGCAGAAGAGGCTCGTCGGCGTTGACGTGAATAATATCACCGTCGTGGTTGACAATAGTAGCACTGAGAATCTGGTCTACTCCTAGGCCCCAATGCGAAGAGAACGGTCCATACCCGCCGTATGTGGCCCAGCCGACATAGCCGACGGACGGGATTGTTCCTGTTGGAGTGGCTAGGCCCTCTGCCCAAAGCTTATTGGCGAGGTCACCTTGTAAAACACCACCTTGAACAGTAGCGGATTGACGATCCGACGCGACAGTGACGGCAGTCAGGGCACGCAGGTCGATGCATAAGGCACCTTCAACAATAGCGCGACCTTCCAAATTGTGACCGCCTGAACGGATAGTAAAAGGCAGGGAGCTAGATTTGGCATATTTGATAAGAGCAGCGACGTCAGAGGGGGATTGCGGCTGGACAATAGCCAGTGGGTTGTCACGTCGGCCGGCGTGGAAGACCTTGCGAGCAGCGGGGTAGTCGGGAGAGTTTGGAGGGATGTATTTTATTTCGGGACTTCCTTGAAGGAAGGTCTCCAGGCCGGTTGACTTGGCGAGGCTGGTCATGATGGGCGCAATTGGTGTTTAGGATAATGAACTGGATCTCGGAACCCCAAATGGTGTGGTAGTTCAGATAGAAACAGGTCGATTATTATATAGGGCTAGCTTTGGTGTAAGTAAGACACGAACACGAGTAAGACGAGGGCCAGTGAATTCCTTCGTACGGTTACTTTCGTCTCGCACGATTTAGCGCACCCTAATACACCATCATATAATCTCGGCTTGTTTTTGCGAGAAAGAAACGACCTTTCCCTTTTTTGATCTGAGATGGATAGCCTTCTGAGTAGTACTAGGGAGTGCTTAAGAAGATCGGTGTGTCACGACAGTCTCTGAAAAGTCCAAATGGCACGTAGTCCTCAATCAACAGGAGCAATGGGGACGCCAAGGATCAAGTCGTTGATGTCAGTATTAAGGCCCCCAGGTAATTTATCCAGCAGCCGCATCCTGACGCTTACTCATCTGGGAATTTCCCAATCATGGAACTGCGCCCCGATGTGGTCAGATCTCACTGTGTAGATTTTTTCCGCTGTAATCTATGTAGGGGTTGGTTCACTCAAGGTAATTCTGATGGTCAAAATAGTAGTTGTTGTTGATCATGCTTTGACTAGCGGAGCATCACACATGCCTAGACAGGACTAGCCCTATGGACCGAGCACGGCTGGATGATTAGCCAATCCTAGCACTCTCCTTTTAGCTCTATCTAGAGTAGGTAAACCTTTGAACAACAGATGCAAGTTTCCCGCTTATTGGGCAGCAGGCGGTGGCGGCTTCCCCTGGGGAAGGAGTTGATTGCAATTATTCTGTTGATGCCGGGCATTTTGCGACGTTGAGCCAGCCGCAGGCTGTTGCTAATGTGATCCACGAGATCGCAACGACCGCAGAGTGACAGGTAGGGCAGTATGAATAATAATGAACGCTCTTATAGAGTCGTACACAGACACAATTATTCCTCAGTAAACACCAGGCTTGTGGTAATACAGCCTGGAAAATATGCTACAATTACAAAAAGGTTCACGCCTTGGCCTTGCCTTTGCCCTTGCGGCCCTTCTTGGGCTTCTCCTCGCTGTCATCGACGACATCGTCGTCCGTCTTCTTCGCCTTCTTCCCTTTGGGGGCAGCGGCCTTTTTCTTCTTGGGCTGGCTCACATACTTGTCCTTCTTCAGATCAAGCTCCTCGTCTTCATCCTTGATTTCTTCGACAACCTCTTCTTCATCGGATTCTTCAATAGCATCTTCGATATCCGGCTTTTCCTTGGGTCCCTTCTTTGGCGCAACAACGCTGCTAGCCTTCATGAACGGCATCGGGTGTGAGCGCCCATTGTACAGACGCGTGAAAGTAGCTTTGGTCTGCGTTTCCAACTTGACCGTTGACTCATCCATTGGCCCCAGCCCTAACTCGATCATGGCGTCGAAATCGTCACGGGTAAGGTAATATTGGTCCATGAAGTCAATCACACTCTCGACACTCTCCTTACCTTCATCTCTCAGTCGCCGAACAGATTTATCCCACACCAATGGCAGGTACTGTTGACGGATCTCATCCCGGTTGCCTGTAGTTCGGAGACGCATATGCCCTTGGATTTCTTTAACAAAACGCGACAATTTCCCTGGAGCCAAAGAGTCAGAGATAATAATTAAATCATTGCATGAAGCCTCTTCTTACCGTGCTTGCTATTTTGTCCCAACCAGCTGGTGAACCCGGGCCGATCAGACAGATTGCCATGGATGAAACTGGCCGGCCGCACAAAACTGAAAATAGCATGAGTAGGCATGAGACTCCATTGCTGCTGAGTACCATGAATCATCCGGTCGACAAGATCACCGTCACTGATGCTCGAAGCCGCATTATCCGCCAGTTCCAGAAGCTTCAGTTTCTGTTCCCTGCCGTGATAATTTGAAGCAAGGGTGGGTCGGGTCTTCAAGTAGTTCTCCTGCAGCATCAGATAACTGAACTCATGGTCGTTGAAATACAATTCAGTCTTGTCGTTCAGTGTAAGATTGGAGTTTGGTGAGAACATCTGGGCGTTGAGAATCTTGCTGACAATGTCCCAGGGTTTGAGGATGACGTGTTTCTCCCACGCCTTGGACATTTGCTTGCCCTTGTCAAAGTCCATACTCTTCTGGTCCAACCTTGCGGTGGACAGCATGTTGATCACTTGCCGGATGTCGGCATGGGTGCCCTCAATAAGACCATCGAGTACAGGAGGTGGAATTTTCAGGCCTTCTCGGAAGCAGATAGTCGACAGACGAGCACGAATTTGCTCGGCGGTGGGGCGTCTGAACGGAATATCGTAGGTGACGAAGTCGAAAGGCTTCATTTTGGGAAGTCGGCGCTCGTTGCAGATGAGGATAAGCGGAATATGCGTCTTTTTGGCGACGGCAGCCAAAGCTCCGACACCTCCACGGTCACCAGCAGACATGCCATCGACTTCATCCATGACCAGGACGAGGTTCTTTTTCTCGCTCTCGACCTTCTTGCCCGCTCCGGCAAAATATCCCTGCAGGGATGTTGTATCAAGTACGTCGGTAAGACTATTTTCAACAAGTTTCTTGCTTCTGGTGTCACTCGCATTGGATTCCACAACGTCAAACCCTTCCAGCTTCGCCACCAAATGAGCAGCCGTAGTTTTACCGATTCCTGGAGGACCATGGATCATGATGGCACGGTAGACTCCCGATCCATCTTTGCCTGGGGTCTTGAATTTGCGCTTGGCATTTGTATGCCAATTACGCAGCCAGTTCTGGATCTTCTCCACGGCAGCCTTATTGCCACATATCATATTGAGCGAGGTGGGGGCATACTTTGTCGTCCAGAGCCGATCATCGACTGCCGGCTTAGCCTGTGAGCTGGGCAGCGGGCCAGCAGGAGCCGGGGCGCCTGCTTTGGCAGTCATGGCATCCTTTCGCTTCCTTTCTTCCATAGCACGCTTCATCTCCTCGGCATCAATTTCAGCCGCCAATGCTCGGACTTTCTCCTCGTCGGCCTTTTTCTTGACAGCGTACTTCTCTGCAGCCTGTCCATCACCGCCGTTTGCCGGTAGGCGCCTAATCAACTCGAAGAGGCCGTCCTCGCTGATGGTCTTGATTTTGTGCTTCGCGATGGTCTCCAGCTTCTTTGGGCCAGCATCGCCTCCAAGGACGACATAGCTAGTTTTAGAGCTGGGGGCACCCGTCACCTTGCCTCCATACCGTTTGACAAGCTCCTGGCCTTCTTCCCGACCGAGCGTTTCCAGAATGCCAGTGAAAACGAACGACAAGCCTGCGAGACAATTTTCTGCCCCAACTGGCATCTCCTTTGTTCCAGATGCCGGCGGAGTTCGCGATCGCTGTGCTCCAAACTGAAACTTCTTGGTCTCACCGGTTTTGGGGGGTGGTGATGGCGCTTCGACCATAGGAATGCTGTCAAAGATATCTTGAATCTCTTTACTTTCCGTTCGTTCCTGCGTTTTGGGAGTGGCCTTCTTTGATCGCTTTGCGGCGGGAGACGCTGTTGCCTTGGACTTGGAGGTCGACTTTTTGGTGTCCTGGTAGTCGTCATCTTCGTCCTCGTCGATGAGAGCTTCTGATTTGCGCTTTCGGCCCGGTTTTGATGCTTTCGACGCAATCTTGGGCAGATCTTCCATGACCACGTCGTCCTCTTCGCCGTGAGCGGGCTTCTTCTTTGCCGGTTTCTTGGGGGCTGCCTTTGCCGGCTTCGCCTCCAATATCTCGAAGTCGTCGTCGTCGTCATCCGCAGCCACATAGTCATCGTCTCCCTTGCCGGCCTTGCCGTGTTCGCTTGCAAAAATGTCATCACCGCCAAGTTTCTCATCATCGATGGTAGTCCGGGATTGCTTGCCGGCGTTGCGTGATTCGGCGGTCTTCATAGCTTTTGGAGGCTCGACCTTACTATCATTGGCACTGTTGGATTGAGTCTGTTCGGGTTTGGCCGACTTTTTCTTCTTGCTAGAGGCAAAGTAGTCAGACGTAGTGGTGGGTTCTCCTTCGGGCTCTTTGGGTTTCCTGTCGCCATAAACCATCAGCCCAAGTGCCCAGTGACCAAAACTTAGGAGAAGGGCCTTACGGTTGACTCTTGGACTTCGCTTTCGGAGTGGGTGCTTTCGCGGGTGTCACGTCATCTTCGTCGCTGTCCTCGATCACCTTTCTGCTACCTGTGAGATTGTCAGAATTGTGCTCGGGAGAAGAATTGTAGTCATACGCTTTTTCCTGGCGGTAGAGGAGTCCTGTATTATTTTTTAGATTTAGCAGTCAGTAAGCTTGGGAGATATTATGTGATGATCACGGCGAGAACCAACATACCTCTGCTTTGGTGGCAGGCTTGGCCGGAGAGCTGAAGGCCCCATCTGGCTTCCCGCCAAAGAAATTCCGGATATCCGACGGCATGCTGACCTCGAACGAGAGAGTTGACCGGATGGATTGGTGGAAGAGAGCAGAGCACTTCACCGCGCAACGAACAGGGAGACGCGACAGGGACGTGACGGGGATGACTAAGACGCACTTATTCCCCACTGGGACTAGCGCGGCCGGCGAAAAGTGTCTCCCGGAACAAGTTGAAGATCACATCACCATCACCATTCACAATGGGCCCGAAGATGCTCGCGGGACCATTGTCGGCCTGTACGCGGCCAAGCTGTGAGATATCCTGCATGGAAGCCTTTTCGCGACTCGGAACTGACGCTGGACACAGGCTTTTCGGGCTCGCTCGCCGGGCTCTCGCTCGGTCGCTCATTCTCTACCACCTCTCCTGCCCTCGATTGGCTCACGCCCAAGTTCGCCGAGAAGTCCAAATCCCCCAAGGGTCGCCCTCATGTCGCAACGGGTGGATCAACCCGAGGAACAACGGTGGTGTGGGGAGATTTTGGACTGCGCATGAAGGATCACGACCGTCGGATGCCTTCATCAGCACTCAAGATCGCAGAAGAGACCATCAAGCGGCGGCTTAGGGGGATGAACTACAAGCTCTACAAGCGCGTGAGCGCCAACATCGGTGTCTACACTAAGGGCAATGAGCAGCGTATGGGTAAAGGAAAGGGAAAGTTCGACTACTGGACCGTGCGATTGCCCGTGAGCCGGGTTGTTTTTGAGTTGAAGGGCGATATCCACGAGAAGATCGCTCGGGAGGCATTCAGACTGGCGGGCCACAAGCTGCCTGGTATGTGTGATTCAATATTCTATTTTCAACTCGTGCTGATTTCGTTAGGTCTCTGGGAATTCGTCAAGAAAGATGACCCGCCAGTGGTCGGAATTACAAAACTCGGCAGGGGCGTCACCCTCGAGACCCTCAAGCGAGCACGCAAGGACCCTCCTCTGGACTCCGACGCGAAAAGCGTCTCGTCCAGCACCTCCCCGTCCCAATAAACCGTCAATTTTTACCACATGATACCGAAACCGCCCTCACATGTCATCCTGTTGTCTCTCTCGAATAGACTAGGCTCCAACGCCCGAACCAGGTCCATACCCCTGTAGCCTTCGGATCCTCGTGGTTGCAGCATCACTGTCCTGGGAGTCGAAATTCGTGCCTGTTTGTGTACATTATCATCAGCCTTTTCCTTTGCGTGTTGATCCTCCGTGACCTGGATGGATATTTGTGATACTGGAGTTAGAAGTAGGGAAAATTATATCTCTCAACATGTACCTTTGTCGGCTGTATCTTTGGGGGGTTCCCAATGCCTAGCTTCTGCGCCGCGTTGTCCTCTTCTGCATTGCCATTGTCGGTCTCATCCGACGCCGGCCCCATGCTGGATTCACTTATCGTATGTGCCAAATTGCCTGGATCTGTGTGAGCCCGCGATATACCCTGATGGATCAAACCGTCATCCCACCTCCTAACTGCCCTGTCTGCTTAGAGGGTGTCTGTGTGTAAAGTCGGATAGACTCGTATCTGGATTCTGAGGATCAGTGAATGCAATTTCCCGCCTTTGATATCTTTATGTGCGTACTGGGTGCTCTCCCCACCGGGTTCCATATCGATCAGTCTGGGGTCCGACATTATTTCTTCAGATAATAGCAACAATCAAGATGTGATGTAGCAGGCTCGATAGACGTTGAAAGCAGCCAAATTGTTGCAGATGTGGAGGATCTCCGGCTGGTCTGGGGAAGAACGCAGTGATGACGTAGAGTCAACCAAGGTTGACGACGACCACCAAACTGCGGGTATATATTTATTATAGTTGAAGCAAACGAACAAAAAGATCTCAAAATTCATCAAAAGAGTTCCTCCTTCTGCATCTCCATACTGGCTGGATGACCTACTACGATATTGGCGTCAAAATCGCAGACGTTTACGCTAATAAACACATATGGTGCTAAAGAAGAGGATATTCCATTGAAAGGAAAGCTTCATGAATATGTTCAAGAAAGCCAATAATGCGAGATGGAACTATTTCAATGTCTTTGTTTCACAGACACCTTAAAAACGCTTATCCTAAGAAATATGATCGAACTAGCAAAGCGTCGAGACAGCTAGTGACCAACCTGACTACTCTGGTGATTGTACACTATCCTGATACTTTGGAAGGGATATCACAATGAGTAATTTTATTGTCCAATTATCGTATGCTCCTCACTCCCTCTCCACTCACATAGGGCTTCGTATAGCGCTATCTACATACCGAAGCTCGGAGCCATTGATAGTGCTTACCACAAGCCCCGCCCGTTCTATACACATCACCCGTTGTGAAATATTTGAAAACAAGCAAAAACGCCCAGTGGGTCTTTTCAAGTGGTGATGATAAGTTGTTCTTCCGTCTTTGTCTCGAAGAGCATGACTACCTTGTCCTTCTCTTTCTTTCCCCATGAAGATGGCAAAAGAAATATAAGTTGTGGATAAGAATAGGCCTTGAGAGTTTCCCTATTCTCATGCTAATTGTTAATATTAATTTAACTGCCAGTGTTTTTCTAACCGTTTTCACATAATTTAAACGAGTTGATGGCACTAGGCGGCGCTACAACTATATGAGGCAACTTCAACCCTGCATTCAGAACTATGGGCATGGAACATGGGAACGCCAAATACCAAAACAATGCCTTGATGCGCCGGAAAGTGATAGATCGAAAACCTCTGTGTCCAGGATCTGAATATTGAGCAGATGCACCCCAATCGAAATCCACTCTTAGTGTACAGTCATAATTCATCCGTTTTGTTTGATGTTGTCTACTGAGCCTCAGAAATCCATGCCCATCAGGTAACTAGGGTCATGTTAGTGGAAGGTTCCTGATTGAATGGTTAGGACGGTCAGGAAGCATACCTCTCATAAATACGCATGAACTTGGCAACGAAGGCTTCAAGATGAAAGATGACTTTCTAAACACGGAGAAGATTAGTACTTAATTCGGATAATAGTCGACCAGCAAACTTACACTGCCCAGCTTGATTCGGTGTTCATAGAACGCGGACCACTTGATGACATCGGGTTTCAATGCATCATCGACTTTTGCGACAAGCTTGAAGGTCAGAGTCTGGAAGGCACAGTCAGCTAATTGTGTTTGCTCACTTTCTAGATGTGGAGACCTACCTTGAGAACGGTGGTTGGCGGGATACAGTGAGTCAAGAGATCATATAACCTTGCGCGAACCTGCAACAGCCGAGCTGGTGATCGTTCGGCCAGGATCTCATCCGCCGTCACCTGGATTAGCGCCTCCCAGTCCGGAGGCGGAATCAGAGTCTTCTCCGTCACTTTCTCATTTTGCGCATAGATCGCTTCAAACATGAGTAGCGCACGACGCAGGTTCCGTCCGCTCTCCTGTGCAATCCGCTTGTTGAGTTCCTCGACCTCGGCCCAACCTTCTCTCTTCCCTGCGACCCGAAGAACCGAGCAGATATCGTTTTCGGTGGGTGCGGCTACTCGAACCAGCAGTGTTCGCGAACGAATGGGGGCAATTATGTTCGAGGTACTGTTGGCCAGAAGAATCAGGCGCAGATTGGGACTGTATTTCTCCATCGTCCGACGCAGGGCGGCTTGGGCATCACGAGTCAAGTGGTCGGCTTCGTTGATCACCACGATTTTGAACCGTTGTTTTGCGGACAAGTCGACTTGTTGCGTCTGCGCGACCTCCTTGAGCAGCTCCTGGATGACAACCCGGTCATAGTTACCAACGTCCGCAGGAGTGATTTCGAGATGGTAGACTGAGGAGACGATGTTGAACTCCAGCTTGCGGTTGCTCGTCGTCTGAAACACCCGGGCATCGATCTTGATTTTCTCCACTCCTGGACCGTACAGTTCCTTCAGGGTCGCAATGATGCGCGTCTTTTTGCCTGCGCCCGATGGTCCGTATACCAGCAAGTGAGGGAAGTCTCCGCTTTGAGCCTGCGGTGCGAATCCTGAGTGAGCCAGTGCCGAACCTTTCTCGATCAGGGTCACCTACCAAAGATCGCAGGCGATCCGAGAGCTCTGGATGGTAGCTCAATGCATCAAGGGTTCTTGGACGCAGCTTATCGACGAGAAGCGCCATGGTTGTAATATTAATGGGTGTTAAAAGAAGTAAGTTGCAACGCGGGAGGGAAAGAACGCGACGCGCTGGAAGTGGTGGTCCGTGCACACACACTCGAGACTATGGAACATGACACTCCAATCTATATTCTTTCCGACTTAGGTCTGTATCCATACGCGTGGCCGATGCCAGGGTCATATGCTCTAGTGGCCTTTTGCCTTCTAAGTCTTATTTTTTGTATCATTGCGTACTTCCTCATCCATATTTCTGTTGCCTTATTAATATTCCTACTTGACTCTCATCGTCATTCGCAAGATGGAGGACAGTTCCCAGCTTTCACCAGGCTCTATGTCGTAGCCGTCTACTGAGCACGAGTAAGCGAGTGGAAAGAAATTGGGACCCAAATATCCTTCTGATCCTTTCGAAAAGGATTTTCGGCACGTTGCGGCAAATATGACTATGGAAGAAGCAGCAGATGTCCTCCGTCAACATGATCTGACAGAGGATCAATGGCACTATCTTCAAAGCAAAGAATCTGCTCAAAAAATGCGTCCATGACGGCAATTAATCTCAAGGTTCAGGTTTTAGGTCTGCTTCTCTGTTCTTACGTTTCCCTTTATTTACTATAGGCCACAAATTGCTAACACTAAGGAGCGCCGTTTAGAAACATCTCAAAATCGAACATACACGTGGTTTCGGAGTACAGGCAAACAGTTATAACTTAGGATGCCGGCTTTTCGAGGCCGAAGCCCCGCATCTAAGCAATAGAGGAGCATGTGCGTATAGAAGGCCGGAGGAATTGGAAATTCCATAGCCACAAATTTAGCCTATGACGTCGGGATTGCTATCCGTCAATAGCTTTCGCAAATTGGTTATGTAAAGAATCATAATAATTCCAATTTTTACTCTAGAATGCTTTAGGGTTATCTCTCCCCTGCTGGAAGAGATTAAATGGAGATTGTGTGCTTGTTAAGTTTTGGTTGAAGGAAGAGCCCGAAGAGGAAATGAAGTCGTCGTTCATATAGCGAATTAGGCGAATATTGTTTAAAGGTCGCAAGACAAGGAGTTCCTACAAATTGCCTTATATCCAAACCAACTAAAAAGATCGGTATTTATGGACCGAGACGGTTCTCCCTGCCGGGCGGTTTGCTCGCTCCCACTTAGCCCGCTCTCAAACAGAAATGTGAGACTTGCAATATATTTTCCACGGCGAAGGTGCCTTTCGTGACCCCGGAAGTTATGTAATTGAGTGGGAAAGGCGGGGAAGACTCTTTAAGGACCAAGCTCTTTTAGTGCCTATAGAAATTGTCTGATCGCTGACGCAGTGCCTAAACCTCGGTCGAAACGATACCGAACAGCAAATCTGCCCTAATGGCTGAGACAATATTGACTCCCAGACTTCCTCATCTTCCATCCCTATATGTCTGCTATGATGAAGTTGGAGTCCCAGACAGCATTGTCCAAACCCGGATATTCTGGCAACAAACCGTGAAATTTCTATAGCTCGGTACGAATTGTCCCGATTAAGGTTTGTTTACGACGCAGGGTCGCATTCGAAATTCGCCGGTACCCATCCGGCTAGTCTGGGGGGGGATATGACTTAAATTAAATCTAACTCATTTCCTTGTCAATCTCTAGATGCGATGATACATCTCATTTAATATTATGGCTCCGATTCTAGTCAATGCATTAGCGGCACTGCTCGCAGCTAGTGTTGGCTGCGCGGCCTTCGACAAGCGAACAATTGCACTCGACGACAAGAGCTGGCATGAATATGTTCGCTCTCCTAAAACTTCAATAGTCAAGCCGAAAGCTATTTTAGCGGCCAACACTACCGGCGACGTATCCAACCCGGGCGGCATGCTGGGTAGGAACCATTCCCCGACAGTTCTGACCCGCAAACAAGAAAGCGACGATACCCCAAGTGTCATTGTTGATTTCGGTCAAAATGTCGTTGGTATTGTGGCTATTTCTTTTGCAGGATCCACCAATTCTTCTGTCGGGTATCCTGGTCTTAAGCTGGCTTTCTCGGAGACACAGCAATACCTGACAAACGTCAGCGACTTCACCAGATCTGACAACATGCCAGCTGTGAGTTATATCAGACCTGTTTGGAAGACAAGTACTAAAGGCAAAACTATAGGGTTCCCAAATCACCAGCGGAACGGATCAGGTACTAGATTGGGACCCATATCATGCTTTGGAAACACTAACATTGGCATCCAGATTGCTGTCGCCAACGAGCCGTTCACCTGGAAAGATCAAACCGGGTGCCAATATGGTGACAAAGTGTGCTCGGATGGCCTTCACGGATTCCGATATGTGAGGATAACGCTCGAAGCTCTCGAAAGTGACTCCCCCTACACACAGTCCTACGGCTCAGTCTCCATCTCCAGCATTGAACTAGAATGGAGAGCATATCTAGGCACACCCGATACCTTCACTGGGTGGTTCGAGTGTTCCGATGAAGAGCTTACCCAATGGTGGTTTGACGGTGTTTATACTGCTGACATGATCAACTATAAGTTCCTTGCCAATGAGACTGATCCGCGAAACTCGGCCAGCCCGACTCTACAAGGCAAGGAGGTTCTCTTTGATGGCGCCAAGCGTGATAGAGATCCCTATGTTGGAGATCTGGCTGTGGCTTCACTGACCTCGTATCTATCTCATGACGACCCTGATTCGACACGCAATATCCTTGCGGATTTGGCAAATCACCAACGAGACGATGGATGGATCCCCCCTGCCAGCATGTAAGTGATACTTGTGTGGTGCATTGATCACATTGCTGAGAGAAACTTAATCAGCAATAACTACACCCTTGACCTCTACGACTATCCAATGTGGTGGGTCGTTTGCACATATGACTTTGTCATGTACACCGGCGAGACGGATTTCGCTGCCCAGTACTACGACGTGATGAAGAAGACCTTGGATAATTATTACGGACAGAACATCACTTCCACAGGCGGTCTTCTTGACAAAACCAATGGGTATGGCGACTACGCTTTCCTCCCTCGCTCCGGCAAGATTACATATTACAACGCACTCTATGTCCACGCCTTGAAGTCGGCTGCTCAACTTGCTAGTATACTCGGACATGATGAGGATCAGGATGCCTGGACTGCGCGAGCTGCGAATGTCAGTACCAACTTGCTAGCACGGAACTGGGACACCTCTGTAGGTGCCTTTTTCGATGGAGGGCCATGCCCAAATGATGCAGCAGACACCATTTGCAACGTCCACGCCCAGGATGGCAATGGTCTCACGGTGTTAGCCGGAGCTGTCAATTCCTCGACTGCAGCCAGTCTACTAGATTACTATGCTCGGGTCGCTGCACGACCGTACGGAAACGCCTTTTACGACAATGATGCCCTGTCATCCGGATTCTCAGAGCGCGTGTACGCCTTCATCTCGTACTTCGAACTGGCTGCCCGTTTCGCCACCAAGGGCGCTGCGTCCTCGGCCTTTGAAGAGATCAAACGTTTATATGGCTGGATGGCGACTCATGACCCGAAGATTACATTCTGGGAGGGCATTGGGCCCGGTGGTTCTCCATACGAGCAGGGCTTTACTTCGATGGCACACGGCTGGTCCACGGGTATCGTGTCGCTCATGAGCAACTATGTTCTCGGTATCCAACCCACAGGACCCGGATTCAAGACCTGGCAGATCTGTCCTGTCGTGGACGGTGGGAATCTCACTTGGGCACAAGGGGGAGGTCGGTACGCCGTCTGGTCCGATTAGAGTTAGTTGGAAAAAGAGCGATGATGGGTCGTTTACACTGCAGATTGATACCCCCAAAGACACCAGCGGGGTCGTTTGTGTGCCAACGGAGGGTTTTAGGAGTGACCGAACGGTCATGGACGGGAAACAGATTAAAGGTGTGAAGGCAAATACCGTCGGGCCCATTGCGACGTCTGGGGACGGGTTCGAGGTGATTAAAGCGGATGGTGGATCGCATACGATCGTAGTAGGGAGTAAATAACTAGCCACCAGAGATTTACACAGGCCGGAAGGTTGAATTAAGTCTAGCGGCATTTTAACATCAAACCTTTTGCACAGCCTTGCCTGTTTCCCACCTCTTTCCAACTTAACTTCAGTGTACAACATGGCTCCCATTGTATACCTAATCCGCCACGGCCAAGCTGAGCACAACGTGAACATCTCCAAGGTTCCCAGCTCTCCATCACCTGGGTAGTCACAGACATACTCACCAAGGGGATGATAGGACTCGCATAAAAGACCAGATCCAGGCCTGACAGCAACCGGAAAAGAGCAAAGCAAGGATCTATGCACCAGTTTCCCACACCACGAAAAAATATCTCTCATTCTTGCCTCGCCATTGAAACGCACTGTTCAAACAGCGGCTTATACATTTGGCCCGATCCTCACAGAACGCCAAATACCTCTAATGCTCGTCCCCGCGGCGCAGGAAATTGGCGCCTTCGAATGTGACACCGGACAAGAGGCACATGCCCTCAGGACTCAGGCCCCGGAGTGGATCCGGGAGGCTGTGCCGGGGTATGACATGCAACAGTTGAATGTGGATCTTATTCGGGAGGGTTGGAATAGAAAGGTTTGTCACCCATAGTGATTGGTGGACTTTTCAAGCGCTTAGAGGGGAGTTCGAACCATAGGATGGTGTCTACGCTGCTACACTGGCAGCTGTCCGTGAGCGTGCAGCCGCACTTCGAAGCTGGCTGTTTCAACGCCCAGAGTCACATATTGCGCTCGTCACGCATGGTGCCTTTCTGCACTATTTGACTGATGACTGGGCAACCTACGATCGCCTGCGCGGGACGGGGTATAAGAACTGTGAGTATAGGCAGTTCGGGTTTACGCCTGAGTCGAATTTGCATGAAGCGCATTTGAGGGAGGTTGGTGGTACCCGTGAGAGACAGCGCCGGCCTTCGAACATCGAGGCCCATGTTTTCCAACAGTGATGACTTGACAATATGTTGAAATATTGGGTTATCTCTCTGCCTCGGGCCCCGGTTTTGTAGGGTTTGATAGAAGACATCTATGATTTCTCGTGACATATAGTACATGCGCGCCTGATCCAGGAGAGGTGGGCCAGGCGGTACAGAATATTTGAACCAATTGAAGTGTACATAGCCTGCACTGCAAATTGCTGATTTCAGATGTAACTCCCAAGCACGGGCACACCATCAGGCACCAGGGACTGGCTTCAAAACCCCATTGTCATCATATTTCGCTTCTATTTCCAAGTCAGACCAGCAACTTGGCAAAACACCAGAAGACAACACTCACTGAAAAAGGTATATGAAAGTGTAATGGTATCAATCCCCTTCATATTGGGATCCGTCGCAAAATCAGGATCAATAAAGAAGAAGACCGGCATATCGACCGACTCGCCGGCATTAAGCTTCTGCTCCTCAAAGCAGAAGCACTGGATCTTACTGAAATACGGCGCGACCTGGCCGGGCGTGACGCTGTAAGTCGCAACCCCGATGATATCCTGCGGACTCTTGTTGGTCGCCGTGTAGAAGGCCAGCGCGGTCTCGCCGGGCAGCACGCGGACTTCGCGCTGCTGCGGGGTGAATTTCCAGGGGAGCACGTCGGAGACGGAGCCGTTGAATGTTATCCGCAGTCGGCGCGAGTCCGTTACTGGTGTTACGCGTGAGGCGGTGTCGCCGTCGCCGCCGCGGTGGGTAAGGATCGGTTGGCCGCCCCAGCCGGTTTGTTGGCAGATCTGTGGATTCACCAGGAACGGGTCAGTGGCGGGCAATGGGGATGGGGTTTATGGGTGTCTGTCTGAGCGTACCATTTTGTAGAGAGGTACGGATCCGTAGGCTAGAGCAACGGTTCCGAGAATGAGACTGATGGTATAGTACCTAGTCGAGTACAATGTCAGCGAGTGCAACAACGAAGACAGCGGCAAGCTCACATAGTAGATGCATTGCGTTTTTGCGATTGGGGTGTGCTGAAAGGCGCGGCCGATGCATGTTGCCGTGCATGGAGGAACGAATTGGCGGAGAAAAATCGCCTCTCGGCGGGGAATATGCCTCTTTGCAAGCGTATTGAGTGTGGTGGTATTCCTGCTGTCCACTGACAGCGTCCCCATGCAGGGAACACGCGGGAAAACATGACTTGGAGATCGGAAATCGCATTCGATCACCGGGGTTGAAGACAAAGTGACGGCACGTGATCGGGTCTTATCGATAAGACGCACGGGACCTTTTCCTGTCGAAAAACGGGATGTTATACTATAAACCAAAGAGTTCCGAGGTCCATGTTAAACTAGTGGAAGCAACGAACCGTGGTCGTATCGGACGTATTGATATTAGGAGTCAAGTAGGCAATATATGATTAGGCCCACGAAGAAAGAAGTAGTCTAGGGTGAAGGAGGTGGATAATAATACACTCGTCCCGGGTCCTGTGGTGGCAGGCCTCGAATTCCTCGCCACGAAGAGCAAAAGTCTAGTTCAGCACACTGGTCGTAATGCGACCGAAAACTCCACGGACCATGCTGGGTCGTTCTCGAAGACAGGTGAGAAGAATAGCTGCGCTGACCGCAAATGCAACGCGCTCGCGATATTGATACTAAAAACACAGACAATGTCAGCACAAGGTAAAGGCCAAGAACAGAGAAAAAATGTCGGTGCCGAAATGTACAATGTAACCCTTACCTTTTTATCATACAACCGTGGCAAAATCGTGGCCGCAGCTCGGGGTGCCACAAACTGCGCCAGCTCCTGTCTCCTTCGTGCCTTCTCAACCAATACACTCCATCCGCACATGAAGCATCCCGACGCGACGCACAGGCCGGAGTCCCACATCAGCGGGGTGACGGTCTTCGGATCCAAGATCTTGGGACCGATCCTGGTCCGCGCGAGACAGACGCCATAGTAGAACAGACTGACAAAGGAGGCGAGGAAGGCGGAGGACTGGGCGGAATCCAAAAGAGCACGGCGGAGGGAAGCGGCTGACTTGAGTCCCCGCAGACGCAAGACAAGTTGCAGCGGGATATAGGTTGCACAGGCAAACTTGAAGGTTCTGGCAAAACGGGACACCGCGTGTTTCTCACAGCTGGGGCCACAGCCCATGTGGACCATTTCGCATGGAATCGGAATTGTCTTGACTGGATCCCCCCACGCCGTGGGCCAGCGGTAGTCCCTGCACATGGACTGGAGCAGAGGCGCTTGCCCCGTTTCCTTCCCGTATACAAAGACCCCACGGCGGACACGACGTAGAGCCTCGATCAAGCGCGAGTCCACCTGGGCAGCCTCTCCAATCCACTTCTCGTACGTCCGCGGTAGCCGTTCGGGCAGATAGAACCACGCCCACATGACGACTGCCGCGCTTGCAGCAAACACGCCGGCATCCGCGAGACCCGGAGCCAGCGACTCGGCCACGGTCCAGCGATTCTGGGCTTTGCGGCGACGAGACCAGCGGTTCCACGCAATGCACGCTACCACGTCGATGGCTCTTGTGACCGTGAATAAGGTCAGATCCATGGTCCTCCCCGCCAGCTCTGGCCGTTGATGCTCACGTACATCGGATGCCACCTGACTGGCATCTCCTGTGGCCACGCGTTTCGCTCTGACATCTTTTGTCCGCAGACAGACACGATTTCGGTTGAGAAGTTGGAAACTGAACCATGACGATAGGAATGCGACGGCGAATCGAACGAGGCGGTCCAGCCGGTGGGAGATCCGGATTTCGGCTTTGGAGCCAAGCCCGACGGCAATCGACGCGTAGAGCCGGTACAACAGCACCGGCAGCAGGGTCGAGCCACCGATGAGAGAGGCGCAAAACGTAGGGAAACCGTTGACACGGACGGGGTTCGTCAATACTTGAGCTAACTAGACCTGGGTTAGCCTTGAATGCCATCTCGGGCACCAAACACACCTCTTGAAGCTTTTGTTCTGTTGTCCAACCTTTGTTGCTTCCCAACCGCCGTACATAGGAGATGAGCTTTGGCATGACCGACGACAGATACCCGAGCGCGTAGGCTCGCAGAATGCTATGACCCTCCCATCAGCAAACGCCCCAAACACAAATCAGCAAGATGGCACACACGGTTTAAGGATACGCGCATTGACGTTTCTGTCACTACTCGGCAGGATGGTAGGTCCCATCTTCCCGGATAGCCTCCTGTGGTCACCCGTCCTTGAGGAAGGGCGCAGCACCAGACTCTCACCCCGACGCAGCGACACTCAACCACACATCCGTCAGCTTGAGCAACCGGTCGTGGTTCCTTGGGTAGTATTTCTGGGGTCCCGGGGCGTAACAGGCAGAGTCCTGCGCGATCGGTGATGAATGATCAACTGTGGATCTCCTGTGCCACACGCGTGGAGGTTAAGTAGAGACCGGAAGGGGCCCGCGGTGATTGGGCCTCGGTCCCCGGCGGGCGAGTGGAAGAAGGCAGGTGAAACGGTGGGCCGCCAAAACCGTTTGAGAGCCAAGGACGGACTTTCAGGGGTTTAGTCCAGGACGGGCGATCATCCAACCCGGGCAGGCAGAGCACAGTGTTCGGGGAGGACCCCGGTGCGAGTGGGGACAAGAATGATGACCCGGTACTGTGAGGATGGTGCAACCCCGATGAGGAACGCCAGGAACCTTGTTTAGGACTGGCTGGAAGCCCCAGGTGCAGTGGCTTGGCCAAATCCCAGGGTGTTTGACGATGCCAATGACGCAGGTCAGATCTCGGGGCCTCGGAGAGAACTGCTGTATGGGGCGGTATGGGCTGCGGTTCCGAGCCCCTCTCGGTATGGGTAAGTTTGGTCTCACCGATACAGGCATTCACATGTGATCCGATCTACTTGGTCCCCCAGATTCTTCTCTCCAGACTCCCCGCTCTTTCCCACTGCAATCCTCTCTCATCGCTCTCGTCTCTCGACTAGCTATCGCTTCTTCTCGTCGCTGCGATCGGGCGTGTGTGGTCAAGGCATGCCCATCTCCACTGCCTCGGTTCGCCCAGCTCGGCCTTCGGAGAGCGCCTGAGAGTCTTATCGCTGCCAGCGCAGACAAGAATGCAAGACCACGGCCCCGAAGTACAAACGGGGCGGGCATCACCTCCACTAGGTCCCTTTGGATGTAAGTTCCAGTTGCTCCGGGCCCAGAACACATCCCCCTAACCGTGATGGCTGGCAGATTCATTCCTCGCTCCCATGGACACTCCCTATGAACAGGCGCCCGCGCTTCCCCCGGGTCCCTCTCTTCTCGATGATAACGAATCCAATATGCTCGACAATTTCTTTACCACCATGAACGCAAACCATTTCACCAACGACTTTTGGCTGCGCGGGCAGCAGAACAAATCCTCCGGCTCCCTCAACTTCGAATGGTCCGATGAACTACCACCGACCTTTGAAGGCTCGACTACCTCTTTGTCCCAACCGTCCTTCCAACACGGGCTCGGCAAAGCCACGGACAATCACGCCCCCGCCGATATATTTGCTGCAGCCTCTATGCTGTACCAGAGTGGCATGAACGCACCGGAGCTCGGGTCGGCGTTAGCCGGCCAAGCATTTCCGGCACCGCTCCCCATGAACGGGACCCAATTAAGCCCCAAAGATGTGAGGCGTTTTTCAGCTGACCACCTGGGGCCCAAGGCCAACCTATCACCAACCCGGGAGCGAGTCCCCGGAGGATTCCACACCTCAGAGATGCTCTTCGATGTGCATAACCCAATACCTGTCGACCAACACCCGTCCAAAAAAGCCCGCGCCCTTCGCTGGGGGTCCGATTCCAATTTTATGGACCACTATATAGCCCCACCGGACGTACCCGACGACGAAACGCGAACGGAAGAGCTGTTGGAGAATCTGCAATGCTTCGAGCCGCAAAGAAGTGCAGACAATACTCGCGCTCCCAGTCCGGAACGGATCGCAGGTGCGCGAATTTCGGCCTTCCAAGGCAATGGGATGGAAGATGGTGCACAGCCACGGAAACGGCAACGCACCTTGGTGAAGGAGGAAGACGATGCATTCTCCGACGACGATGACCTACGACCTCAGTCCCGCAAGTCCAAAGCTCTCATGGGCATCAAGGGACGGCGTACGTCCACCGATATGTCCCGGAAATCACGAGTGACGCCCGGCTCCAAAGCGCCCCGCGAAAATCTCACAGAGGAGCAAAAGAGAACCAACCACATCCTGTCGGAGCAGAAACGCCGGAACCTGATCCGCCAGGGCTTCGACGACCTCTGTTCGCTGGTGCCCAGTCTCCATGGGGGCGGGTTTAGCAAAAGTGCCATGCTCACACAGGCGGCGGACTGGCTGGAGGATGTCCTACGTGGCAATGAGATTCTGCAGGCACAGTTGGCTGATCTCAAGGGCATTAATGGTTTAGTGATGCCGCGATGATACCCTTGCTTTTTGGACTTGTTGATGAGACCACGAGTTTTCTTTCTTTTATCAGCGTTCTCATTGTCAGGATGCAGGCTGGTCAGCTGGCAGGGTGTTGGACAGTGGGCGTTTCTCGGATGGTGGTCGGACAACCGCTTCTATCTGGATGGCTGGGACTTTGTCCGGTCGAAAACTATGCAAGGGGGATATACATATCTAATACAGTGCATATGTCTTTGGATTTAGCCTGATCTATTGGGAGTGAATAGCTATAATAGAAGCATGCGTACATATACTTTCTGTCTACTCTCTTTATAGTGCCACACCGCCTCGCCTGGGCATGTCAACCACTCCCGCGCGTAACCCAAACCACAACAACTCTGCAACAACAACAACAACAATTACAACCATGCCACCCAAACGAAAACGCGACAGCGAGAGCAGCGACCAACAGACGGATCGCAATAAACGCTATGCCTACTTGAAACCTCACACCCGACGCGTCCCCGAGAAAACCATCAAAGCCAAATGGACAACGCTGCCAGAGCCCGTTCAGGAGAAAGTCCGCGATCTCTTTCATACACTCGAGCGGCCAGTGATCATGCGACAACCGAATGAACGCAAGCGCATCGAGGCGCAGACGGCGGTTCAAGCGGTGGTGCGAACGTATGTCTCTTCAGAGAGACTCTTGATTGTTGGGCGCATGATGCTAATTCTCTTGCGCCATGTTAGTCTAGGACGGCGACTTCCTCGCATGCCCTTTCCGCCTATCACCAAGGACTCGAATTTTGATTACGAATCTGCGTTGAACGAACATGTGTGTGCTCCGTCATCCGTCTCATGACTATTGCTGATTGCAATTCCAGCGACTGCTCGAGGCCAACGTGGCTACCATGAAAGACAGCATTGATCTTCTCAAAACTGAAATTGCAAAGGAGGAGGCGCTCCTGGACCGCGAAAGGAAGTCGCTGCAGGAGATGGACAAGAACGCCAAGCGAGCGGAAGCTGAGCGGAAGCGCCAGATGCAAAAGGTATGCGATGAATTGCCTCTGTGAGCTTCTTGAACTAACATGATGCTTGAAGGAACACCCAGTCCTGCGTCGCCTGGATGAACTGCCGCACACTCAGGACCGAACGGCCGAATTCACACTCCTGGACACAAAGGATAGCCAGGCAACGTTGGATGAGGTATGGAAATTCTTATTCATTACGACGGACACGGCTGACAGATCGCTCGACAGCTGGACACCGATCCCGAGGTCCAGAGCCTAATGAAACAGCTGCATGGCCATTTGCAGTCCATGCAGACCAACACGGCGCCGCTAGCTGGGCTCCGGGACGCCATCACCCGGTCGCAAGCTGCCCTGGACCTTTATTCGATGCCGGATGACTGAACCAGGGGGTCCGAGGTTCAGTATCACGAAGTAACACATGCCATGTGCATATATGCCCTAACCCCCCCCCCCCCCCCTGGTCCGAGGGAAGGGTGCTCGCGTGCTCCGATCGGATCCTGGCGCAGTGATCATAACTGTGGCAAAGTACGGCCATCTTCTCGGGACCCCTGAGCGGCAGCCACTCAGCCGATCCGTGGTGATTGTCCAATCTGGGGGATTCCGGTACTCCAGGATGGAGACCCGTACTAGGCCGGCCCACTGCGAGGTGTCGAAACGATCTGCTAGTTCGCCCGATGGATATTATTATTAAATGTCATCTAGCTTCAATTGCTTTTGACCTCAATTATCCGTAAATACCATCATTATCGCACCTACATACTGCCCTCTGTAGTCCGCCCCTGCCAACCTCGGTCGGTGGCGTTGATCCCCACGGAGCAGAACGGAGGGGTCTCGGGGTCTCTCCGCCTTTCGCGGGAAACCGTTCTTCACTGCGTACTTCTTCCCTCAGTCAGTCAACTTTCGCTCCCTGCAACCATGCCCGACACGACGCCAGATTCCAAGAGAGATGCAGCCAAGGATGCGCGCGCAAAGGATTTCTCTGCGGCCAAGGCCGACAAGTCCAGTCCCAAGAAGCGCCGCAAGGTCAATCACGGTAAGCTGCATGCGCTGGCTCAGACGTGGACGCGATAAGGGCTAACCTGTTCTGTTTGCACAGCCTGTGTCTACTGCCGTCGCTCGGTAAGCTCTTTGTCGAATTGATTCACCGCATAGCCTCTCTCTCTCTCTTCTACTACCCATGCGCCGCGACATCTCCAAGGAACCGCTTGGCTAACCAAAACCGCAACTATGGTCGCGTGGGACAGCATATGACTTGTGATTCGGTACGACCGCTTCTCTCCGTCGATTGTGAAATCTGTCTGACTATTTTTTGTTTTCGATCGTGAAGGAACGCCCTTGCACCCGTTGTATAAAGCGCAATATCGGCCATCTGTGCCATGATGAAGCCAGAGAACCAGCGAAGCGGACCCGGAGCGAAGCAGAGCATTCGGCGGCGGACGAAGAGGGCTCGTCGACTCACGACCTCGCCTCTGTCCAAGGGATGCCTCGCCCCGTCGACGTCCCGGATACCTCCGCCCAGTCCATTCTTCCAGACGGTACGATCGCACTCCCGCCCACTGTGAATCCTGTCGCATCAGGTCTCGGCTCCAACTCTCAGCAGCGTAAGCTCGGAGATGCCAGTTCCGCCATTATCGTTCGGAATTGAGCTGACATTCTTTTTGTTTTAGTCATGGGCTACAACGACTGGCTCGGAGGCCAGCAGAACCAGTTCCAGGATATGCACTCGCTCCATCCGTCGTACATGTTCAATGCGCCGGAAGTGACCAACGAATACAACCTGCTCGGGGACTTCCTCAGCAACAGTCTCTTGGACGACGGGGCCATATTCCAGAATCCGGATATGCAAGGCATATATTCGGATCCCACGCCGATGAACTCCATGAACAATATGGGCGTGCCCAACGGCTTACCCCCGCCGCAGCTCCCACCACCGGCCCAGAGCCAGGCACCACAGGAAGACTCGATCCAGCGCCCGACATCGACAGTAGGCAACGACAAGGCTCGCGAAACGTACTACATGACCGCCGCCGATCCCTCGGGCTCTGACCCGCCCGAGGAGCGGATGAACAAGCTCCTCAAGGCGAAATACGATGCGGGACTCCTGAAGCCATTCAACTATGTCAAGGGATACGCACGGCTCAACCAATATATGGAGAAGAACATGCAGCAAGCGTCCCGTCAGAAGATTCTCCGGCAACTCGACAAATTCCGGCCCAAGTTCCGCGAGCGCATGCAGAGTCTCACCGATATCGAACTGATCCTGGTCGAAATGTGGTTCGAGCGCAGTTTGATGGAGTACGACCGTGTTTTTGCCAGTATGGCCATCCCCGCGTGCTGCTGGCGGCGAACAGGCGAGATCTTCCGAGGCAATAACGAGATGGCGCAGTTGATTGATGTGCCGATTGAAGTCTTACGCGATGTGAGTTTATTTGAGCGGTGTTGCATACTGATGTGTACTGATGGGGAACAGGGCAAACTCGCCATTCACGAGATCATCGTCGAAGACCAGCTCGTCAGCTACTGGGAGAAGTTCGGTGCCATCGCCTTCGACAATACCCAGAAGGCCATGCTCACCAGCTGCACCTTGAAAAGCCCCAATCCCAATTCCCCGGGCGATGGCATCCCATGCTGCTTTTCGTTCACGATCCGACGAGATAACCACAACATGTAAGTCTCCTCCGGTGGTTGGTTCACTCCGGCTCACGATCTGACATTTATTTAGCCCCTCTCTTATTGTCGGTAATTTCCTGCCCACGCAGCGAATACACAAGTAACGGGCAGATGGATGGTGTCGTTTGATTTGACAGATTGACATTCGAGTCATGAAATATTGTTTCTTTCTTTCTGATTCCCCCACGCTCCGAGTTTCTGACTTGCAATTGAGGAGTTTGAAAAATGTACCATGTCCACACTGGATGTACAGTATGGCGTCTATTTCGGAGTTGCGATTTATGCGCAAATAACCTAGTATAAGCTGGTCTTATATCTTATCCTCAATCGATGCTGTTTCGCCTGTAGTCCCTCCTCTCCTAATCAATGCTCTCCCCGTGACTCCCTCCCTCCCTCTGTCTTCCTCTTTTGTCCCTCACGAAGCAATCATCTCGCATTTGCCTGTTTCCATCTCCCCGCGTCACTGCTGTCAATGGAAGTCGACATGGAACGCAACCCACGCAACGCCCTACACGAGCAAGTCACTGCTCTCGCAGGTACGCCATTGGCAGCTCAGCAGACTCCCGCTCCCTTCGATTGCTGACATCCACTGCGCGCCTTACTACACATGTAGCTTCAATTCGTAATCTGGAAAGCCAGATCTCCACTTCGAATACCTCTGAAGCTCCTCTTCCTGGCGACCACGCCCTGCGATCTCTGGAGGATCAGCTCAACCAGCAACCTTCGTTCGCGGGACTCTCCACGGCGTCGCGATGCGAGCTGGACTCTGCTGCCACGGCTTTGTGGAATACATGTGCCCAGGCGAGAAAAGAGCGCGAGAAGAATGAGAGAGAGCTAAAGCTCTTGAGCAGAGGTGTGTTTATTCTCAAGTGCTGCTTTGCCATATCTCATCCACTTTCATAGTGAGGGCTCTTGCGTTCGCGGTGCTGGATATTGCTGCACCAACTCGACCTTGCGGTACTCGACTGGATTATACCTTGACAGTGATGTTGATCTGATGGTTCAGCAGGACATTTGAGGGCTCTCAAGGTGGCGTTGAAAGCTGCTCGCGGTTGTATCGGTACCTAAATCTCTCTCCAATGTCTTCTATGGCAGGCTGATATAAAGGCAGACTCTGAACAGCCTGACCTTGGCCTGAAAGTCCTGGGAGCAGGAGCGCAGAGGCTTGACTCTCTCGAAAGCTCGACTACCCAGGTGGACAAAGCTCAGTTACGATCTGTTGCGATGGAGTACTACATGCTACGGATTCAACTGGTATGCAATACCATCTCTCCCTGGGAACATGATCTAATGTTCATAGGCATGGTTAAGAGGTCGTCCTGATATCGCAGAGCACCTGCTTTCAAAGGCTCCCACAGCAGTGATGATCGAAGATCGGACGATAGTCACCGAGACATGCTACGACGTGGGGAATGCAGCGCTCTCGGCAAGTCAATACGACATTGCGGTTCAATGGCTGGAGAGAGCTTCAGAGCAGATCGATATTCTGAGTTCGGAGAGTCACAGCCTGGGTGCGGGTTTGAATGACTTAAAGCTACTTGTTCGACATGCTCTTAGTGAGTACATTTGATATGAATCGACCATGTATACTGAAATATTCCAGTTCGAGCTTACATGTGTCTCAATACACCTGAATCAAGAGAAGCGCTTACCAGACAGTTTGCCCTGCTCAAATCTGTACGTACAATGCCTCATTGAGCGGTTTCATTAACCTGAGAAATACAGGACGCCGGAGACTCGCCCAGTGTTCTTTTCCTTGAGCTGGAGATTCTCTGTCGAGAGAGAAATCCAGATCGGGGTGATGGGTTTAGAGGTACCAGCCGAGTTTGTTGCCATTGGGGAAACAGATTTTAATCTCGTGGCAGCACTCTTGACGGCCCTTGTCAGCAGCATGAATCTCTCAGACGAGACCCTGAGACTGTGAGTGTCCCATTTATCATGAAGAACCATGGTTAACTAATAGAGGGTAGAGCATTGTACTATATTGAGAACTATGCGAGCTCAAGGTATCTTTCCTTCTCATAGTCTTGAAATTCTTGCTCACCCGACACAGTCTGGATTTTACCGTGCACATACTGCAATCCCTTCTCACTCGCCTTCTTCCATTTCACATCCAGGCGTGGGTTGAGAGGTGCTTCCTTAGTCTGGTGTGGCTACTGCGATCCTCGAACGAAAAATGTCTAGATGTTATCATGGACATGGCCAAGAAGCTGGAGACGCATAGACACAGCCCTCTGAGCATCGACGCAACTCATGCCACCTTGATTGTAGAGAAGACGCCTTCTCAGCTACTGAGCCCTGCTGATGATTTTACTAGGTGATATGGAAACAGATGGATTCTGCAGTTCTCAAGAAGCAGCTTACTATTGCAGAGAAATGGGGTCTGCTCGCCGTCGATACCAAGATCTTTGAATCTTGCTCCAAATCCAACCGACATAAAACACTTCGGTAAGTACAGGATAATTTTCTGATTGCCCGTATTGAATTGTTTCTAGAAAATTGGCAGGATATGCCTTGAGCAATGAGAACGTGACTCTCGCTCGAAAGACACTGGATCGGATTCCTGTCAGCGAAGAAGATATCGATTCTCGAACCCTTTTCCTATGCTACAAGCTGGCATTGATGGAGGGTACAAATTGTGCAGGTACCTAAATATGATGTTTCACCGTTACTATAAGGTTAACTAGACTAATCCGTCAAGAACTTCATTGTCAAGAAGTGCTCGACACACTCGGCGCGGGCTGGTTTACTTATGTTCTATCCTGCGCAGCCGAAGCTCAACGGCAGAACAAGCAGTCAGAATTGCTCGAATGTGTCCTCTGTGTCTTTGAGTGCATGGGTATGAAGAAGTTCTTCTCTCACGAGGTTGATCTTTCTTCTTTCTTCATGTGAGAATGCTCATCTTTGTGTTGCTTGCAGGAAGCTGATTATTACAGATTCACGTTCTTGGCCTTGAAAGACCTGGCAGACCAAACCAGGGGAGAAGAGATGATGTGTCAGACCTTTACATCTGGTGAGTTTTTATTTGCTTTCAAGCACGGCACTCTAACTTGTGTAGCTTTGAGAGTGGTCATAACAGATATCCCTGCCCGCAGTACCTTCTCAACAGACGACCTCCAATGGCTCTACGGCGAGAGCTACGACCTGGCTTTGAGAATGCTTACAGAGTCACGGGTGGAACGTGTCACTCCGCTGCTTGAAGCATCTAAAGAGGTATACAGGTTCAACTGGATCCGATTAAGACAGTCACTGACGGGAAAGATTAGTTTGCACGGCGTTACTTTGATAGAAGACCCGTGGACCGCAGAAAAGCTTCGCTGCATATCTTTCTCTGCAACTATTTAGGGGCAATCTTATCCGTCAAGAAGGCACGTTCACAATCAGACAGTTCCATCCGAGTGAGTCTTCTGCCAGGTCACCTCAGGCAGTTCTTGAGTCTAACTCATATCCAACAGAAATGCCACTATCAAAGGTTGCATGATGATCTCTTTGTTTACGCCAGTGTATCTCAGTTCCTGGAAGGAAAAGATGTCTCAACGGTTGAAATGGAGTGGTTACAACGCTGCCGAAACCTGATCGCTCTTGATTTCGAAGCCTCAATCTATCTCGAGCAGTGGTCTTTTCTAATATCACTTGTTGAGCAGGCCCAAAGCTTCCTGGATGAGGAGCTCTGCTCGTCCTTGCTGGACTTGATCCTTCGCTCTCATGCACCGATTCAAGAGGTCGTTACTGTGGTCAAGGTATATCCTGCAGAAGACACTGCGCACCTGATTCATAGATGAGAGAGTTACTGACACTATCTGTATAGAGCATTATATGCACCGCCCACGACTCACCATCCCCCTTCCTCAACACATCCTCCTTCCGCATCAAACTGCCCCGCTACCTGCGCTGCCTCTTCCACCTTGCCGTCACGTCAGTTCCCAGACAGGTCTCCGAGATATCATCGCAAGAAGAAGAATCAAGCAACTCAGTGGTCGATGCATCGCTCGCAGAATCCGTCCTCGACCAAGTCCTCCTTTTAGCTTCAGACGAGTGTTTTATTACTAGTGCCCGGCCCAATCAGCCATTCAACCTAGGCATGAGTTCTGTCTCTGGTATTCTCGAAGACAGATTTTGGTGTTCTTATCCAGTTGAGGAACTAGAGTGGCTCGCTTCTGTTGCTTTTAACAAGGCCGTCGACTTTTACAGCGCGGCCCGGGACGAGGAGTGTCAGCGGTGGGGTATGAAGGCTGTTCAAGTGGCGGAGTGTGTGGACCGTGTGTCAGGTGGTGCTCTTGCGCGGACGCTGCGTGTGAATATGGAGAAGTTGAGTTGAGTTGAATTGTCTGGAGTGGTGTCGTTGATGGGTTGAGGCTAGAATTAGGTTAGGGCTGAGGGACACATTTATATATTTCGCCCTCGCGAGTGGCCCGTGGTGGAACAAGAACATTTCTTTATCCTGGCAGGGTCCTTGCGTTCTGTATGAGGAGCCTATGTGTCTTTTACATGTATTACTTTACTTTAATGATTTTGTTTTCAGATAAGAAGAGAATTATGAATTCCAAATCTTGATTAGACAAGAACGCACCACGACTTTGGCGCAAGTAAATAACCTGGGTATCATAAGAAGCAGAAGACAGAAGAAAAATCTGCGAAGAAAAGAAAGCAAAACGCACAGAGAGCAGTACCTCTGCAGCAGGGAAATCGAGCACATCCCCAGGGCGAGTATGGGGAAATGGAGTATAGAACGTCACGAACAGGTTAGAACGATGAAAAAGGAACACTTGGAAGAGAACGAAGAGAAGAAGAAAAACAGAATAAGCGAAAGGAAATAGGATGCCCCCAGGGCAATCCATCGCCCGAACCGAACACCGTCCATGCCAATTCCTTGAGAGGAGGTAGAAAACAAACCGCGCGTTACTCCCACCCGAAATCCCGCAACCGATAAATCTGTTGGCGGGGAAAAAAAGTCAAATAACCCAAAAGGCAGAAATAAAAGAAAAAAAAAGAGCTATAATGAAGATGAGGTGGGGTCTTATTCATCAGTCACGGAGTAAGACCGACTCCTGGATACCTGTCTCGCCCCCTTATGCCGCAAAAGTGGTGTAGAAGGCATATGTCTCGGCAGATGCGGCGACCGCGACGAAACAGACGAGCAGCTCGCCTTGCGATCCATGTCTTTCCCACTGCTATCTGTTTCTGTCTCGGCGCTCTCGTCGCTACCCTGTTGTGCACGCGAACTCATGACACGTAGAGTGAGATTGAGCTCTCGCTCCAGTTCCTTTTGAGCCTGGATCCGCGTTGTGGATCCGTTGAGCTTTTTTCTGTATGCTCGTAGCGTGCGGCATACTTGCTCCGTTGACATGTCTAGACTGCCGAATTCACTGCGATTGTTTGCTTTGCTGCGTGAGCGGAACTCGAGAGATGTGCGGCGATTGGGGCCCTTGGCGCTGTATGGTGTTTTGGAGGTCGAGGTTTTCGACTTGGGGCTCACGGGAGACGGGGATCTGCGAGTTCGGTCTGTTTGAGAGTATGAAATGGGTGACCTGCGAATGGAGGGAGAGGGCGTTTCCGAGACAGAGTTATTCTTCAGTGACGATGGTGCCAGTGATAGCTTCGACATTTTCCGGAGTATCGATGGCGAATGTTCGCGAACCGGGGTCGGCGTTCCCACCGGGCTGTCTGCGCGTTGGAAGCCGGCGATTTCACTGCGAGAAAGAACTTTGCGCAGAGGGGGTCTGGCCGCCGTCAGCTCCTTGACGGGGCTTTCATCATCATCCCGGGTATTATTGACCTCCGGCACTGGTTGTGGTTGCACGGAAAGGTTCCACATCATAACGATACCATCCATGCCAGCACTGATCAATGTCCTCTTGACGAAAGGTTTCTCCGAGGAAGTCTCGTAGTCCTCTAGAAGCAATACGTCGCTGACGCCTTCGGTATGGCCGAATTCACCGGCGAGAAGGTGATCTCGTTCAAGATCATAAACGCGTATGGATTTGTCAGTGCTCGACATCCCGATGAGAATCTTAGGGCTATGCCCGGGAATCCCAGGTGCAACAGTCAGAGAAGACATGACGACCGCATCGCCTACTTCCGAGTCAGCTGCTCGGAAAGAATGAAGTTGCCGTCCAGATGGTATATCGAATTTTGAGATGAATCGGTCGACAGTGGACAGATAAAGCAGGTTTGAATCGTCAGGGCTAATTGTCATAGAGACAGGGGATGCTTTCAGCGTGATGACCTTCGTAATAAGGTAGGCAACGGAAGTAATACCGTCCTCTTCTCGAGTCGCGCGATCTCGGATTAGGACTGTGCGATCTGAAGAGGACGAAAGGAGTTTCTCGCCGTCGTTTCCGAAAGCGATCTGACTAACGGCGCCAACGTGGTCATCCATCGTCTGGATCAGCCGGAATGTCGATTCGGTCTTTCGGAACAATTGCACCATTCGATCACGGCCGGAACTGGCAACCAGGCAACCGTCGTCTGTTGGCTGCAAAGCAATGTCCGTGATCTCTGCGCCATGAGCGCGGACTTCACTGGTGCAGCTCCAGTCCTTGCCCGAGAGGACTCTAAGAACTCCAAACTTATCCCCCGAGACAAACCATTCCGCGTTGTCGGCTGCTCGCAAGACTTTGAGCTCATTTGCAACATCGTCTTCATTATATGCAGAGAGCTGTTCAAGGTGGATATTTTTCGAAGCCAGACACTTTCCCTGAGCATCCCAGAAATTCACAGAACTACTGCGCGACCAGGTGAAGAATTTGGCAGAAAACTCATTAGGAAGTTTCAGGGCCTGAATGCCAAAGACCGGGTCTCTGTGGGCTAGCATTGACGTTTCCCCCGGCTCTTGCTCACCGTCCTCCACCAATTCCTCCATAGGATAGACATGGACTTCGCGAGTCGCCTCAACAGTGACGAGGTGTGAGGATAGAGAGCCCATGCAGGTAATTGCAGGGCCTTTAGTCCCCCCATCAGACATGGCCCTTTTAAGACGGACAGGAGACGCAGGTGTAGATGCAGTAGACGACCGAAAGTCTTCGAAGGATAATCGCTGTGTCCATCTGGCGCGGCCACCGAGCCAAATGCATTCCTGATCAAAATCGACGGCGAGAGAAGTGATGCCGAAGCCAACCTGTTTTACCATGGATAACTTCTGGGATCCTTCTCTGTCATCAAGCAAGCATACTGCGCCAGACTCCGTGGCAAGAACGGCCTCTTGGTCGGAAATGCTGCTAACACTGCTGAACGTGTGGTCTCCCAGTGCACCTAGCAAGCAATTTCGACCCGAAAGCGCCTTCGGAGCTGGGTTTGGTGACGGGCCGGCTCCATCAGAGTTCAACCGTGATTTTGTAGGGGAGATAGGCCGCGCTGCAGGGAGCCTCCAGACCTTGACGTGCCGCACGCCAGTTCTAATTCACGTTAGCGAGTGACCGGACGCATCGATCAAGGGTGACACATACGTAACCAACGACTGTCCCACCCAGCACATGTCCCGAACAAACGAGGTACACTTGTTGGCAGAGTGGAGCTTGGCCGACCCGTTCTTCAGGTTGATTGTCCAGATAAACAAAAATCCATCATTCGGGTTTCCGAGCGTCGCCAAGTACTGCGAGTCCGGGCTGAACGCTAGGCTGCGCACGCCAAATGTATGCTCCATTAAGATTGATAAAGGCACATCCGGCAGGGCGTCTCTTGCTGTGGAGAAGAGAAGAACTCGGGGGTTGTAACCAGTCTAGAACCGCATTAATACCCTATAGATTTCCCAGTGTATCTTCCACTCACCTCGCCCACTGCCAGGAATCTTCCATTGGGACTGATAGAAACGCTGGTAACCGCTTTGACCCGTTCTCGCGAGGACCACGTGCGCGGGCTGCTATAGTCAGTAACTTCGTTCGACGGCGACGCATTGTGTAGATTGAGGTGTGGATTGGAGCGGATATGGGCGAGAGATCGCGATTTGGAGTCTGGTGTCGCGGGAGGAGTGGACGGGTTGTAAAAGGAGGTCGTCGGGTTCACGCTAGTTGCAGACGGACGAGCTCGAAAGAAGCGCTGGCTGATATTCCCATCATCGTCCAGCTCGGCCAGCACGGCGGCCGATCCCGCGCACAGGGCGAAGCTTCTACTCTGGTCATGACTGGAGAAGCCGTTCGGGGTCGTAGTGGTTGTGCCGATGACGGTTTGGAGGGACAGCGAGGCCTGGTGGGCAGATTTGCTGGGGGAGCGCATGCCCGGTCTCAGGTTGGGAGAATTGGAGGGGTGATTTTCAGGGATGCCGGTCCGCCGAGCTTGCTCTTTGCGCTGAGGGGTGCGGTGGTGGCCATCACCGCGGAGATCGGTGATTTAAGGTCCCCGGAGCGCGTGGCGGGTGTGCATGGCAGTTGGCGACCGCATTCGCCAGAGAGTCAGGTGGGATCGAGGAAATACTCTCGAGGTTATTGATTTGGTGGGAGACAAAAGGAGGTGGGCCTTGTTGGTGGCTGGGTGTTTGCTTGGTGGGGAAAGCTGAGCTGGAGAGGAACACAACAATATTATTCTCAAGGGGGAATACTGTGGATAAGGATGGGAGGCAGAATGATTGAGAGAAAAGAGGGACCAAGTTGAAAGCGAGAGAAGGAGGACGTGGAGGTTATGTGATAGGGAGAGAAACAACAAGCTCTCATTCCGCGCTAAACTGAGAGAACGCGTGCATCATTCCTGGTGATCCTGGGAATGATAGTGAGTCGGGTCCACGATAAGCGCGATCATTAAGACATATACTCTATCAATCGCACTAAGTAGCATTGTAGATATCTATAACTGCACAGTATACGCTGCACCTCGATGCACCGTCACTGCATGATCTCGATCGCCACGAGATGAACCGGTGGGTCTGGCTTAGCTCCTTCGGGGCCTGAGCACGGTGTTCTACATACATTATATTTTGACATGAACCATGGCGGTAAGAGCGAATTGTTATTCACGAAATGCGATAATGGCCAGAGGTGGACGACAAGACAGTGTCCCATCACCCTACTCGATCCTAAACAAGGGGCACTTGATTCCAATGGTGAGTCTGCTTCGAGATAGGTATCCTTGAACAACTAGATTTCCAGTCAGAGGAGGCGTCTAGTTCGTATTTAGATCGAGTTTAGATCGTTGTAACTATATGCCAAATCCAGTGAACTTGGGAGTTGTGAGATATTGGTTCGGTTTGTATAGATCCCCGTTTGTTGGTGCCTTAGGTGTCGTGGTTATCTTATCGCCCCATCCTCCTATTTTCTTTTCATCTTCTCCTTTTGCTGTGCATGATCCTCCAACTCAGTCATGGCAACCCGCTGCACCGCTTCGTCCCGGTTGGGCCTGCCCACCATTCTGCGCGGCCTCTTCCGGGCCGAGTTTGCTGGTGACTTGCGCATTCCAAGCACCCTCCCCAATCGCAGTCCGCTCGCCTCACGCCCCCATCTACCTCGAGGACTGCAGCACTCACGGCAGTTCAGCACAATCCCGACCCTGCGCGATGCTCAAGACATTGTGTTCGATCTCACGACGCCAGCCGGGGCTCCTCCTGAAACGAAACCCACGGAGAGACTCGAGTCTGGAAGGTCAGGAAAGGGGAGAAGGGCCAGAGAAAACGCCAAGGCAATAAGGAGCGAGTCTACATCCGATCCCACCAAGAAGAAAAAGAAACTCGAGCACTGGCAAATGCAGAAAGAAGCCCTCAAGCAGAAATTCCCCGTCGGCTGGAGCCCGATGAAGAAGCTGTCCCCCGACGCGCTGGAGGGCATCCGCCACCTGCATGCGACTGCCCCTGATCGATTCACGACGCCCGTGCTGGCGAATCAGTTCCAAGTCTCGCCCGAGGCCATTCGCCGCATCCTAAAGGGAAAGTGGCGGCCGTCGGAGGATGAGATCGAGAAACGGCGGGTGCGATGGGAGAAACGACACGACCGTATATGGGGACGAAAGGCGGAGCTGGGACTGCGCACACCGACCGAGCGCAGTAAAGCCTTGACCGACTCGAATATTTTGTATGATCAGAATTAGCATGGTGTAGCTATAAATATTATTACTGTTAGTACATACGGCTTGCCTGTCAACTACCGCATCGAGAGTAGCTCCGGTCCGGCACCGACCCGCGGCCCCAGACACGAACACATGTTGTCTTCTTACTTCCACACTTCTCTTGTTGCTCTTCTACAACCCCCCGAAACCAGGCCCGCGGACAGAATGCGCAATTCCCATCCTTCATCACTAGCCGGTTCCCACTGCTCCTGAGCGCGAGCGACTCCCTCAGCTCGTGACTCTTCCTCCTCGATTGCGGCCCCCCCATGCTGACCGACCTTCGCCATGCCGTCGTCCAACATCCAGGTCTTCGTCAAATGGAAGGATCAGACGATTTTCGCCGGCGAAGATGTGGAGTGTGTCATCACCTTTAAGAACGTGACGGACACCACCCCTGCCGCCAGCATTGGAGGTGAGGGCCACCAGAGGAAGCTGTCTCGAGTCGCCAACCACGCCAGCAACTCCGCCTCCGACTCCTTCTTCTCCTTCAAATCCCCCAACAGCTTGTTCTCGGGCCGGCGATCCTATTCGATCGGCTCCCAACGGAAGCCCTTCCACCGAACCGCCTCATCGCTGAGCTCCCCGCTGGTCGGCTCCAACAGCTTCCCGCCAAATAGCCCCTCCACACCCCGATCCTGGCAGCCCGGTCACAGCCACAAGAGATCAGTCTCCATTCTCTCCATAGACAGTGAAGGTCACGTCGACTCCAGCCCTTCACCGCAGAACTTCGCTCGAGGCAAACCAATAGCCAGGGGCCATGGGCGCTCAGCAAGTCTTCAGGTTGCGCCCCGGAGGAACGATAGCTATGACGAGGCGTACAGGAAAGGTATGTCCCAGCAATTAGGGAAGTCCCGCACAAAGTCTGACTGTGCTTTCTTAGTCGGGAGAGCTTCGATCCGTGGCTTCTCACCAATGGACACACCACTCGAGTCAGCCTTGGGCGATCTCAGGGTCGACACCAATCACTCAGCCCGAGCAAACCGTCATAGTCCAATGGCAAATAGCCCAATAGTCCCGGGGGAGCCAATGCGCATGCCCGCGCGAAGACCACAGCCACCCGCCATCGACTTCAAATTTCCAGCTGCTCCCCCGCCTTCCGAACCGACTAATGTCCGGTCTGCTGCTCGAACTCCTTCCCCGAAATCAGGTGAAACAAATGGAAGGAAAACAAAGGATCCGTCCGTGGCCCCTAGCCACCAGCAGCTCGCGCGGGTTCTATCGGCCACCAGCGTGAATGGAAGCAGTCGAAGCAGCGGCGAATTTTACTCCGTCAGCGACCATTCGAGTGAGACACTTGCATCAGAATATACAAACTACTCCGTTCAGGGTGCACGGCCTCCCCCTCCTGCTCGACATGCACGGCACCACTCCAGCATCGTACCCTCGATCGCCAAAGCGGACGACCAGGCCTTGCTGATGGGATATGCGCAGGTCAGCGCATCGTTTACAGTTGATGGTTCACTAATTGATCAATCTGTATTCGACGAAGTGAAACGCAAGGGAGTGGTTGGTGGGCAGGGAAGTGGACTTCCTGGCCGCGCCAACCCGTCCACCGATCGCTCGCGCAAAGGTGGCGGGTTCTGGGGTGCGTTCAAATGGAACACCATTGAAGAATCCATCAATGGCCTGATGTCGAACAACGAACTGGATGGCTTGCGAGAAATGCGCGGCGTCGCCTCCTCGCGGTCAATACCTTTACTCTCCACCACCCAATCGCTTCTCTTTGTCGACCTGCGACTGGCGCCGGGCGAGGAGCAGTCATACACCTTCTCGTTCACCCTCCCAGAAGGACTTCCAGCAAGTCATAAGGGGAAAGCCATCAAAATCTCGTATAATTTAGTCATTGGCACTCAGCGGCCGAGCGGACCCAATGAGCCTCAGAAGGTTAACCGCATCAACATTCCTTTTCGGGTGTTTAGCGGTGTGAATGGTAAGCTGCCTCTGTAAGACCGTGATATCAAATCTAACACCCGTCCAGTCAAAGGAGAGGTTGTCGGGCATGACTTGATGTCACCGTATGTGCTCTTGCGCGACGAAGCAAAGGTAACCAAAATCGGGCCAAACACGCCCGCGGCAACCGTAAAGAACCAAAGCATCAGCAGTCCGTGGGGCTCGGCTGGTGACTTTTTGACATATGTGGACAACATCCTCGAGCAGCGAGCCCGTTCCAACACATTATTTCCTCCAGGAGCCTTGCATGAACGACAAAAGAGCATAGATACCACGCCCTCTCAGCAGATTCTGTCTGCGAAAGATACCATCGACCTGGCGATTCTGCGCAGTAATCAAGCCATCCACACAAGGCGCAGCCCCAACCGATTTGAGATCGCCCGTGAGGGGCAACGCATTGCGGTGGTTGTATTAAATCGGCCGGCGCACCGGCTCGGCGAGACCATTATCGCCACCTTGGACTTTGGCGAAGCCGCCGTCCCGTGCTACGCAGTCCGGGCGTCGCTGGAAACCTCGGAGAAGGTGACGCCGACTCTGGCTGTGCGGTCAAATGCCAGCATCCATCGCGCCACACGACGAATCTACGCATCCCTATTTGAGAATACGCTGTACGCTACGCGAGTTGTCTTTGTTCCGGCGATCCCCATCACGGCTACACCTACGATCCGCACCAGCGGCGTTACTCTGGATTGGGAATTACGGTTTGAGTTTGTGACCGCCAGCAGCACCGGCGAGCAGGGACCTGGTCCATCGGGCATTAGCTTGCTCGAAACGCTGTCTGCTGATGATCGCGGCAAAGTGATGTCTGCGATGGAGCGATTGGGCTGCGAGTCGTTTGAGATCTCGATTCCGTTGACGGTTTATGGCGAGACAGTACGTGAGCAAGTACCTGAGGAGAATGAGGGATACTCGATCTAGTTGGAAGACTTTCGTACAAATCTATCATCTCAAATATAATATAAGCTATCTCCTACGGCTGTGTTCTTCGGATACTCCTGGCGCGTAGGTCTGACGTCGTATGTAGAGTTGTCGCCGGGGCAACCCAGCACCGTCACTTATCTCTCGATAACAACTTCTCTTCCACCACACCTCACTAAGCCCGAACTGGCAGACATTCCTCGGTGAGTCGTCGGTCTTCCGCCATGATCTATTGACCGAAACTAACTTCCTGACTGGAATGCAGGCCTGTCGCAACCCACCCTGAGTGCTGAAGCCAGAGAACACAAGATGGCTTCGTTCATCACCACCATGTCGGTCCCCGCTCCCCCTGCTCCCGTCCACTTCTCTACTCCCTCCGAGTCGCTGTTGCGCTCGCCTCCTCCTCCTAAACCTTCCATCCACGTCACCTCCAGCCCTTCCTCTTCCTCTTCCTCTCCTCGCTACCAGACTACCCGCACTTCCCGTGTCCCAGCCTTGGAGCCGCCTTCCTACCTGTCACCCGCTGTGCGCGCGCTCAAACAAGGAGTCTATGGACTAACACCTCCTAGCAATGCCCGGACACGAGCGCCGTTCAAACCCCGGTCTGCCGCCAAGGGGACCAGCAGCTACCAGCTGCGCCAGTTCGCCGAGGCCACTCTGGGGAGTGGGAGTCTCCGCAAGGCCGTGCAGCTGCCGGAAGGAGAAGATCTGAACGAGTGGCTAGCTGTGAATAGTATGTCGCATGTCGTTGAACTGATTTCTGACGGAGCGAGGCTAATGGGTTTTGTCCACCGGTTAAAGTCGTCGACTTCTACAACCAGATCAACTTGCTCTACGGCTCGATAACGGAATTCTGCTCCCCGCAAACATGCCCGGAGATGAAAGCCACCGACGAATTCGAATATCTCTGGCAGGACTCCGAGAACTACAAGCGCCCGACCAAGATGTCGGCCCCGGAGTACATCGAGCACCTGATGAGCTGGGTTCAAAGCAACGTCGACAACGAGCAGATGTTCCCCAGCCGGATTGGTATGTTGTCATCGTGTTATTAGAAGATTCGAGACACGCTGATTGTGAATCATCAAACAGGTGTTCCCTTCCCCAAGACCTTCCCCAGTCTCCTACGCCAGATCTTCAAGCGGCTGTACCGTGTCTACGCCCATATCTACTGCCATCACTACCCGGTCGTGGTGCATCTGGGACTGGAGCCGCATCTCAACACGAGCTTCAAGCATTATGTGCTTTTCATCGATGAGCATCGGCTGGCGAGCGGGAAGGATTTCTGGGGGCCGTTGGGGGATCTAGTAGACAGCATGTTGAAGAGCGATTGATTGATTGATTGATTGATTGATGGTCAGACTCGGGTTATCTCCAGGCGTTTCGGGGGTGTGCATGCATCGATTAATAGTCGGGCGTTATGGCAATAATGCAATTGAACCCTAGCATTCCTGTACTTGTTGTATACAGCTCTAGCGACAGTGGGGGACCGACGCTTTTACAGGCTTCAGCTCTCTGCTTGATTTCGTCGAAGCCGTGTTTACTTAGGCGGCTCCCAGAGAGGCGAGAATACGAGCGTTCTAAACAGGCCCCCCACCTCCCACCTCCTACTTCTCTTACGGGCACCCTTCACGACATTTCGTGCTTTAGCTATGGCTGACCCGTTGTCCGTTCTAGGCACTGCCTTGAGCGTGATTTCGTTGGGACTCCAAATGCGTGAGGAGATCGTATCCTATTGCCGGGCATGGCGGGGCATCCATCAAGAGCTCCAAGACGTGGCAAACAAAGCGGACGGCCTAGAAGCACCACTCGAGGCGCTGCGGGAAATAATCCAGGAAACGCAACTCACCGATCCAAAGATCGCCGAGGACCTACAGACAAAACTCGGGGCACTTCGTGGTGGCATTGAAAGAGTACAAGCATCCATCGATAAATGGAGACCCGCGATCTCCCCGAAAGCGTCCGCGACAAAATCCGCGCCAAAGGAAAAAGGGCGGCGTATCCTTTTCGTAAAGATATGTTGCGCGAGTTGGCCAATGAATTGGACAGCATCCAAATCAACCTGCACACTACTCTCCATGTGTGAGTGAGCATAGCACGTCGTCATTTGCTGGATTGTGCCCAGCAGATTGTTGACGGTTATTGCAGATTTTCAGCACAAAATACACGACTCATCCCGTCATTAGTGCTGATGCAGGCGAAGTTGCTTCGTGAAGTCCAGGCGATGGTAGGCATTCACTACACTCAGCTGCAATGCACGCTAATTTCTCCCTAAAGCATTTAGAACTACAACAGAATCCCAAACAGTCTTCACCACCGCCACCGGAGTTGCTCCTCTCTTGGTGTGATCAGCAACATGAGGTGATGCCGAAACGTCGATCGAATCCAGTGGTCCAGAAATACTACCGATATCACAGTCGCCTCTTGGGACTCACCATTGCGGCATCATTCTCTCTGACAAGAGGCGCCGGCGGTCTGTCCATTGCCCCGTCACTGAGTTTTCAAGTCCCTATATCGCCAAACGACCCGGGGTTTCGTACGCTCGGTTTATATCCGTTGTTTGGGAAGGACCTACCTCCTGCTGACTTCGTGGACAATACGATAGAGGAGCTTAAATATTTATTCGGGACACGCAGATTGACTCCGTCTGATATAACCACAGGCGGTGGCTCTCTCTTGGATGTATGTTTACCCTCAGATGTCTTTCTATATATGCCTTGTTATTGTGAGGTCTAACTGGCATAACTTAAGGTTGCTTGCTTCGCGTTTTTGACAGGCGCACAATGGCATTCTGATGCTTTTGTTGAATTCTCAAGGCTTTTCATGTTCTTGATCAGTCAAGGCGTCTCCTTGGACTCGACTCGCACCCAAGGCACATCAGGGCTAGATTACTTCGTCGGGGCTGTGAAGCTCGGCGATGAGGAATACCGGTTACTTTCGCGGTTGATCGAGTGCGGCGGGGTTATGACTATTGGTGCAGCCTCGCAATCCCGGATAAGCAAGGAAAATATGCGCCGTGTGCTTCGTGAGAACGAAGAGGGTACGTAACCCAAGTTTAAGAGAACTCTTTTTCACGTATTGACTTGCTCAATAGTAGTTATCATTCCTGATGTTGCGAAATGTATCATTGAAGAATCCGAAGAAGGTTTACTGCATGTGCTCCGGTCAGGCAGAGCTTCACCCAACGACCTTATTGGGAAAACAACATTACTAAAACTAGCTATCGGTTGGAGCAGAGGCGTACAGATTCTTCTAGAGGCAGGATCTGACGTGAACGAGTGTTTTCGAATATCTCCCTTGACGCTTGCGATCCGCGGAGGCTACTACGAGTCGGTGAAAGTATTACTGCAGGCGGGTTGTCCGTTGAGCGTGAACGACATATCCGAATCTGAGCAAGCCAGTGGCTGGGAAAAAACCACCTCGCTTCTCATCTCCGAACTAGCATCCCGGCGCAGAAGATTATTAAAAGTCGCGCAAGCTCACCTGTCTCAAAAAACACTTGCTCAACTTGGAGTAAACAATGACTCCTCTATTCCCGACGTGACTGCATCACGGATATACGAAGCACTGGTTGCCCAAGATGCACCCCTTGATTCATCACTCCAAGTGTCCAGCCCTCCACGCTCAGTATACCATCACCTCTACCTACGCACCCGGACCTTAGATGAGCTATACGAGGCTGGTTTCGATAATGTCGAGCTACCAGATTCATCAGGTCGAACTCCTCTGATGGTCATGGATAAATGGGCAGGACTGCGCAGGATCACACAGGAAAGAGCCAGATGGCTTATTTCAAAAGATGCCGACCCTTTTCGGAAGGTGCCTGGGACTAATGCGACAGTTCTTCACCTCATGGGTATCTACAGCGCCGAGTGCTTGCATCCGGAATTAGTGCATTCGTTCCTCTTGAATTTCCAATCTTTCAAGTCCCAGAATCCTTTGGAATTTTTGAAGTTCATGTTCCAGGTATCGCAGCAGGACAACTGTATTTGCGCCTGCTCACCAGGCGGATGCACGCCGTTCTCCGCAGGGCTACGACATCTGCTCCAGCACCCGTCCAGATATTACCAGATGAAGGGCCGTAATCGATTCCCAGAACTACTTCAATTTGTCATCCGCCAGTCTGAAAGGAGCCTAGAATTCGACCAAGTGATCATCCGACTGATGACTTTTGACGCGCTCGATCTGAGACATACGTGTTGTCGCAAAGGAGATAGTCTGCATGAGGACTCGATTCTTTATTTAGAGGAGACCGAAATTGATGAGATTCGGGACGAAGAGCATTTGCTTCTGGAAGACTTTGAACGCCTATTCGCTGAGCTCTCAGCCAAGTTTGAGAAGTCTGGCCTTCTCATCATGGAATTCTTACAGGGCCCTTGGTATCAGCGCATGGTGGAATTTCTTTCTCAGTTGGATCCCTATGATGAGGAGTACGCGAAGGGTCACCGGAGCATTGGGTTGAAAGTCGAAATAACGGAAAGCATCCCTGACCGGGTATCTCTGCTGGTGGGTTCGAAAGTGGAAGAGATTCTGTAAATAGTGGGTTATGTAAGCCACGGAATACTGAGTCAGCCACGTGACCACGGGAAAGAGTCGGACGACAACTCAGTCTGCATCTTCGCCCATTGTCGCACTCCCGACTGTCGCATCTGCCTCCCTTCCACCACCACCTCAACTCCTGTTTCCTCCCTCCATTGAGGCTCTATCCTGGTCAATTGACAACATGTTCTCCGCTCGCGTCGCCCGCGCCGGCCTGCGTGCCTCCGCCCAGCAGTTCGCCGTCCCTCGCACCGCTGCCATCAACGGCCTCCGCTCCTATGCCACCCCAGCCCAGAGCGTGAACCCGCCTGTGGCCCTCTTCGGTGTTGACGGCACCTACGCCACTGCTCTGGTACGGTTTTTGTGCATTGCTATCGCATTGCGTCTACCCGGTTTCCCCGGCCCCTGCTCGCCCCCTCTTTCTGTCATCTTGAACCACACATGCAAAAAGAGAAAAACCCAGCTGACATCCCCTCAAGTTCACCGCCTCCTCCAAGTCCTCCGCCCTCGACCAGACCGCCAAGGCCATCTCCAACCTCGGCGAGACCTTCAAGTCCGACCCCAAGCTGTCCACCATCCTCGGCACCCCGACTCTGAGCAACGCCGACAAGCAGCAGATCACCCAGGAGCTGCTGAAGATCGCCGGTGCCGATAAGTCCGACATCCTTAAGAACTTCTTCGCCACCTTGGCTGAGAACAACCGCTTCGGTGCGCTGGAGGGTGTGTGCGAGAAGTTCGCGACTCTCATGAGCGCCCACCGTGGTGAGATCGAGCTTAGCATTACCAGTGCTCAGGTAAGTCCCTTCCTTCCCTGATTATCAATTGCCACGGAAACTCATCGGCGTGAATAGGAGCTCGACGCCAAGACCGTCTCCCGCCTCGAAAAGGCCGTCGCGAAGTCCGAGTACAGCCAGGGCAAGAAGCTCAAGGTCGTCACCAAGGTCAGCCCGGATCTTGTGGGTGGTCTCGTTGTTGAGATTGGTGACCGCACCATCGACCTGAGCGTGTCGTCGAAGATCGCCAAGATGAACAAGGCTCTGACGGATGCCTTGTAAATTGCCCGTGGAATGTAAAATAGCCTCATGGTGGGGGATTTATGCAGGATGAGTTGTTACCTAGACATAGCATCGTCCGTTGGATTGACTTGAAGTGGTGATCGCCCAAATCAGGGTTTAGAGAAATTCCCTTTGTCTTTCTTTGTTGGTTTTGTTTCATTATGTGAATTGCAGATACATTTCTCCCAAACAGTTGCGCTCTGTAGACCCAGCTCCGCTGATGGCCGATTTATCCTGGACTCGACCCTTTGGCTTGGTATTTCTGCCCCTCTCTTGTTGGATAGTCCAAGGATCACCCCCAGGACGTATGAGACAGACTATTGACCGTATTGGCCTGTGCCGCTTTGGATTTATCCCTGCCGTTCAACATTGTCTATCTGTACTATAACCCTATAGTTGGATCATACGAGTCTAGCCGTGTTGGATAGACTATTTCTTAGCGATGTAGACTATATACATCTTAGTAGCTATACCATAGATGATGGCTCCCTAGTATGAACTTATAAGTGAAAAGTAAAGTACGAATTGAAAACTGATTCCCCTCCAGACACACAATCCAGGCGCTCTCTATGAACCAAACACCCAGAGCTAGAACTTGTAATACCTCGACTACTTAGAAAATAATTCTGGCCCTACGTTATTTTGCAAGCTAACATGCGACGGTACTGCTATCCATTACGGGAGAGCTTCTCTCATAATTCCTCCAGCTTACCCTCCGTATCGAAGATTTTGGAATCGAACGTGCAGAAGAGGGCGTTCCTGTTTGTCTGCAAGGGGCCGATTCCCCACCCCTTGCCACCCCTGCATTTTCTGTCACAGCCCCCTATATGTTCACTTTCTCATCACACGCGTTGGAAGTAGAGGAAGCCGTTGGGCCGCTTATGTGGCTTGACAAGGAGCTCCAATAATGTAATTAGATTGTGGCTTGTCTGTTGTAACATAGAGACTCATGTGCTATCCAAAAGCATTGCCTCATTTCATATGACGAATTATAAGCTTCCTTCCCTCTACTGTTCAATCGGTCTTCTTTGTGATGCTGCCACTGAGTTTTTCCAATTGAAGATATTCTCGCTTAGAAAGGGAATTGATCTTTGTTAAAACTCAGCAAACATCATTGAGAAATGAATGCGAGGGTAAAAAAACAAGTCCAAGGATGGCCACTTGGATTCACTTTGGGTCATGTTTACCTTACTTTGGAAAATGAGACATGCCTATTATCAAAATGATAAAGAACTAGGTTAGTTAGGTTAGCTTAGGTTAGGTCAGTTAACTAGTAAACTGTTAGGATGGTTATTAGGCAACTCCTGTGCTGCAAGGAGAAAGAATTGGATCGGCTTTAACCAGAATCGAGGGTTTTAAGTGCCGATCCTGTCATCTTGGTCCCTCATTCTTGAGAATTTGTATTTATTGCTATATCGGGTTGATCTGCATTCAACATTCAATGTAAATCATTCTTAAGACCTTGTCACATCACTAGGCTACCCTCCAGTAAATCTTTCCAGATAAATACAAAGTAATAAATAATACGAACCACCTTACGATTGTTGAACGCATCGTCACACAATGCAAATCCCCAACTCCTGGGTCTTTCCGATCATCTCAGCATCTATCTGGATAAGTACGGGGATTATTTAAGTTACTATTGACAGCGTCGTTCTGATATCGAGTCTTTAGCAATGTTATTCGCAATGATAGGCCACTGGATCATGGTTGGGAAACCAAAATATGACAGAATGAAGTCAGGGCAGACCATACCGTTAGCACCCTAACCAAGGTATCCTCGCGAGCTAAGTAATTTCGACTAATAAGACTGTACTAGATTTATCTCTGATATAGGAGCTGGGGAACTAAAGCCATTGTTCATGATCGGATGTATCGTCACCATGCTGTTTCTAAACATGGCTTTCTATCAATCTTTGCATTTCAAGGGAAATGCAAACCAGGTCTGCACATATATTTCATCTCTCTTCACAGTTATTGGGAGCCTTGGATTGATCATGTTATCAGCTTTTGATAACATTGATCACCAATTTGCCCATGATACTTTTGTGACCATATTCATGTAAGTTCTTCATCTACAATGTTCGTACCTATCGGTGAATTATTCTCACAGTTTAATAGGGTGGGATATCTAGTCAGTGCAACTGTAATCTGCATAGATTCCTTCTGTTTGAGTTCCCACAGGCCACAAAAGCATGAAAAGATGCCCATGGCAAGCTTGATGATCAAGTTTTCCTTTATCATTATTGAACTCGCCCTTATATTGGCCTTCCGTTACACGGAACAAATCTCCTCCGTCCCACAAAACACAGCCGCGATTCTTGAATGGGGTAAGAAACATATTTTCAGTTTTATATTGCTTCTATCAGTTCAAGGCACTAATATTATGTAGTCATTGCCTTCGCCTTTGCAGGTTACATCCTGTCTTTTGTGATTGATTTGATCCCTTCTGGTCCTAGGCTTCATCCTTTCCTCTCCAGCTACAAGCAACTCGAGATGAGTATGGATCTACCCAGGCTCTCGGTTTAATGGCGAATGTGGAGGCCTCCTAAGAACTGGCCATTATGAACGACCTTGCCGAGATATTCATCGGCCCTTTTGTTCTCTGACAAGCCTTGCCTTCGGCTGTCCACCAGAGAAGGACTATTCCGATTTTAGTCAGCCTTAAGATATTCATACGTGGATCGACAATAATCCTCACAACAAATGGGCTAGCGTCTCGCAGATCTGTCCAACATATGAGGGTTGGGCTGGTGAACATGGATATAATGACGGTCGGTTGTTAGCTCGTCCGGGGATTGTCAATGTGCGCCACGATATAACGAAAATGGTGACAGCTTGGAACCCGCCCGTTGGCTATCCGGAGCACCCATGAACTGTTCATAACATTTGATTAATACCCATTATGTACGTCCCTAATTATAATCATTAATGATGTCCTGTCAGATCGAATTGAAGTACATTCCAAGGTATCTAACCGCACACTAGGCCGCATTAGGAAAAACCCGCGAAGTACTGCTTTCTGATAATCGCACGAGCTGGATTTAAGGGTAACGCCGTGTGGAAAGATATCTGGAATAAATATAAAAGAAGGCATTCACCCCCGAATCCAACGGTGTATAAGACACACTTTCTTTCTATTAATTCAAGATGGCCAATTTCCCCTTCCCCTCATCCCTTCAGAAATCCCTCGCTGACACTAAAGTCGAGTACGTTCAACTCGGTTCCTCGGGTCTGCGCGTGTCATGGCCCATCCTCGGGGCAATGTCTCTAGGAGCTCCCAAGCTGATGCCGTGGGTCCTGGATGAAGAAACATCCCTGTCTGTCCTCAAGGCTGCCTACGATGTCGGCATTAATACCTGGGACACGGCGAACACGTACTCTAATGGACTAAGCGAAGAGGTCATTGGGAAGGCCTTGCAACGGTTTAACATCCCGCGCCAGAAGGTCGTTATTATGGCCAAGTGCGCGTTTCATGTCGGTGATGAGCCGGACGTTATTGGGCCGCTGCATGCGAAGGAGTTGAATCAGAGTAAGGACTATGTTAATCTCGGGGGTGAGTCCATGTACCATGATTCAATTATTGCATTGATATTGAACAAATACCATAGGTCTATCGCGAACTGCAATCTTCGCAGCAGTAGACGCCTCCCTTTCCCGCCTGGGCACCTCGTACATCGACGTCCTCCAGATCCATCGGTACGACGCCCACACTCCGCCGGAAGAAACAATGAAAGCGCTACACGACCTCGTGCAGTCCGGAAAAGTGCACTACATAGGCGCTAGCTCAATGTGGGCGACGCAATTCGCGCAGCTGCAGTTCCTCGCCGAGTCCCGCGGCTGGACCAAGTTCATTAGCATGCAAAACTACTATAATCTCTGCTACCGCGAGGAAGAGCGCGAGATGATCAGGTTCTGCAAGCAGACGGGCGTTGGACTTGTGCCGTGGTCGCCACTTTTTGCGGGGAGGCTTGCTAGACCTGTCGGGTATGATCTGTCGGCGCGCTCAAAGAGGCCCAGTCCGCACCATCCTGGTACGACGCTCGTTGATGAGGAGATTATTAGACGGGTGGAGGAGGTTGCGGGGAAGAAGGAGTGGAAGATGAGTCTTGTTGCTTTGGCGTGGTTGAAGAGTAAAGGTGTTGTGCCGATTGTGGGTATCAATTCGGTTGAGCGAGTTCAGGAGATGTGTGAGTTGAGAGGGAAGATGTTGACGGATGAGGAGGTTGCGTATCTGGAGGAGCCCTATAAGGCCAGACCCGTTGCTGGTCATTCTTAGGTTGAAGGTGGTGTAGGTCGTCTCTAGAAATTGAACTCTCCACTCTCAGCAACCGTGTGAAGACGATCGGCTCCAATGACACTCGCGACTGTGTGCAGTCGGTCCTGCAGCCATTTTCTCTGAGTTGTCGGAACTGCTTCGGTGCTTACAGCCACTGTCAAGGGCCAGGCGAGAACAATGGCCATCTTTGGCGTGATGTTGTGTTCGGTGGTTGCCACGTCGAAAAAGGAAGGGATACTGTGGCATAGACATGCTGTAAGAGAGCTGATGTTCGCCTGGCACTGTTCCAGCTCCGTACCCATGGATTGTGTGATACGGGACATGGTGGAAAGTAGGCGTATGCGTAGACTGTTTATAATCAAACGAACAGCCCGATACCGATTCAAAGTAGCAGCATAGCCGCGGCTTGTGTAGCAAGGCAGGGAATTCTCGGTATATGCTGAGCCTAAATTCTCGAAGAACGTCCAGTCTGAGGGAATGCGCTGGGTCCATTCGACCAACGCAGAGTCCAATTGCCGTGCCCCTAACACCAACTCATCCAATTGGCCTAATTGGAATATAGAGACCCCGGCTTGCAGACAGTTCTGAGCTTTGGCTCGAATATCTGCAACTTGAATCATGAGGGTATCAAGTTCTGATATCGGACTGTCCTCGATATATAGCGCGTCATATTGGAGCCATTTTGGAAGAGAGACACCACGAAGGATGCACGAGCGGATCTGAAAGCCTGGTAAGTCAAAGCGAAGGGCAGTTTATCAAAAAGGAAACCTTACTATGGGCCTTCGGAGAGCTCTGTCAAGATCCGTATTTTGGGAAAATCCCTGCTGCTGCCGAGCCTGCAACAGACCCACGATGCCTGTACAATGGTACGTGCTCCTCCAGCCCGTAGAGCCAGCTTTTGCAGATGACTGACTTGAGGAAGGTTGGCGCATGATATTCTGTAAACCCGTTAGAACAGCTTCATGTAGGAGATAAGGTAGGGCAGACATCGTAATTAGCCATCAGCAAGATCGCAACAAGAAGCTGATCAATCGTCCGATTAGAAGGAGCCGCAATCTCCTCCCGGATTCGCGCAATACTCTTGCCATACAGCCTCTCTGCATCCCCCAGAGCCCGGTTCACATTCCTCGCTAGTCCGAAGACAGCAAGTGAAAACGCAGACACGGCAAGCTGCAGACTCGAGTTCGGGGCTGCACAAGTCCAGTAGCGGAGTGCATAGGTGCCGTATTCGAGTCCAATGTCAAAAAAATCATCGGGCCACGCGGTGAAATGCTCAACCCAATAGTGGAATGCATGGGTCTCGAGTGGAATAGTAGGTGGGGATGCAGGCGACGAGTTTATCACGGCTCGTGTGACTATATGTCCTCTCGGACGACGTGGCCGGCCTTGAGCAAAGGCATTCTCACTTCGAAATGACAAGCCTGTTTCTTCGTTGGATCTCCAGACACAGGATCGACTTGCTTTGCTGCACCGGCTACAGGTGGGTCGGATGGAATCGCACTGCAATGTGTTCAGTGATGGATAAGGGTTTCTGTCAGAGATTCGCTGTGTACCTTGATGCGACGCCTCTTGCATGTGAGGCATCCTAGACTTGGGAAGCCCATGATTGCGCGAGGATAAAATTATGTGGATGACAATCAGGTTAGCAAATGTATGTGTCGGGCTTTGGGTTGATTATCTCCGGACACCTCCGGACACCGCAACTGGGAAGATCCAATAAGAGAAAACAATGAAACTTTTGCTCTATTCTATCTATAGCAGCATAGGCGGCCACAACGAAATGGTATATCAAACAATGCAACGAAGAATCCGAAAAGAGCCAGAGAGAAAGGCTCATGACTGGAGAACAGCGGCAAGGGCCTGGTCCAAGATGCCCAGACCCGTCTTGATCTGTTCCTCTGTGACAGTCAAAGCAGGCACGAAGCGAATGCACCCACTGCCCGCCGTGATGATCAAGAGACCCCTCTCACGGGCGGCGTTGACAATATCGCCGGCCTTGTCGGCATACTCGGGAGACAACTGCGCGCCAAGAATCAGGCCACGGCCGCGAATCTCTTGAATGAGATCCGGGTACTTCTTCTCCAGGACCTGGAATCCAGACATAAACTGCGCTGACTTTTCCTTGACGGAAGCCTGCAGCGACGGCGACGAGAGCCGCTCCACGATGTGGTGTGCCACGCGGCAGGCCAGCGGGTTTCCTCCAAAGGTCGTGCCGTGGTCGCCCGTCTTGATGTGTGGAGCAACGGTCTTGCCAGAGATGATGGTTGCGCCGATGGGAATGCCGTTGCCCAGTGCCTTGGCACTCGTCAAGATGTCTGGGTGCGCAGCCTGTCCTGAAGCCGGAGTCAGGGACGGGTGGGCGTGAGCCCAGAAAGCGCCAGTGCGGGACAATCCGCACTGAATCTCGTCAAAGATCAAGACAGCCCCGACCTCGTCGCAGCGCCTGCGAAGAGCTACGAGGAACTCGGGTGTCGCCACGTTGACACCTCCTTCACCCTGGATCGGCTCGATGATCACACCGCAAGTCTTGTCCGTAATGAGGGTCTGGAGCTGCTCGATATCATTGTAGTTGCCGTACTTGAACCCCGGCACCATGGGCGAGAATGGAGTCTGGTACTTCGGGTTCGGGGTCGCGGACAAAGCGCCCATGGTGCGACCATGGAAGGAGTTGTGGAACGAGACAAACTCGTGTTTGGCGCCTGACTCGTCCAGAGACCGGCCAACCTTGCGGGCAAACTTGATGGCGGCCTCGTTGGCCTCGGTGCCGGAGTTAGAGATGAAGACCTGCGCTGCATCGCGCATCGCCCCCGACTCGTGGGTCAGTTTAATCAAAGACTGACTCAGAGCACCAGTCCAAGGATTGTGGTAGAGGTTGGAGGCGTGAATGAGAATCTCAGACTGTTCCGCAATGATCTGTGCAATCTCCTGGTCACAATGGCCGAGGGAGTTGACCGCAATTCCAGCCGTGAAATCCAAGTACCTCCGATTCTCCATGTCCCACAGATAAACACCCTGTCCCTTCATCATCATCGGTGTCGGGCGAACGTAGGTCGGGACCATGTAGGGTGTGCGCTCTTGGATAAAGGACATGGTGAGGGAATCAGGCGCAGGATCAGGATTAGGGAGCGCGGCCTCCTTCTGTCTCGCTGTTAGCCGTGGCCTGCCGTGGGTTTGAGCCATTCCATACCAGTGCTTGTGCCTTCATATCGTGAGCGGCATTTGACGCCCATCGGCGCTGCAGCGGTGACTCAGTGACCGCAGCAGAGAACTTGCACGCGCGAGGCAGGCGGCGCCCGGCGACACGAAGGGCAGACATGGCGAATTGAGAGTGCACACGATCGAATGGGCCTCAATTGCGCCGGACACAGTAGTTAATACTTTCAATGTATGAGTCAATAAGTGAGCACAACCAGTGGAGCAGAAAAGTGCCGCGATAACTAACTATCGGGATCGGCGAGTCGCTCCGAGTTTAGTCACCTGCTTCTTCCTACTCTTCTACCCACTCTCTCACTAACTTACGCTCTCAACACCCAACACCCAACACATTTCCTTCATCATGCTGTCCTCCCTCGCTATTCGCCGCACTATTTCCCTCTCTCTCCGACCGACGGCCCCCCGGCTGTTTTCCACCACTCAAATCCCGCGCCAGGCAAATAAGCCCTCCAATGCCTTCGGCAGCGGCCCAGCTCCGCCACGCCTCCCCAAGGAAGAACAAGAGATATTCGAAGAGCTGCAACGACGCTCGACGGGCGCCTTCAGCACACCACAAGTCAACCAGTCCCCGCAGACGGAGATCAAGGCCAGCGGCGATGGTTCCGAGCTACACCCAGATGCGCCGGCGGGCTTGAAGCCGGAGTTCGACGGTGAAAAGAATCCCAAGACGGGCGAGGTGGGTGGACCGAAGAACGAGCCGTTGCGATGGGGGTCCGATGGGGATTGGAGCTATGGTGGGCGGGTGACGGACTTCTAAGGGACAGCCATCGCAATTTGGAATATAGCTTGAGGATTGCATGGATTGGCGTTGGTTGCCTCATCATTATTTTCACGTTGTTGTATATTATCACCGAGTGGAGTACTTTTGTATTTGTTCATTCCAATTGTAGTTACGCTGAGAAGAATCATTCACCAGTTTAAGAGACTCCAGGGCTATAAAACAGTCAAGCAGACCGTGTGTTTTATGTTGACAATCGAGCGAGCGTCGCTTTCCCGGCCCGGCTGCCGTTGGCTCTGCCCAGCTCCTCACTGATCCATGAGCCAATCCGCGACATTTCCTCCAGATTGATCCCCGTGTGCATGCCCAGGCTGTGGACGGTATGCACCAGGTCCTCTGTCGCGACATTTCCCGTCGCGCCTTTGGAGTAAGGGCATCCACCCAGGCCGCCCACGCTACTATCGAAGATGCGCACACCATGCTCTAGCCCCACAATCGTGTTCACCAGGGCCTGGCCGTAGGTGTCGTGGAAATGCAGTGCCAAGTCCGAGTTGGCAATTCCAGCCGCCTTGAGCGCTTGCAAGAGGGCCATCGTGCGGGGTGCCGTGCCCATGCCCGTCGTGTCTGCCACCGACACCTCGTCTGCGCCCATCTCCAGCAGCGTGGCGGTGATATCAGCCACCTTGGACGGGTCGACCTCGGGTCCTTCGTAGGGACATCCCAGCGCCACCGAGACATACCCTCGTACCCGGATGTTCTTGGTCTTGGCCAGGGCGACGATCGGCTTGATCCGCTCCAGCGACTCAGCGATGGTACAGTTCGTGTTGGCTTTGGAAAAGGCCTCAGTGGCGGCAGCAAATAACGAGATCTCAGCGGTTGTCGCTGACTTGGAATCCGAGCCTGCCGGAACGCCTGTCGAGTCCATGACTTGGACCAGGCTCTCCAGTCCGCGGATATTAGGAACGAGATAGTTGTATGCGATTGTCTGTTTGGATGGGGGTGGCGAGGTTAAAAGGTGCTGGCAAATCTCGGCAGTGCTTGCCATCTATGCCGGTCAAATCGTCAGTCAGTACTTGCTTACCCGTCAACTAGACAGAGGGTTGCGCACCTGAGGAACCCATTTCGCAGGCACAAACGAGCCCGCTTCAATGGTAGTCACGCCTGTACCGGCAAGCTTCTCGATCAACTCGATCTTTGTCTCCAGCGGGATCGTCTTCTTTTCGTTCTGCAGGCCATCTCGAGGACCGACTTCGACCACGCGGACATGGTCCGACGTTAACCGAGAGTCGGTAGCAAAACGGCGTGTGCATAGGGGGGCACGAAGGGGGGCACGAAGGGCCGAGAAAAGACGCATTCGAGGTCGAAAGGCCATGGTGAGAGAGAGCCAGCCAAGCGAGCAGCAGAGGAGAGAACCGACTCGGAAGAGAGCAACGTAACCAGCAAGAAAGACATGGGGGGCAATGCGGAGACAACGCTTAGCCTGTTGAGGACTAGTGCGGGCCTGAGTCAGCGAGAAGAAAGTTGGCCGATCATCTTTCTGATCGTCTTTTCTTCTTTCTTCATCCTTGTATATTCGCCATGGAGGAGTCCAGTGTCACGACAGATGCGCCTTCGGGCTCACAGCTGCGCCAGCCCAAGAAGAGATTTGTCGGCCGACGAACCGCCCAGGCCCGGGACTCGCCCGGCTCAACCGATGTTGAGTCGTCAACGGCCGTCCAGAAAGGTACGACCGTTTGATATACTCAACTTGTATGTATACTCACGAAACATGTTCTCTCCAGCTGCCCCCAGGCGTACTCCACGCACCCTGAACCAGGTCCCGCCAGAGATTCTTAACGACCCCGAGATCCAAGCTGCAATCGAGCTACTACCCAAAAACTACTCTTTCGAAATCCCAAAAACCATTCACCGCGTGCGCTCGTCAGGCGCCAAGCGCGTGGCCCTTCAATTCCCCGAGGGCCTACTGATTTTCGCCACGACCATCTCCGACATCCTCACCCAATTCTGCCCAGGCATCGAGACCCTGATCATGGGCGACGTCACCTACGGAGCCTGCTGTATCGACGATTACACCGCGCGGGCCCTGGGCTGCGATCTGCTAGTCCACTACGCGCACAGCTGTCTGATCCCCGTCGACGTCACAAAAATCAAAACCCTGTATATCTTCGTCGACATCAGCATCGACACAGACCACCTTATCGCAACTCTCGAGCGAAACTTCCAGCCAGGCAAGACCATCGCCACCGTCGGCACAATCCAATTCAACGCCACGCTGCACGGCCTGAAACCCGTCCTCGAGCGCGCGGGCTTCCGCGTCGTCATCCCGCAAATTACACCGCTATCCAAAGGCGAAATACTAGGCTGCACGTCCCCCCAACTTTCCGACTCGGAAATCGATATCCTTCTCTACCTCGGCGACGGCCGCTTCCATCTCGAATCAGCCATGATCCACAACCCCTCCATTGCCGCCTACCGCTACGACCCGTACTCGCGCACCCTCACCCGCGAGTCCTACGAGCATGAAGAGATGCACACCCTCCGTCGCGACGCGATCAACTCTGCGAAAACAGCACGCAAATGGGGGATTATTCTCGGATCGCTCGGGAGACAGGGAAACCCGCACACGATGGCGATGATCGAGAACCATCTGCACGAGCGCGGCATCCCGGTCGTCAATCTATTGCTCTCGGAGATTTTCCCGGGCAAGTTGGCTGCCATGTCGGAGGTCGAGTGCTGGGTACAGATCGCCTGTCCCCGTCTGAGTATTGATTGGGGGTATGCATTCCCGCGGCCGCTGCTGACGCCGTATGAAGCGCTGGTCGCGCTTGGTGTGCGTGAGAATTGGGATAAGGCGAACAAGGGCGTGTATCCGATGGATTTCTATGCGAAGGAGGGTTTGGGGAGGACGAAGCCGGAGCAGGCGTTGAGTGGTGCGGCTTGAGGGTGGTTCTTGTTGCTTGCATTGATGATCAAAGAAAATAGATATACCCCCGGAAATAACGGCAGCCGGCCTGTCTTTGAAGCGGATGAGACGATACTAAAAATGAGATACATGGCTTGTTGAAGGTGTACTTGATGGTGTTTGTGTGGTCGCAGACAGATATAGAGAAAAGAACGCGAAGCTAGATCCGAGCATAATGTTATTTCGTGTATCTCTGATTTATCGAGAGGGATCTCGTTCCTGGGGCCATATGGGATTGGGACTCAACTTTCCACCCGCGAAGCCACAGAAGGAACACACCACCTGTCTACAGCTTTATGTAGATGCATGGGTATAGAACAGTTTACAGTAGTCATTAATTCAATTCAGATCCTAATCAGACACAGCATTACAAGCCTCCAGCCATCCATCACCCCTTAGCGTCATCCGCACTGTCGGTATTGAAATCACTAGCACTGCCGCGCCGGAGAGACAGTATGTTCTTGTTGTTGGCCAGCTCATCCGCTGTCCGCTCGGCTGCACGCCACCGGTTAACCGCCTGCTCGACATCATCGAACATCTCCAGCGAGTCCTGGATGATCCCGCCTTCGTCGCCGTCGCCTCCGGAAGTCTCGGTGCTCTCACGAGTGTTCCGGTCGCTGATCATCGGGAAGGCAGGACCGAAACCACGCTCGGGGATGGGGTTGAACATGATAGCATTGGCAAACATGCGGGTGAGCTCTTTCTCCAGCTGCGCCGAGTTGACGATACCCTTGGGCGGTATCAGATCCTCTGTTTTGGGTAATTGGAGCATGCCACTCCTCGTTGGCGTCCCCGCTGCGGGAGCGGGGAGACTCGCCGTCACCGGCTGGGGTACTGACTGCCTCGGCTGCGGCGGAGACTGCTTTGCTGGCCTGGTGAACGGCGGATTTGATAGACTTCAAATCCTGTGGACGGTAGATAAGGTCATGGTATCCCGGCGCGTCTCGTTCTGTCAGAGGCTTTGCGAAGATCGAAGCGAGTTTATGCATGGTCACGTCGTTCAAGATTGTCTGAGCAGTCCGGTGGAAACCACGAGCACACAGGACATATCGCGTCGTGTCAATTTTCGGAGTCTCGGGGGGAAGAGGCTCTTGTTCCAAGGCTTCACTAGGGCCACGTTTGCGCTTAGAGCGACTCTTGGCGAGTGGTTCATCCTTGCGGGACCGCAGGTCACGGTCCCCGTCTTCTGGAGGCTCGGGAGATTCCTCGTCACGCGAAACCACAGACTGCCTGCGACTGCGCGACGAAGCGGCGCTCACAGCACGCTTCCTTCGGCCCGGCTCTTTTTCGGTTTTGATTTTTGGGCCGGCCTTGTCCTCGGCGGCAGCGGCACGTCGAGTCTTCTTTGCGGCACGACCACCCCGCATGGAGGTTTCAACCTCATCACCCGGAGAAGGGGCTCGTTCACTGATAGGACTGACATCATCTGGACCAGGGCGCACGGGGGATACCGGCGATCCGGGGACGCTCAAATGGGGAGTTCTTCTCCATGGTGTGGAGGAACCAGGAGTGTCAATGGACAACCGTGGGCGTGAACCACGACGAGACTCCGAGAACGATAGGGCGGTGGCACTTGGCGTTTGGGACATACGAGCATGCCCGATGGGTACTGGGGTGTGAGCAGCCGATGCACCCGGCGTTGATGGAATTAGTGGAGGCTGCGCGGTGGAAATAGGTGGTAACGGCTGCTTGCCAGTCGTCTGGCCAACTTGTGGTGCAGCCGTGCCGGGAGTAATGGCGGGGTATGGAGATTGAGGAGATGGTTCCAGCTGCCATTGCTGGAAAGTCGGTTGTGCTGACACGCGCGGAGTAGCTGTAGACTCGGTAGAAACTGCAGGACCTGGTTTTTCAGCGGGTGTCGATGCCACAGGAACATTGGCACGTGGTGGAAGTTGGGATGGATGGGCGGCGGTTGCCCGCACAGCTTGAGCCGCTGCTCCTGGTGTTGCTGCATCGACTGGCTGTGCCCGTGGCGCAATCGCGGGTTGAGTTCCTGGCAGAGAGGGCTGGCCATTGGTGGACGGTGGTTGTGGTTGTCCGGCCTTCTCTGGAAGAGTCGTCACTTTTGTAATGTCATTGACGGATGGTTGAGCTTCCTGTACTGTAGCGGCTTTCTCTGGAACAGGTCCTGCCAACGCTTTGCCTGTTTCCTCAGGGTGCGGCGTCTCTTCCTTTACATCAATGTCCATCGATTCAGGAACGTCCTCCGGTTTGGCAGATTCCGCCTTGTGCGCTTCCTTCTGCAGTCGATCGAGTTCATTCTTGATTTCGATGTACCTCTTCTCATCATCTCTGATTTCCTTGGTGACGAGCTCCCGATACCTCGCATACAAATGCGACACGAGTTCCGGGATGAGCTTCGCATGGGTGACTCCGTCGGCGAATCCGTCCGGCTTTGGGCTTGAAATCTTGCGCTTTTTGGGGTTGCTAGCGCCTGAATTATCCCGATCATACCCATCGCGCAGGAGTGTCGCGTACAGATCCTCCAGGGCCTCCGAGCTGAGTCGGTCTGCGTTGAAGGCTACATGTTGGCGCACGAAGGGGTTGCTGCGCAACAGGGCCGAAATGGACCCAAAGCTGGCTGGGCGATCATCGGACGTCGCCAGGGACTGGAAGAAGAGGAGCGACTCAAATGGAGTGTAGGCCGACAGAGGAGGCATCCCCCATTGCCCGTCCGATCGGCCGCTGGGGGATAAAGGTTTGGGGATTGGGGCCACGGTGACAAGTCACACGGGCCAACTGGGGCGAGAGGACTTTGGTCGGAGGTCTGTCAGTTGGAGAAGCGAGCGCGACCGACCAAGGACCAGACAGGCATAGCCCCTTCAGTCCATGCGCGCAAGGGGAAACGAACGGGGGAGGAACAGGAGTGAAAGAAGGGGATGAGAAATGTAGGCGCGTGGATAGAGGAAGGAAGAAGGGCGAGGCGAGATGGAAAGGCGGTGGGGGGTGGCGGGTTGGAGGAGGATGATGATGATGGAGAAAGAGCGCGTGGTTGGAGATGGAAATCGCGAACGGCCAAGGTGTACGGAAGGTCGAGGTGTGCAGACTCGGCGTGGTGCGGGTGCCTCAGGCAGCAGTATGGTCACGTTGGTATTGGGACGGTAAGATACACATCACGTGGATGGATCGGCAGTCATCCTTGGTTGCCGGGCGATCGAGTAAACAGACACGGGAGTATAGGATCGTAGGTCGACGGGTTGGAGATGCTTAGTCCCTCGGATTCTGCCCGTCGAACCACTGGTTGAAGAAGAGTACTATGGTTGTTAAATGGTGATACCTCTAAACTACACCCAGACGGTTCACCCCACGTTGGACGCTGTCAGGGGCTTCATGCTCCAACTAGCTCCCGTTCGCCCCTTTTCGGGCTAACTCCTCGCCGGCACGATCTGGGAACCCGCGGGACCGCCTCGATCTATAGGGATACGACATGAATTCAGAACGTAACCAATAACTCGTAGTACCTTGGTCCCTCCCAAAATCTGGAGCTTCGCAACAGTTATCCCTTGATGTCATGACATTGCGGTGGAGATATCCTGGGCGGCGACTAGTAACATAGTCGGTGGGCTCGTTACTAGTCCTCGCGATCATCGTCCTCTCACTTCTCCCTCTTTTTTCCCCTCTCCCTACTATTCTCCCTCCTCTTCCCACCGCCCAACCCCAGTGCAGATTCCGCGTCCGTGTGTCCCTGACTATCGATATTCGTCGACCCCCCTACTCCTTCCGGTATGTCCCTCCCCTGATATCCCGATCGCCGAGGATGATGATCGAGGGGTCCAACTGACGGGACCAGGCACACTCGATCTCTGGCCGGAACCCGCTGTCTGACCGATTCTCAGCTGGTCCTGGTCTCGACGATTCCTTTATAACCCTCTCTCTAATTATAACCCGGGGTCCCTGGCGTTTGCCCCGCTCAGGGTCGCATATACAAACCAACCCGCTCGACCGCCTGAGAGGCACCCCTGGACTGTAACACGCGCCGCGATTCTCAACCAGTGACAGTGTGCGCAGGCGGTTCTCGAATCTACATCATGTCCAACGCGGAGCAGGAATGGAAGCCCAGGGTTCGGCCTCAGTCGTGCGTCCCCCCGTGGATGGTGTTCTAGGACGTGGCGTTAACGGTGCACGGTAGGACCATGGCGCAGGCCTTCTCGACAGCGCTGGACAGCGCCTTCTCCTTGGATTCGGAAGTCGACGATCTTTCCAATAGCATTGACCAGAAGTGGGTTTTTGAGTCTCGCGGCAGTGCTTCCCTGGAGCTAATCACCGCAACAGAAAATACCAGATGATGATCCAGAGCCGCCAGCTGGAGGAGCTGCAGGCTCGGATCCGCGAGGCGGAGAACCGCCTCAAGATGCGACAGTCGGTCCAGCTCGGGGCCAATGACGTTCCGGAGAAGATCGAAGAGGAGGGGGCGGAGAGTGGTGAGCTATTTCCGATCGTAGGATGTCCTGTCTAGGGTCGCTAACACCTCACCCCCCAGCTGCTCAGCAGGACAACCACGAGTCCCAGGCCCGGGAGCAGCAGCAGAAGCAGGAGGAGGAAGAAGAAGGAAAGGAGAATGACTCGTGATTTTCATCCTGTGCCAGTTCCGCAGTCCTTCTTGTGTTTCCTCTTTTCTTTTTTCTGTTATATACTCAGAATGGACCTCGCTGGACCGGTGGGAGAGTCCAGTTAGCGTGTTAGGGATTGTTTTTCTGTCTGTCGTTTTGGATATCCACTTCCCGAGGGGCTCGGTCGCCCAGCGCCGGAGTAAAGTTGCCCAGCCCGAATAATCCTGCTTTTGTCTGCATCCTGTACCTACTTATCAGTCGAGATCCCAATCGGCCCAGCCCGCACCCAATCACAACCCCCAGATCAAAATCCCGATAGGATCCACCCATGCCGTCATGCGCAGCCGGAGCTAGAACCAGGTCTGCCCCTCCATCCTCCCCCCGGACTGCTGTCTTCCACTTCTGATTTCCCCCCTCTCACACCCTCTCCCTGCCATTGCTCGTCGCTAGCCCGATCAGCTCTCCGCCATGGTGTTGATCGACAAGCACGAGTACCTCACCGAGGAAGAGAAGCGCCTGAAGGAGGACCGCGAGCGCACGAGGTACTGGAAGCACTGGGGCCCGTACGTGGCTGAGCGACAATGGGCGACCGGTGCGTTTGACTGATCCTCTGTAAAGGGCAATTATGCTAACGGGAGTATCGATCTAGTGCGCGAGGACTATTCGTAAGTGATGGACTCGGAGAATTGCAGAGAGCAGAGCTAACACGACCCAGTGCTGATGGCGACGCCTGGAGTTGTAAGTCTCCTGGGATGAAATTTTTTTTTAAAAAAAAAAATATTTCAAAATAGTTGCTGACTATGCTCAGACTTTTCGCATGACCATTCGCGGTCGCGGACCTATCGCTGGGGTGAGGATGGCATTGCCGGTGTCTCGGACACCCACAACCTGCAGAACATCGCGTTCGCATTCTGGAACGGAGAGGAGTAAGTGCAGTCGACGCTGGAATTAAAGAACCGGGACTGATCTCGACCAAGTGATTTCCTGAAAGAGCGCCTCTTTGGCCTGTCGAATCCGCAGGGCAACCATGGCGAGAGTGTCAAGGAAGCCCATTTCCATGTCGACAACACCCCGACGGTAAGGACTATCACTAACGATGGTGCTCAATTGTGACAAACTGACCTCCCTCCAGCACTCCTACATGAAATTCCTCTACAAATACCCACAGAAGAAATTCCCCTACCAGGAATTGATCGACGAGAACGCCCGGCGAGACCGCACGGAACGCGAATACCAGATCCTCGACACAGGCGTGTTCGAAGAAAACCGGTATTGGGACATTTTCATCGAGACGGCCAAGGAGGGCGACGATGAGGAAGAACTGCTATTTCGGGTCATCGCGTACAACCGGGGGCCCGAGCCCGCCCCGTTGCACATTGTGCCGCATGTCTGGTTCCGCAATACCTGGTCCTGGGGCTACGAGAAGCAGCACGAGAAGCCGATCATCAAGAAGGACGGGTCGCTGGTGGTGAAATCCCACCATGACAAGCTCGGGGACCGGTATGCCTGCTTCGCGCCGTCGCCGCCCGTCGGGTCGAGCGATGAAGATGTCCAGCCGCGCATGCTCTTCACGGAGAACGAAAGCAATAACAAGAGATTGTGGGATCAGCCAAATGATCAGCCGTACGTCAAGGATGCCTTCCACCGTCACATTGTCGACGAGGAGAAAGGCGCCGTCAACCCGGCCAACGAGGGCACGAAATGTGCGGCGTGGTACGCCTTTGACAACGGCCAGGAAGTGCCGCCGGGCCAGTGTGCCGTCGTTCGCTTCCGCTTTTCTCGGAAAAAGGAGGAGTTTGTCGACGAGGAAAAGCTGGACAATGTGATCGAACAGCGGCTTGCCGAGGCCGACGACTTCTACTATCGCATCAACCCGTTGCCCATGAGCGAGGATCTGCGCAATGTCCAGCGCCAGGCCTTTGCGGGAATGATGTGGACGAAGCAGTACTACCACTTCGTCTGGGATCAATGGAGCAATGGAGATCCGGCGGAAATTCCGCCTCCCCCGGGACGTAAGGATATACGTAACCAGCAGTGGCGCCATATGTACCTCGATGATATTCTGTCAATGCCGGATTCGTGGGAGTATCCGTTCTTTGCGGCCTGGGATACTGCCTTCCACTGCATCCCGCTGGCTATGATCGATCCCGACTTCGCCAAAAAGCAGCTGGACCTCTTGACACGCGAGTGGTACATGCACCCGAACGGCCAACTGCCAGCCTATGAGTGGAATTTTGGCGATGTGAACCCACCCGTGCACGCGTGGGCCGTGTTCCGCACTTTCAAGATCGAGCGCAAGATGTACGGCCGACAGGATCTGGACTTCTTGGAACGTGTTTTCCAGAAGTTGTTGCTAAACTTCACATGGTGGGTGAACCGCAAGGACGGGGATGGTAAGAATGTGTTCGAGGGCGGCTTCTTGGGTCTGGATAACATTGGTCTCTTTAATCGCTCGGAGCCCTTACCCACCGGTGGTGTCCTGGAGCAGGCTGATAGTACAGGCTGGATGGCGTTTTACTGCTTGTGCATGCTCAATATTGCCTTGGAGTTGGCCAAGCATCGACGGACATATGAAGACAGTAAGCCGGCGCTTTTGATTTTGTGTCTCCATGCTGATCGTCATTCCAGTTGCATCCAAGTTCTTCGAGCATTTCATCCTCATTAGCGACGCGATGACTTACCGATCTGGAGAGGATAATATCAAGTCCCTCTGGAATGAAGAGGATAAGTGAGTGTGAAATGTTCTCAACTCAAGGATTAACTAACAGTAAGCCAGCTTCTACTATGATGCCATCTCCTATGGAGGACCGTGGACCCAACAGCTACCCGTGAGGTCACTAGTGGGCCTGATTCCGTTGTATGCAGTGCTCACCCTAGAGCCCGAGCTTATCAACAAGTTTCCCTCGTTTAAGCGCCGATTGAACTGGTTCATTGAGAACAAGGCGGATGTCGCTGAACGCAACATCGCCAGCATGAAACGACGCGGGAAGGATGACCGGTTGCTCCTGTCGCTCGTGAGTAAGGATCGATTGGAGATGATCCTGAAACGCATGCTCGACGAGACCGAGTTCCTGTCAGAACACGGCATCCGCTCCATGTCCAAACACCACGAGAAGAACCCTTACTCCATGGAAGTTAATGGCCAGACCTTCAAGGTGGGTTATGTGCCGGGCGACTCAGACAGCTCTCTGTTCGGCGGGAACAGCAACTGGCGCGGACCGATCTGGCTGTGTGTCAATTTCCTGTTGGTTGAATCGCTGCTCCGCTTTTACATGTTCTATGGCGATTCGTTCAAGGTCGAGTGCCCCACGGGCTCGGGCGATTACATGCACCTGGGCCATGTGGCCGAGGAGATCCAGCACCGGCTGCAGCATCTTTTTGCGCGTAACGACGAAGGCCGCCGCGCTGTCAATGCCAATTCGGACCTGCTCGACTTTGATGAGCACTGGAAGGACGTCCTGTGGTTCCACGAGTTCTTTGACGGCGACACCGGCCGCGGCCTAGGCGCGTCGCACCAGTGCGGCTGGACTGGGTTGATCGCCAAGGTGATTCACGACACGGGGTAAGTCAACCAATCCACCATACACCATAATATTCAAGCTCACGAGTTTCAGCATTAACTGCCGTCTCCCACAAACCCCGCGCTCTCCCTTCGCCGCGGCATCCCACTACTTCGACGATATCTTCTCGCGCACCGGCCGCCCGCAAACCCCGGGGCCCCGCAGCGTGCGCCGGTCGTCCATTACCCGGTCAATTGGTAACCGAAGCGATTTCAACTCCACGATCGCAGGAGATATGACACCCGGTGCATCGTCGACTCTGGACGAAGACTTCAGCAGCACTAGTCCGCAGAGTCGTCGCGGCAGCGCCGCCCCCGGATTGGATGGCAATGACGAGCATCTGAATCACTATGTGGCAAGCCAGCTGCAGCGGGTGCGCAGCTCGGCGTCGATGGCGGCGTATGAAGATGAGTTTGCAACTAAGCTCGAGAAGGAGAATGGGGAGAATGGGGCTTGATTTAGATACGGTGATGATATTGAAAGTGATCTACTTCGAAATATACACAGCATAGATGGTGCTAGCACTCCTTTACATTTTTGAATACACCATACTACACGATTTTATTTCCTAATTGCTCAACTCTCCCCATTTCACTCCGTATAGTTCGGGTGTTGTGTTTACCCGCCTGACGTAGTCAAGTTCTCCACTCTTCCTCGGCGGATCAGCATCATGAACTCACCCACTCACCCTCATCCCCTGACTTTCGTTCATGCCACAAATCCCATAACTAACTGGCCCCCATGCGGTCTTCACTATTAACAGCAGTAGTCTCTCCCACATAACGTACCTACCATTTCCCAGATATGCCATCGCCCGCGTCCACCGAGGACGCCCCGATGCTGACCTCTGCTACCGATGCAGACCCAGCATCGTCGCGATGGACTCGCGTCTGGGAGAAGCTGAAAGCGCCCTTTAGCGGCGCAGACCCGCGAGTCTGTATCGCCTTCTGGCTCTTTGGTGAGAGTACCTAGGTAGCCTTGTAACAAGACCGAGAGCTGACAACCGGCAGGTCTGGTCAACAACGTGCTCTACGTGATCATCCTCTCCGCAGCGCAGGACCTAGTCGGCGGCGACGTGCCGAAAGGTGTCATCCTCGTCGCAGCCATTATCCCCGCCTTCGCAACCAAGCTCACAGCTCCGTACTTCATCCACTTTGTCCCCTACGCGGTCCGCATCGTCATCTGCGTATTCCTCTCAACAATCGGTATGCTCGTCGTGGCATTGAGCCCCAGCTCAACCGACCCCTCTTCCATCGCCAGCAAGATCTCGGGAATTATTCTGGCGAGTTTCTCCGCTGGCGGAGGCGAGCTGAGCTTTATGGCCCTAACCCATTTTTATGGGCCGTTCAGTCTTGCTTCGTGGAGTAATGGGACGGGTGCAGCGGGGCTCGTGGGTGCGGGTGTTTATGCGCTTGCTACTTCGCTGATGGGGTTATCGGTGCGCACGACACTGTTGGCTTCGGCTTGCTTGCCTCTTGCTATGGCCTTTGGGTTCTTTGTCGTGCTACCACGCGGGGTGCTACAGGCGGAGCTAGCGCAGGATGGATATACTGCGATTGAGCGCGGGGAGTTGCTCGCGGAGGATGGGCTGGAAGGTGATGAGGCTGGTTCAGAAAATGACGGGCTGCTCGGCGTGGCGATCCATTTAACAGACAGCCATAAGGATATCCGGGTGAACGAGGCCTCGTCCTGGTGGAACCATGTTCAGACCAGCTTGAAGCGCATGCGGAAGCTGTTTCTGCCATTGTAAGTTCCTCTCTACCCCTATGTCTTGGCCCTATAATTACTAACTCGCCCACGCCAGCATGGTCCCCTTGCTCATCGTCTTCATCGCCGAGTACGTGATCAACCAGGGTGTATATCCTACCCTACTCTTCCCCCTGCGCGACTCTCCATTCTCTCACTTCCGGTCTTTCTATCCCGCCTACAACGCCGTCTATCAGATGGGGGTTTGGATATCTCGGTCATCGACTCCATTCTTGCGCATTCACAACGTCTACATCCCCGCCTTACTGCAGGTGGCCAATCTGCTGCTCTTCACGCTGCAGGCGCTCTTCAATTTTATTCCCAACATTTGGCTTGTTTTCATAATCATCTTCTGGGAGGGACTGCTCGGCGGCATTGTGTATGTCAACACCTTTGCCGAAATTGGCGAGCGTGTGCCTATTGAGGAGCGGGAGTTTTCGCTCGGTGCCGCCACCGTCAGTGACTCAGCGGGTATCTGTATTGCGGGCTTCTTGAGTATGGGGTGGGAGGTGTGGTTGTGCAATTGGCAGATTGCGCATGGGCGGGACTGGTGCCGCAAGCTGTAAGGAATATATGAGATAGCTAGAATACTTATTTGGCTTCATGACTATACCACCTTCAACACTAAATCGAGATCACAGTTAGCTGGCGGCCATACTTGTCCCCAAGTCGAATCCTCAAACCCGCGCGGTTGTAGGTCATTGCACGGTCCAACATCAGAAAAGGAATACCTTCGAGTATCACAGTCTTTACAGGTAAACGGTCACGAGTCGACTGTACGTATCGTGGTAAGATGTGCGACGTTGATGAACGCATGCGCTGCGTCCAGGAGGAGAACCGCGTTGAAGTGTTTGGCAATTTCTAACACTCAAATATGGGCGCCAGAGCACGCACTAAAACTGGCACGCTGTTCTGTCCCTTGAACAGTGCCCCATCATAGATTATGTACTTCGTCGTGTTCAATCTTTCTGCCCCATTCAAGCCCCACCCCAGAATGGGAAACATTTTAGGGCTTGCGTAGTATAAAAGAATGGGAAAAGTATGTACTGTGATTGTTTGTTTAACAACTATACTGGTTCACGATGGCTCTATCACACCGCACATATCGTGATCAATACTGGCATCCGGCATTTGCAGGTAGCGGGCGGTGCGACGGACATCTTTGGGCATATCGTCACGCCGGCTGATCACCAGATCAGCTCGAGAAGGGTGAAAATGTGGGCGAAGACTCATTCAGCGGCGGTGGACCATGCGGCCTGGCATGCGGCGCAGAGGTTCCGCGAGGGGCTTTCGTATCTCAAGAACTGTGATGTCAATGGTATGTTCCATTCTCCATGGTGCTTGGTGATTGGAACTTTAACCTGTTACGCTTCTCATCACTTCGGGGCTGAGGAGCAGCCTACTATCCTCTGCACGCATGCTGGGGGCCGTGGAAATGCAGCAGGAGGAGTTGGCGGGCGCTTATGAATCATCTCATCTCATTGATGGCGTCTGTTTCGCCGATGGATATCTGGCGAACTCTGAGAAGATGCTCCCTGGCAACAACATGGTCTTCTGGTTGGTTGATATCTGCCGTTAACTAGCCACTGATGCCTCATTCCATAGGCATGAAATTATTTATCGCCACTCTTTCTCGAGGAACGGTCCAGCAGACTCCCATCGGCCTGGGTGAAGTGCTGTGATGGTGAATGAGGATACTCGTCAGGCTATTCGATTCCAGTTCTTGTATTATAGGCTGTCTTGCTCCAATTCATAGCTCAAGACGGGATATAATCACAGCTGACAATTTCAATACATCGTTTAAGGCCTAACAACTTGAATGTGCATTTGGAAATCATTTTCTATTGGCTACAACAATTTCGTTCACCAGAGTAACCAAGGTGGTGCAGGTGAACAGTAGAGGTCTAAAGTATTCATAAAGCCCCGCGGCTAGAGATGATGGCCAGACTGGTGGGCATACGTTTATGATTAGGCCATCCCAAGTGGTGGCGTTTCGTAATTTGTAACGTTCGTAAGTGATTTCCGAGCCAGCGATGGTGAAGTCAGAATATCGTGGCAGGATGTGTGCACGGAATACCGTCCCAACTATCCGCTCCCGGTACCTAGCGCACTGGCGGGATAGATCTCACAACCAGTGTCATACAGGCTTCGTGACACAAAAGTAATGTTTGAGCTGTTCTTACCACCGAACCTTACAATTCCGGGCACTGAGCTCATGTTAGTCGCTTCTGCATCAGTCCTTGCCAGTCAGATGTACGCACACTCTGGGTTGTAAACCGGCAACCCTTTCCGTACCAGCCCATTCCAAGGATCTTTAGCGAATGTAGTCCAAATATCCCTCATCATCTCACCAAAAGCGGCCTCCTCTTGTGTATCGGGAATATGTGTCAGAAATTCTGTTGTGCCGAATATTTGCGCAATCTCCGATCCATGCCACGCGCCAGCCCCCCGACGTCCTGATTGGGCCACATCGCAGCATACATATACCGCCACGCGTTGATTCCGTGTTCCACACGAGCTGATACGGTGGGATTCGCCGCACATCCAATTGGCGATAAGGAGAAGAAAGAGTCGTTCCATGAAGTAATTGGAGGGCACTGTCCAGTTCCACAGGCAATAATAGTTTCCAGACCGTTTTCATTTGTCACATCCCCGGCGAGAATAGGCTGCCTCATGAACGAAGTTGGTAAGCGAAGGTCTCATTTTCGTTCGTGCAAAGGAATCAACTTGCCCGTTTTACAAAAGCTCCCCTTATCCTTTGGCTTGTGTAATTTGCCCAAACAATCCGGTTATCTGCCGTGGGACCGAAATACCCTTGTACGGCGCTGAGTATGTCCATATAACTCTTCGTTTTCATGCATTCCAGTGTTTTGATTCCGGCTTCGGGCCCACCACAGTCAAGCTGAAGACTTGTATTAAACCACCCCGACATGTTGGCGGCAGGAGCATCATACGCGAAGCCAGACTCGATGATAAAACCGGAAACAATCGGATCTTCCGTCCACGCAAAAGAATAAAAATCCACCGATTGCCCCCCAGCCGACTGTCCAAAAAGTGTGATGCGATCTGGGTCACCACCAAAGTGTGCAATATTGTTTCTCACCCACTCGACTGCCAAACGTTGATCAAGAAGGCCTAGATTCAGGGAAGGCAGTTTATCAAATCCTGGAAACCCAAATATACCAACACGGTAGTTGATGCTCACTACCACGACATCTTTGGAGTCTACGAGACGTGCGCCATTATATGCCGGATTGGCAGTACTGCCAGAGGTAAACCCTCCTCCGTATATCCAGATCATCACCGGTTTCAATGTTGGTCCACCATGAGGCTTGGCCCATACATTTAAGGTGAGACAGTCTTCTGAAAAGGAGTCCCCCGCCTGAATCAATGTACTAAAAATAGTATCAGCTACAGATTCATATGATATTGACGAGTTTGGCGGAGCCATTCCATTGGCCGGACAGTCAGGAGAAAACTTGGTCGCAAAGATGGGCTCTGCCCCATAGTACGGTCGCGGTGCTTCGAACCGAAGTTGTTTAATGGGTGGCTGGGCATAGGGGATTCCCAAGTATTCGGATACATTTGGTTGCCACGAAGATGAATGGCCAAAAACTAGTCCACTTGTTGTCCGCACGGGCTGACCAGCTCGGACATTTGGTTGGCCACGTGTAGCCAGGACCAAAGTTATCAGGAGTGATTGTAGATAAATATTGAGATACATGGCGAAGCCAGTTGAGAGCTCAGAGAGTTCGGTTTCTTGGTTTTGTATCTTCCAAGCCGAATATCTCACCGTCAGCCTTGTTTTATTTCTCCGCCGAGAAGAGGGGTAGAGAGGCGACGGAGAACCAGTGCAAATGTGCCATTCCCACGCGGAAGTCTTTCTCTGCCACTCCACCAATGATAGCGGTCATTTTATTATTTTGTATCTCTGGCCTTTCAAGACCTCAAGTCATATTTGGTCCCGTAGCTAATGGGCAACACACCATTCCATGACGTTCACTACTACGCGATCTTCTGTGCTTCAATTCAAAGGAAGATTATCATTTTTGTTTGAGAGGGAATCTATATATGCGAGATCAAGTTGATTAAGTTGATGATTCGTATAGACACTTCAGGAATAATTTCCGACGCTGCGGCCTGGTCAACTGGTTAGCTCCGACAGGCTGTCGTTATTGGCAAAACGGAACAACGTCACGGAATTCCATAGAATCGCATAGTGAATCGCTTCAAATCGGACTTTAGCAAGCGCCACTAAAAAAGTCTTGTTATAGATGACCAAGCGCCGTCTTATCATGGCCACGTGATCCTTACAGGGTACGCTGACCTGCAGTCACCGGCCTCGACAGGCATCAACTCATCCTGCCTTATCTACCTACAAATGCTGCTCTTAGGCTCGTCTTCTTCAATTACGATAAAGACCACGAACTAACTGGATTTGCTTCAAACTCACTGAGTTTAACTCCTATGCGATTTGACTATTCGAACACTAAGTCTTCAAATGCAAAATTCTGTCCTCCTTTATGTCACTGTCGATCGGCCGGCTATCGAAATATCGCATCTGGTTGACGCTTTGAATGAGCCAAACAGACAGTTCACTGCGGTCTACAACCTTCCTGATGTCATCGAAGTCGCTCCACATGCACATCAAATGATTATCGGAGCACCAGTCAGTAGTCTCGTGGCCTTGCAACTAGACTGGGCTGAGGAGCATCATATATCATCCGTGACAAATCACAATGTTTCACTTTTCATAGTCGCGGACGAGCTTTCACTGCCTACAGTCCTCCCGCGTACTGTGCAAGTAGTGTATTTGGTTGAGAATTCTGACTCCACTGAAACTCGATTTGAATCGTTACGAACCTTGGTACCTGACGCTATAAAAGTCTTCACTACTATCGATGGCGGCCAGCAAGGTTGGGATGAGTTCATGGACTTAGCACGATCGAATGGGGGGTCCTCCCTGAATTAGGAGGTCCATAGAGCTCTTATAACACAGCAACATTATGATTCGATAAAGCTATGTAACTAGACGTATGAAGAGCAATATCCAATGGTGAAAGATCGTTATTTACTCCAAATTGAGTAGATAAGGGAAAGCACTTATATCTCAACCTGTCCCCAGGATCTTAGCGAGGGAAGGCCAAAGGATGTACGCAGATGATATGAGGATACTTGTTACTACATGACGATTTATATCGATACAGTTGCGTTGAATTTGCCCAGATTTTGTGCAATATAAAACCTGTGATTATTTCCGGTAAAGGAGACATTGTTCACTATACAATTTGCCTATATTTTTGCAAGGCTCTTGGCCCATTGCACAAGAACTCAGGGCACGTTCTTGAAGTCCTTCTTCTCACAGTCAAATCGATATATTTCGTCGTAATTATCTTTTAGCCTAATGTGTTCGATAGAATCTCCTAGAAACCTCTCCACGTACTCCTCGACAATCTTGAATTTCAGACCGTCTATACTGATAGAGAATTCCTCAAGAAATGTCTCAATCTCAATAAAATTTGCCTGCCTGGTTTACGTAAACGCCCTAGGGATTGCCAGTACATGTCTCGACAAAGCTTTCAGATAGGAAGCACTTGGAATATCCCTTTGAGCCAATTAGAAAGGAAGATTATTTGCTTCCGATATTGTACCGAAGTCCTAAATGTGGCATTACACTAACAAATGTTTCGTGATTTTGTCGACGAGCTTGCTTTTTCGTCTCAGTATTTCTCGCTCTGACATGCGAGTACAGATGATGGTGATTGTCGCGAGTTGGACGGATAAGGTAGCTGGAGTGATAACAGCCGTTAACGGGATAAGCCTGCTTGGATAGTGAGTGATCGTCCATTGGCCTCAAGGTAGAGGTCGCACGGCATCCAAAGAGTGTGCGGTGGACGGCGGCATTTGAGGCTATGAAATTGCTCCAGGGGTTGTCTCTCGGTCATACAGTAGATACCTAGCCGTTGACCCCTATCTCCCGCAAGGTAACTAAAACTTGTTCATTAACCCTAACTCTTTCTCCCTATGCTCTGTCACATGAATGTATGCCTCAGGCACCTATCACATGATAGCCAATACGTATTCTTGCATGTGAAGGTGACAATGACATGGATAACTGCAGTTTCGTGTTGCTCTTTGGTAACTCTTCTTCATCTGTATAGACTAGTAGATTGCACAGTTACTGCTGGCCATGATAGGTAAGGCATATCCTGCTCTAAATATGGGCTGCCGCTAACCCAGATGGGCAGACCACGTCCTGGGCAGACCCTCCACCCGATTCCGCAAGATCCAAGTGTTCGCCGTGGTCTCTTTCTGGTCACTCTATCTTTGGAGGTTAGGCTACCTACCCAAAGCATATTCAATACTCATGCCTATTCACTAACACCCATCACAGAGCCCACAAGCATGGCCCACCACTCTTCCGTTCCGTCTCCTCCCGCCTGTCAGGCCGGTTGTCTACTTGGCAGACAACAGTGATCATCTTCCTCTATCTATATGTCAGCCGCAACTTTGCCAAGATCGTCGGTCTGGAATCCCCTGAACCACTGTCCAATCTATATTCGCGCTCATTCTTCCGCGCAACATGGATCGCTACCGGCCTTGACGCGGGCTTCTGGACCGCTATGAAAATCAAGCCCAAGTGGCTGCGTGATTTGGCATCGCTCGTGTTTACGGTTTACTATCTCATTGCTGCGGAGCGTGCAGATGATAAAGTTCGTCGTGTGCGCGCCACCCTGACCGTCGAGCATCTGCGCGTCGCGTGGAATAAAGCGACCACGCCGTATCTGTGGGCGATGGCGAAATTGGTGCGCCCGCGGTTGACAAGGTACTCGCCGCGGGCAATTCGGATTCCACGTCCTGCGCAGTCGGTTCATACCGAGCCTGTTAATGCGTGGCTGTACTTTGACGGACCGTTGAGTGCGCTGCGGGACCAGACATGCTTGGTGCTGGATGTTCCCGGCGGCGGGTTCGTGGCCATGAGTCCACGAAACTCCGAGGATAAACTGCTTGCTTGGGCGGGACAGCTCAAGGTGCCGATTCTGAGTATTGATTACAAGAAAGCGCCCGAATATGCATATCCATATGCCCTGCACGAGTGTTACGATGTCTACCACGCCATCGTCCGTTCCTCCGGGCGCTGTATGGGGCTAAGTGGCGAGATTCGTCCGCGTGTGGTGGTCACTGGTGAAAGCGCGGGTGGTAATCTTGCAGTGGGGATGGTCTTGATGGCGCTGCAGTCGGCTATGGCACAAGGCTGGCAAGGCGACGATGTGCTCCCGCGACCGGATGGCGTCGTACTCGCGTATCCGGCACTGAATATGCAGGTTGCAAGCTGGATGACAGATGAGCAGATGTCGTTGATTCAGGACAAAGGCTCGAGTAATACGAACCGCAGCGTTCTTGAACGAAAACGGGATCAATATCGCAAGTTGACGCCTTTCACTTCGCCTGGTCATTCCGTTGAGGCCCTGACCGAGCTCTCTCCCTCAAATGGTGAGCAAAAGGACAAACAAAACGATGTGCCAAGCGAGGTCGCCAAATCCCTCGAAGAGAGAATTAAAAAGAGTGATATCCTCGCCGCAAACAAGACAGACGAAGTCCAGCCCCTGCGGACCAGACTTGCAGTTTCATCGATGATCTCCTATGTCCACGACCGTATCCTCACGCCCGAAATGATGCGCGCCATGATTATCCTGTATATCGGACCACACCATCGTCCAGATTTCAGCACAGACTTCTGGCTTTCTCCAGTCCTTGCCCCCGATGCCTTACTCGCAAGATTCCCCAAAACATACATCCTTACTGGCGAGCGCGATCCATTAGTCGACGATACGGTCATTTTTGCTGGCCGTTTGCGCCAGGCAAAACTGGGCCAGTTCCGTGAACGCCACGATATGGGTTTGGAAAAGTCACAGCGCCAGTTCCACGAGAAAGACCACGTGGAAGTCTCCCTGATCCCGGGGGTATCGCATGGGTTTATGCAGATGGCCGGCTTCTTTCCCGAAGGATGGAAGTATATCAATCGCAGTGCGAAGTGGATTGAAGATCTGTTTGATGCCGCCTGCAAGCGGAGCCCGCAATCAAGTCTCCTCCAGTCGACGAATAGGTCTGCCATGAACGGCTCTGGAAGGTCACCAAATTGGACCACGCACACTCCTAATTCCATTTACCAGCGCCGAAATCACTACCGCAGCCTCACAGGCGAATCATCGGGCGATGAGGATCGGCCTCTGGAAATGAGTATTGGCAAATTAACACCAATGACACAACCTGAAAACACGGAAGATTCCCGTCCCCGACACAAGAAATCCCGGTATCAGCTACCGGGACGGCTGACGACAATGAATGACAAGCAAACTACAAACAAGCATTCCCACCTAACTCACCGAGTCGACTACTTCTCTGCAGACGAGACAAATAGCGCACCGGAGAGCCCGGTTGCAACCCGTCCCCGTGGACGAAGCATCAGCTCTCTCGGAAGTGAGGAAGATATCCTCGATCGCAGAATGAATGGATTAGCGGGCGGATTAATGGGACTCGGCGAGAGAGCGCAGACACCCGGTCCGTGAGAGGGATTCGCATAGACTCCGACATGACATGATTTACGACATGCACGTTTTTAAGACGCTTGGTACATAAACCCTGGCCTTTCGCAAGGGTTCTATTTTTGTTTATATTGTGATTTCAGTGTTGTAAATACAGAGCAAGTGCGATGCGGAAAGGAGTCACTGCCCATCAGTGGAGAAATGTATGTATCTTCAATTCATAAGTTATAAAGTGCAATAATTCTACCATCATGCAATAATCAATCATCTATGTATCTCTCGCATCTATCTCAGCATCAGGCTGGCTCTGCTCCTTCGACAACCGTGGATTCCTCAGAATGAAAGCCAGCAAAATCATCGGCGCCGCAATACAAATACCTGCCATGCAAAGAATCTTCTGAACATGTCTGTAGCTCACAATTATGGCGTTCCTCTCCGGTGTCCCAATCGGATACGAAGGAACAACCTCGAATGGAGACCCGTATACCGCTTTGGCGAGTGTTGCGTTGGACTGGAACGAAAGGTTTTCTTTCAACGATGGATATAGCGTCTGAGTCCAGATTGCTCCGGAGACGCAGGTCCCCAGTGCGCTTCCCACGTTATATGATGCGAGGTAGATCCCCGTTAGAACGGCCATGTGTTCGTGTTTTGTGGCCGCTTGGACGGATGCTTGGGTTGGGTATGCGAAGAAGCCGCCGGCTAGACCCAAGAGGACCTGGGCTCCAATGACACCTGCTTTAGAACTATCGGAGGCACCACCTCGGAAACGGAGGACTAGGCCGTATGCGACCATGAAGAGACACGTGCCGGCCACAATGAAATATTTCAGCCTCCGCACTTTGTAGATAATCAGGCCCGTTATGAGTCCGCTGATCAGGCCGAAGAATGAGTAGAAGGATTGGACTCTTGTGGCGGCGGCGACAGTAAAATCAAAGGCCACGATCAGGACGGTGTAGAGGTAGTCTGCTTGGAGATACCAGGAGAAATTTAACAGACATCGTATGGCGAGCGCACTCCAGACACCACGATCCGTTAGCAGATGGAATGGTGTTAATGGATGTCGTGCGCCTTTTATCTCCCAGAGGATAAACGCAGGGATACACAAAAAGCCCACGATAAGGGGAGCAATGATATACACCTTCTCCCAATGCAAAGTGGTTCCACCGGCGATAGTCAGCGGCGCAAGAATAAACCCGAAAGCGAGGATGAGCAAAATGATGCCTATCACGTCCAGCTGGTGAAGGAGATCTGTGCCAAATCGACGCATCCCCAGAAACTGCATTGGACTGGGGTAGTCATCCAGTGCACCGCTCTTTTGGGCTCGGCGTCCAGTATAGAATAAAGACCAGAGAAGAGGCACCGAGCACACAGAATAAATAATTGCCCACATGCCTATGCCCCATCGCCAGGATGTTCGCGCCAGTACCGTGGAGGTTATATTGCCGCTGATCCAGGTGTTGATGATGTATGGCGTGGCTGGGAGGTAGCTAAACAGCACCCTTGATCGCATCGAGGTGATGTCCGAAAGAATGATCTCGACGAGCAACAGAATGCCTGTATACCCGATTTGGTAGGTCACTGTGCCAACGCAAAACATTTCTATGGATGAAGCACTGCTTTCGATAATGGTGCCAACAACATAGAACGCCATCGACACCCCAACAATCTCAAATCGACCAAAGACATCGGCGATTCTTGCAGCTGCGGGTTGAGCCGCGACCGCGATGACACTGCGAACCACATTCACCGCCGCGAGAAGGGAGTGCTGGCCGAAGCTCGACGTCGCATGGGATTGGTATGTGGATCGGACTTGGCTGTCGAGACCGTAGGCATATCCGACAAGGAATATACCGATAAAGATCAAAATACGGTCTTTCCTCGTCAGCTGGGCGTTGATGGCTTCGATCCGGGCGACCCCTGGAGACTTGGCGCCAAATAATGACGGCGTGAGGTGACCGTTATTACTCTCTCTGATAGTCCCATAACCCCGATCCCAGCCGTTTTGCGCGAAACTGGATGTCTCTGTGAGGAGATTATTGTGGATTCGCGCAACGCTGGCGCGGCCCAGCGGGGCATGATTCGTCATATTGGTCGTACAGTCCGACGGAGATCGTGCTGGGTATGCTGTGTTAAGTCATGGGTGCGAATTTAGAGATATGCGAAATGAGCGAGGGCGGGAAGCCATCCGCAAATCATGGAGAAGTAGGTGAGAGTTGTCAAGAGGGGAAATGTTTGATCTGATAAGATGGCCCCGACAAAAACAGGAGCGACCCACTTACGCGTATCCCACCGCTCCGATAAACGGAGACGCTGTCAGATGATATGGACCCCAAGTCAGAAAACTAACTAACTAAAATAGAATTAGACTCACTACAGTAATGAGCCAGGCTACACCATTCCACACATCCGCTACAGGTGCACGTAGTGAGGTTGCATAGGAGAAATGATCCATGAATCCGATATCCACTAACCTAGGGAATCCCTAGTATCCGGCTAACCTGATCGTCACTGACACCAGATCCAGCAAAATCATCAAAACTCGTCTTTGCTAGAGGAAAGATGTGGTTCGCAATGAATGGCGCACCCTCCTCCGCGCACACCATCTTATCCTTGAACGCACATTCAGACTCAAGCACAGCCCATCCACAGTATCCGTGTTGGATCAGTCGTGTGAAAATCCCCTTGAATTGTACTTGGCCATCTCCGAGTGCTCTGAAGCGACCCGCCCGTTCTATCCATGAGCCATACCCTCCATAAACGCCTTGGCGACCATTTGGAACAAACTCGGCGTCTTTGACGTGGAAAATTTTAATGCGTTCATGGTAAATGTCCACAAAACTGAGGTAGTCGAGTTGTTGTAGAATGAAGTGACTGGGGTCATAGAGAATACAAGCTCGTTTATGACCACCCACGGCTTTCAGGAACAGTTCGAATGATACTCCATCGTGGAGATCCTCTCCTGGATGGATTTCATAACAGAGGTCAACCCCTGCTTCGTCAAACGCGTCGAGTATCGGCTTCCAGCGCGTTGCGAGCTCGTCGAACCCTTTATCGACCAATGATTGCGGTCGCTGTGGCCATGGGTACATGTATGGCCACAGCAGTGCTCCACTAAACGTTGCATGAGCTTTCAACCCCAAGTTCTTTGATGCTTTAGCTGCCATAAAGAGGATATTCCGGGCCCATGCTTCGCGACGCGGGGATCTCCGCGAACGTCTTGCGGAGCAAAGCCGTCAAAGAGAACATCGTAGGCAGGATGAACAGCAATGAGCTGTCCTTGAAGATGCGTGGATAGCTCAGTAAGTTGGATTCCATAGCGTTTGAGAGTGTCTAAAAGCGCGGAACAGTAAGATAAGTCGTCTGCGGCCCTCTGAATGTCAATGAGCCGTGGGTCAACAGGGATCTGAATCCCCTTATACCCGAGACGTGCGGCCCACTCGGCGATTCCTTCCAGAGTGTTGAATGGAGCTTCATCGGAGATGTATTGTGCGACAAAGATCGCCGGGCCATTGATGCCGCTGGAGTTGGACATGGCACAGTGTGTATAGACGAAAGCGAAAGGGTATCAAGGAGATATAGTCCGAAATGGTCTATCCTTCGATAGGATTCTAGAAGATAAGTGTCATGATCTAGATGCAAGCAAGTGCACAAATTTGGCGAGATTTAAGCAATTATATTCGAGACTGATCAAAGAGCCCCGCTATCCAATGATGTAATACGCACTCGGCTCGAGACGATCGACCATTCTCCGAGAAAGAAGCCCATTTCCAAGGCCCAAGATACAAACTCTCTACAGAGAAGGCACGATTTTATTATGAGTGGACAACCTTGTGTCATAATTGTAATCTACAGGTTGTACTTCTGGTAAGCCCTACTAGATCTCCAGTCGGATGTGAAAATAAAAGGGCCGCGACGAACGCGGAGGGTCTCCGAGGCGCCGCTGTCGGGGCCGGCATGTCTCCGTGAATGGGGGTGTCCAAGCGTCAAGGCGCATCTGCCGTCCATATCTCTATAATAATCTAAACAGTCATAATTAATTCGAGAGAACCAAAGTTGGGAGTTATCCCTAAGCGTCTTCGTTAAGATTTCCATCCCCTGTGCTAGCTTTTCCATCGCTATCTTCATCGAGATGGGACAGTCCATAACAGGCCGTGGCCGGCTGCACCCGTTATTGGCACGCTGCCACAATTCACAGTATTTCACAGTAACGTAGTCATCATCTAAATTCTTGTTGAATTTGTTATCTATCTCCAATGTCTAAAAGTAAATAAAGCGGGCAAAAGAATGATAAGGCATGGCTCAGGGATCAGAACAGAAAACCATGAGCTTCTGCAGGGAGAAGACAAGGAAATGTTTCTCTAAAATGGGCCTCGACCTCAACTGGCTTGTAGGTCTCCTCCAAGTACTTCTCCTCTTCCTATGTGAGTTCTTCCCGCGCACAGAGAGAGCATCATCGATTCTCGCGACGCTGCTGAAGCCAATAATAGGGCTTGCCACTCGCTTCATTTTCCATGCCAGTGTGACTTGAGACATAGTCCACCCCTTCTCCTTGGTTAGGTCATGTACTCGATTGATGATTTCTTTGGACTCATCACCCATGCTCGAAGGGTTTTATTACCGCCAGAAGAAGGCCCTCGGATATTCAGGGGACGAGCAAGCTAATCTTCTGCAAGCGGACCTCACTAGATAAGAAAGACCAGGATTAGTCGATAGAAGTGTAGATGAATGTAGCCAGGGCGCTTCATTACCGGTATAACAGTCGCGTCAGTTGCATTGCAGAACTTAGTCATCTCACGTTCTTCTTCGCGATACAGCAGGTTGTAACGATTTTTTAAAGCAATTAGCAACCCAGGTAATCCAGTCGATGTCTGTTAATGTTGCGTACTTGCATGGCAATAAATTTGGTCCATTACTTCTGCTCCGCCTAGGCTTGCATTATCGCGAATTGGTACGTCCACATTGATGGAGCTCCGAGATAACGGATCTTGTCTGAAATAACGAGATCATAAAAAGCATGCATGATCTCTTCGATTGGTGCGTATAGCCAAACCGATGGATCCAGAATACGTCAAGGTAACCTGTCTCCAAACAGTTGAGGGAACCATTCACTGAAGTAAATAGTGCCGACCTTGAAAGACCTTTTAACTTCAATTAGCAAATTGCACACGTTACACTATAGTTGTAATTGGCTCGCCAAACTGGTTTGAACTCAGATACATTCTGGCCACTATCATTTTTCTTACCTGCATCAATTTATCTTGATTTGACATTTGACACGTCTGTTGGTTTGGTTAACTTTATATGTAGTTTCTGACTTCCCGGCTGGATGTAGCTTACATGGATCTTGTCAAGGCACATAAAGCACTATGAGCATCAGAGAGGGGTGCTGTCAATTACTTGAGGCTCTCCTATGTACTCATATTCGAATATGTGACATGAACATGATCCTATAGGCATTGTCCGCGGTGCGCCGTAGTGCCCCTGTCAAGGCCGGCATGTCTCCGTGAGTGGGGGTCCAAGCGTCAAGGAGCTTCTGCCCGTCTGTCTAGTCTCTATAATAATGTATTCGAGAGAACCAACGCTGGGATTTGGCTTTAGTTTCTTCGTTGCTAAACTTTCCAGCTCCTTCGCTAATTTTTCCATCACTATCTCATTGTTTGTTGCTGTAAATCATGAAGCCCTACTTTGGTTTAACTGGGGGGTGGCTCACTTTTTGGTTGACTGTGGCGTGCGCGACGAATATGGCATTATTTGGGTATGATCAAGGAGTTTTCAGTAAGAACAAGCCAATTATTTTCTACTGTATTTGCAGAAATACATTAACATTTATAGGCGGTGTTGTTGTATCCGACAACTTCTTGAATACCCTTGGCCTCGTCAATAACCCCAGTCTCATCGGAACAATATCCGCGTTGTTTGATGTTGGATCGTTCTTTGGCGCCGTTCTAACTTTGTTCATTGGAGGGTTGCTCGGTCGAAAGAAGACTCTATTGCTGGGTACAAGCATCATGATCCTAGGTGTCTGTCTTCAAACAGCTGCTTCTACCATTAGTGTGATGATAGCCGGGCGCATAGTCACGGGACTCGGAAACGGGCTCAACTGTGCAACAGCTCCAGTCTGGCAGAGTGAAACCTCCAGTGCAGAAATGCGTGGCAAGCTCATAATCTTGCAGCTTATTATGTGTGTTGTTGGGTTTTCCGTTTGTAACTGGCTGAACTTCGGCCTTGCCTTTGTCGGTGGCTCGTTCGCCTGGAGATTCCCACTTGCATTTCAACTTCTCTTCTTACTCATAATATGGGCTACCACGCCATGGCTTCCAGAATCTCCCCGCTGGTTGATCAGCAAAGGAAGGGTTGATGAGGCTCAACAGATTATTGCTGATCTCGCAGCTGTTCACTCTGACCACCCCCATGTGGCAAGAGAGTCACGGAGAATTGAGAGCGCGATCGCGTTCGAAAGGGAAAATGAGCCAAGTTTCTGGGATATCTTGCTAAACCGGACTCGCTCTCACTCTGGAACATGTGCCACCCGCCGACTTATTCTTGCAATGGCTACATTGGCTATGAAGGAACTTACTGGTATCAACGTCACCAGTTATTATCTTCCTACGCTACTCACTTCCTCTGTGGGGCTTTCCAATACTATGGCGCGACTTATTACTTCACTGAATACGATCAGCTATCTAATTGCGAGCTTCTTCGGAATTCCGTTGATTGAGCGCTGGGGTAGACGGAAGATGATGATTGTGGGCGCCGCAGGGCAAGGATTCTCACATATTATGATCTGCATCTGCATTCGAATCAAAGAGCTCCCCAGTGAGACCCACCAAACCGAAGCTGCCAAGGCATCAATTGCATTTTTCTTCCTCTATTATGTCTTCTTCGCCATTGGATGGCAGGGAATACCATATCTTTATCCAACAGAAATCAACTCATTGGCCATGCGCACCAAAGGGGTTGCGCTCAGCACTGCTACAAGCTGGGCTTTTAACTTCATGGGCAAGTGACTCCTTCCGCTCTGTGGAACTAAAACAAATAGTCTAATCATGTGAATAGTTGTTCAAATTACTCCCATAGGGATTAGCTCCATTCGATGGCGGTTCTATATTATTTGGGCCGTTTGCAATGCCGTTTTTATTCCGACTATATATTTCTTATATCCTGAGACATCCAATCGAACCCTCGAGGATATTGATAAATTCTTTCGCGAAAACCACGACCCTTTGGTTTTCCGGTACGATGAAGCAGTATCTGTGAAACGACCCTCTCGCTATCATCTGGAGGACCAGAGTGAGCTGGACGGTAAAGATTCGGAGAAAGCAGAAGTTCAACACTGCGAGTAATATTTGGAAATACATGTATCTACCCGTACTTAGCTCTGTTTCTATTCATACTAAGTCCGTTAAAATTCTGGCATACAAGGCCGTCTGTAGTATAGTACCGAGTTTCGCATGTCTGCTTATAAATGTATACCCAAAACGGTTGACAGTGATAAGTTTTCGCTCAATCGGTTGCCCTTCTGCTAGCAGTATCGCTGAGAGGTTGAAATATGATCAATGTTAGTTTCTTGAATTACTGAGTGCCAGTCGATCACCAGCATACAAATCTATATTACAGTTTCATTTGCTACCATTCTTACGGTATGCAAGAAACCAGGTCACTAACAAACGAAAACGTTCTGAAAATGATCGAAGATGCAATATGAACATAAGAATTACACGCAAGATTGACAGAAAATAATACTTGGTTCTGCTTTAGGCATGCGATGTCAAGGCTGCATTTGCAAGTCGCTCTTCCAACTTCCAGTCGACCGTTCCATCATCCCTCATCACCGGCAACATTGTGGGTTTGATCACTCTTGGTAGTTGATCGTTCCCGGAAATATTCTTGTGGATATGGCCATTGATGACAATGGTGTGTATTCGCTTCGTGTCCTGGAAGATTTCAATGTCCTCGAGCGGATTACCGTCGATCAAAATCACATCCGCGTAGTATCCCGGAAGAACTTTTCCGAGCTCTTCAGGATGGCCCATTATCTCACCACCCCAGGCTGTGGCCGCAATGATTGACTCCATAGAGGAAAACCCAAATAGATTCACAAAGTGCGCTAGGTCTCTAGCATAGGTTCCGTGTGGGGACCATGCAAAACCAAAGTCTCCACCAGGAAGGACCTTGATGCCCCTCTTGCGCATCTCACTCATAGCTCGAGAGGCGATCTCAACTTCGCGCTTGAGTCCCTTCTTAGCCGCCATCTCAGGGGTCAATCCGTATGGTGTTGCCTCGCCGGTGCACGAAGTCAGAGGAAAGTTGATCGCAGGAGCGACAAACACACGATCCTTGATTTGCTCCAAGAGATCTAGACCTGCCTGGTCGACGAAAGAAGCATGATATATGACGTCCACTCCAGTCTTGGCACAAAGCTTGATTGATTCGCTGCTTCTGGCATGTGCACAGACACGCTTACCACGGTTGTGGGCTTCTTCGACGGCCGCCTTGGTCTCTTCCATCGTAAAGTATGTCTCCTCAGATCCCATAAATTCGTGGATGTAGTCGCCCGTCATGCTGAGCTTGATGTTGTCAATGCCGAGGGCTAGGAATTCCCGAACTACTCGTCGCATCTCATCCACCCCATCGGCGAACTTGGTGATACTGGGGACAATGGCACCACCGGTGGTTGAGATTTCTTGGGAGTTAGACAGGGTGCGAGGTCCAGGAATCATGTCCTTCTTTATTGCGCCTTTGATACATACATCCAGTCTAGGCTGCGCTGAAGCAGCTCCAAAACACATGGTATAACCGCAATCCAGATACGTTTTGGCGGAAAGCGCTGTGTGCAAGACATGCTCCTCGAGAGGTAGACTGACAAGCCCATCAAGAGTCGGGGAGTTATTCCAGCTGAGATGTGTGTGCGCATCACATAGTCCGGACATGAGTGTTTTCTTGCCCTGTCCGTCGATGATGAAAGTGTCTGGTGATGAGAGGACATCTTCCGACACTTTTCCAACCTGCACAATGCGTTCACCCTCGATTAGAACATCGCCGAGATATGGTTCCTTTCCCGTTGAATCCAAGATATTCACATTCTTGAACAGTATTTTGGCGGGATCATCGGGCTTGTGGTTGCTTATCTCAATATCGGCTGGCGTGGGTTTGTAGTGTTGGACGGCGTTGCCGTTAGCACCGTTCATAGAGGTCATCATCAAAGAGATGCTTTGTTTGGTTGGAATGTACAGGTAAAATGGCTCTCAATCGTTGCGAAAGTTATATGTCAACCTTCAGAGGGGTTATCAGTAGCGTCTCTGATATACGTTCCTTGATCATGGAGTGGCAACGGAACCTGTGGTTGAGCAAGCGGGGACAAGCCGGCAAGTAGGGAGAAATGCCTCCACGAATCCCTCCAACCTGAGTTAATCAGGTTTCAACTAGAACCAATTTAGATATCACTACCGTTCATGAATTTAAACTAGTTGAGGGGTTTACCTTGGTATCATCCGTAGGCTGGTGCTCGGCGGAGAGATGCCGGTGCGGGGACTGCTTTTGCCCCCACGAAGAGGTGTACGGCTATCAGAGAACCCATGCCATCCTCGTAGAGTGGACTTGGAAATGATACGACCTCATTACAAAAATATGAACTAGTGGGCTGAGCTGCTGAGGGTCACATATTTAGCAAACGATATTTCACCTTCTCAACGAACAAAAACCTATTCGTGTTTTCCCATTCTTCACTTCGCTTCGGAAACGTAGCCAGGAACCAAACCTCGAAATGGCGTCCAAGTCTTATTCCTTTGGATTTGTTGGCCTGGGTAATATGGGCATCAATATGGCCGCTAATTTGTCAACCTACGCGGCTGAGCACGGATTGCCCAAAATTCATGTGTGGAATCGTACTCCTGAGAAAGCCGAGGCTCTGGCGAAGGGGCATTGTCAGGCTGCTAGCTCCTTAAAAGAGCTCGCATTGTCTTGTGATATCGTCCATGGCTGCTTGGCCAACGACGAAGTGGCGCTCTTGGTCTACAAAGAACTATTTGCCGCAAACAAGACCGATGCCATCTATGTTGACCATTCAACTCTTTTCCCACCGACGTCACAAGCGCTCTATGAAGAAGCGCAGAAGCACGGCGTTCACTTCTTGTCGTGTCCAGTGTTTGGGCCTCCAGCGGCTGCGAAGTCGGCTGGTTTGCTGATTGCGTTATCTGGCAACGATGACTCACGGGAGAAAATCAAGGAGTACATTGTGCCCGCAATTGGGAAAGGAGTCATTGATTGTGGCGTCAAGACGTCAGACGGAGCATTGTTGAAGATTCTCGGTAACAATTGCATACTGGGAACCATTGAACTCCTTTCCGAGAGCTTCACCCTAGCAGAGAAAACCGGGTTTGACGTCAACTTGTTCTACGACTTTATCCGTTAGTTACCCTCCGTCTGCTACTTTTCACACTTCATAGTCGGATATAAGGGACTGATAGCATACACAGAGCAATGGTTCCCAGCGCCGGCTTGGGTGAATTACGGGAAAAAGATTCGAGATGGTAGTTTCAGCGGTCGAACAGGTTTTACTCTGCCAGGGGGTATGAAAGATGCAGATTTTATTCGCCGGCTGGGAATAGAAACTTCAACACCTACACCCATCATTGATCAAGCTTGGAGTCATTTGACAACGGCGAAAGCAATTGGTGGCCCTGGTCTCGACTGGAGCTCTTGCGCTGCGGGCATGAGGGTAACTGCTGGGCTGAAACCATTTAAAGGAGAGGACTTTTCTTTGGATCGTCAGACAAACGAAGAGACGAAGGGCGCCAATGGCACCAATGGCAGGTAAATGCCACCTCACATCAGCTGTTTTCTTGGGTGCCGTGTGCCTTGGAGATTTGGGGTACATAAGATAGATCTGCATATGTATCATATGGAAATCGGGTTAATCGGCCTGAAGGAAGTATTCGAAGAGTCTATGTGCCGTTACTCATTCAGTACCTATTGTGAGGTTCACGATCCAAATAGTTTTAGGGACTAAGCTTGGCTATCTCTACAGTTTAAAGACCTTTTCTATCGCCTGAATGCATCCTGTGGGGTTTTCCAAAGTATGCCAATGGCCTGCATCCTCAAATGATATGACCTCTCTCTTTGTCGAGGTGAAGTTAGACGCGACCGACTCCACTGTGGCCGGGGAAGAAACCTTGTCATCAGAACCACCCACAATGACAACTTTGGCAGTGATCCTGCTCCAGTCTGGCTCGGTGCTCTCTGCAAGAGCTTCACAGGCAAGCGCATAACCTTCTGGCTGCTGTCGAGAAAGCAACTCTCGGGCAAACCCGACGAGTTCTGGACGGGTCTTGAGGGTTGTAGGAGACAGCGATGCTCCAATAACGGTATCAGCCACTGCAACCATTCCAGAATCGCGGACAGTTTTCGCACGGGCTCGAAGTCCGTTCTGACCAGCTTCAGGCGGCGGCTTGACTGGACCATAGAGAACAAGACGAGTAACGGTCTCAGGGAGTTTTGCCGCCAAGTGCAACGCGATAAGGCCTCCTAGAGAGTGCCCCAACACTGTCACATCCTTCAAGCCAAAGCGTCTTATTATGGCTGCTCAATGAACAGTTAGCTAACTATGAATATATATTCCAAATTGTACACTTTCATAAGATAATTATTTCCTCTCTTGAAATTGGAACTGACCTTCTGCGTCTTCAACGTAGGTTGCCATGCTAGTTCTGGTATTTGCATCTTGAACACTTCTACCATGGCCACTGAGGTCGAAGCGAACCACATTGTAATCGCGAAATGATGAGACAATCGGTTGGAAAAAGTTGGTGGTACCGCCCAGTCCATGGATTCCCAGAATTGCTGGCCCATCCTGATTTCCCTCTTGCTCATAGAATATGGTGGAATGGCCATTCTGTAGTTGACCAGTCGCCCTCACTGATGAAGCCATATTTCATGAAAGCAGTGTAAAAATATTTAACAGATTTTAGATGGGGGTTAGAAATGGAAATTCGGCGCAGTGAAAAGCAATGAACATTGTTATATGTCATAAAATCCGCTCAACTAAATATCATGTGAATATTTGGAGAAAGGCCTGGGGCGGATGGGCACCACCGGAAACTCTCCGTCCAAAGTGGGGAAGCAGATCTGCAGCTACGATAGTCGACAAAAGAGCATACGCTATTACTCAAGAAGTATTTCAGCGGCATTCCAATACATGCAAAATTCACGATGAAGTCTTCCGATGGCAACCATGCATAGACTCCTTACCTGAACCTTATGGATCGTTATGACCAACAATTGTATAATTATCTAGTCGAAATTATCAAAAAGAGCAACTACGTATTCATTGTATACTTCAATTGCCTTGGCTCCCATTGAGGCTGCTCCTTTGCCCTCAATCTTGACTTTGGGAGCTCTACCTGGAGCGAATATCTGCGAGTTGCTTTTGACTTCTTCATGGGCCGACTCCAGTGCTTTCTGAACAAGAACAGGACTGCCGCATACCGTTAGTGGCTTGAGTTGAGACTCTTCAATCTCAAACAGCGCGGACATGCTGAAATTCTCAACTCCAGGCATGGCAGAAAATTGGCGAAGATCGGCATGCCGCAAATAAAACGTGTCCGCACAGGCTAAACTGTGCCATGTCTCTTGTCCTAGTATTTTTCCTCCTGGAGATGACCACCCGATCAGAGTGATACCACATGCCAGGCTCCGATTTTGTAGCCAGAGAAACGTTCTTAGCGCCCCTTCAAATGCTGCGGGCGATATGGATGCGTCAAGTGGAAAGCAGATTCCTATCGGCGCCAGCTCAGCATCGCGGCCTGCACGGCTGACATAGATATTGCCCAAGTTATCTTGCTATAGTGAACAACACAATATGTTAGTGACTGTCAATCATTTTATATTGGACATCGAAATTTGGTGCAGGAAGATACCGTATACTGTAACATATTCTTGGCTGCCAACAATCGCAATCCTTTGCGCAGGCCTATGTTGAGTGGCGAAACATTCAGTTCTGACAATTGTGAATAGAAGCCAAGCAGCCACTTCACTGTCTGGTCAATCTTTTGGTCTTCAGCCATAGTAGCAGATATTTTTCTTGACTCCGAATTTCCGCAGTAAGATCCGCTTTTTCGTCGCCCTGAAAACAGATATTAATATTGTACTGGTGTATGTTAGTGGCTGTTCAGTGTTGGCCTTTCCTTCTCCACAACTGCTGATGTTCACTCATTAATTTCAGGTTTTGGATTCCTGCAGATCCCTAATCTTGGTGATATCCGATACACGGTCGTCTGACACCTGCTCACAATAACCCCCCTCTTCTGCATTCGCCAGACACTAATTCCGGAGAGATGCCGCTCATACTGTGACGTCAATCAGCCCGAAGGATCTTAATTTCAGTGACCCCGCATTTGGGCCTTTACTCTACCCCGGATAGACGCCATGCTCACGGGGGCATTCTATCACAAGGATCAGGTAGCCCCGCATTTTGCCCCGTCGAACAGAGTCAGAGTCATGGCCGTTAGAACCAATCCACTATCGTTGTTATGTCTGTCTTGCTCCATAGCCATCTCGGTAAGGTTTGCTCCGGTCAGAATGCAGCCTAAAAGCTTGGTGCACACCTTGAATCGTTGTCACGGACCGGGTAGAGTAAATGTCACTCGAGGGCCGCAATTGGCTGTCTCTTGTTTTATAGCCGCTCTAGACTAGGAAATGATGGAATATAAAGATATAAGTCAAATACCGGGAGTTGTAGCATACGGCTTGCGCGCCACCGCGGTCTTTCTCAAAGGCGTGCATTCTAGTAGAGTTTCGGGGGGGAACAAACGGCGGGGAAGAAAACGCGGGGGACCGCGCAAGTCCGCTCGTAGAGTTGCCTAGTGCAATATCCTCGATGTGCCTGCGGGCAGAATACTATCCAGGAATCAAGGGTTGCATTCACAATCCACACAGTGATGGCCTCTCAGTCGAACCAAACGACCCCAGCCAAACCCAACGACAATCTGACGGCGCGCCGCACCACTACCCAAAGAAGGAGAAACCGCCAGGCCCGCAAATATGGATTTGCCTGTGCTAATTGTAGACGCCGCAAAGCTCGATGCAATGGAAATTTGCCTACCTGTGATCGATGTCTAGCAAACAACGAGACCTGTTACTTTGACAAGTCAGTGTTTTGATAAACCCCCAATACCTGCAAGCCATCATGAAAAGCTCAAAGCTTGAGGCCTTTCGCTAACACTGGCAATAAATTGATTATAGGGCTCCGTCTGTCACGTATGCGTTAGGTCTCCAAGATCGTCTGAAATCCCAAGAGGCCATATTGAAACAGCTGCACGATGCTGCCACAAATGAAGAGAAATCACAGCTTTTAGAAAAGTACTTTAGCAACAGTAACGCGTTGTCCAAACCTCGCAGAGCCTCGCAGGCAAATCCCAATGGTAGTTTCCACCGGGATGGAGCTGACGCTCAGGCCGCTGCCAATGTTGAGGTGGACGACTCATCCGAGGATGAGGTTACCGAGCTGCTCAATGAAACAACTGTCGGGGAAGATGGACGTATCTACTTTTATGGGCGGACAAGTCACTATCATCTACAGCCGGCGCAGATTTGTGAATCCGGTGCTGCAGAGAGAGAACTATCCGAAGCTATACGATACCGATCCGCTATCCACAAAGATCCATCTCCAGGAGGAACAAGTCCACAAACAGATTGGGGATCAATATTCACAACAGATATCTCACAAGAGCTAGTCAGTGAGCTTTTGGATGTGTATTGGTGCTGGCCGCATCATCTCCATCTCGTTCTGTGCCGGAGAATATTTATGCGTCAGCTTGCTTCCCTGACCTCTAAAAAAGAAAACTGTATCATAACTGACATATTCGCCAAATAGGTGACCTTATTCATTCAGGATCATATGTGACAGTCTTCCTTCTCAACTGTACGCTGGCCCAAGCCGCTCGTTTCTCAGATCGACAAGACGCGTCCGATCTCAGCGCATATTTTGCCAAAAAGGCACTCAATGACCTAGCTGAGGAGATTGATCGAGGATCATCCATCCCGACCTTACAAGGGTTATTGATTCTATCAGCAAGGGAATGCGCTGCAGGACGAACATCCCAAGGATGGCTGTTCTCAGGCATGGCATTCCGTATGATGCGCGATCTCGGAATCCATATCCATACAAAATCCCTGAGTCATCTTGAGGGCCAGTTTTCACTGGAAGATCTAGCTCTTCGCCAACAGATCTTTTGGAGCTGCTATACCTGGGATAAGACAATGAGTCTCTGTCTCGGTCGAGCGCCAACCATACATGAAACGATGCCCGTTCCTAGCCCGGAGACCTGGCTTGATGAAGAACCAGAAAACGAAAAATGGTACCCTCATTTTAGCTCCTCGATTCCTTCAGATGTAGGGTGCATATCTCAAAGGTCATACACCAACAGTCGATTTTCCGCTTATTGCACTCTTTGCATCATAATCGATGACGTGCTGGACACATTGTATTCCCGACCACATCACGCCGGTCAAAGCCATCTGAACGGCTATTTAGATCGGATCATGGCTAAACTCGAAAGCTGGTCCAAAGCTCTTCCCTCTCATCTATACATCGCTGAAAATGACCGGATCATATCATGCCCTCCTCTCCATATTCTTCTGCTCAATCTTCTCTATCATGCTACCATCATTTTACTCTGTCGCCCATATCGATCCAAAGATTCGACCGCGAGGGCAACGGCAACAAAGGCGGCAGAGATGATTGACCGTCTACTAACATTACACGTCCGACGCTTCGGGTTCAGAGTGCTCACATATCTCGAGACATATACTGTTTTTGTCGGTGCCACAGTCAATATCTTGGATCTCAAACAGTGTGAAGGCGAAGAGGCAGAAGCTGCAAATGCTAGATTGGCATTCAGCATGGAAGTTCTCCGAAATGCTCACAGCACTCCGTCTACTCTTAAATGCGTCGAAATTATTGAAAAATGTCTGCGCAATGACAACCAGGCGATGAGTAAAGGCCATTGTGAAGAAAGGAACAATCGACTATCCAAAACTCCCCAATCCCTAAACTCACCTCAGTCTTCGAATCACGAGCCACATCAACACCAAAGCGCACCGCAACTGGCAGTACCTCCATCCCTTCCTGTCAGCAGCAGGCCGCCTTTTCTGGTGCCTAATGCCCAATACCAAACTCCGGTCAACAGTACGGGTAGGAATTTAACCTGTTCAAACGGACTATCTAATCATTTTCTGAGCTATCCAGCTATATACGAGCCAAATCAGTTGGGAACGGATCCAAACGGTACAATATTATCCAACGAATCACCACCAATGCAGACCAATGAAGGTTTTCCTGTCGATACGCCACTGCGATGGTTGCCAGACAACGTGCGAGATGACTGTACTTGGATGATGATGGGAATGGATTTTGCCTATCCTCATGATATCTTGCGAAATTAGTTGAAGTAATGACAGAGGGACCCTCTCGATATTCTAGTGAAACTTCGACTTTTAAGAGCCGAGCATTCTTGATCCCATTATGGAATCTGGAGTGCAGGCCTGATCACTGGACAGTATAAACAAGCGAGCTCCTTAACTAATTAATTTATATGAAAGAGCGGCGACCTATTATCTATCTGACAGTATGTTCAACGAGAGGAGAGATCTCTAATTGCTTCGCAGCAGACCATAAAAACAAAATCAAACGGCAGCAGCTCTCGTTGCAACATCGTGAATCACATCCGCCACGGCCTGCGGCTTGCTCAACATGGCAAAATGTCCCCCGTCAACGGTGTACGGGTGTACAACCCCTTCTCCCGGGATAGCAGCTATCCTCTGTTGCGCAAAAAGTGGGAAACCCGCATCCCGAGTGCAAAAAATGTAGTTGGTAGGCACATCATGGTAGGCCGCGTAGGTTAGCGGAGTCCGCATAGTTTCGGGGGCATGGGGCACTATTGCAGCCAGATACTTTGATGCAGTTTCTTCGTCCATGTCGTTGTAGAACTTTTCCCTGGGGTCCTTGGGATACATTTTCTCTCCCTGTAGGATGGGTCAACACTCGCTCGTCAAGAAGTAAGAAAATATCTCCCATGGAACTTACGTCTGTTGTCATATAACGATCTAATCCACCGGGCAAAAAGGACTCGACGCTTGCTCCAGCGGGAACCAGGAAAGCTGATTGGTATATGAGGCTGATGACCCCCCCTTTTTCCCTTGCGCAACGAGATCTTTCCGTGCCAAGCCCTTTACACTCTCTGTGCCAGGAATGCCACCGTAGGAGTGCATGACGATGATAACTTCCTTGCCCTGGGCAATGAGGTCGTTAAGATACGCTTTCCGGATATGATCGGCGTCATCGTAGGCAGTCGTTGATGCTGGTCCACCCGCAGAAGGTAAAGTTATAGTTTCTGCTTGATACCCTTGCGCTCGAAGTATATTCGCGACCGGCTCGAAGGTGCTTCCTTGATGCCAGGCACCTGGAATAAGGAGGACGGTAGGCTTCTCGATTGACATGGTGAGCAATTGTATGGTTAAGAAATAGTACAAGTTCAATCGAACTGGCGGGGAGAGGCCTAACAATATATACCACAGATTCAGGATTTACTGGAAACCTGTTCGCAGCCTCGTGATAGTTATAGAGCCCCCACTCACGCTGGCCAGAAATCTATTTCTAGACGATGGGGGCCATTTAACGGGAAAAGCGGCATTCCGGAATGGAATGCCCCGGTGAATAACTACGCACGCCATGCCTCCTTATTCGAGTTGCGAGTTCGATCTTTGACCTTGGGAATTTATTACAAGGACAAATACTCTACCATTGTCCTTCAATGTACGATATGCAATTCTGGGGCATCCGTTCAGTCAATATATACACCAAGGTCAAAGATGAGTAGCAACATAGAGGTAATTCCACCAACTAGATGCAACTCCTAACTCCATTGAGATTCTATTTTTCTACATAAGCCACTTCCTCCGACGCAGTTGTCCACTCTCGAGTGATAGACTGGCCTCGATCCGCACCCAAACGGTGGCTAGAGTCGCCGCAACTAGCAATACTCCCACCAGGATACTAGTGTTCTCGTAGCTGCGCGGATCTGTCTTGTGTTGGCTACTCCGAATCAAAACACCGGCAACTGGTGTTCCTATCAGGGTGGCCATGCCGCGCACCATATAGAGCACACCGTTGACACTAGCAAAATTCTGCACACCGAAGAGCTCGACTAGGCTCGTGGGGAAGAGCGACACATATGCCGAGGCGAACACGCCATAGAATATCGTGAATGCAATGAACAGGGCGCTTCCACTTGAGGGCGTGGTTACCAAAGCGGCTGGCAACCACAGCGCTAACACGGCGACAGCAGAAAACATAGTTGTTAGAAAGAGCGTGTTCAGGCGGCCCATGCGGTCGGCAGCGTGTCCGATCACAATTTTCCCTAGGGCATTGGCAGCATTTGAAATGGCAATGAAGTTTGCCGACGTCGAGGACGAGTATCCAAGCGTACGGGCAAACGACGCAAAGAAAAATACTGGTGTATAGTAAGCAGCAGACTGCAGGGCAGCACCCAACGCATGCGCTGCAAACTTGCGAGTCCGCACGACGTGCCAGTCAGCCAGTGGGATTCGGAGAATGCCCGATGAGCGCGAGGATGCAGCATTCTCGGCTTGAAGCCGTGTTATTTGACTTGCAGGCCACTTTACAAAAAACCCGGAGATCGCGATTAACGTGAAAGAGATGGCACCTGTAATGCGTAACGTGTTACGGAATCCGACGCGGACGATCAGCGAGCGAAAGGCCAGTGGCCACACGACACCACCAACACCGGTGCCTGCAAGGATAATCCCCATGGCGAGACCGCGATGGTGCGAAAACCAGGTCGGTGCCACGGTGACAGAGGGCATGTAGGTGAGGCAGGTGCCCATGCCCAAAAGCAGGCCCTGGGTGAGGGTGAACTGCCACAGAGCCTGGCTAACACTGGCGAGACAGTGCGAGACGACGAAAACCAGGGCGCCGGCCCAGATGACTGTGCGTGGGGAGTAATGCTTCGTCCAGGCGGTCGAGAAAGGCGCCCCCATGGTCATCAGGGCGATGGCGAGTGTGCCGATCAGGTCAATCTGCGCCGGCGTGGCTCCCGTGAATGGCGTGCCGGGTTCTTTGGCCATGGAGTCATATAGATCTTGGTACACACCAAAAGCGAAATTGATACCGCATCCTGTAAATACGAGCGCAGTTGATGAGGCGACAATAAGTGATGGTTGTCTGTAGTAGTCAGTCTGGTGGTGGCGGATAGACCGTTCTCGGAACGTACAGACGATCCCATAAACTGCGCTGAGCAAGTTGGCCATCGGCCAGCTGCATTGGCTCCAGATCGTTGTCCATGATGTGAGATGCTTCAGAGTAGACAAACCCAGGCTCGGGATTAGTTCAGTCGAGCTTGGCGGAGCTTTACGGGTCTGACTCATGGGGCTGCGGGGACTCTCGGCTACTGTCCGGGCCGTAACCGGTGTTAGTCGCACTCTTGCATCCAAATGCTAGTCAAAAAAGGCTGCGCAGGTCAAGGCCAGAGACTCGAATCTCGACCCACGTAATGAACATTCCCACAGTCTGGAGAGAAATTTGGGACCGTGGATTTTTTTGAAAATGGTTCACATCTGAGCACCAATTGGGGGTTCCTGAAGATCCAGTCTTCGAGCGACAATCCATCCTTAGCACCATCTCCGGCCAATGTAAAGATGTTTATGCAGGACACACAATGGCTATTTTACCACGGCCAAAGAGTCCTCTGGATACCTCCTGATTATCGACCTGCTTGCCAATCGTCGAAAGAGATCATGATAGCTCTGGGGCATACTTCAGGGCGGGTTATCTGGATACGATTTTCGGCGCAGTAGTCAATGCATAAAAATTTACTCTTCCTGTCGAGAGAGATAATGATCCCCCTGAATGGCCATCTAGACCAACTCCAGCCCAAGCATGAAGAACGAAAAGTATTGTCCATCCCTCCCGCCGTATTATATACAAAAGCCTCCAGCCCATAAACCCAACACACCGACAAATGTGACAGTGGAAAGGCGAAGAGGGACAGGAGGCTTCGGAGTGAGCTTTTGAGCATATGGATCAGAGTTGACATCTATTCGGTTACCGCACGGTACCCATACGCGCGTGATTAGACAATACTAAATACAAAATCAGACGCCCGAGTCAAAAGGTCCGTGGATCCCCGTATACTGCATCCCATACGGATTCCGTTGCGCATACTGGTCCCACGCCCGACAAGTCCGCTCTAATACCCCCTTATCCAGGAACTGTTGGAGCTCAGTCCGTCGCTCTACTATCTGCTGCGCAAAGCCCTCTGTTGCATGGAAGCCCACATGGCAGTGCATTAGCCATACCCCCGGGTTGTCCGCCGGAAATGCCAGCACCAGATAACCTCCGCCTTCATCCTTGGAGGGCAGCATGGCCGTATCCCTGCGCGGAGGGTTATTGGTCTGCAGCGTAACGTTGTGCGAGTCATAAGTTCCAAGGCCCTGAGCGAGAACGAAGAAGTCGTGTCCTACACATGGTTAATATCATTGTCTGCGAGGCTGTCAAGGTAGCCATACCGTGGAGATGGATGGGATGCGGTGCCTGGATGTACGTCTGGATGATAAAGACCACTAATTCATCGGCCTTGTCCACCTGAACTACCCCCTGCCCTGCCTTCCAGTTAACCTTCCCCGGTTTTGCCGTCTGCCGTAGCGTCGGGTCCTGCCAGGAGACGTTGAAGGCACTCCCGCCGAGCGTCCAGAGGTACAGGCTCGGATCCCCGACAGCGTCGACGGCTGCAGGTGAGTTAACCAGCCTAGAGTTTTTGTTGAGATCTGCATCAAGAGCGAGATGCGGCACAAGCTTTGACATGACAAAATCCTCGCATTGCACGTCGTCACCGTAGTCCCATTTGGATGATGCGGGATCTGTGTGCGGCGCACCGGCATACCGGATCACTCCTTTGATATTGTCCCCGCTGGTGTTATTGCTACAGAAGGTCTGCGGTACGGCACGCATCCAGTAATTATCCAGGGGCTGGTCTGCGGTCATGATAACATCGTAGCGTTGTCCCATGCCGATGGGCACGACAGTGGTGGTAAACGGGGCGAGTGGGACAAAGTCGTTGGCGATGACGGTAAGATCATGCCCATCGATGGAGAACTTGAAGTGAGTGTGCATGGCCGTGTTGATGAGCCGGATGCGATATTTCTTGCCTGGTTTGAGGAATGTTTCGAAACGACGGCCCACCGTGGTCCCGTCCGCTTGCACCCATACATTCATTCCATTCAGCAAACCGCCCTCCATCTGTGGCGTGCCATACGTCTCTAGCTGGCTCTGATACATCTCGTCGATGGTCCGGTGGGCCCAGTCACTCAAAAAGACAACACCAATATCCTCATCATACTCCGCCGTGGCGGGTCCGTGAATTACAATAGGCCCGTAGACACCCTCCCATGCTTGCAGCGAGAAGTGCGAATGGTACCAGCTGGATCCGTACTGCTCTGCACGCCAAACATAAGTGTAGCTCTGCCCGGGAGCAATGGGGCACTGCGTCAGAGAAGCCACGCCATCCATCTGGTTAGTGCGCAGCTGTCGCACCCCATGGAAGTGCAAAGCAGTCCCATTATCACTCATCCGGTTGGTGACGTGCACTTTGACCGTGTCGCCCCAATTCGCTTCGATGGCTGGGCCGGGGAACTGCCCATTGACGAGCAGCACGGGGCGTTCAACGCCGTCCGGCGCAGCAGTCGTGTTGACAATTTCGAACCAGTACTCGCGGACCACGTTGGTATCCGGTATGGATTCATAGTAGTTTGTGTCGATAGTGAAGGGGTGCCATGGTGCTGGGTGGTTCCGGGGATGGGTCGGGCCGCCCAGGACAAATAATGGACCCAGGAACCACAAGAGGATCTTCATGTGTGGGATTGTGTGCATTGTAGATCACATGCACAGGGATGATTTTGTACTATAATGCTCTGCTCACATCATGGGTTAGATTTATATAGTCGACCAGAACAGCCACTTGAGTCGAGCTGGAAGCCCAGAGTCGTCCCCCGAGTCATCTAAGCCTTCTATAAACCTTCCTGAATTTTTGGTTTGCTCGCTTCAGCTGACCTAGACTATTAGATACGAGCAAACACCGCCATCGCTGACTGTGATATTGTCTATGAAATGATAGGCGGTAATATTCCAGGGGGCCGATACAACGGACTCAGGCTATATCAGCACTAACCAGTCGCTGTACTTGGTGGGTCAGCCCAATATTAGAACAATATATCTGGCTACAATTTCAAGATGATCCAGAAAGTACTTTCCCGGAGCAATTTAGTTGACCAAAACTGTCTAGGCGACAATCATCTCCCTAGAGCGCAAAAAACATCAAATATAAGACTAGCGCCTTCCCTGATACATGGTGTGGTGAAAATTCATATTTAATAAGGTGCTAATAACCGACCCATGTCCTCTTCCTTTCTTGTTATTGCGTGAGCTCCATCTCGATAATAATAGATTCGTTTATTTCAAGCGAGTTAAGGGACGGTCCACCGGTTGCAACATGAACAAGGATCAACAATAGTTGGCGAGCGTAACCTAACTAGATTGGACTACATGAATAAGCCTCAGCCGCCTTTCATGCATGAAGGGAATGGGTTAAGTTTCCGCTAAGGTCCAGCTAGCAACGAGGCGGAATCGGGGACATTTCAGTGGTGCCTGGAAGATTTGGACACAGTAGGACTAATTTAGGGCGAAAGTTTCTTGGAGGAGTGGTTTTGGGCTTTATTAAACCAATTCAGATTAGGTACGGTAGTGGATGCTCTCCCGTATTTATCCGACATCCGCAGGTACTTAGTGAAGTGCTCCCAACGTATCGCCACGCACCGCGATTTTTGATGAGACATGCCTGTAAAGGCAGTCCTCTATGGCAAGTGCGCAATTGTCATTTTCAATATTACTGAAAAATTGCCTGAAGGCTGAACCTTTTCCCCGATGCGGAAATACGAGCCTTCACCCTGGTCGTTGGGCCCACCGCCAGCAAGATCCAACCAGATGAACAGTATTAACAGGATTTTGCAGGGGAACCGCGTGCTTTCATCGGACGCCTATTGGTCGATACGAGATGAAGCTCTGCCAGCTGCGTGGAGTAGTGATGGTTCCATTAACAGTGGGCTGAATCCTGCCAACACTCGCTGATTGCGACGCCTCTCGTATTCCCTCCATGCTGCAACGTGCGGCGCCATTTGTTTCGGCTTGGCACATAGCATGTGTGAAGAAGACAGTTCTGCCTGTATGCATACCCTCCCTGAAAGAGCATAAAGTCGGGGATTGTTCCTATTCTCGGACTCTGTAGATCACCGGAGATATCCACCTGCAGTACTGCACATCCTAAAATGTTGACCATGACACGACCTCGCCAGAGCTGGACAACAGAAGAAGACATGATCTTACGGCAGGCAGTGGAAAAAGGTACTCCAGACACACCCTAGTATACGAGTTGGGCTGACCGTAAAATGCAGCAAAGACACAGGGCGCCGTTAGCTGGCACGAGATCGCGTCCTTCCTCCCCGGGCGAACCAACAAAGACTGCCGCAAGCGGTGGCACGGCACCACGGACACCAAAGTCAATAAGGGACCTTGGACCAAAGCGGAGGACGAGCGACTTAGTAAAGCCGTCCAACACCACGGTACCAAATGGGCCGTCGTAGCTTCGGTTGTGGGTACCCGACTGCCAGATCAGTGCTCCAAACGATGGATGCACGCTCTCAACCCGGAGATCGATCATAGCCAGTGGACACCAGATGAGGTAAGGTTCTATTGTTTCTTTTTTCTCGGAACTTGTATTCGTTCTAATGCATAGCTGGTAGGATAATCTCCTCATTCACGCGGTGGAACAATACGGGCGCTGCTGGCAGCAAATTGTTTCGCTATACTTTCATCGGAGAAGCAGTCTTTCAGCGAAGAACCGGTATCATCTGCTCCAGCGCCGATTGCAAAGTGAACCAACTGGAGCGGCGGTAAGCGCGGGCGATTCAATTGAGCTGATAGAGCTGGACAGTGGGATGGAAATGACGCCTCCGTGGGAGTCTCCCACCTCTGATGGAGGATTGATAGGCACTTTGCCTTCAATCTCCCCGTTTCCCTCCTGTGATCTCTCCGGTGGTCTTCTTTCTGAGTCCCTAGCATTCCCTTTTCCGTCATCCGTCACCGAGGAATACAACCTCAACACGAATTCGTACCGCTCTTCGACTCTCCTTACGCCGTCGGTGTCAGATATTCCACGAAGCCAATCGCGACCGAATTCCTCTCATCGCAGAGTGACAATCCAGGCAGTATGCCCTGTGGATAATCTGGGAGACATGTTCCAAGCCGTGACGGATCTTTCTATTGCTGCTGTATTTAAGACGGATACATAGATATTGTTAGACGATATACATACAGACATATTTTTATCTATGTAATTAGTTGATATCTATATCTCGTAACATCTGTTGCTCTATCATATACCGCCTGCCAAATACTCTATGTATCTATCTGTCCACGTTGAAATCCCACCCGCGCATTCGACTGAAACAGAATCTTCATTACCGTCATGATTGTCTCCGGCTCGGCTCCGTCCACCGTAATGGTAATTCGAGAGCTCTGATCTTCCGACAACTCTGCGGACGAGCTGGAATCAGGAGCAAAGGTAGTAGTCTGGATGTGCAACGGAGAAGATTCTCCTCGATAACTATCAAGTAGCTGAGGAGCCTCGGCTGTCCAAGAGGGCAGTTCCAATCTCAAGTCCGTACTGAGTTCGAGATTTGGATTGATGAACGTATTGTCACGATCTGGAAGATTCATGATGGGATCCTGATCATCAAACTGGCTCAAACCTGTCTCGTCCATGTTCCAGTTCCAGGGCTCTTCACCGAGAGCGTCCCTCAAAGGTGCGTCAACTTGTATGTCATGCGTCAAGAGTGAATTGTCTTCTTTTGACTCTTCAACTGGCAACAGACGTAGAAAGTGATCGAATGAGACATCCTGCCTCGGGGTCGAAGCTTCCATATTCTGAGACACGGAGGAAGTAGCTGGTGAGGGTGCACTTGTCGAGGAATTACTAGTATCACTGGCTCGTCGACTCAAAACAGTGAATCTAGTAGAGTTAGAGATCGTACTTCAATGTGTCCTTTGCCATCTTACTGGTTCTTGATATTGTTTGCTGAACGGGTGGGAAAGTAGCCTCGTTGTATGTCTTTCCAGCTGGTCCCATGGACATTGACTGCGGACAGAAGCAATTGATTCTTCCCAATCAGCAGAGGCCGTGCAACAATGATAAGGAACCTACCTCGGCGTCAGCCCATGGCCTGCGCTCCAACTCTGGATTGAGGCTGTGATGCCACCGCTTCGAGCATTCTGTATCATTACCATTAGCTTTATCACCACATGTTCCATACCATAACATACGATCTGCATTTCTCGTCTCCATCCGCTGGCCGATAAACGCCCAATTGTACCGGTACTTTCGTACCAGCCCCTTGAGCCGGGTGTCTTCCTCGGGGGTCCATGGGCCCTGCACCACCAGTAAGTGCCAACTCAGGTGCGGTATAGCTATTGCACTCGATTCTGGGATACCTTTCTTACACAGCCTGCAAACTGGTTGTGAAATCGTTTCCGGCAGTCCTTGTTGCTGCGGCCCGCAATTTTCCTGGCAATGGCGTTCCAGTCGATGCGTCGAGATCGCCCGGTGGGGGCTGTCAGCCTTAGCGTGATTCTTCCATACCGCCCATACTAGCCGAAGAGAAGGCATACATCGTTCTTGTAATTCCATCTCCTGACGAAGGAGCGCATCCTCGGCAGGCGTCCAGCGGCGTCTTTCCGCGACCATTGTTGTTAGTTAGACGAGGTGTGCTGTTGAGACCAAGTTGCAATGGCTGATGAAGAGCGATTTTGAGAATGTCGCCAAACTTTATTGGGCAACGGCTCGCTTCAAAGTAAGTTTGGTCTAAAAATCAGGGTCCCAGGTAACGCCGTGTTTCCTCCGTAGTAAGCTGAAGATAAGTTAAAAGGAGTGCAGTGGAATTCATCTGCCAAACACCGAGTGAGGGTTGCAGGGGGTCAGGCTAGCGCTTACGTAGTGGGAGTAATTTAACGATACGAGCTGACATCAGGTCAACGATATGGATGGCTATGCAAGCCAAAAAATTATTTGCGTTGGTTTTTTGGATTCTGGATCGAGAGCGAGGTATATAAAGATAGACACGCCTTCATTGAACTATACATTGCGGCGAAAGGCACAGAAATCGAGCAGCATCTGCAGCATCCCTAACCCCTGTCATTATGAAACTTTTCACTATCACATGCACTATTCTTGCAGCAGGAACGGCGGCAATGGCCAGACCGACCTCTCTCCCTCCCTGCAGTATGGTTGATCGTCCCTGCAAATGTCCTGCGGGCACCTCATTCAAGAACCTTACGTCCTATGGTGTGATTGGCGCTCCCGCCCACGATGTGCAGGATATCATGGGCTCGTGTTAGTATCTTCACCCGTCTGTTTATTCTCGGTTAACGTTCCTAGTCTTCAACATCCAGTTCCAAGGCGGTCTAGTCCCTTCCAGCACGAAGGGTAAAGACCGAGTCCCCGGTGCTGTTCGGACTTTCAATTTCTCGGGTCCAACAGGCTATTACCAGATCAGCGAGGAGGTTTGCCTCCCATTCGGAAACTGAATCGTCGGATGGGGCTAACACTTGCAAGCTTACGCAATGGAGGACCTGGCCGGATGGTTCGTTTGACCAACAGTATCAGCAGAGCCCGAGTATGTATCTGAGCCCAGAGTGTGTTTTATGGGTGACCCTAATACTCCGATAGAGCCTCCGGTGGTTCAAGTGCCCGGTGCTGGGGCTTATCACGGCGAATGGACCAGTATCATCGGCCAGCAGACGGTCGTGCGTAATGAGACAGCGATAGCGTGGAAGAATTGGCGCTGCGAGACCGGAGAGACATTTCGTAAGTGCATGACGTTTGAGTGTTAGTGGAGAAACTTATGATTGTCGGTAGCGGCGGCCCCGTCGCACGAGGGGGGAATTACCAATACGTCAGCGGTTCTCGAGAAGCAGGGAAAGCTCACGGGCGTGAGCATTGATTCTTTTACCATTTTTTATGAGGTTAGAGACGATTAGATTAAGATAAATGTCTACAGGGGCGATTACCCATGGACTCCGGTAGGGGATTATACTGGTAGCTAGAGTGGTGTATCAATTGCAAGATGTATATTGAATGTTGGATATCAGGATGTTTCAATTTAGCACAAGTTTATCTCAAAAGGATCCGTGGCTGATACCAGACAAATATGCTTTAATCAACAGATTACATAAGTTATCCTGTATTTGTTTGGATATATATATTTGTTTTTGAAGAACTACCAAGAAAAGCAGTCTAGTCTCTGTCTCTACTGACCACAAAAAATAACTCGCTGGAAGATCTCAGAATTTATCGTACGAGAAATTCTCAGACAGGAATGGAGCGGGACTTGGATAATGGAAAGATGCCAATAACGATCACCAAGCTGCCCACAACCGAGCCAACAGACCTTCCTTCTTCTTCGTGTGTTCAGTCTTCTCACTCTCCAATAAAAACGATGCAAAATACTTATCCAGCTTGTCCATCTCTTCCGGCCAGACACTCACCCCGACCGTCAGATCAGGGCGCACCGCCACCACCGCTCCGCGAGCATGATTTACACCGTACCAGTAATGCGCATCCTCATCCGGCGGGCGATCGTCATAGACAATCGTCGCATGCTCCTTGAGAGGTGCTAGGTCGCCCTCCAGCATCTCTGCTATCTGATATGGGAGGTTCTTCGTCACAAGGACGAGATTAAACAGCTTCCGCCCCCCAAATCGTTTGTAAAATCCTCTATTCCTGCAAATCTCCCGTGCCAAAACCGTCAACCGCTCCCTCACAGGACCCTGCAGGTCTGACCCAAATACCAGCAGATGGAATCGCGCCACCCCTACTAATTTATCGTACAGATATGCGGTGTAATTAGTCTCGAGGCAGACGCGCGGATTTGGTGCCCTGACTCCATTCCGTAGAGACGAGGGCCGTACGTCGTCATCAGAGGGACAAATCGCTGAGGTCGTAATGGGCCACTCCACGCCAAGCAGGAACATCGCATGTCGTTTGAAGAATGTATAAAGAAAGTCCCGATCTGCCTCAGTACTCCCGTCTAGCAGCGGGAGGTGCTCATCATGTGACTCGAGATGAGTGCCTAGATCTCGCAGGGCGGCGAGTGGGAGCGATGAGTTGCAGATGAAGCGCAGGTAGGCGCCGGAGCATCGGATAACGCTGTTGGCGAAGAGGCGGCGCTCCGGGTCGTAGGTGGTCAAAAGGGAGGGCTGGGCGTGTTTGCGGAGCACGAGGCCGAGTTTCCAGCCGAGGTTGGCAGCGTCATATATAGACGAGTTGAGCCCGAAGGCACCCAAGACGCTGTGGACGTGTCTTTTCAAGTCAATCTCAGCCGCATACTGAGGAGGGCTGAGACTTACGCGGCGTCCCCACCGAGATGGACGCGGAGATCGGGGGAAGAGAAGTTGCGTGCGACTCGTTCGCTCACTGATTCATTAGTAGGTGATTTATATCAGTTGGTCGCGCTGACATACCTCTCCAGACCGAAAACCAGCTCATAGCCGATGCAAATTCGACCTTGTGAGGCGCAATGATGTGGTTGAGCTGTTCGAGTACCTCGTCCGGCGTGATGCCGTGGTCATCAATACGGGTCTCTCCTACCGCAGAGCCATTGTGTCGGGCCTGTCGGTTTGCCTGTAATTTCCGGGCCTTTTCGCCATTGATCTGAGTGTAGAATCTGGCACGGTCAGAATGTATGCTCTCCGCCAAGCTCGGAGGCATACCGAGTATATCCATCCTCTCGCGGAATCACAATGCACCCCCCATGCTCCGCACTAATAATGACATTGAACCCAAGGATATGCGGATAGTCCGTCTTGAAGCGACAGTCCATAATTGCCCAGTAGATATCCGTCGTGATCCCATCAAATTCCACTCCTAGTTGCTCGCGGATGCTACTGGCCGCTCCGTCTGCACCGATGAGATACCGAGCGCGCACCACCTCGTCTTGCCCAGTGGCAGTACTCTTCAAGGTCGCCTGTACCGGGTGCTCATCCCACGACTGATTCACCTCAAATTGACTGACAGTCGTGCCCCGCTCCACGACGATCCGGTGCCGGAGGAGATCACGGATGTAGATGCGCTCCATCTGACCCTGGGTGATGATGTGGATTCCCTTGTAGCGGGAGTCACAAGTGGAGCTAAATCCATGAAACAGCTTGACGCCATTGCGAAAGAGTACGGTCGAGTTCAAAATGGGCCCTTCTTCGGAAACCTCGTGGGCGAGACCCCAGCTGTGGAGGAGCTCGAGGGCTCGGGGATGAACACCATCTGCCCTTCCCGAGAGGCAGGGGGCATTTGATTTGTCTATGGCCATCAATTCCAGTTATTATACTATGACTGAGGACAATAACACACCTATGATGCGAAAGCTAATCCCCTGCCGGGCGAGAATCAGCCCGACCTCCAGGCCAAATGGACCGGCTATAATTGTCCGTTAGGGTTGAAATATATATTGTCGATGGATACTCATACCTCCGCAAATCAACACATCGACCTTCTTGGAAGGCTTAAACCATTCCGGCTTCCCCGTGGAAGTACCGTTGAAGATGCTCGGCCAAGTTCGCAAATGGGTCAACCCAAGTTGGTTACCAATAGTCGAAGTGGGCGGTTCCGTATACACCGGCAGCGTCCAATGCGCCTGTTCGCCGTGCTCAGTTACATAGTTCGCCTCAGCTCCCCAGGAGGCTTCATCTGCCGGTCGCGCGCATCCCGTTTCCCATGTTTTGGGGGGAAGTGTACTAGCCATTGATCAGTAATAGTTAGGGTTAGTGAAGATTAGTCAGGGTTTAAGATGACAGCTACGAGATCCTCCTTGAGCAGGTGCATGTTTCATTTTCACTGTCACCTTTGGACCAAAGGCCGTGGCAATACTCTGGGTTGATGGCCCGGAGTCAACGACCGTAAGCCGGGAGCGCTTGAGGCTGTCGGGTGGAGACACGGCCGGAGATCCGAGGGCCAGCTGGGGCCATCGCTTATCTTGACCCTTGTGGATTGGATGAGGCCCTCTGGACCCTGACATGCAGGGGTTCGAGTACTCCGGTCTCTCATGTCACGCCAACAGGCAAACAAAGAACGTCTGCGCTGACAAATTCCCTGCATCGGACATAGCGAGCGGTGTCCGAGAGTTTCTGAAAATCCGCTATAGATCGAGCCGGACAAGATACAGCCACCATGTATAAATACCACCCAGCAGAGAGATGTATGGAAGGATACATTGAACCATCATACCAACACTTCCCAAAAGTACGATACCACCATCTCCCAAAATGCCCAACGTCTTCATCCTCGGCGGCTCAGGCTACGTCGGCCTCGCCGTCTCCAAATCCCTCCTCGCTGCGGGCACCTACACTGTCTGGGGTACGGCTCGTACTCCCGAAAAAGCGAAACTCCTCCTCCAGAACGAAGTCCATCCCGTCGAAGATGACATTACCAATCCGGCCAAACTCGCTGCCATCATTGCTGAGCACTCCATCGATGTTGTGGTGGACTCGACCTCCGCCTACGAGCAGGCCACACAGATCCTCCAGGGGGTCGTGGACGCGGCCACTACTCGCCGCGACACGCTGAAGAAGGAGAATATCGTTGGTCCCAAGCTGGGATACGTGTACTGCTCCGGCTCGTGGGTGCATGGCTCGCCTGCGTCTCGTGTCAGTGATCTGTCCCCGGTCGGCAGCGCGCAGTCGAAGGCCAAGCCGGCCACCGCGGTGGCCTGGCGTCCGGCGCACGAGCAGGCCATCTTGGCGTCTCGCGATGTCCTGGATGTGGCCATTTTGAGACCGTGTGCGATGTACGGTCGTACCTCCTGGGTCTGGGGCACGTGGTGGGGTGGCCTTCTCGCCGCGAAGAAATCCGGCAGCCAGGAGACGATCCAGGTCCCCGTTGATATCACCGCGAGAACCGGCACGCTGCACGTCGATGACGCGGCCGCTGCGTTCCATGCGGCCATTGACCGACTGGATGGACGACTCGGTACCTGGCCCGTGTTTGATCTGGTGTCGGAAACCATTGGCGTGCAGGAAATCATGCAGGCGGCCAAGGAGGCGCTGGGTGTCAAGGCCAAGCTGGAGTATGCGGGTACACACGGCAATCCATTCCTGGAGGCATTGAGCCTGGTGAGCAAGTCGGATGCGTCGCGGGCGAGAACGGTGCTCGGATGGGAGCCTCGCCGGAAAGAGTTTATCTTGAATCTGCCAGTATATCTGAAGGCGTGGGAGGCTTCCCAGTGAGCAATCATGTTGGTCGTTGTTTCACAGATACAGAACATACAATACTTAGCAATATACCTGTTATTCACTCATCCCCAAGTCCGATCGACTTCAGACGTGACTGACACTACCTCTTCCACTAAATCTTCCCCCAATTCAACCCAACCTGAATTGTCCTCGAAACAATCAACATCCCACACCCTGCTGCCATAGCCGCACCGCTGAAGATCTTCAGATACAAATAGCTCCCATCATCACGTGCAATCAGTGCCCCAGCAATCGGATTTCCTGTAAAGGTGGCTAAACTCATAATCCCGAAGCACGTCCCAAGGCGGATCCCCACGTTCTGCACCGCAGATAGCTGTTGGATCAACGCTGGTGTGATGGACACAAATGTTCCAGAGCTAAAGCCAAAGAAGGCGGCAAAGACAATTGTGGTGGCGGAATGTTTCGCGAGAATCCACAAAACCAGGACTAATATAGCCGATGTTCCCGTGGTCAGAATGGCGATGTTGAAGCGTCCGATTCGGTCACCGAGCCAGCCGGGGATAATGCGACCGAATATACTGTTTTTGTCAACCATGCTTGAAAACCGAAGGGTGATGGATGGATACCTGACAGCGTTCAAAATGGCAATGAGGTAATTAGCCAGATACAGGCTCATCCCGTGCGTCTGCGCCTCGAGCACTAGAAAGTTGAACGGGACAAACATGCCCCAAGAGAACAGACACAACCCGATCGTGGTGGTGAGAAAGGGCAGTTCTTTCAACGGAAGCAGGAAATCCTTGATATTCCATGGTTTAGGCTGTGGCGGCACGCGCGGCTCCAGGAAAATCATCGCAAGAAGCAACAGACCAAGGAACATGAAGGCGCAAATGCGCATGGACCATGGGAATCCAATACGGGGGATTAGTCGCGTTACGATGATTCTACCTGGGTCAGTTTCCTCCAGCAGATGGATGAAATCACGCACGGAACTAAACACCCGCTCAGCGAAGACCCCGAAGCAACTACTCCAAAAGCCAATGCTCGATTCTTCAGAAACCACGACCCCACCGGTCCCAGTCCAGCAGAGAATAGTGCTGCCGCACCAAGGGCACTGCAAATTGACTGCGCCAAGAAGATTTGGTAGTATTCTGTTCCAAGCGAGGCCATCATCAGCCCGAAGACATGGAGAAAGGCGCCCCCGTACACCAGGGGCTTGGGCCCATAATTGTCATAGATTTTGCCATATACAGGCGATGTAATGTACATGGTTCCTGTCTACTGCAATTAGAATATGCAATTAATGTTGGCCGCGGAGCAAACCTCGACGGATGTGATCCAGGCGATGGAACTGGGTGCGTAAGTCTGGAACAGCTCATCCTGGTAGAAGGTCTGGAAAAGTCCAATGGAATTGATCCACCCAAAACTGCAGAAAAGGCACGACCAAGCGCCTAGGACGACCGACCAGGCCTTCCAGCCGCCGTCGGGAAAATCCGATGGATCAGGAAGCTTGTTGTCGACTTGTTTTTCCTCTGCCATGTCGATAGCCAGATATTGTGGGAAGAAACATGCCGGCACAGATTGAGATTTAAAGGGAAATAAAGCGTAAGAGTTGTCTTGTTCGGGGCGGGATCATGAGGGACCAGAGTATATCCTTCGATGCTGTGAATGCCAATCGGACATGAGCATTATCTCCGAGACCAGCCCGGTGGCTCTTCTATTTAACAGTTCGCATTCTACATTTCATTACAACCATCTATTCTTTTATCGCACCACAGCCGATTACGTTCAATATGTCCCTCACAGGCAAAGTCGCAATTATCACCGGTGGCTCCAAAGGTATCGGCAAGGCCGCCGCCCTGCGTCTTGCACAAGAAGGCGCCTGTATCGCAGTGGGCTATCTCTCCGATGCTTCAGGGGCTCAGGAGGTGGTTGAGAAAGTCGGCAGTGACCGTGCCATTGCCATTCAACTCGACGCAGGCAAAGTGGCCGAGATCTCGCGATTCGTGGACCAGACGGTCAAGAAGTTTGGCAAGATCGATCTCGTGATTGCTGCAGCGGGAAAAATGGCCATGAGCCCCCTGGAGGCTTTGACAGAGGATTTGTATGATACATTGTTTGAGTTGAATGTTAAGGGGCCGCTATTTTTGGTCCAGGTAATACTTCCTGCTCCGTGGCCGTCAAAACGATGATTGATGATCAGATAGAAAGCTGTCCCTCACCTGGCTCCTGGATCCCACGTCGTCCTCTTTTCTACAACGCTATGTGCTGCCTCCACGGTGGCGCCGCCCTATCTCAGCTACGTATCCAGTAAAGGGGCCATCGAGCAAATGACGCGTGTGCTTTCCAAGGATCTAGGAAGGAAAGGCATTGCGGTAAACTGTATTGCACCCGGGCCCACCGCCACGGAGCTATTCAATCGAGTGCAGACGGAACAGACACTGGCCTTTGTGCGGAATGCGAATCCCAATGGACGCGTTGGGGAGACTGAAGATATTGTTGGGAGTATTGTGTTTCTTTGTAGCAGCGATAGTCGTTGGGTGATGGGACAGACCCTCAGAGTAAACGGAGGAATGGCTTGATATACATTAGTTCTTCTACATTAGAGCTGAGTTCTTAGTGCACTTAACCCCGGTCCCGGGACCAGAGTATAATTTTTGGATGCAAATACCCCACGGCTCCTTGTTCTCGTTCTAATTCTACTATCAAGTGTCACCCATAGATAGCAAAATGGCTCTTTTCCAAGACACAGTAAACTTTGTCACGTCCAATCCAATCATTCTGGGAGCCATTCCTCTGCTTCTGTTTGTTCTTTCGCTACTACGATCGTACCTTCGACTGTCCCACATCCCCGGCCCATTTTACGCTCGCTGGACCAACATTCCCCGTTTCACTTGGGTTTTGAGCTTCAAGGCGCATGATATCCACACAGCACTGCATCGAAAATATGGTGCCCTTGTCCGTTTTGGTCCGAATATGGTGTCTGTTGGTGACCCGAAAGAAGTCGGTCACATATATGGGTTTACCGAGCCATGGATGAAGGTATTCCTGCTTTCATCACACATGTAAATGTAGCTAATTTTCTAGTCCGACTTTTACCACGCCCTACTTATGAAACCTCGCGGAAAGCCTATTCCCGGGATCTTTGCAGCACAAGACGAGAAAGTCCACCGCGCTTTGAAGAAGCCCATCTCGAGCGCCTACTCCATGAGCACCTTGCTCTCCTTCGAGCCCTACGTCGACAGCACTATGCGTGTATTCTGTGAGCAACTCGAGACTCGCTTCCTGGAGAAAAAGACACCCCTAGATTTCGGCAAGTGGTTGCAGATGTTTGCTTTTGATGTCATTGGCGAGTTGACCTATTCGCGGCGTTTGGGATTTCTTGAGTCAGGAGAGGACATCAATTATGTCATGGCGAGCATCTGGGGGACGTTTAAGAAGACTTCGTTGGTGGGTTGATTCTTTCATTGGTGCTTAGCCTATCTAACCTATAAAGGTTACCCAAATGCCCTGGCTCGACAAATTCTGGATCAATAACCCCATCCAACGCTGGCTACGAGGTGGTGGCGCCAGCCCCGGGGCAGCGTTCGCCATGGCCCGCGTAGAGGAACGTCGGGAATTGCAGCGCACCACGAACAAGAATGACTGGCACTTTAACACGCGTGATTTTTTGTCCAGGTTCATGGAGGCGGAAGCCAAGGATTCATCGGTGCCCCCATAGTGCGTATCTGCACGATTCCTTCTCGATTCCTTGCTCATTGAAAACAGTGCTCTGAGTGCCTGGGCTTCCTCCAACATCACCGCCGGTAGCGACACCACCGGTATCTTCCTACGGGCTGTCTTCTACCATCTCCTCACCAATCCAGACACCCTACAGAAGCTCCGGAAAGAACTGGATAACGCAGCCGCAGCGGGAAATCTAAATGAGCTGGCTTCGTGGAAGCAAACTCGCGAACTACCCTATCTCGATGCAGTGATTAAAGAGGGTGGCCGTATTCACCCCCCGTTCGGACTTCCATATGAGCGGGTTGTACCCCGCCAAGGCGCGACTATCTGTGGCAAGTACCTGCCGGGTGGCACAGTAGTTGGTATGAGTGCATGGGTGGTACACCGGAACAAGGAGCTGTACGGAGAGGACTGCGATGAGTGGAATCCGGACAGATGGTTGAGATGTGATGCAGACAAGCGCAGGAAGATGGAGAATGCACTGCTGACGGTGAGTCACCCTTCATCCTTATAATCCGCTGTTGACTGACGATGGTGTAGTTTGGGGCCGGTCATCGGACCTGCATGGGAAAGCATATCGCGTATCTAGAGATGTACAAGGTGGTTCCGACTTTGTTGAGGAAGTACGATGTAAGTGTTTCTATTTTTTTTTTTTTAATGGATTGGGCTGATATGAGCAGTTCGAGCTGGTGGGACAGGAAGAGGGAGGAGGCTGGCGGGTGATGAATCGGTGGTTTGTCATGCAAGAGGGCTTCTTGGTGAGATTGAGGAAGAGAGATATACAAGAGACTGCATAGACAGGATGGGGAATTTTTGGCAGAATTCAAATGCATACTCGCTAGAAATGAGTGAATGCAGTGTAAGCCAGCGAGTTTACCAATGGGGACAGACAGATAGACCATTAAACGGCCATACTCTGGTCCATGACAGTCAGATGAATGGCCAATCAGCCGCGGACCCGGTTGGTGTCGAATAGATGAGCTTGGGATGAACTTGGCTCCTATCCTCGGCACTGAGATTTATAGATGTTCGACAAGGCTTCCCAGAAATCTCTGTGCGGGTGTAACGAACGAAGAATATCGTCATGTCCCCCATCGCTATCAACGTAGCTCCTTTCCAGAGAGCCAAGGTCAATCTGCTTCAACCTGAAGACTCGAAATCATTAAAGAGCATTATAGAACTTTTGCTCTTCAACGCTCAGCACAATCCAGACCATGTCTTTTGTCTCCAGCTGCCCTCCAAACAAAATAATGCGATCGGCAATGCTATTTCGATCACGCATCAACAGTTCTACCACGCCGTTAATTACTGTGCCCAACGACTACAGGAAGAAATAGGCATTATTTCTTCTCCTACGATAAACGAAGATAGAACAGTGACCAAGTGCAGTCCTGTGGTGCTCTTCCTAGAGAGCAATGTCGGGCTCCTGGTCCATCTCCTAGCGTTACTGAGCCTGGGAGTTCCCGTTGCCGTTCTTTCTGCTCGACTCAGCCCGACGGCCGTACATCATCTCTTGTCCAGTATCAGAGCACGGTCAGCCATTGTATCACCACGACTGACGAGTACAATGAAGGAGGCGATTGCACTCGAGGGCCAAGGCCAGTCAGTTGGTATTCAGATGTATGTACAGCGACCATACGAGGACGACCTCGAGAAAAGTCGAACGCTGGATCTTTCTGCTATCAAAATCGATGACGGCAGGCATTTTGTCAGCGAGAACGATCGGAATGTATTGATTCTTCACTCTTCAGGAACAACTGGGCTCCCCAAGCCAATCTACCAACCACATCGTTATCTCCTTAACTTTGCGGAATGCCATCAGCTAGGCAAAGAGGACATTATAGGAAGCGTTCTTTCAGCGTTACCACTATTTCACGTAAGTTTCTGAGTAAGGAAGCCAAGCAAAACGCTGATGAGCCAGGGATTCGGTCTTGTCGCACCATGTCTCGCCATGGGAGCTGGGAAGCCATTTATGCTGCCTCCTTCCAACACCATACCTACTGGCTCTTTGATGATCGAGCTGATTCACACCTTCACCCCAACAGCCCTGATGACAGTACCTCACATTCTCGAGGAAATCACGGCACTAGCTCCAGAGCAAGGCGTCAACGCCTTGCGGCCTCTGGAATTTGTCCTCTCTGGCGGAGGACCACTCAAGAATTCCGTCGCCGAGATCTTAGCAACCTCTGGGGTGAGTTTACTGGCTCATTTTGGCACTACCGAGTGCGGACCTTTGGGGGTCGTTTCCGTCCCCGCCCCAGACTACGACTGGCACTACTGGCAACTTCGCCAGGATATCAACTACCGTCTCGACGAGGTTGATGCAAGCTCCTCCGCTGAGGAAAAACAATACAAACTAACTATACACCCGTTTGGTTGGGATTCGCCATTCGAGCTGCAAGATATTCTCATCAGCCGCGGTGCAGAGTACAGGCACCATCTCCGAGCTGCAGGACGCAAAGATGATTTGATCGTTCTCGTTAATGGAGAGAAGGTCATCCCACGGATTCTCGAGTCTCTCCTTATGCAAGACAGGCGAGTAAAGTCCGCCGTAGCATTTGGGGAAGGCAGATTCGAGATTGGTGTCATAATTGAGTCCTCTTATGAGATCGGAGATGAGGAGTTGCTCAAGACAGCCCTGTGGCCAATTATCGTCGAGGCCGGGGAGCAGATGGATTCCCATGCGCGTATCTCCAGCCCGGCTAGTATTATATTTGCGTCGCCAGAGAAACCGATTCCAAGGTCCGATAAAGGCTCGATCCTGAGGAGGGAGACTTACCGAGTTTATGAAGAAGAAATTGCCGACGTTTACAGAGAGTTGAAGGACACCGAGGAAACAAACGCCCTGGATCTTCAGTCCGACACCCTTGAAATGGAGTTGAAGGATCTCATCCAGAGGGAGATAGGGTGGAAGATCCCTCCTTCACAATGGGATAATGGTAGCGATCTCTTTGAACTAGGGATGAATTCACTGCAGGCAATGCGCTTGCACCGCCTTCTGCTATATGCTGTGCCCGAAAGCCAGAGAGGATCCATGCGAGTCGATCTCATATACAGGAATCCTTCCGTGTCCAAGCTTGCAACGGCTCTACGCGATATAAAAGGAACTCAAACCGGACATAGCGAGAGCTCTGAGAGTGATATTGATGAGATTATTCGTCAGTATTCCCTCAGTATCCAAGGGAAATCCATCGTGCTTTTGACTGGCAGTACTGGCAACCTTGGTTCTAGCCTGTTGGCTCATTTCATCGCTTCCCCTACGGTCGAGAAGATTATTTGCCTAAATCGACGACCGGCAGACCCCTTGACAGGGCAAATTGACCTTCTCCAACGACAACTGAACATAGCAGAAAGCAAAGGGGTATCAATTGGACTCAAAATGGCGTCAAAGATTGAAATCATCCCATGCGATCCGACCGCCGACTTGTTCGGTCTCTCTCTGAAGGTCTACACCCAGCTAATATCACAAACTACACACATCCTCCATAATGCCTGGCCGATGGACTTCAAGCGCAGTTTCGCCTCTTTTCAATCCCAATTTCAGTATCTCAACAGCCTCATCCGCCTCAGTCTTGACATTCACAACCGTCGGCCGTCTATCAAGCCACGACTTCTCTTTGTCTCCTCTATCGCTGTTGTGGGACAATATCCCCGCACTCACGGGACATGTTTCGTTCCTGAAGTCCCCTCAGATAAAGCCAGCGTCATTGACGACTTTGGTTATGGCCAAGCTAAGTACGTGTGCGAAGAGGTTCTACGCGCCGCAGCAAAAACATACCCAGGGCTAGAACTGGGGATTGTACGAGTAGGACAGATGTCGGGATCCTCCACTAGCGGCTACTGGAACCCAAAGGAGCATATCCCTACGCTGGTGAAGTTTGCGGGCATGGTAGGACAACTTCCGATAATTAAACAGGTGTGTTCCCCTTTCTTACATCTATATGACAAACGGTTGCTAACAAGATAGACTCTGTCTTGGATCCCTATGGATGCTGCAGCTGCCGTGCTGGGTGATATCCTCTTTTCCGCTTCGTTAAGCGGTATCTACCATCTGGAAAATCCCATCCGTCAAGCGTGGCAAGATATTCTTGATGTATTCGCTTCTTGCATGGACATCAATACAGTTCGTGTGCCGTTTAACCAGTGGTTAAGTAATGTACAAGCGGCAGTGGAGCATCAAGGAACGGAAGACGAGCGCATGGAGTTGCATATGTTGTCCGATTTCTTTGAAAAGAATTTTCAGCGCATGGCGACGGGGAGGGTTATTCTTGATACGAGTAGAACAAGGGCCGTCTCGAGAACTTTACGGGAGGTAGATGAGGTTTCGACAGAAGTTGTGTCGAAGTATGTGAGTCAGTGGAGGAGAAATGGAACACTGGGGGACCACATGTGTCGTATTAAGTCTACCTAAAGTTATGGCCTTTCCAATCGACTTATCACGGTAGTCAATCACTTCAAAATCTTGATCCCCACAAAATAGCACGCTTTCACGTAAATAATTATACCATACTCAGCACTTTTGAATACTGTAATTTGAAACCCTACGTGACGAACCCCTAGACTTGGTGTTCCCAGGTCACTGACCATTATCAATTCCGTGGCTATTTGATATTGGCAGGTTTTACCTTAACGGTAGAAGTTTCGAGAGTCTGCAGCGGTGATGTCCGTGAACAAATCAGGATAGTCAGCCCTCCCAGGCTCACTTGCATTGGAAAGAGTGCCAGAAAGCTCAGGAGTAATGGCCCACTGGGAGATACGAGGCTGTGCTTATCATGTCAGAGGGCCAGAGTATACATGGGCAGAAAATATAGAAGTTCCGAGACTCTTTACTCGGGGTTTGGGTCTGCAGGGTCCGGCGGCTCTATGCTACAGGGACCATCCGGTATAACTCCCGAGATGATGAAGCAGATCGTCCCTATTCAAAAATAAACCCATGGCTGTGTAACTCTTTATCATTGGTAACGGCTGAACATCTTCAACAGTTCTTCGCTGTGCATTTAGCCACCGACTCAACTTCTTCACTATGACCCCATCCCTGCTTCTGTGCGGGTCACAGGCTATCCAATGGTCTGACGACTATCTTGTTTCCCTACGAGACGTCCTACTCTTAGACCCTATTCTTCAGCCCTTTGCCAATGCCATCCGTGAACTCCCCCAGTTATGGGGTACGCTACTCGAGGCAGACACAGTGCTGCAAACCTTTCCCGGGAAGCAAATCCTGGAGCGATTCAGCAAGTGGCTTGATGGAGAGGCATTACTCGACACTGCCTCAGTTGCAAATCCCAATTTACTATTGTCGCCACTCACGGTCGTCTCTCAAGTGGTTGAGTATCTCAATTATTTGGACAAGGGAAACCCCACCCAGTCCCACCTACGCATTTTGAACGGAGTCAAAGAAGGGGGCATCCAAGGGTTCTGCACTGGGTTTCTCACTGCAGCTGCATTGTCATGCTCTCGAGACTATAGAGATATCGTCGAGTTGGGGGCTGTGGCATTGCGTCTGGCTGTCTGTATCGGGGCGTATGTGGATTTGGACCAGCGCAACACCTCAGAATTTGCCTCTCTGGCTGGGCGGTGGGCTGCAGCGGCAGACGAACAGAAGGTCAATGCTATCTTGGCCAAGTATGATAAGGTATGCGATGCGTCTGTTGTGTTGGATATCTTGCTAACGAAAGTTCTAGGCATATATATCTGTGCACTCGGACGCGACCTCAGCAACGTTCACTGTTCCACAAACACGCAAGTCCAGTATCATTCACGATATGAATAATATTGGCCTTCAGGTCAAGGAAATCCCTCTTGCTGGTCGTTTTCACAACTCGATTCATCAAGAGTCCTATAACAAGCTGGTCCGTTTATGTGAGAGCACATCATCACTGCGATTCCCCGACCATTGTCGCCCCCTCGTCCCTCTACGAACCAACGTCAACGGACAAATCCTCTCTATTGACGAAGCTCTGCATGTTGCTGCACTACGAACGTTGCTTCTCGATGTATCCGACTGGTATCAAACCACGAGCAAAGCAGTGGATAGTCTTGGATCATCAACAGCCGGACAACATGAGGTCGCTGTCCTGGGGCTGGGCGATTGCATCCCACGCACAATTCGGCAGTCTGGTGCTCTCCATGTAAGCCATATCCAGACAGGGGCCAAGCAGGATTACGACAGACCCTATCTATACCCCAGAGACGCTGTTGCTATTGTCGGAATGGCTTGTCGATACCCCGGCGCAGACTCCTTAGAGGAATACTGGCGAGTCATCGAATCTGCAACGTCCATGCTGAGCGAGCTCCCAGACGGTCGATTCCCTAAAATCAACCTCCGTCGTGATCCAGATAGGAAGATTCCTTTGAATGGGAACTTCCTACGTCACCCTGACCTCTGGGACCATCGCTTCTTCAAGCGATCTTCGCGCGAGGCTGCTTCGATGGACCCTCAGCATCGCCTGGCGCTGGAAGTTGCCTACGAAGCTCTCGAGTCAGCTGGTTATTTTTCCCAACACACTCTTGCAAAAGATATCGGATGCTACATGGGCGTTGCGGCGTCTGACTACGAAGACAATGTAGCCTCGCATGCACCAACCGCCTTCTCAGTCCTGGGCATGGTTCGCGCCTTCACCAGCGGCAAGATCAGTCATTTCTTCGGATTCAGCGGGCCTTCGCTTGTCTTTGACACGGCCTGCTCTTCTTCCTTGGTGGCCATACACACTGCGTGTCGTGCCCTACAAGCAAACGAATGTTCCATGGCCCTCGCTGGTGGTGTGAATGTCATTACCAGCCCCACTCTGCACCAAAACCTCGGAGCAGCGAACTTCTTAAGTCCCACTGGTGGATCCAAATCCTTTGATGACCGTGCAGACGGGTACTGTCGTGGCGAGGGCGCAGGTATAATCCTACTCAAACGACTTGATCGCGCCATTGCCGACAAGGACCGCATCTTGGGCGTCATCGCCGGCTCCGCTGTGAACCAGAACGACAACGCATACCCCGTGACTGTTCCTGTTTCCCTGTCGCAAACTGCCCTTTACCGGCGTGTGCTGGATATTGCCAGTCTCTCCCCACGCCGCGTATCCTATGTCGAAGCTCATGGCACTGGCACGCCAAAGGGCGACCCGATCGAATGCGCTAGCATCCGCCAGGTGTTTGGCGGGCAAGCGGATCGGAAGCTCTACTTGGGCTCAGTGAAGGGGAATATAGGACACGCTGAAGCCGCGTCCGGCGTGGCGGGCCTCATTAAGGTGCTGCTCATGATGCAGAAGCGCCTGATCCCCCCCTCAGGCGAGCTTCATTTCCTTGAATAAAAGTATCCCGCCATTGGAGCCGGATAATATGGCCATCGCGCGAGAGATGACCTCGTGGAATGCTGAGTTCTATGCTGCCTGTGTGAACAACTACGGCGCGGCAGGAAGCAATGCGGCTGTGATTGTCACACAGCCTCCCAGTATGGGTCGTGGAAATGATGTGACAGTGCCATTGAAGAAATACCCTGTCGTATTATCTGCTAATACGCCTGGAAGTCTCAAGCAGTATGCTACTGCTGTGAAAGAGTTTATCTCCCAGAATCGTGCGGTCCAGCAGGGAAACTTCCTGGCCAGCACGGCCTTCCATCTGTCCAGACGGTACAATCATTCCTTCAAGTATATGGACGCATTCTCTGTTGAGTCAATCGATCAGTTAAATAAGAAGCTTCATATCTGCTCTCAGTTACCGGACTCAGACATTATGGTGTCGAAATCCCAGCGTCCCATTGTTCTCGTCTTCGGCGGCCAAACAGGCAATCTTATCCACCTAAGCGAGGAGGTGTACCGCGGGTCATCCCTTCTGCGAAAGTATCTCGACAAATGTGACGTCCAGTTGCGACAGCTCGGTTTGGCTAGCATCTTCCCTGGCATCTTTCAGCAACAGGCTGTTGAAGATATCGTCCAGCTTCATTGTATGCTATTCTCGCTGCAGTACGCCAGTGCAATGGCCTGGATTGCTGCCGGTCTCCAAGTACAGACAGTCATCGGACACAGTTTCGGACAGCTGACAGCCATGTGTGTGGCTGGAGTCTTGAGCCTGACTGATGCAGTTAAGTTGGTTTCTGGACGTGCATCGATCATCCGGGAGAAATGGGGAGCCGAGCGAGGATGCATGTTGCTTGTGCAGGGTGATTTAGCTGTTGTATGCAGCTTCATTGCCCAGGCTCGTGAAAATACTGGTCATGTTGTGGAAATTGCTTGCTTCAATGGACCCAACAGCTTTGTCATTGTAGGCTCGGAAGCGGACATTGATTCTTTTGACTCATTGGCTGCCTCGACCCTGAAGACCCGCAGAATGAGCGTTACCCATGGGTTCCATTCAAGGTTTGTTGATGCTATAATGGATGATTACGAAAATTTGGCGAAGGATATGGTCTACAAATCTCCCACTATCGCTATTGAGACCTGTTCCTCGGTCGAAAGCTGGAACGCATTCAAAGCAGACCGGGTGGCCCAGCAGTCCCGTCAACCCGTTTACTTTGCTGAAGCGGTGCAGCGCATCTCCCAGAGCTTAGGACCTTGTGCCTGGGTCGAAGCGGGATCTGCGTCCGGGATCACCAATATGGCTCGCCGAGCTCTTAACGACGCAACCAGTCATGACTTCTACTCGATCAATCTGGGAGGGCCTGAGCCATGGGATGCTCTCGTTGACACAACGCTCAGTCTGTGGAAGGCTGGGGTGCAAGTTGATTTCTGGCCTTTTCAAAAGGAACATCAATCTGAATATCTCCCTCTCAATCTCCCACCGTATCAATTCGAACGGTCGCGGCACTGGCTCGAATATGTCGATCGGCCCGGCGCGGATGGTTTTTTCCAAATAAAGGAGGCATCAGCGGTCGAAACCAAGCCCAAGCTAGTTTCCTTCGTCAAGTACCTCGACTCCAACCAGAAAACAGCCGAGTTCACCATCAGACAGGATTGCGAGCAGTATCAAGCGCTGGTCCGTGGCCATGCCGTCCTTGCCAGCATGCTGTGTCCTGCCTCATTGTACGTCGAGATGGCCGCGTCTGCTGCTAGTCTGCTTGTCCCCGAATTTTCACCGTCATCATACACTGCACGAGTTGAGGATCTACATATGCAATCGCCCTTGGCTATTGATCTCAAGCGTGGACTCCGTCTGCTTTTCTCGGCTAGCGGCCCGGGAGCATGGCAGTTTACCCTACAGGGATTCCCCCTCGGGGAAGAGGACAGCACAATCCAACATGCCAGCGGTACAGTCACCATCAGCTCTCTGGCAAGCGAAAAAATAGAGGCCCGGTTCTCCCGGTACAGCCGGATTGTCGACTACCAGCGCTGTGAGGGCCTGCTCTCTGACTCCAGCTCTGCGGCCGTGCAAGGCTCGCTGGTCTACAGGATGTTTGACAAGGTGGTCATCTACTCAGATATCTTCCGTGGTGTGCATAAGATCGCTTCCAAGGGCAAGGAGGTAACTGGTCTCGTCTCGTTGCCATCTGTTGGTTTGCAGCTGGTCAACGAGTCAGTCTGCAATCCGCTCGTGATAGATAATTTCACCCAGGTAGCGGGTCTGCACGTCAACAGTCTAGACGACTGTGGGCCAAATGAGGTGTACCTGTGCAACGGGATTGAGCAGATCGATGCATGTAGGCCACTGGACGCGTCTGGATCGTGGCTGGTTCACTCATCATTCGATCGCGTCGGCACAAGGGAACTCGTGAACGATATCTTCGTCTTTGATGCCGTCACGAAGCAATTGGTGATGACCTTGTTCGGATTGCGGTTTGCCAAGGTGCCCATTTCATCCCTCAAGAAGGCACTGGAACGTGCAAACCCGGTCCAAGGCTCTACACAAACCCCTTCTGTGAAGGTATCTAAGCCTTCGACAATAGTTCAAATGACGCAGCCCACCCACATACCTCCGAAATCGGGGAGGACAACTCCATCTGCTGATGCGCAGGTTCGAACAGCAACAATGGCGTTGCTTAATGAGGTCGCTGACGTTCCCTTATCTGATATTACCGATGGTGCTCGCTTGGAGGATCTGGGGATTGATTCCCTTATGGCAGCAGAACTTCTAAGCACCATCCGGGAAAGATTCAACCTCGACATCCCTACATCCATCTTCTCCAGCATCGTCGATTTCAGGGGCTTGTACCAGCATATCACCTCCGCTACTGACGCAGGCGCCATGACACCGTCTTCTTCGTCCGGCACGGAGACCAACGATAGCATTCTCGAAGTACAATATACGGATACCAGCACGCCGTTCTCCGAGATTGCCTACCCGTTCGACGGCAAGGAGGCTGATGACAAGGCCTACACAGATCAAGTGGCTCAACTATCGCTGTTGTTCGTTGAACATCTAGAATGCGCTGTTCCGATCCCCTCAGGCGAATCGCTCCGTAATATTGGTCTAGACTCCTTAGTTGGGCTTGAACTGGCAGCAGATATCCACAAGGCATTCGGTCAGAAGGTTAACCTGGCGACCCTGGACCCCGAGTGTACATTTGGACAGTTCTGTGACATGGTCATCCCCCAGACTACGTTGCCGGTACCCACGGTCTCCGAAAAGGTGGAAAAAACGGTGCGTTGGGCGTCGACACAGGTCGCTTACTCCACCAAACGCCAGGATCAAACTACAAAGGCGCCGGACGTGGGCCACGTCAATTATCTCTCTCACTGCGCAGAGGACTTTGCCCAAATACGCCACAAGTACACCTTATTCGCGAAAGAGGTCGGGTTCGCCGACTTTCGCACCAACGTCTACCCCCAGCAGAAAGAACTGGTGTGTGCGTATGTGACTGAAGCCTTTGCTGCTTTGGGAGCTGATCTTAGGACTATCCCCTCCGGATCAGCGCTGCCTCCTGTTCCACATATTTCCAGGCATGCCAAGGTGATGAAGCAGTACTACAAGGTGCTCGAGGACTCTGGCTTGATTGCTATAACAGGCAGTGGGATGATCCGCACTGCAAAGCCCATCAGCCCGGTCAACTCTCAGGTTCTCTACCAGCAGATTGATTCGGTATTCCCGCAGCATCGGGGTGAGCATATGCTACTGAACTCAACCGGGTCAAAACTCGCATCCTGCCTGAAAGGAGAGACAGATCCGCTGCAAATCCTCTTCGGTAGCAAAGCAAGCAAGGATCTGATGGAGGACGTTTACACCAACTCGCCCATGTTCGCCACCGGAACCCGTATCTTGGGCGACTTCTTCGTCAAGGCTTTCGGCAAGTATAAAGGGTCTGAGAAACTGCACATCCTGGAGCTTGGGGCTGGTACAGGAGGTACAACAAAGTACATCGTAGAGAAGCTGTTGGAGCACCATATTCCGTTCACATATACCTTCACCGATCTCTCTCCTTCGTTGGTGGCGCTAGCAAAACGAAAATTCGGCCACTATGGGTGCGTCGAGTTCGTCGTGCTCGACATCGAAAAGCCCCCTGCAGAGCACTTAGTGAACTCATACCACGCCATCCTCTCGTCTAACTGTGTGCATGCCACGAAGGATCTGCTCAACTCCACCACAAACGCGCGCAAGCTGCTCCGTGAGGATGGTTTCCTTTGTCTGTTAGAACTCACCCGCAACCTGTTCTGGCTGGATTGCGTCTTCGGGTTGTTGGAGGGGTGGTGGCTTTTTGAAGATGGACGGAAGCATGTACTCGCCGATGAGTACCTCTGGAAAGAGACATTGCTCCAGGCTGGATTCCAGCATGTGGACTGGAGTAACGATGACACTGAAGAATCGGATCAGTTCCGTGTCATTACTGGCTTCGTGGCTGACATTGGAAGAAACCCCATGAGCCAGAAGAAGACTGTCACTGGGAAGCTGCAAACGATGGAAACAGTCCCGTTCACTACGGTGGATGGAATACCCCTGCTCGCAGATATCTACTATCCTGCTAAGGAAGATGCACCCGGTGTCAAGCGCCCCATTGGTAAGTACTCTCTCCATTTTCATGTTGGAACTACTTGGCTAATTCCGCAGGGCTTATGATCCATGGTGGAGGTCACATCATGCTCTCTCGCAAAGACATCCGGCCCAAACAAACGCGTCTCCTCCTCGAGCGCGGCCTGCTTCCCGTCAGCATCGACTACCGTCTCTGTCCCGAAGTCAGCCTTACTGAGGGCCCTATTCCAGATGCCTGCGCCGCCCTCAATTGGGCTCGCACCGTCCTCCCAACTCTCCAGCTGCAACGACCGGATATTTATCCCAATGGCGAAAAAGTAGCCGTAGTGGGTTGGTCAACCGGCGGGACGCTGTCAATGATGTTGCCCTTCAGCGCCCCGCAACGGGGTATCCAGCCCCCCGACGCGATTCTGGCATTCTACTGCCCTACAGACTACGAAGCGGACTTTTACCGGGAACCGAACTACCCCGAAGGCACTTCTGGGACTGTTCCGCAAACCTATGATCTCCTGGAAGGTGTACAAGAACATCCGATTACAGGCTACAACGTCCCCGCGTACAAGGGTGCGACGGGTGGATGGATGTCTCTCTCTGACCCGCGCTCGAGGATCGCATTGCATATGAACTGGAAGGGACAGGCACTTCCTGTGTTGCTAAATGGTCTGCCATCTAAGAAGAAATTACTGGATGACGGAGACGATGCATCGTCGACGAACTGGCTGGATCTACCACAGCCTAGCATGGACCGGGTGCGAGCCTTGAGTCCATATGCGCAGATCGTCGAGGGAAATTACCGGGTGCCTACGTTCTTGATCCACGGTACGCGGGACGATCTCATTCCGTGGGAGCAGTCAGTACGAACGACCGATGCGCTTGCTTCTCAGGGAGTCGGCGCAGGTGTAGCGATTGTTGAGGATGCAGTGCATCTGTTCGATCTCTACAGGGATCCGGAGGGGAAGTATTGGGAGGCTGTGTTGGAGGGATATGACTTTTTGTTGAAACACCTATAATCTCTCCTCATTGCAGAAGATAAAACAGAGTAAGGCAGTGTGCATTATGTCATTGCTCAACGCAGAAGGAGCGGATCCGACCCTAGAAATTTGGTGCAGACAATCAATAATGCTTAATGCCGGTGACAGCTGGTTCTAGATTTTGAAGACCCTGTCTTTCGCTAGATGATTGGCCTGGGGACATAAATCCGGCAAGATATCCGCTTTAAATATTGCTGAAACTGAAGGCTGTCCACATTCCTTGCGTCCAGGTAATTAATTTGTGCAGATAATTGTATAGATGAATCGGTCCCACCGGCACTTCATCTAGATGGTGGTCCGTGGGCCCTTTCTCGACCATGGCCTGAACCAGATCCATGGGTCGGATTCAGCCATTGTCAGCCACTCTCCGCAGTCGTTCCCATTCGGGAGGTGTCAAGCTGCGTTTCGTGTGCGCTGTCAACTTTCTTATGGTGCTTCATCAAACTCTCGACAAAACTGGCGTGACTTCCGATCAAGATGCCTCGATCCAGAAGTGATCTGGCTCATGGCAAATGAATTCGTCTATTCTAGGGCATAACTTCGCCGTCATAATATGGTCAAACCATCGTTCCAGAATGTAGCTTAGCTTGCCCCATCGGCAACTTTGGAGCCTTTCGCCCACGCGGCGTTCATATTAAGCTCCCCATTTACTTTAAATGGACTGGACCCTGGTCGTTCGCTCATGAGGCGGTTTTGGTTCCCCATGCACTCGTTTCGACAATGTTAGCTACAGGGGACTTCGGGCCTGCGCCCTTGGGGGTCAACCTTGCAGATAATCAAAACTCGGAGATGCTGGGGGCCGTCATCACACTGATGATCGTGGGAACACTAGCTGTCATTCTCCGTATATATACCCGCACCAGTGCCTCACAGGCTCATTTTGGAATTGATGACTACTTGATATTTGCTGCACTGGTGAGTATATACTTTTCGGGGAATCAAATCAAACACTAATTCCAATTCAGATCTTTGCCTATGGAACTGGCATATGTGTTTTGATCAGTAAGCATGCCTTCTTTGGTCCATTGAGAGGCGATAATAACGCGTTTGAATCATAGGCACGAAATATAAGAACGGATGGCATATTCAAGCCCTCACAGACCATGAGTTTATCGTTGTTTGGAGATTACTCTTCGCCCATGTCATGATCTACGCCACGACAGTCAGCTGCACTAAAGCGTCGATTATCATGTTCTACCATCGGATCTTCAACCTGCAATACTCTCTGTGGATCACTCTCTCTATTATCGCCGGCTACTTCGTCTCCGTTGTCATTACTATGGTAGCGGCGTGTCGCCCAATCGCGTATTTTTGGCTGCAGCATACGAATTCCGCCGCAGAGGGCAGCTGTATTAACGTCCCGGAGTTTTTCCTGATCAACGGCGTCATCGCCGTCTTGATTGATCTAATGATCCTTTGCGTGCCGGTGCCGATTATCTGGAATCTGCAGATGCCGCGGAGCCAAAGAGCAGCGGTGATTGGGATCTTGTTCCTGGGTGGATTGTAAGTTTTTTAGCCTCGTTTGTCCATCTTCTTTTTCTTCGAAAATGTAAGGTCCTAACTAAAAGCACTCAGTGTCTGCGTCGCAGGTATCGTGCGAGTTGTCGTGTTGAACGAGAACACAAAATCGGACGATCCGTCATGGAGCATCGCACCCGTCTTCGTCTGGTCTTGCGTCGAACCGTTTATTGGAATTGTCTGTGCTTGCCTGCCGACATTCTCACCAATTTTCCGTCGCTGGTGGGCAACCCTGGTGCCTCGCAAGAAACTTTCCAGAAAGAAAGAGTATTACGGTCCCGAGGGGTCCGGCCTCTGGCGCATCAAGCGCGAGAAAGGCAAATCGCCGCCGGATGACAGTGCGTTATCGCAGGATGAAGTCGAGCTGACGCATTTCCCCGGCTGGCCGGCAGGAACTCTGCACACGAGAGAGAGCAGGGACCAGATGGTGTCACCGCATGCGCGGATCCAGATCAAGGAAGAAGTGACTATTACTTGGGCGTGATCTGTACATAAAACACACCATTTCAATCGATAGGTCTTCTCCTAATTGGGCAATCCGGCTTGCGTGCTTAGGGTGCATATCGTGCCCACTCAAACCCCCGCGGTGAGACCCTTAAAGAAGAGAAAGCTCCCGATCATTAGCGGTGTGGATCCCGCCACAGCTCAATGGTGCCTGGGCTCAAGCTCTGATTGCTCGAGAAGCGATTGGGTGATCGGAGTCACTCTTGACCACATCCTGTTGGTCTTGGCAGACACCATGACCATCGAGCAGTTTGGGGCTTCAAAACAATTGCAACGGGCATCGAAGCACACGTATATACCCCTAGATCCCGAGAATCGAAATGATTCTTCTCGGAACACCCACGAGGCCCCATGACAGGATCATTCCGCAGCTCAGACAGGGTCCGACGATCATCCGCAATCGCCTATTGTGATGGCGTGCTCTCACCACCACCTGCACCCAATCGCGCAATACAGCCATCCCCTCAAGAAGCGGTCACGTCAATTTTCTTACTTATTGACCCTCGTTCGCTCGGGGCTTGATGCGCCATGTTCTCTTTCTCTCCAAGTTTTCCGTGACAGCTTGAAGCTTCCCCGTCCGCGCGCTCCTTAACTCCCGACCTTGCTCGTTGGTCTCCGTCGCGATGGCTGCATCCTCCAGCCTGATACTACCCAAGAGCGAGCTGTCCAAGGAAGAGCTGTTCACTGCGAAATCATCACTCCAAGAATATCAGCCATGGTTACTCGATGACCATCCACTGCGCTCATACCCGACTCAATGTATCCCGGGCCTGGGACCGGTGCTGAGAAGCGGCTTCAAATCGTTTCGCGTGCGCTGGAAGGAGCACTCGCTTCGCGCCGTTTGCCTTATCCTGGCATCCTTGTACGTCGTTGTTTTGGCAACCCATGCCGCTTACCTGCTGACTCCTTTTGACAGTGCTGCATACGAGGGCCTCCGCGCGCTCGCCGGTTCTATATTCCCGCAGCCCACAGTGGCAGGGATACATCCACGCAGCTATCCTAATGCATGCACCTTCCCGCACCCGGATACCCGACCAAATGCCCTGTCGCGGTCTCTCGCTGCTGGGTGCGACGGCCTTAATACCGCGCTCTGGTTAGACGAAGACGTACTGAAGATTGGCGCTCCCACCTCGAGTCGCAAAACAGAGAATGCCCTGCAGCGGCTAAGTCTCAACCCGCTTGTATCCCGGCTCGACGATGAAGTCACCACCGACAACTCACAAGCTCCCCTGACGGCTGCTGATCCGTCCGATGATGCTGCGCAGTCATTCCTTCTCATCTTGGATACCAAGTCTCCACTCCCTGACGTGTATCATCTTCTCATTTCTTACCTTGCTCCCCTCCGGGAGAAAGGGATACCTGACCCACTGGGATCAGGATCGGATTGTCTCTCGCCGCGTGACGGTTGTTGTTACGGGGGATGACGTGTCCGAGACCGACTGCTCGACGCATTCCTACTCTGATGTCTTTTATATGGCATCACCGGAGGACTCGGCGGTGACTGGTTCCCATCTGAGTGACGTTCTCCCTAACGTATCACCGATTTGTCTTACGTGATTCCCGCTTTTAATTAATGATACCCAATGTATACCATATTGTAGTAGTGGCATCTGCAGTGGTAACTGTGCTTTACGTACGTAAAATCCGCCGGAGATCAACGGTCCTGAAATATCCTTGGGGACGAAACACTGTAACGGGTGAAGGGGGACGAGCGCGATGGTGCGAGACCCCTCGCCATGAATAACCGAGCCGAGAGAGCGTGCCGGGCGATCACGCTGCAGTCCGGCTGCAAATGCAAGATAGAGTCTTGGCCCCAGCTCGCGGCTAAATCACTGGGGCGGTATCAGGCATCCCCTGATGATGGTTCTTTCACCAATTCATGAGCCTGAACCGAGTTCTCCGCCCGCTAACCTCGGATTCGCAAACCTCATTGGGCGCTATTTCCAAGCGAGCATCCGTCGCGCGACCATCAGCCGCTGATCCTGCATCACAGCTCTGGCCCCGGTCGGATCTGTCTTTTCCACCGCCATTTTACCACCGAGCTTACCCCAGGGTCGACGCTGGTTTTCTATTCTCAGGGCCTCGCAGCCATCTTGTCCTTCCTTGTCCTTCACCCCCGCGGCGAGATGGACTTTTTCCGACGCCTCAACCAGAGTTACCCTCCCCGTCCGTCACCCTTGGGCACCTCGGCGCAGCAAACTTCTCCGCAGGGCCCATCGTCCGGTACACCAGCCTCGAGTGCTGAGTCTCGCCGTCCCACCGAGAGGCATCGCAATCAGGATCCGTCGCGCCCGACGACGACTTCTCCCTATGCGCGCACATCACCCACATCTCCGGCGACGGGCTTTGGGCCGCGGTCTGTCTCCCGACCGTCGTCCCTGCGTGGAGAGGCCCCGAGCACAGACAAGTCGGCCCAATCCCATCGTCGGCATGGCAGTCTCGACCGCAAAGAGCCTTCGGCCACACACCGGCGGAACCAGTCGCAGCCCTTCCTGCGCTATCGCGATGGTACATCTCCCTCCATTCGTCCTTCTCCCCTGGCTGTCTTTCCCCGGGATCGGCCCGGGAGCTAGTCAACAAAAGTGGATTAGCTCATCCCCTTGCCTCTCCCGGTCTAGCGCCAGTCGAGCTTCTCTCTCCGCCTTTTCATTCTGCCATTCTTCATTCTCCCCTGCGCCAGCTGGCTGACCGACCTTCTTTACTGACTGACACAGGGCTGCTGGGACACCGCGACATGAATCCTTCCCCCCACGACTCTGCGCGTCGCACCTCTCACGGAAGCAGGGGAAGCCCTGTGTATTCCGGTATGTCTTGCCCCTCCTTGGACCGGTCGCGCCGCACCCCGGTGTCACATGGCGTTGGAATGACCTCGCATCAACCTGCGGCGGAATGACGCTATTCGCACCTCGGTCGAAAAACAAACCTGTCCTGACCATTTTTCACTATATCCAGGTCCCCACGAACACCCGGCGCCAGCCGCGTTTGGGAATCGCCAAATGCCACCTCCATCTCCTCCACACGCGTACGGCTCGCGAGCGCAATCTGCGAACGCGCCTCCCTCGTCGTCCATGCTTCCACGCGACCCTTCTTCCAGCCAATCCCACCGTCCAGGTAGCAGCATGTCCATCTCCTCCATGTTAGGCGGTGATTCTGAACGTCCGGCCCGAGATTCAGGGCCGTCGTTCTTCTCACGCCCATCATCGCTGTTTAGTAGCGCGCTGCCATCCTCAGCGACTGGTGCCATGTCGCCACCCAGTGGACCAGCAAGAACATCGCCGCTCGACCACCCTCTCTTCCGGCGATCGCGTACCCCCGAAAAGTCTTTGTCGTCGAAGCCGCAGACCGGTCGGCCTGCCCGGTCTGGATCCGGGGGCGGGTCGTACCTCTTCTCGGAACAATCCAGGTTTGGTGGCCTGTCGCGCGGACCGTCATCGTCACAATTCCCAGATAAGCCTCACTCGACACACCCTTCCCCACGAATCTCGTCTGCAGAGGCACCACCAAACGAGCCTCGGCGAATGAGTCTGAGTGGGCCCATCGCCCGACCGAGCAGCCAGCCACCACATGCCGACGGACCAACTCGTACGCCAGCCTACAGCCCGATCTCAAGGCCGTCTGGAAGTGTGTCCGAACGGCCGTTTGAGTCGGGTCCGCGCTCTGCGTCTACATCCTACATGGGGCAAGATTCTGCGCTCAGCCGGCTCGGTAGCCTTTTTGGAGATCGTCGCTCAGAAGACCCTCTATACCGTGACCGAGATCGAGCTGCCAGCCATGGAACCGATGCCAAGGCTACCCGAGGCGCGTCCTCCCGGTTTGGTTCGCTCTACGGAGATCGAGAACCGGTCGAACGGCATTCCGGCGCCTCAACCTGGGAGCAACGTTCGCATCCCGCATCGCCAGAGAGTAGGCGTTTCCCCGTACCGGAAAGTGCATCAGGGTTTGGATTCGGCGCTATTCAGAGCTACACCAAGTCATTGGGGTCTCAACCCGGCGGGGGCCGCCAACCTCCTTCGTCTTTACAAAGTCGACACAGCCAACCTACTTCACCGCCACATGAATCCCCTTTCAAGCAAACGCAGCCTCCACGCGGAGGTTCGACCCCGGCAGGGTCATCGGCAGTCCCAGGACCATTCAGCCTCTCCACCACAGAAGACACGCGACGCAAAGGAAGTGATGAACTTTTCCACCATCGCAACTTGCTAGCGGTTGGGGCAGATGGAAAGCGCGGCGGACGAGCCTCACCTCTTCCTCAGGCCGTTCAGGGAGCTCAGGCTCCGTTCATCGGGTCCAGTGGCGAGTCTGGCATCAAGAATGAGCTGGGACGAGTGTTTTCTGGAATCGGAAGCGGCGTTGGCGGCGTGACGGCCACCTCTGCCAATAGTGGATCACCAACACCCATGACCTCCAGCCCTTTCAAGCGTGATAGTTTCACCGGGCGCTCCGCCAACGGCGAGGTGTTTGACGAGTCCAAGATCGCCCGACCCGCATCTGCCACGGGCTCCAAGCGGGCACGAAAATCCCAGGATGAGGATCAGCAGATGGATCTGGAGGGATCAACGCTGTCAACCCGTGGAAACCGTCGTGCTCGACACCCCCATCACCATCACCATCAGTAAGTCTCGGATGACTATTGATTCATCATTTCTGCTAACATTTGTTTGTAGTCATCACCATCACCGCCATAAGCTTGAAGAGGAGGCGGCATTGGCTGGGCTACAGCGTCCGCTGTCAACCGCGAGTTATCTCCATTCCACTTCTACTCCCGCAGACGGAGCCCCTGTGTCCGCCTCTGGCCATCATCACCACCACCACCACCATCATCACCACGCTCCTCGACCGGCCAGTCTCCCAGTTGCTGTGCCAACACCTCTACGGGAACCCCAAACCACCGTGAATATCGAGCCCTTGCTGTCCAGTGTGGCTAATCGACCGCGGCATCACCTGGGATCAACGCTCTACACCCCGCGAATCAATGCCCCATCAGCCAAGGCATCTGTGGACAGCGCCAAGTTCGGGTATACTACGAGCCCACAGCCGCTTCCCCGGTTTGAAGGACGCGAAAATTGCACGTTTACCGTCCGCGTTCCCCGTTTCCGAATCGACGCAAATCACCGCGAAGAGATCTGCGCGCGGCGTGCGTTGTGGGGAACCGGTGTCTACACGGATGATTCAGATCCAGTGGCTGCCGCGATCCACTCGGGGTACATCCGGGGTGCATGGGGCGAAGATGTGGACGAGTCCATGCTCGATCTGGAAATTAAAGACACCTATCAACATGCCCCGCAGCTCGAAGTGAATGGAGCCGACGCTTCCAATCCAGATGCCCAGGCAAGCAAGGAACCGCGCCTGCCCCCTGTTCCTCCAGCGGACAAAGATCTCCACATCACGCTCTTGATCTTGCCGCGTCTCGAGCGGTATGACTCGGCCGTGTTGTTCGGGCTCAAATCGCGAGTGTGGGATGGCCGGCATGACGGCATGAGCTTCAAAGTGCATCGCATTGACTGGGTGGATGAGGGGGTCGGTCGCGGAGAAGAGCGAAGCGGCGAGGCCCGACGCAAACGGCTGCGCACTCTAATGCAAAGCGGCCGCATCTGCACTGGGCCGGCGATGGCGAAGATGGACGCGCTGCGCCAGAGCGGGGTGCAAGTTCCCCGGGCTCTTGATGGTAAGAACCAGATAGCACCGGTGCAGCCGGTCTCTTAAAGGCGTTGTGATCATTGCGGTTCTTTTACGGTGTTGTCGATCCATGGCCCTGCTTTCCGGTCTGGAGTATTCTGGTGGACTCGGCGAATCTTTACAACATTCTTGTTTCCTTTTCTCTGCATCTGCTGATACCAGATTTGGTGTCTTGGTGTCATTGCATTCTGGCCAACGGGCGAAGGGGGGAGGGGGCGTGTATTCCGGTCTTGTTAGGGCTTTCTCGATCTACTTGCACTCCATAATCTATCTGCACCGTTGGTGTTGTCCGCGGGAATACTCTGTCGTGGTTGGCTCGTTCCGATCGAGCGTAGTGAACTAGCTCTCCCCGCATTGTTATTCTTGTCTGTGGATTGTCTTCGCCAGGGCGATCACTGCGTCGAGCGCTAGAGGTGGATGTATAGAATCTTTTGGACCTCATCTTTTGCTTTCCTTCCCCTGTCTGTACCCAGCTGCTTCTTGGCCCTATAATCCACTCCAACTCCCTAACCCACCCAACCATCCATCCTCCGATGGACCGAGGCCCATTAACATACCGTGTGACATTTCCGCGGTAAACGGGCACTGTGGGGCCGTCTCCAATACCTGGCCGATACTGGTTCGGCCCTTCCCTTCAGCCGAGGCAACGCTGCCTCTCGTTCTTTATTCCTCGCCATCGCTGTCCTGGCTGTCCGGCGATAGTTTTTTCTTCTCTTCTTTTCATACCTCCTATTCTCTCCCCTTATATCCTACCACCGCTGAGAGGGATGTTCACTGCTTCTGCGAGAAGCCGTCTCTCTACCTTGTCACGGCCCCGGCAACCTCCGACAGTCTCTCTCCTCGCTCGCTCCGTGGTAAGAACGGCCGTCTCCGATCTTGCCGACCGCTCGCAAGAGAGTGCGCAGGAGTAATTGACTGACCCCCCGACAGACTCCCACAATGGCTCCCCGGCGAAAGGCGTCTTCGGTCCCTGAGGGTGAGTGATTCGATTCACATGTTGACCGCTCCCAGGTCTCCACAGCGGGACCCTCGTCATGGCTGACCGACATGCCTAGGATACAAGGAGGATCTCTCCAAGGGCAAGATGCTCCGATTCGAAGATTCCTTGCCCCGTCTACCTGTTCCCTCGCTCGAAGAAACCGGCGCCCGATACCTCAAGTCCGTCCACGCCGTTGTCTCCGAGACCGAGTACGAGCGCACCAAGAAGGCTGTCGAGGCGTTCATTCGCCCCGGCGGTGAGGGTGAGCCTCTGCAGAAGCGGCTGCTGGCACGCGCAGCCGACCCCAAGATCAAGAACTGGCTGTCCGAATGGTGGAACCACGCCGCGTACCTGGGCTACCGGGACCCCGTCATTCCCTATGTCTCCTACTTCTACTCCTACAAGGATGACCGGCTGCGCCGCAACCCGGCCCAGCGTGCGGCAGCGATTACCTCGGCTGCGTTGGAGTTCAAGCGCCAGGTGGATGATGGCTCCCTGGAGCCCGAGTACATGCGTGGCCAGCCAATGGCCATGAACTCGTACGAGTACATGTTCAACTGCTGCCGAATCCCCGCCGAGGGCGCGGACTTCCCACGCAAGTACGCCGCGGCCGAGAACCAGCATATTGTGGTGGTGCGCAAGAACCAGTTCTTCAAGGTGCCTTTGGTCGTCAACGGAGAGGCCTTGAATGTCTCCGAGCTGGAACAGCAGTTCCAGCACATCTATGAGACCGCCCAGCCCGCGCCGCCGGTCGGCGTGCTGACCGTTGCGGACCGTGACCACTGGGCCGCTGCGCGTAAGAAGCTTGTTGCCGCTGATCCAGCCAACGAGAATGCTCTGCGCGACATCGAGTCCTCCGGGTTCGTGATCTGCCTGGATGACGCTAAGCCCGTCACCCTGGAGGAGCGCGCGCACCAGTACTGGCACGGCGATGGCTCCAACCGTTGGTTCGACAAGCCTCTGCATTTCATTGTCAACGAGAACGGTACTGCTGGTTTCATGGGCGAGCACAGCATGATGGACGGCACCGCTACCCACCGTCTCAGCGACTTTATCAACGCCACCATCTTCAATAAGAAGATTGATCTCTCTGCCAAGCCTGTGCGTTCTTCGCTAGCAGAGCCTAAGCCCATCACCTTCCACCTGAATGAGGAGGTCAACGAGGCCGTGGATTTTGCTGCCCAGTACCACCGCAAGCAGATTGCCGACCACGAGCTGGTTGTCCAGGCCTTCCAGGGCTACGGCAAGGGCCTCATCAAGAAGTTCAAGTGCAGCCCCGATGCCTTCGTCCAGATGCTCATTCAGCTGGCCTACTTCAAGATGTACGGCAAGAACCGCCCTACTTACGAGTCCGCCGCCACCCGCAAGTTCCAGGAGGGTCGCACCGAGACCACCCGCACCGTTTCGGACGAGAGCGTCGCCTTCTGCAAGGCCCACCAAGATGCGAACGTGCCTCGCGAGGAGGTCGTTCGGTTGTTCCGTGCCGCCCTCGCCCAGCACACCAAGTACACCCTCGAGGCTAGCGACGCTCGCGGTGTCGATCGCCACCTCTTCGGTCTGAAGAAGCTCCTGCAGCCAGGGGAGAAGGTTCCTGCTCTCTTCGAGGACCCAGCCTACACCTATTCTGGCTCCTGGTACATTTCCTCCTCGCAGCTGAGCTCCGAGTACTTCAACGGCTACGGCTGGAGTGAGGTCATCCCCGAGGGATGGGGCATTGCCTACATGATCAACGAGAACAGGTGAGTTTTATTTTCTACAATATAATATGAGATACTAATGACGTGCAGCCTCAACTTCAATATCGTCTGCAAGCGCCTCGGCGCTCACCGCATGAGCTACTTCCTGAACGAGGCTGCCTCCGAGCTGCGTGACTTGCTCATGCCTGATCTGGCTGCCCAGCCCGAGAAAGCGAAGCTTTAGTTTCTTTGTGTTTGCTGTGTATATCGGTTCTCTACTGGATTCGGGTTTGGTTTGCAGCGACTACCATAGATGAAAATACTTTCTTGTCTTGTAGACTTGGTCATAGTTTGTTGAGGAAGTCATACGTTATATAATTTCTTCGAAGGAATATTTACTGTTATTATTCTCATTGCTGACTTGCAACAAATGTCAACAGACAACCTCCAGTCTCAAAAGACCCCAAAAACGCACCTTCCCACACCCCCTTCTATACTCACTCAAAAAGCAAAATGATTAGCTCCCTTAACCTCCATCCCCACTGCCTTACTGCCTTATCCAAATGACGCTCCGGGCGAGAGAGCAAACTTGCTCAAAGCACGCAGTCTCGCACCATAGAAGTAAAGCAGCCAGATACCAATAATACCAATAACGCTCAGCCCACCGAGGACGCTTACACCACGAGCAACGCCCAAATTGCCGAATAATGGGTGCGCAAAGAGCACACTGCCACAAGCCAACGCACTGCGGAAGAAATCATTTGCAGCAAACAGACTGGCAGCGTACTTGGGGTAGCTGAGCGGGATATAAACGAAAACACACTGCATGACAATGAACACCGACCCGCCGTAGATGGTGATTCCAATGGTAGGCACGATCCAGTGAATTGAGGCGCGAGCTGTCCAGGCGAAGAGGAAGAGACCAATTGTCGGACCAAACGAGGCGGGCAGTGCTGGGATCAGGCGCGACTCTTGCGCCGGAAATCCAAAGCGGACGATGCGCGGGTTCATCCAGAAGTATATGTAGGAAAAGTAGATGGCGATGGCGACGATGCAAGATACCAAGATACATAGGAAAACTAGACCGATTTCGCCGAGGTTCATGTTGTAGTCGGCCGGGTAGACCAGCGGGAAGACCTCGAAGAAGGAGTAGTAGATTCCGTAGATGATGGCCGTGTAAACCTGGACGAAGAGCACCGCGGGATCCTTGATCGTAATTTCCATGGGCTTGATGAGCGCATCCACAGTGACATCCGAAACGCGCATATTGCGCTGGTCAATCTCAGACTGAGACATGAAGCGACTATCGTTGTAGATTCGGCGGAGACGACTTGCACGCCGGTACTGGATCGTCGGGCCGCTAGTCTCCGGGAGGAAGAAGAACATGAGGAGGAACACAGGGGCTGAGGCCCAAATCGATTCGAAGAGAGCCCAGCGCCAGCCCTCGACGGGGACAGAGAAGCCGCTGAGGAGTGGACCGAGGGCAGCTATATCACACTGTTAGTATGGAGGAATGAATAGAAAGAACGGCGGGTAGACTTACGTCCGCAGTACGCGGCAGCAACCCAAGCCATCATGGCGTAGGGCAGAGACATTAAACTATACAAATCGCCGATCGAAGCACCGCCTGAGGCAAGACATGGTGAGCCGAAGAATCCCTGCAGAAACCGGAGCACCATCAGGCCCGCAAAATTGCCCACGAAAGCTGTCGGGATGGAGATGATGACGAAGAGGAACATGGTCACGATATAGACTGGGTTGCGCCCAATAATGGGGATCTCACTCATCGGTGAGAAGATCAAGGGACCGGTCCCATATCCAAGGACATACAGCGAGAGACCCAATGTAGCGACTATCTGACTGACGCCGAATTCCTTCATGACCCCTCCCTCCGATGAAGTGTAGATGGCGGATGTGGTGTATACTACGAAAGTATAGAGGCAGATGATTGTGGTCGTCAGAGCACGCTTGAGATTAGACCAGTTGTGTGGATTCTCGGCGTCATCGGTATAGTACCAGTCGACCAGGATAGTGCCATCTTTGGTCTTTTTCGGACAAATGGGAATGGACTTGATCTTTTCAATCTCGTGTTGCTCGTCCGTTTCAAGCCGAGTTTCTGTTGAGGGTAGACTATTTTGGGTCGAGACATGACTGAGACTTTCGTCACTGTCGGGTTCTGATGATTGGGATTCGGGTTGAGCTTCGGCTTGAGCTTCAGTCTGAGCTTCGGCTTGAGCTTCGGTTTGAGCTTCGGGTCGAGCTTCGGTTTGAGTGTCTTCGGAGCCGGCGGCAGCGTCCGACCCGTCCATAACCTTGATCCATTCGTCAGGCAGCTTGAAGTCGGCTTTCTCCTCAGGATATTGAAAGTATTTGTTTTTGGTTACGAGACGGACAAGCTGCCCGAAAGGGGCATCTCGGAGGACAGCTTGCATCCTGTGAATTGATCGACGGTAGTCGAACTAATGCTTTCTGTTTGCGATACTAAGAAGCAATGTATGCAATGGAAGGCTATCTGGAATACAATATATATACTGAGGTGTGAAAAGCTCTTTATAATTGTCTTCGCTCCGTTATCTCCATCCACCATTATGACGTGAGTTATCACAGAGAGTGCTTGCTAATCTAATTCATGCCTGAAACCAAACAAAATGATAAATCAGGCATGGAAACTTCTCAAAGCGTATTGACTCATCTAACAATGGAGATGATTGGACCATTTACCAAGTTGAATAATAATATGGCCCGTTGAATTGCCCCGATCCCGATGTGCCCAGGGATCGAAAAGGATCCATTAATTAATTGTGATTCGCCCCGGATGTGTTTGACGGAGATAAGGCTAGATTAATAATGAGATGTGGCGTGAGTGTGTGAGTTAGTTGGTTAATAATCGTTATATCGCCTACGGTCCCCAATGGCACAATCCATGGATGACCGGATTCATCTGCCGCCGCATTGGGTATGTCGAAATTCTAATTGAAACTCTTTCCATAACGTCATTCTGGATTTGGTTGCCTGATCTGTCAGGGCAACAATGGCTGAGTATAGCTTCTTTGTACGCCCAAGGATTTACATATATACTGCGATTGCGATCAACTGCAGATTTAACCATGAGGTTAAGGAGATGTCGGGATTCGAACGACCTTGTCACACACTTTGTTTCTAACTCGGTCAGTCTTAAACTGCCGAATCCCACTGCGAAAAACTATCACGAAACGAACAACGCGAGAAGCCAGTTGTTCCACTGTTCCAAGCACCCTGTTGTATCGCATCCATCCCTCGCAGGCATAGTGTTTTGACCGCCCAGAATAACCCTTGCCGACATACTGGCGTTACTTGCCCCAGTATCCCTCGTTCAGTATCCGCAGCTTTGCAACCACAGCCTCGAAAAGCTAGGTCGACCAAAATGTCCGGTAGGCCCAAAAAATGCCAATGACAAGATATCAAGCGCTGAACGGTGACTGATTTTCTTGGCTGACAGATCACGGTTGATAAGTCACCATAAGATCGCCCGGGGAGTGCCGCTCTGAGGTACGGATCTCGGTAAATGTTCGCACCTTAAGACGACATCGCGGAAAGTTATTGCAAAGATGTTAGCAATACTAGCCTATCTTGGATGACAATACTACTAATGGTCGACCCCTTAACGTAGTTCAGAAGCTTGATCGTCTCAGACTAAAGTAGCCGATTGTCGAGCGGATCTCGGCAAGGACTCTTGCAATTTGTCTCTGCGGGGCATCAAGCGACTCCTTCATCTGACATGAATAATGATTCGTTTCTGTCAAGAACTCGGAATCCAATTCGCCCGCTAGCTAAATCCACCGCGCAGACACGCAATATGTGTAGCATATTGCGGAGTCGGCTACCTACGCTGCAGCTACGCTGTGTTTATCCGAGAGACTTGTCGACATATATAAGATAGAAATATTTTCAGCAGTTACTCTGACAGCGAGTCTTATTGTAGACAGGCGGAGAAATATAATCTTTCAAGATGCATCCGTCTCTTGTCCTCGGCCTTACGGAGATGTCTGTGTCCAGCAGTCAAACATACACCCTCGCTCCAGAAGCTCAAGCGCCTATTGGCGCATCTCAGCTGGTTGACCCGTCTTTTCCCAGTTTTGCAATTCAAGTCAGCTCATTTCCAGCCTATTCAGGTGTGTGAATTTTATCCTAGGCGCATGGCCGTTGAACATACTAAGAAGTTGGTTAGGCAATGCCTCGTATCCCAATACCTTTTCCATCAACCTAATCCGTGCAATCGAAGAGCGCACAGGAGGGCCCTTGGTTATTCGCGTCGGTGGAACTAATGGGTAAGTCATTTTCACGGTTGTCTCTAATCCCTTCCTCTGAGTGCTCATAGGGATTTTTCCAATTTCAACCCTGCTCAAACAAGCCCGATCGAACCCCCAATGCAGGGGAGTGGCGTCCAGCAGAAATTCGTCCTCGGGCCTGATTTTTATGAAGGCTTCGGCAATTTCCCCGACACCCGTTGGGTCTATGATATCCCTTTTGCCAATCAAAACCATACGGACTCCCTTGATCTGGGGCTCGCTGCAGTCCACCAGATAGGCTTCCAGAGCCTGGATGCCCTGGAAATTGGCAATGAGGTTGACCTTTATGTTGGCCAGGGTGTGCGCCCTGCTGGATGGGGACCGCAGAATTACACTGTTGATTTCTTGAACTATGCGGAATTTCTCACGGATGCACTAAATCTGCCGAATTACCCGATTTTCCAGACTCTGACCTTGTCATCTTCAAGGGTGCCGCCGTGGAGCGCGTAAGTTTTCCTCTGTCTGTAGTTTGTCCTTCTCTCTAACGGAATTAGGCAAGCTGTATTCGAGGATGGTATCACGAAAGGCAACCGAGTCAAATCGGTCTCCTTGCACCAGTAAGCGAGATATTCTGTCTTTCTTGTTGACATCCACTAATGTCATCCAGCTACGAGTATACGAATACAACCACCACTCTGCAAGGTCAGCGTCTTGTCTAACATTCTCGATATGGTTGTTGATAATACACCAGAAACTCTCATGAATCACACTTTTGTCACGAGCGGTGTCGATAACGCCTTTCTCTCTGACTTCGAATACATGAAAGCAAACTTCCCGGAAATCCAGATAGTGCTTGGTGAGGTCGGCCGCTTCCGTGACGGCGGGGGATCCCTTGATCAATCCGAAGGTATTTTCGGGTCTGCGTTGTGGACCGCCGATTATTTACTATACACCATGTCATTGGTAGGGCTCGAAATTTCCTCCAATTCAGGTACGATAACAACTAACAAGTTGAGGGCATACAGAACGTAACGCGCGTCAATATGCAATTGAGCAAAGCATTCGGCTACGCCGCTTGGCACCCAGTAGCCTATGATGATCTTGAGCCGGCGGTTATCGCACCATATTATGGCCACCTCCTCGTTGCTGACTTTATGAAGGGTTCAAGTAATTTTCGAGTAATTGAAATTCAATCGGATGACGATCTGCTTGCTGCCTACGCCGGCTATGAGTATGATCAGCTCAAACGCGTTGCCATCATGAATTACGACGTCTGGAATGCGGGCGATGGAGAGCGTCCTATTCGAAACATCGATTTGAAAGTTCCTGACGGTGTCCAATCTGTCCGTATCTCCACCTTGACCTCTCCTGGTGGAGCGAGTGCTACCAGCGAGTTCTATTGGGCTGGGCAGACGTGGACCTACGCAAATGATGGTGTGGGGCAAGCCGTTCACCAAAGATATGCAGAAGAGCTAGTTAAGGATGGACATGTGGTAGTTACTGTCGGCGCCAGTGAAGCGGTGATAGTCACTTTAATTTCACCTTGATTTGGTGGGATGCTAGAATCGACATTCTTGAGATGGGATGTTCATCGCCCTATTTTTCTTTTCAAAAGCTGTTATGGCTATGTTTCTGCTCTAAAGTAATACTGGTTTCTTGTAAACTGCAACAAGGAACTAGTTCATGGGAAGCCGTAGAACAAAATGGGTGTCTGACTGAACGTGGCAACAGGGCTGGAACGACGTTCTCCAATCCATTGCCCACAAAGACCAGAGAGGGACGAGCAGCTACTTCAAGCGTGATACCCAAGCCCACACTGTCCAATTCCATCCTTAAAACATCATCCGGTTCAGAGTTTGCTGCTGGCCATACCCATAAGAAGAATCCCCACCGTACTGCATAACACCCGTGGGGCCCTCATACTCGGCAAGATATCCCATCTTGCACGCACTGAAAGACACATGAGGCTGGGCGCTGTAGAAAGCATCATACTTCTCATCCAGCGCATCTTGCAAATTCTGCACATTGCCCTGGGGATGGAGCTGGAGCCAGGGCTTTGTGCACTCTATCCCGACGCAAGTCTTCAGCACCATCATCAGGGCGTCGAGGCGCGCGACAACGTTGCTCAGTGGGCGGTCAAGGTATGTCCCTGAGGGCACGTTGTTGATGTCTGTTGTATCTGGGAGCAGATTGTCCATCTGGTAGTAGTCGTTCACCATGTCGTACAGCTCGTGCTCGTTTGTGCACCAGACTGAGTAGTACAGGCTGTAGTCGTCGGCGATGATACGGAGTCCCTTGTAGGTGTTGTTGCTCACATTTGCAGGCAGTTTGATGCTCCTGAACTCTTTGGTCTCGTACACGGCTGCGGCGCCCCAGAGCTCAATGTTGACGTGCTCGGTGGCTCGCGAGGACTTGTCATCCGTAAGAAGCGGGATGATCTGTCCATCCAGCCTGGTTCGTTGTGGTAGCCCGAAGAGCTTCAAAAATGTCGGGGCAAGGTCGGTGTGCGTCGATACAGACTTGCTAGTCTCGTTCCTGGGTATGCCGGGTCCGCGCCACACGAAGGGGATATTAATGTCTGTCTCGTATCCTTCTTTCTTGCCGCATCCCAAACGGTGCTGGCTGATGTGGTATCCATTGTCGGTGGTATAGATAACATGCGTATTATCAAGCACGCCATATTTATCCAATGCCTCGATCAACTGGCTGACCATCACATCCAGTCCAGCAACGACCCGAAGCCGCGCACGGTAGAGCTCATCCAGCTCATCCACAATCGTCTGGTTTTGGTACGGGAGGTCCAGGAGAAACGACACACCGCTCGGCTCTGTGGGATTCCAGTTCGGCGTGCGTGGAACCTTCGCGTCTGGGAATGCATCTGCCCATTCGGGCTGTGCGATCGGGAAGTATACCTCCCCATTGCTGGCATTGATCCCAACGTGGGGCACTGCAGGCGCGACTGTGAGGAACCAAGGCTCTCCGCCGTTGACAGCGGTGTCCAGCATATCCAGCGCGTGGTTGGTAGTGACATTGATGGCGTGTTCCCCAAGGAAGTAGCTCCATGGACCGTTATCCTTCGCCCATGAGGTGTTGAGGTAGTCGTACACCCCAGGTTCTAGGAGAAAGCTATATCGGTCAGTAATGCGACAAGGCAACTCTGGACTCATCTCCTAAACATACTTGCTGCCAGTCCATCCAGCACACGGTGGATCGAGGTAGTTGGTGACCTTGTGGGCGTTGGCAAACTTGCCGACATAGTACGTGTTGATGCCGCCCTCCTGTAGCCAGAGAGGCAGGTAGTCTTCATTGAAGCCTTGCGTAATGAACTTGGGATAGCCACCTGGCAAGAGTCAGTTTGCTTCATTGCAGACGAGAGTGTGTTAATGTCCTACCCCATGGGACAGCCACGTCGGTGATGTTGGTGTTGCTGTCGATGTCAGCGTGGAAATCTATAGATCGGGGCGGTGGGGCCCCACTGGACACATTTCCCCGTAAACAAGCTCATTCGTGACGGACAGCAAAAGGCACTCGTGCAGTAATGCTTTGGGAAGGTCACTCCATTGTCCCCGATGAGCCTTTTGACATTGGGCATATAGTCCATGGAGTTCATGAGCAGGTCTATCGCAGTCAATATGGTACAATTAGGCCATCGCGGCTATTTACCTTGGTCGTCCGATATGATAAACAACACATTTGGACGCGAGCTGCTGGCTGCCGAGGCATAGTGGCCGAATAGGGCTACCATCGGAGCCAAAGAGAAGCACAGGCTGATAAGATACATCTTGCTTGAGCTTAGGTATGTACTTGGTCAAATGAGTCCTCTAGAACTAGCATTTCCAGGAGGGGGAAAGAATACGAAAGACGAAACGACTTGGTTTTATAGCTCGAGTAAACATTCCCCGCGTATGCATCTATCACATCCCGGTCTGACCTCATAATCTCCTATGACCTTTCATTGGCGGGGAATTACGACATCCGACGAGCGGATTCGACGAAGCCCTTAACTAGTCTATGCTCCTCGTCTGCGGGGATCACCATCACCCAGACCCTGCCAGGGTCCTCGGACACATCTCCTCGAATCACAACAGTTGCTCGCCTATCGCCTCGACGGGCTCTGGTCCCTAACCGAGCTTCTTCTAGCCCTAATGCAGTGTGCTACTCGCGCCGTCACCTTTACTGCATCGGCCACCGCATCATCGCAGCGGCCACCGGATACCCTCGACTGCGTGAGAACAGGCCTGGTACTGCCAGACTGGACGCCTGGTATGCCTAGCGCAGCACATAGGAAGGGCTAGCTGTGTGGGCTGGATCCTTCGAGGTATACTCCGTACACGGACCAGGAAACAAGCAAAATGTAGGGATGCCCCGCTCCAGAGATATATTATCAAAAGAGGATAGGAATTTCCCGGCATCCCCAATGCCTTTTGCGAAGTGGCTCCGGGAAAAGAAGAAGTAGATATACGTGCCGCAGCGCGTCACTTCGCATGCCAGGTACCCCCGTGGAAAAACACTTTCCTGAAATCCATCAAGACCAAAAAAAGGGCTTCTCCTGGCGAACCGGCGAGCTTTAAGATGCATTGCCAAGCTCTGAGGTTCCAATGCGACACGAACAGTCCGTGGGGGCTTATCTCACTCTTTCCTTGTTGATCCTGCGCTCGGTGGATCCCCAGTCTCCGGTCCCGCTTGCCCCGATGCAACCTCTGGCCGGGCAGCGGAAGATGCTGTTGTGAGGTCGTTGATTTGGCGTTCTGTGCGCGAGTCAGTATCCAGCGGTCCACAGAGAAGTGACGGACGTGGCTCCGGTGCGCAGCTCCTCCGACAACCTCTCGCCGTAATCCTGCTATCACGCAAGAGCAGGGTTCCACTGACCTAATTCTCGAATCCTCTGCCGCAGCATCTGGTTTTCTCGACCGAGCATCGCCGCCTCGGCCTGGTAGTATGCACCTTCGTCACGGCTGCCCCGCCGAGACACACTCTCGCGGGCCGCCGGGAGAGTTTCTCCCGCTTCTGATCCCCGCGAGGAATCCAACGGTCGCAAGTTCGGGGATGTCGCTTGGCTTGACGTCCGTGATGACCGGCGATTCGTGACGGAGGATATCGAGGGCCGGTGGCTGATCCCGGCAGGCGGGGGGATGGGGGGAAAGAAGGCTGACCGCTCCGACGGCGGTGTATCGTCCACCACGGCTGTTCCGGATTGGGCGGACTGTGGAGTTTGTTGTTGTTGATTCTGGAGTTGTTGTAGTTGGGCCTGTTGACTGCGGATCATCTGCAACAGACGATTCTGCCAAGATTAAACGTCAACAGGTCTGTTCCACTGATTCTTGTAGGGGCCAAGACCCACCACTTGCGCTTCTTGCTCCTGCTCCAGTTCTTGATGTAGCTCTCCTAGTGATGGCGCTCGTTGATGATGAGGGTCTGCGGTCGCAAAGATCGGGCTTCCTCCGTGGTTGGAGGGACTGGCTGTTCGCAAGGCTTGGCCGATAGAGGACCGGTGGTCCGACAGCGGGGCATCACCATTGTTGCTCGGACCAGGGCCCGACTCAGTCAGGTTTAGGTTCATGCCTGCCGCTGACCGGCGTCGCTCAGAGACCGATAGTCGGCCTACACTCGGGGACGCTCGGGATGGGCGTGGAGATGTGTTGGCGTTCATCGGGATGGGTCCGCTTCCGGGCGACACGGGTTGCGGGATGTTACGATGAGGGAGAGATGAGGATGAGGATGAGGAGCGAGAGGGAGGAAGCGAGTTGAGATCGGGTGGCATGTTGAGGAACTTGTGGGGAAGGAGGCAGGTCATCAGTCCCGTCGACGGCGGTGACGCGCGAGTCTGGTTGCGGACCAAGCCTCAGGCATCAGTGCTGACTCAGGAGATCACATGATGGTCCGCGAACAAGATGTGGTCGCCTGAGGCAGAAACATCCTTGAAACGGAATTGACCGGGATGGAGGTCAAGTGGCACAGCCTTCAAGATTAGATGACATTGTGTGACCGGCGAATACCTTTCGTCCTAGGGTATGACGCGTCAAGGGAATGACGGACTAGGGGATAGTCCTACAAGGAAGCGTCCGCAAGCCTGGTCTGAGCCGCCGGCGTCATCGGATGGCTGCGGGTGGCGCAAATGCTAATATGGCGCGGTACCTACACCAACTTTGGTATTGTCTGTCGAGACTTTGTGTTTTCCATGGTTAGGGTTCAGGGCAACACTACGACCGTATATGCATGTAAGGACATCGCCGGAAGGCCACAAACGCCCAGCTGGGAATGTATGAGGGAAAAAAACGGCCTGGCACCCGTGATCCACCCGCGACACAATGGTGGACCCCACGAAAACTTTGTTGCAGACCTTTCTCTCTGGGCCTGGCCAGCAATAGGGGGATGGAATCCGGAACCAAAACAAGCAGACAAGGGCCACGAAGCGAACGCGACGCCCCCAGGCTATTATGCATGGGGGTGGTGGCAAGGGAATGCGATCGAGCCTCCCCTGCATCGTGTGGTTGACAGGCTTCGATTCCGTTTTCTGGAAAGCAAGGCTGCGTACCAGGTGGAGAACCAAGGAAATGGTTTTCAGTCCGCATGATCAGGGCGAGACACCCGATGGAGGCACCATGTGTCGATGACGATGACGATCCTCGCGTTGAAACAGGCTCTTCCGCCCCGACCGGCGGGGACGATCGCCAGAACGCCACGCCCGGACGGGCCCCGAGCGCGTTGCTGGCCATCCCTGAACATCCCGGGCCTCTGATAGGCCCGGGCCCCCGACCCTGACGTCATCTACGGGTGGCCCGAAAGCTTGCGCGATCACTGGACGCCGGGCAGAACGTCGCCCCAGGAGAGTCGGCCACTCAGCCCTCACCGCAGGATTCGAGACTGCTGTTGGGAGGGCCTTGGGTGCGTCATTCTTCTGCGAGGATCACGTGGTATGCGCTGTCAACGCCATGCGATCCGGGCATGCTCGGTCCAGCTTGCCGACTCCTTGCGTCGTGCCACTCCTACCAGCCAAAGCATGGTCGCCTCGATCGATCTGCGTGTACCGTCGATTCTCGATTCCACTGTTGCATGCAAAGCAGGTAGATAGAGCCGAGCCCTGTTATGGTCGCCCAGGGCCGCGGTGCCCGATGCGGACATTCCTAGCCTAGAACGGTGCCACGGGTGGTACTCTCTCGACTGGTGCACACCGAAGAACGCATCAATCATCAGTCATCGTTTTCTCCCATTTCTCCAGGTGGAACCACCCAATGCGGGACTTTTCCCATGGGGCTAAAGCTCGTTTCGGCCGTGGCCATCGTGGGGCGGATTGGGAGACCACGCGCCTAGAGGAGGCGGCGAACGATTGCAGGATGAGGATTGTCCCTCCTGGAGTTTCCAGAACGAGCGCCACGCGTGTGCCTTATTACTCCAGTTTGTCACATCTGGGGGTTTGGAGCCTGGGGCCAGTCCGGGGCGTGACGAAAAAAGTGGGTAGATGGGCAGGCCACAGCCTACGGGAGGCCATGACGGGCTGTTCGGCATCCCGGGAGAACCATCCAAGGGAAAGTCTACAGCGAGCGTAGAAAAAGTAGTTGGTGGGGACTCTGGAGAGACCAATTAGGCAGTCTTGGGCGGGGGGCGATGGAGGCGCATTCTAAGTGGTCCGGTTCCTGTTGCATCGTACCTGCCCGGTTCTTTCGCTGGCTGCGGCGTCCCTATATAATCAATCATGCGTGCCCTGGGTTTGTTCCCCCCACCCTTTCTTTTTTCTTGCCTCCCCTTCCCTTTCCTTCTCACCCTCCCATTCCAGCCCATCCTTACACCAGGAGACAGTTTCCGTTGTCTTTTGTTGTTCGTTCCTCTTAATCTCCCGTACTCACTGTCTTCATCCACCACTTCACCGTTTTGAGTAACACCTGCCGTTTTCACCGATCGGCGCACGGTATGTATCCACGGGCCCTAGATCGTCACGAAACCCTCACGAACGCTCATTAATCTTTCATTTTAGATCATGGCGATAAGCACTCCGAAGAAAGAGAGTCCTACCATGGACCCTGTTCATGCGTCCGAGACATCTAGCGTCACGCAAGCGGATGCTGTCGTCGATGTGGCTCTGAATGAAAAGGACGAGAAGTCTGAGGCTGCCGCGCAGTTCGAGAATACGGCCGCCGATGGCCGTCAGTACCTGACGGAGGACCAGTGCTACGACAAGCTCGGCTATTCTTTCAGCGAAACGCGCAAGTGGGCCATCATCATGGTCATTTTCGCCGTTCAAACGTCCATGAACTTTAACACCTCGCTGTACTCCAATGCCCTGAATGGTATTTCTGAGAAATATGGTGTTTCGATGCAGGGTGCCCGTTGTGGCGCCATGATCTTCCTCGTGCTGTACGCCTTCGGGTGTGAGCTCTGGGCCCCGTGGTCGGAGGAACTTGGCCGAAAGCCCATCCTCCAGGCATCCCTGTTCCTCGTCAATGTGTTTCAGTTCATGGTCGGCTTTGCTCCCAACTTTGCCACACTGATGGTTGGCCGTGCCCTGGGAGGTCTTTCGTCTGCCGGTGGATCTGTCACTCTGGGCATGATCGCTGACCTGTGGGAGGCTGATTCCCAGCAGTACGCCGTGGCCTGTGTTGTGTTCTCGTCTGTCGGTGGATCAGTGCTGGGCCCTGTGGTGGGCGGTTTTGTTGAGGCCTTTGTTTCTGACTGGCGCTGGTGCATCTGGATCCAGCTAATCTTCGGTGCGGTTGTCCAAGCTTTGCACTGGTGGATTGTCCCTGAGACCCGAAGCACCGTCATGATGAACAACATCGCGAAGAAGATGCGCAAGTCAGGGGAGAACCCCGACATCTACGGTCCCACTGAGGGAATCAGTTTCCGGGAGCGCTTCCCCCTAAGGAACTCATCTACACCTGGGTCCGACCCTTCCGCATGTTCCTCACAGAGCCCATCGTTCTGTGCCTTTCTCTGCTCTCTGGTTTCAGTGATGCTCTGATCTTCATGTTCGTCCAGTCTCTTTCTCTGGTGTACGGCCAGTGGGGATTCAACACCTGGCAGCAGGGTTTGGCGTTCCTCCCAATTCTGGTCGGCTACTTCATCGCCTGGTTCTCATTTATCCCGGTGATTAAGCGCAACATCAAAGAGCGTGCCGACAACCCTAATAGCGAACGTGCACAGTACGAGTCCCGCCTCTGGTGGCTGCTCTATACTGCCCCCCTTCTGCCGATTGGCCTGATCGGCTTCGCGTGGACCAGTCTTCCCCAGTGCCACTGGATCGGATCAATGATCTTCGCTGCGTTGATCGGCATTGCCAACTACTCGATCTACATGGCCACCATCGACTACATGATCTGTGCCTACGGTCCATATTCAGCATCTGCAACTGGTGGCAATGGCTGGTCTCGTGACTTCCTGGCTGGTGTTTTGACCATCCCTGCGACTCCCTTCTTTAACAGTAAGTGCCAAATACAAACCCAGATATAGGGGGTTTCTCATCATGCTGACCCCTCTTCATAGACATCGGCGGCAAGTACCATCTCGAATACGCCTCGACCATCCTCTTCTGCATTGCAATTCCCCTCGTCGTCGCCGTCTACGTTATCTACTGGAAGGGTCCTGTTCTGCGCAAGCGCTCGCCCTTCGCTCAGCAGCTGGCAGATGCTCAGCATGAGATGGGAACCCAGAGCCGACGCGTCTCCAAGGTCCCCGCCGTGTCTCGTGCCCACTCGTACGCGCGCTCCCAGCAGGATCTCCGCATTCAGCAGATGGGTGGCAGCCGCGCTGGCTCCCGTGCCAATTCCCGTGCCAATTCGCGTGCCAATTCGCGTCGCAACAGCATCGACGCATAAGAGAGGGATCTCTTCACGCACCTAGCCAGCCTTGGGCTGGTGCACGAAAACACGAAAACAACGATGGTGTACGATTCAGAATTAAGGAGATCGCGTGCTGGTTTACAAGGGTGATCTATGTTTCCATTTCTTCCTGTTTGTATGTTCTTTCACCCGCATGGTAAAATGCGCTGGGCGTGTTGCTGGCTTTTGCTTTCTTTCCTGATCAGCAGGCTCTGCCTCCCCGCAAGGGTCTTAACGCTGAATGCTTTCTTTCGGTGTGAGGGTTCGGGAATGGGAGTGTCTGTGTTCATTAATACCCCTTTCTTTGCTGTTCTTGCTTCTTTACAGGATTTATGGCGGATATGTGCCCTCTAGAGCTTTCGCTGCCCTGCGATTCTCTTTGTACGGCCATCATGTATTTTTATCCAGTGGCCGAATGAAATTTCTTCGCGTTTTGCTCAAACCAAATTCCCCAAAATTGTCGTAGAGGCCCTTCATTCTTGGATATGACCTGCAGGTCAACTTGGAAACTCCCGCTCAGATCGAAGGGGTTGAGCGACGATCCGGAGATCCTGCCGAGCGAGCCCCCCACAATCCTGAGGTCTATGCGCGATGTGCCACAACGCCACAGGGTGGCATTCTTTCTATCAAGAACCGGTTCCGGTGGTGCAGGGTCTAAGAGAGGTCCGGATGGGGAAGTGTCAAAAGTCCTATCGCTCCAGACGCGGTGGCACTCACCACCTGGCTTGCGAGTGATAAGTGCAGAAAAGCGCAATATGGTGCTGTCTTGCCCTGGTGGCTTGGTCTTGGGTCGCATTTCGTCGAGGTTACCTCAACTCTTTTGTGAGGGCACGGTCTAAATCGGTATGTCTCGGAGTCAGCTGCCGTTATCGCGGTCGGTTGCAGCTGTGCTGCAAGTCGAGACAGATCTCTCATGCAGGCAAACGTAGGTGAAGACTCAGGCCCTTGCAGATGCTGTGTCTCTCTTCTGCGAATGGGGAAGTAATAATGGTTACTATGGGCCGGTCTAGACTGACTATATCTAGACTTGTTTCTATTCACAGAGGACCCCGGGGATCAGGAAATCAACATCCGCCATTGTACCGGATGCAACTGATTCCATTGCAATCTAGCATGCCGGCGTGTTTTATATGGTTTTAGCTCGGTCAGTTTAACTGGATTAGCCTAGGAAGAAAACAGGCGCGCTTTCTTGTGTCCGCCTGAGAACAACATTACAGTATAAAGCTGCAAAACTATGGAGCATTGAGCTGTGCTCCATGTTACGTCCCACATGATAAGAGCCTGATAATCTCTACCGTCAGTCCGTCGGAATGCAGCTTCGATTAGGCAACCTGGGTGTCAATCCTCCGCATTCCAACCCCGCGGGGTTTGATTCCAGCCCATGCTGATTCCATCAAAAATATGGTGGAGTCCCACACTGGCATCCTTTTGCGGCTTTACGTGTCGAGCTACCAGATGATCTGCAATCTGCCATATCAGCATTTTACCAGTGGTTATAGAACGCGGTACCACACTACCACGCGCAGTACGATCGTCGTGGCTCTTTGCGCATTCGTTGGGCATTTGTGCGTGGTATGATTTAGTTTTCCACCTACGGATCCAGTGTCTTCTGCAAGGTCTGGTCAAATGGCACGTTATTGTCGATGGATGATATTTTTCTCTCGTTTGGATAGTGCATTCCCACCATGCAGTGTCTCTATATATCTGGCAATTTCCCTATATCTGACAAAACTGCAGTCCATTCAATTCCCTCGATCAAACATAGATTAATCCCAGAATGATGTCCATTCCGAACTTGTTTCGATGATGGTCTCGGTGTTTACTGTTGTGGCCCGTGCACGTGAACCGCAAAACCCTTTGTCCGGGGGGCGACGGGGATGACCTACCAGAACCTATACATCATCATCATCATGAGGGCCCCTCTCTCCGCCTGGCGTCTGTGCCAGAGCTCTTTGTCTTCATCTCGCGCCCGTCCGATCATCTTCACTCGTCCTCTCTCCATGGCTACCGCCACTCCCCGGTTTGCGGAAGGCCAAGACCCGCACCAGCTCGGACAGGACACCCAGGCTCTGCTGCAGGCCGGCTGGGCGCTGGACGCCGACGCCATTGGCTTGACCAAGACATTTTATTTCAAGAGCTACTTCAAGGCGGTGGTACGTGATTGTGATTGTGGGTTAGCCGACCTGGATCAACCTCGACGCTCACCTCTTCTATTCCAGTCGTTTGTGAATCTGATTGCCTCGGAAAGCGCGGTTAAGAAGCACCATCCGACCATAACCGTTGTAAGTTCTGACCCGCGTCATTATTAAACGGTCAGAGGCTGACGCAACTAGCGTATCGGCTCGGTGGATGTCCACTGGACGACGCATCACCCGCGCGGCCTAACGGTCCAGGACACGGCAATGGCCCGGCATTGCGACCAGGGAGCAGCGCTGATGAGGGCCGTGGAAGCCGGACAGGGACAGAAATGTTGAATGTAGTAGACGTTTGGGGATCGTTCATAATAATGGAAATAGTATGCCACCCATCCGACCCGAGGCTCCGGCTCAGGAGATCATTTTATTATTCTCAGGGGGCCAGAATGGATGGTTTTCTTGTTCGTCCCCGATCCCGGTCCCCCCTAGTCTCGTCTTGGCCGGGATGGAAATACTCATCTCTTTTCTCTCCCCTGACCGAGATTTCTATTTTCTCCTGCTGTGCTCCAACTGCTCAAATCGGCCCTTCTTCGCGGCTGCCATGACGTGACGCTGCGGCCCGCAACGGTCGTGCAGATAACTCCCACGTTCCCCTGAGGATCCGTGCCCTAATTATTGGTCTGTCCACGGTGATTGACGGGGACAGGCCAATTCCATCGCCCACCATGACTGCCGGCCCCCCCTGTCTCGCAATCGTTCGGCGAACGCAGAGGACATCAGCTCGCCCCGTTGCAGACCAATTTCAGTCGCCCGACGGCCGGCCAACCCGCCAAATCGACTCCTTCTCGACTCCGCCGTGCTCGACCAACCGACCCCGACCATGACCCTGAGTCTCCTCGAGTCCCACTTCAGCCGAAACGTCAAGCGTCCAAGTCCAGCTTGCGGGGTCTGTTTGGTGGCCGTGATAAGAGCTCGCAGGCCGCCGCCGCGCAGCTCGATAACAAGCTAGCCGAAATCGACGAGGCCGAACGACCAGACCTGGAGGTGGCCTCCATGTCGGAAGCTCCATTGTCGCCTCCTCCCTGCCCGACTCCCCGGACAGCCACTTCCACTCCCGGTCTCACCTCCCCGATCGTCGAGCACAAGGTCGAATACAAACGTCAGCGCAACACACTCAAGTCGCCTCGCGCGAGAACCTTTGAGCAGAAGCCGCCCTCGCAGGAGCAGTACGGCTGGAAGCCTCCACCCCTCTTCCAAGCTTATCCACAAGCTATCAAGCATGAATGTCTCCCAGCACCTGCGCTGTCCGCGGATTCGATTCTGCGACTCAATGCGGCGGCTGGAAAAGGCACGGCGGAAGATAACCGCAGTGGAGATGACCGTAAAAAGGAGCAAAAGGAACGCAAGCACCAGCGGACAGTCTCGAACACGATGAACAAGGTGGAATGGTCGCGTAAAATCTTTGTGCTCGCAACTGCCGGTTTTATACTTCAGTATGGGGCGCAAGGGAAACATGATCGACTCCCCGAGAAAATGCTCCAACTCGGTCCTCAGTCTGTAGCATTCGCTAGCGATGCCATCCCTGGCAAACATTGGGTGGTTCAAATTTCCCAGAATCCCGCGGCAGATGCTGGCACACCTCCGGGCCCTGAACCTCCCAAGCCCCGGTTCTCACTCTTCCACCGATCCCAAGCGCGCCGATTTACACGAAGCATGCTTCTGGTTTTCGACAACCCCGACGCCATGATTTCCTGGCTGGTGGCAATCCGCACCGAGATCGAGGCTCGCGGAGGGCCAAAGCTTCCTACAGAAAAGCATTCCGAGGACGAGTTGACACCGCAGTTGCGTTCCAGATCCAGCGTGCGCCAGATCGTGCAGAAGGATCCGAACCGCGTGTCCAGCGTGTTCCTTCAACCCCAGATGCGGGAAGAAGAAGATGACCTCCACTCTGTGGGAGGGCTGACCTTACCGTCTCGATCAAGCTCATACATGTCGGACAATCGCCGTTCGATGGTCGACGTTTCGTCAGTATCCACTGGTCCGACAGAGGCTACAGCGCCTATGAATGGTGCGGGTTCCTCATTTACTTCCAATGATCCCCGTACCCCCTCGTTCACATCTGCAAATCCTACCTCGCCCACAATTGGCCCCAGCTCTCCGGTTGCAGAGGCTCATCTCACGGAGGAGATCGATCGTACCAACCCTCGCAGTCCATCCTCGTCCGTCCAGGGTAAACGTCAATCATTACTCGGTTCCCCCTTTGGCCATTCCACGCCTACTCCCAGCACCGTGGATGTCTCCCAAACAACTTCTCGGCCCGACGGCTTGATCCGGTGTGCCTCGCCTCCAGCTCCAAACTTCAGTGTCCCATCGTTCAGCAAAAAGTTCGTTGCAAGACCGGGGCCGACCCCCATCAATCTGCTGTCGGGCCCCTCTTCTGCTGCCGGCTTTCTTCCTGCCTCCACCGTTTCTTCTTCCCCTCAGTCTCCCACATTTAGTATTGCCAGCTCACGGCATACCGAATCAACGGAACCACCCCTTATGTCCTGGGATCTGGCCGGCCGACGCACACTACGAACGTCTAGCTCTGAAGACGCCCTGACGAAGACCCTACGCTCTTCTCACGCCCCTACAAACTTCTCGCGGGTACCTCGATCCACAGCGCCGGGGTCACCAGACTCCAGCAGCAGCTTCTCCCAGCGACCTGTCAGCGTGGTAATGCGTCCAGGCATGAGCCCCCCAGTCAACAGCGAGACACGGGTCCAAACGCTTTCTCCTCCTCCAGAGCCACTTCCCCGTCCCCGTGTCTCTGCTCTCTACGCCGAAACTCAGGCACAGAGCGTGTCACGCCGCAAGAGCATGCCGGGCTTGCTCGTCGGTCCCCCCGCCGCTCCGCCTCCTAACTGCCCGCTGCCGAAGATTCCTTCGCCTATTCCTGCGCAGGCGTCGGCTACGTGGTCAAGTCCGCCGCCGCATGATCGGTTCTACGGGTTGTCGGAGGTGCGCGAGCGTGTTGATCAGCGGAAAAGCACTTTGCTGTCTGGGCCGAAAATGGCTTCTCCTAGACTAAGATGATGCACTTGTCCTATTTTATGAGATTTCAGCCAACCATGCTTCCAAGCCAGGTCCCTTTGGGCCTCTTTGGACACTCATTCATTGAGATACCCCCCGAGCGAGTCTCGACGCATATCTGCATACCTTATTATTGCTTGTCGTCTTGAATCCTTTCATATTCCTCTACCTACTCTCTTTCTCATGATACCCACATCTGTGTCTGTGTCCACATTTTCTCGTGCTGTATTCAGCCTTGTCATTTGTCTGTACACCAATATATACCCCCGATTGTCTTTTTTGCTTATGTCGTTGTGAAGATACACTGTGTACACATCTTTGTGCCTTTTTCTTTTTTGTCACCCTAACCGGGCCATGTACATGATATTGGGATCCGGCTGCTAGTGTCTCTGTCTGGTTGGGGAAGATATATATACTGGGCGGAGTTCGAAAGTGTATCTACCAAAAAAGTGATCTTTTTGGGATATGTGGGATAACTAGAGAATATCTGTGCCGCCAAAGTATATGATTCCTGTTCCCATACAAGTCAAATACCATACTTCAATTGACCCATATAGTTGATGATGACTCCATTGTAGCGCTATACCCATGGCCTATGCCGTGCACAGACCGACAAAAAGACACAATGAAGGAATCAAGAAAATAATACACAATAGAAACTCCGGGATGAGCATTCGTTTTGGAATGGTAATAAGAACAACACCCAATGAAGATATTTGAAGAAGAATACCCTTTCAATCCGGCCGGTACCGACAAACCCGCAAGCTAACAACATCTACTCTTCCACCTCCTCCACCCGAGCGCTAAGATCACGTCTCACCGCTGCTGAAGCCGAAGCAGACGCAGTATCCGCCGACGTGGTTGTGGCCGAGGGAGCTGCGTCAGTGGCTGGGGCAGCGGAGATCGATGACTTGGATTTCTTACTCTTTTTACTCTTCTTGCTCTGTAATTATCAGATGTTAGCCTTGCAATGAGAACAACACCAAATAAACGCACCTCTTGCCAGCCCCACAGGGGCTTGAAGCTGTCGAAGAATCCGACATCCTCGAACAGATTGGGGAACAGCCAGAGACCAGGCGGCACCGCGAAAACGGTGATGCAGAACAGAATTAGACGGAAGATAGCCATGGCGAAGAACAAGCCGAGCAGGCCCATCATGCCCACACTCAGATACCATACGCCCTGACGGAGCATGATAGGCCACAGGGGGAAGAGCACGACGGCAAAGATACCCGCAACAACAGCGGCCGCCATGGCCTTTTGTTTCCACTGCGGACCCTCATACAGCCAGACATAGTGCATCATAGGGTCGGTCTCCTGGTGCTGCTCGATCTTCACAGTCCAGAGGCCCTTGGTTCGGTTCTTGGGCTTGGCGTGGTTGTGGCCCTCGTGCGGGTCAATCTTGCTCACTCGCAGTGCTAGCAGGGACATCGGCAGAAGCTTGAACACGTTCTCGGCGGAGGCGCGGTCTGTCACGGGCGGAAGCAGGGAGTTCTTCTTGGCTGCGGCTTTGGTGTAGGCGGGGGATTCAATTGCGCGGATGGCTCGCTTGACTGTGGGTTGTCATGAGCGTTAGCTTAGTGAGATAGTCAACTCCGGCAGACTACTCACCCTTGATCATGTCCTTCCGCTGTCCATCCAGAATACACGTCCGCGGCTTGAGGTTCTGCGACTTCAGGAAGTGGGCGACGGCCAGTGCCTTGGGATCCGGCGGCTGGCCTGCATTGACGGGCACCTGGTGTTGCTGAGGCTGCTGTGGTTGCTGCTGTTGCGGAGCAGGCGGCTGGCCCTGTTGGGCTCCTGGCTGTGGTGACGCTTGACCCTGGCGCTGGGCTTGTTGCTGCTGCTGTGCCTGCTGCATCGCTCGCATGCGCAGCTGCGCCACGTATTGTTCAGGTGAGAGACCGAGTTTGGCGGCGTCAGCAGCCAGCTGTTCACGCTGCTTCCTAGCGAATTCCTCGGGCGTCATCCCTCGTTTGGCGGCCTCAGCGGCGAACTGTTGCTGCATTGCCGCCATCTGCTGTGGCGATGGCTGGCCGGGGGAGGAGGAGGAGTCGCCATAGCGAAGGAACTAATCAATATGGGGTGGAAGAAATCCTAGGGAAACGGTCGAGGTGTGACTGAGAAGTTGAAAGAAACAAACGAACTCGAAGAGGCCAGATCGGCTCAGGTGACGCGGGCCAAGACTTCGCTTTCTTTCCCCCTGCGTCCTCTTTCTTTGTCTTTCGCCCAACTTCACACGACACCCGGATTAGTACGGTCGCAATGCCCTTCATGCGACTGGGTTTCTTTGGGTTCTCGCCATGTCTGTCGGCTATGACTCCGAGGCCACCATTATCAACGCTACCTGGGTGGCCGCCCTGCTGGTAAGCAGCTCGCTTTCCCTTGCTGACGGGATAATTCACTCATGCAATTCAATAGAGCGAACGAGATGTCGCCGGCCAGATCCCGATCAACTTCATCCCCAGTCCAGCCGTGACCCTGTCGGCCGCTTGCTTTGGCAATCGCATCTATGATGAAAAGGCCGCCGCGAAATGCATCTCCAACCTGCTGGCAGTTGGCTACCGACGCCTCATTCTCGACATATATTGGTCGGTGGAGCGGAGAAAATGGACATTCTGCCCGGTCATCGTTCCCGCTAGAGCTGATGTCGAAGTCCCCCCCGACTCATCGCCGACCCCGGTTGTCGCAAAATCCCCGTCGATCACATCTGATGCGAAGGAAGCCCCCGCGACAGGCTATGACGACTCCCATGGGGACACAGTCTATGAGCTAGGAAAATATAGATGCACAGATAACCTGGACTTATATACATTGGCCGAAGTGCTTGTTGAATATTTTCAAAGCACCACCACCGACCTGGAAGTGTACACGACCTACCTCGTGTTGAATCTGCATGTGGCTGCCAGCGATTCTGCACCGAATGAGCCCGCTTCTGCCATTTCCGGCGATCAGCTTCCCTCCTCGCAATCGGAACGCGCCGGCTCATATCTCGAGGAGACTCTTCGAGAGTTTCTCTATAGTCCAGCCGAGCTAGCTCAGGACCGAAGCAATTTGAATGAGTCTTGGTATGAAGTGGATCAAAGCTACATGCCGATCACGGAGTACTACACACTCCACGAAGACGAATTGGGCCAACAGAGCACACCTGACGGATGGCCGTCGTCAAAGTACATCCAGTTGGCCAAACGCGATCGAGTACTGATTGAATACGGCACCGTCGATCCACAGCTTTCGGCATACGATCTGTCTCAAGACGAAGATTTCGTCTTCCCTTCTGGCTACCTCACCTCGGGTGTGGCCATCTCCGAATCGCAGAATGGAAGTGTCCCGTCCGGGTGCCTTTACCATGCCGGCGCTGTGGAGGTCTCTCAAGCCAACTCATCCTGGGCACTGTCCAGCCATCTCCCGGTCATCCAGAGTTCGTCCACAGAGAACACAATGGACGCATTGACCAACACCATCTCCGACATCACGGCATGTGGTATCTCGCCGATCCTCAACACGACTCTTTTCAACGAGACTGCAGATACCAACGTCGCGCACTACCGCAACGTCTCCCTCTCGGCGGGCTGGGCCTGGGCCATCGGTGAACCTCGAGGCGCAGCGTACGCCGGAGGAGAGAACGCACCCCAAATCGACCGCTGTGCCATCATGGATATGTCCTTACAGGGGCGCTGGCGCGCGACCAACTGCAGCGATGTCCTGCGTGCCGCCTGCCGAGTGAACCATTCCCCTTTCTCTTGGACACTCTCTGACTCGACTGCGTCTTACTCGAACATTGCGAGCAGCTGCCCCTCGGGCTCCGTCTTCTCCGTGCCCCGCACAGGCCTTGAAAACACCTACCTCTACGAAACCCTAATTTCTGAACACGGGACAGCCATCAATCCGACATCCACCGATCCCACAGTCCGTGATATTTATGTCGACTTCAACTCTATTAACGTCGAATCCTGTTGGGTCTCAGGCGGACCTGGTGCCGCATGTCCGTATGCCGCCGACCCACAGGAGTTGGAGCGGCGAACTGTTTTGGTGGCTGCCGTTGCAGGAATTGTGATTTTGATTATCACGGCCTTGACCCTGTTTATCAAGTGCAATGCCAACCGCCGGAACTCGAGACGACGGAAGCGTGTCATCGAGGGATGGGAGTACGAGGGTATCCCCTCATAATCTGGCACAACCAAAGGCTGATTGGGGCTATTTGTACAATATGTCACGTTATGGAATGAAATTTTCTGAGTTGTCTAAATACGTACAGCAAGGTCAAAGTCATCAAACACCAAGAAAAAGTAAATCAAAAATCCAAAGTACAAGAACCAGTTGTAGTCCATCAAACCAAAATCCTCCCAGTAATTCGCTACATGCCTTCATGAATCCTTTCAAAATCTCAAACTCCATCAGCAAAAATACTCAACTATCCTTGCCATCGTTGAATCCTTAAACCTGCGCGGCTTGCTCACAGTCCCGCGAATCGTGCCCATCCAGCAGCTCGAACGGATTCAGAGCCTTTGCTCTGAACCGGACTGGGACTCTCGTCCTTCTCTGCACCACTGCGTCCCTCTTCAGCGACCTTGCCGCTCACATCGCGGCGGCGACCCACGCCCAGACCGGCGATGTAGCTTCCATACGAGGACAGGGATGCTCCGACACCTGCCACAACGCCCAAGCGTGCCGTGTCTGCGCCGGAGTTACTGACAACACGGCCCTGGCGATCTCCCTCGGCGATGGCAGGCGAGGTGTCATTGGTGGTTAGGTGCTCGTCCTCATCGTCACTGTCGCTCTTTTTGAGAGACTGGTATGCGGACATCTTGTTACGTTTCCGCGAAGACTTCTTTTCTTCAAGATCCTCGAAAGCGGTCGACCCATGGGGAAGAGACACGTGCGCCTTGGAGTTGTGAGACAAGTTCGGGTTATCACTCAGCGCGGCACGTCGAACTGGATCGGTGTTCTCGGCTGTATCGCTCAGGAGAGGTTGGGGTGTTGGTGGGTTGAGCATGAGTGGATTAAATCGGAGGTTGCTTTGACTACCATCTTCGTTGTCATGGTCATGCTCCTCTTGGTCAGGGAAGATGTTGATGCGCCGATCACCTAGGTCCTGCTCACGCTTCTCTTCGTCGTTGCCATAATACTCTTGCACCGCCAGTGACTCGTACTCCCCGCGAGTGTCCTCCGGAATGGCACTTCCAAGACTAGCTTTCCGGCCGTATCCAAACCAGTCTCGAATGCCGCTGCCGTTGGACGTGTTAGACGTGTTGGTTTTTCGGCTGTACACGGACGATGATTGACGAAGATCGGTGGTCTTTTCATTACATGTCTCACTCACCGGTGACGGCGAGCGATCGGAATATGTCACCCAGTTCTCTGATAGAGGACTCACAGTGTCGGATCGATTGGCAGCACGCGACATTAACTGGCGAGTAGGGTTGACGACTTCTGGGGAGTGCATGGCCACATTACCATATCCCGGCGCTGGGATCCCAGAGGTCAGATCGTATGGCTGGCTGGCTGGGTGGTGGAAGAGCATCTCAGGGTTTGAGAGTCGATTCGTATAAAAGCGTGGCTGGGACTGTCGACTGTTGGTCACATCCCCGAATTCATGATTCATATCACTACCCAACGACTGGCCTCGGGTATGCATGAAGGGTATAGTGCGAGGAGGATCAATCAGGGGGTCTTCAACGGTGGAGTTCAGCGTGGATTGACTCATATGCTTCTCATCCATCTCATCCCTAATGCGCTTTTTGCGAGGACGAGCTGTGAGGTTATCCTCGAGCGGGTTCATGTCGGGGGGCAGGTGTGCGATCTTCCGGAAAATGACCGCAAGGAAGATAGACAATGTAAATGAAATCGAGTGCAATCCCGCGTTGGCAGCGCTGCAAATGAACATAACTTCCGCGAACTTCACTGTAAAACTTGCGTTTTGGAAAAGAGTGCCCCAGTTGTAAGCCTTCTCTGTCCATTCCCCGTGGGCCATAAATGCCGTGAAGATGTAGAACGGGATCAGTCCAGCATCCAGAGTCGAAGCGAACAAGCCATAGCTAGCCTGTGAGAAGGGTGGTCTGGTTACAGCGGAGCGAGACATATGGTATATTCCGTAAATTGTGTGAAGAATTGCAACGATGGGCTAGTGCTACAGTCAGCGCAAGAAGCTAGCACGATAAACAATGTGAGGACTTACACCAGCCCGAATGATCCAGATGACCGTGGTCGGGACATGTGTCACGACAATTGAGCAGAAGAGTGATCCCAGCGCGCCCACAAAGGTCACCAGCCGCAGAACCAGCTGTGCTGACCGCGCATATTTCACTCGAGACTTGGTGTTTGGACTCATCGGCGTCCATGTTGGCTTCCCGGCACTGACGTACTAATCACAATTAATCTTGCCCTTAAAATCCGAACGACTTGTACATACCGAATCTATCCGACCGTTGTTAAAGTTGACCAGCGGGCCTTCAGGTTGTGGTTTGAGCTGCGCGGGGGCCCAGCTCGCCCGCGTTACGGCCTTGGGGTTGAAAGAATGGTCGATAGGGCCATCGAAGTTGTAGTTGGAGGGACGATCGTAAAGGAATGGAGGCGACGATCTGCCCATTTTAGCGACCGCAAGTGAATGGCATCCACGCGAGAGAGACAGAACTGGAGACGGCGAGGAATGAAGGAGGTGAGGCTGTCAACACAGCTGATTGTCGTCGGGGCAACTGCCGATAATAGTCACATGACCTTCCGATAAGCCAAGCGGGTGACTCTTTAGGTAACCTGACTTTGTTCTCCGGACAGCACCATGCGACTGGGAAGAGCGTCTTTTGTTTGTGCACATTGCACTGCGCGGCTTGGTGGGCGGCCATTGCTCTCCACTGCGCGCTTGTCAGCATCGCTGTGGCAACATCCCCGGCGTCTGAATAGCGATGTCGCTTCAACGCGGCCATTCCGGGTTGCCATTGTGGGCTCTGGGCCGGCGGGATTCTACGCTGCCTCTCGTCTGCTGGCCAAACAACACAATACAGTGGTGGATATGTACGAGAAACTCCCGGTTCCATTTGGTCTGGCTCGGTACGGTGTAGCCCCAGATCATCCTGAGGTTAAGGTAGGTTGCGTAGCAATTGCGGATCTAAAAGTGCTTGCTGACAGTGTAAATAGAATTGTGAAGATAAGTTTACAGAGGTTGCATCCTCTCCGCGTTTCAACTTTGTTGGAAACGTTGATCTCGGGAATGATCTACCGCTCTCCAGCCTCAAGCCACACTATGACGCCATTCTCTTCGCCTACGGAGCTTCCAAGGATAAGGAATTGGGGATACCAGGAGAGCAGGCTCTCCGTAGCGTCTACTCGGCACGTGCTTTTGTCGGCTGGTACAATGGTCTCCCCGAGCACCGCGATCTGGAGCCGGACCTAACCAGCGGGGAAGACGCTGTGATCGTGGGCCAAGGCAACGTGGCGCTCGATGTGGCCAGGATTCTGCTTTCCGACGTGGATGCTCTTCGGAGCACTGACATCACCGACTATGCTCTAGAGACATTGTCTAAGAGCCGCATCAAGCGGGTGCGCGTCGTCGGTCGCCGTGGACCTTTGCAGGTCGCATTCACTATCAAGGAAGTTCGTGAACTTTTGAATCTTCCCTCTGTCTCATTCGATCCGATACCAGGGGATATCATGCCCCCGGAATCGGTCATATCTGCCCTTCCCAGGGCACAGAAGCGCCTTATGCAGCTGCTTGCCAAAGGCTCCACAAATGACCCAAAGACGGCAACCAAATCCTGGTCTCTCGACTTTCTTCTTGCGCCAGAGTGCCTGCACTGGTCGCCTATGTATCCCTATCACCTATCACATGTCAAGTTCTCCCGCAACGAGCTTGACCCATCTGACCCGTATAACCCCAGCTCCAAAGTCTCTCCCAAGCTCATGGCCAGTGGGGAACGCGCTCGGGTCAACCTCCCTGCCAGCGTATTTTTCCGCAGTGTCGGTTACAAGTCGCTTCCGCTGCCGGGGCTTGAAGACCTGGGGGTTCAGTTTGACACCAACCGTGGGGTGATTCCCAACGATGGATTTGGCCGCGTTACTAGCCTCTCGAAATTGGGGGAGGACCGGCAGCTACCTGACGGCTCGCTCATCTCCTACGTACCTGGTCTATACTGTGCCGGCTGGGTCAAGCGCGGTCCAACTGGCGTAATTGCCTCGACCATGACTGACGCCTTCACCACTGCCGATGCGATTGTTAAAGATCTGGCAGACAGTCAAGGTTCCTTGCTGCATGCACCTGGCCAAAGCAGTGGGCTAGGCTGGGATGGGGTACGGGCCGAGGCTGAGTCTCGTGGTCTCCGCGCGACATCGTGGCAAGACTGGCAGCGCATCGATGCCGTGGAGCGAGAGTGTGGTCAGAACAAGGGCAAGGTTCGCGATAAGTTTGGACGTGTACAAGAGATGTTGGATGTGATATTAAAGTAAATAATCTTCTTGTACTGATAGTTAGTAGATCTCATTGACCATCATCACTCATGTATAGCAGACTCTCCGCCACTTTCCACTCGTCCACTTCCAATTCCGCCTCATTTCATCGCGTCTTATTCAGATCCTACATTCCGCATACACTATCCGCCACAGGCACATAAGTCGCCTCGACGCGTCCCAGCTGCTCAGCCATACCATCAGTAAGCCGGTTCATGGCAGTAACGCCGATGTTGAAACCGCCCGGTGCCGCATCAATGGCCAAGACATGAATAGAACGGCTGATCTTGCCGGACGTATAGTGCAGCTGGTAACATTTGCCGCAGTTAGGGCTGTTCCAGGCTTTGATAGTGGGCGCCCCTCCAATCAGCGGGAATGTGGGCAGCGACTTGAAGTTGGAATAGCCCAGGCTCTCAAGGCCATTCACTCCATTCGAGCAGGCGACGGTGTTGAGCGACATAGATCCATCGTCGTACTTGGGATCATACGAGACTGAGACCGACTTGGGGGCCACAGCTTCCGTTGTCTCGTCAGGAGTGGTGGGGGCAGCGCTGGCAAGAGTCGCCAAGAGGGCACAGGTGAAGACCTTGATGGACTTCATGGTAGAGAATAAGTTGGTTGGGAAGGTCAAGGACGTAAGGATGAGAGGGAATTTCTTGTGTTGCTGGTTATTGACATCCTCCCAGGAGCTTTATATATATTTTCTCCGATCCTAATCCTCCCAGCCATAGCAACTACTATCGGCTCAAGTTGCTGCATCTGACATTTCTGAGAACCCAAATATAGCTGCACTCGACATGAAATTTCAAGGATACCTTCACATGGCCCGCCATCTGGAGAAACCGGTGCAATGAGACGAGGCCAACGTGCGGGGGAATACGGGTACCAGCGGGCTACCAAGTGAGACAATCTGGCTCTTGTGCAGGGCGAGGGAAGTACAACAGATCCACTTGCTGGAAGGAAATTCGGACTTGCATTCCATGCCACCTTAGGCTTGCACACGCGGGGTGGGTAGCCGCAGCTCACGTTGCATTTTTTCGATCTCTGGAATGGGGAAGTGTATACAACACAGCCCTAACTCGTTCAAAATTTGGTGTGACTGACTTGGAGCCCGTTACTGTAGTGCACATTGTATAGATTAAAATCCACTGAAAAAAAAAAGAAACGAAACAGACAGAGTATCAAAAATCAGTTTATGTTATCAAAAAAAGATCGTCCCCGGGAAGGCTCGAACTTCCAACCTCCTGATTAACAGTCAGACGCGCTAACCAATTGCGCCACGGAGACGATTATTGATGGAAAACATGTTAGAAATAACCCTTAATCAAGAATTTAATTGTCCAATCTCACCTGGGCGAGGAAAACCATACCATAAACCAGGACCAGGTATATCCCTGTTGTGAAGGGCTAGCAGATCTGGGCTATTGGATAGCATGGCAATTAGAGCTACTGGATACGAGGAAGATGGCGGATAGACAGAGAACAGCTGTGAAGATCTGAAGGCACAAGCCGGATTACGTGATCCTGTTTGTCGTTCTTTGTTGCTCTTCTGTATTTAGTCTGTCTGTTTCCTTTTCCCTTCTGTTTCTTCTTCTTCTTTTCTCTAGTTTAAAGATTTTCGTAGAATGTCACTTCTTCCTTTTTGTTGAAACTGGACCCTCACAATAGCAGAGCAGAGATTGAAGTTGGATTCCTACAATAATGAAAGAACTCACTGTGTATATATAGAACAAGGAAGCACAGTCACGTCCGCCCCTAATAAGATGTTTTCTCAGAAGACATTAAGTAACGGCGAAAAGAAGGCGAGCATAACAGTTGCGAATGTTTGCTAAGCGTTGCTAAGAGGAACATGTAATTATAATTGGTATACTGGCCGTTGTTAACACATTGGCATTTTCCGCAGTATGGCCTCTATAATATTCCATATCATGCCTAGGTTGAAACCGTGCTATAGTGTAACATGATGAACTAACTGTGAAAGGTTAACACATGTGTATATTTCGGCACAATTTTCAATTGGCGTCAACTCCTAGTGATATGAGAGGTTTGTGAAGCTCCACTCGTCCAAGGTAATGGGTTCGCCATAAAGTTTATCTTATGGCCGATAGCAATACACGAGAGCAAGGCAGCCTTTGTCGCCTTATGTCGAACCGATAAGAAATATGTATGCATTTTGAGCTCTTCGTGGCCAGACTTGAAACGGGGCTGAAATGGTCCAGTTCGCGCGAGCTGCAAGTGTTGACCCCATATAACTCTTGCTTCTAAGCAGCCTCTTGCTCAAAGAAATGCAGCTCTTGCTTAGTGGTCAATCCAGAATGGACGAGTTTTCCGTTTATGGTCAAAGTGGCGCAGGTACGTGGCACGGGCCGCTCACGGGATTCCCCCAGCAGCCTGTCCACCTGCTCCCTCCTCAAACCTCCATTCGACTGAGATGAATTGGCTCGCAATGGTAAAGGCCACTAGTTGTATCACTAAGGGCCTGTGTAAACGTATTTGACTAAGGTAGAGCAAACATGCACACACTTTCCCCGGAAGGAAAGAGCCAAAGGCAACGGCAAGCAGGCAGTGAGCGTCTGCCTCAGGCCTCTAGGGTACATTCAGAGCCGGGAGTAGACACTTCTAACTCAATCTTATTGGCTAACTTACAATCGCTATCAACTGCCCTAGTAACTGACTTTAGGGGCCGAAACAAAAGTATGATATCCAACCCTGCCCTGCTCCATGCAATGCCAACGTTTTCTCCGCACTTGTCAAAAGCTTGCCAGACTACTGGGACTTAGGGGCCGCTAAACGCACATTATTGAAATCGCTTCTGCTTTTGAGATCTGGAAATATCGATGGTAGTCGAGGATCAATAATCTGTTGGTTATTTGTAAAGAAATCATTTACCCGACAGAGACATCCCCAGATGGCCAGCTCCAACAACACCTTCATTGTTATGGGTTACCTCTACTGGAGTTCTCCCCTCTCACCTGGACCGGCTTGACTTCCGGGGCCCGGCCTTGACTCCATCACAGAGCAACAGCAAGCTGCCTCGAGCGTGGATGTGCTTTGTACCCCCTAGAAATCAAATACCACAAACGTTCCTTATAACAGCCAATTAAGTACAGAAACAAGTCCAGTCAGGATTCGAACCCAATCGGATGTAGAGTGGGCCAATTTCAAACCTTCGGTGGTAGCTACTCATAATGTTTGCGCGTTGAAAATGTGCGAGGCCAGCCCGGAATAATAATCTGTGATGATCGCCGTCGGCTCTGCATCCAATGGCTAGCATGCGGTGGCAGATGTCAAAGTTCAGGATCAAATTGGAGATAGTTTAGTTGCAAAAAAACAATCTGCCCCACGGAGAACGAGACTAAGGACCGCACGTTGACAAACTAATAGCCCGCACGAGCCTCATGAATCTTCCCATTGGTGGGTCGACGTGGACCTATTGGCGTAAGATTAGTCCCGACTCGAGCGCACCCACTTAGTCTGTCGATGGTGCGTTTAGCTCTTAGCATTTCGACTTGCGATCTTAGTCTCAAGGCGACGGAGGGACCCGCGAGGTTCGCCAAATCCTGCACTTCTTCCGAGCGATCGTCACCCTTTTTTTTGGAGCCCTAAAAAATCCATCCAGATCCCCACTATCATCCACAGCTAACTTATAGCGTGCTAGCGATGTGGACAGGGCTCGGCACAGTTTTTCGAATTACCGTGGAGAGAGCTCAGGGGCCGCGTTCTGTCTTGTCCCAATAGGGTATACGGTGCTGACCGAAGGCCGCTAACTAACTAGCATCGCCGACCAGGAGGGAGCCGTGGATTTCCCGAACAGCTAGTGACCAACGGCGTTCGTCCTTTGGAGCTAAGGATCGAGAAGCTTTAGACGGAGAACAGGGTGCGCTGCAGGCCGATCAACCAACACCGGCACGCTGGTTCGTGGCAACTCCCGCGGGATCTTCCACAAATAATTAAATATCCAAGGTCCCTCGACGCATGTTGCTTGTCGCAGCGTTGCAGCATCTTCACCATGGTCATGTTGACCCATCTTCTCCGTTCGCTCGCCCAGGGCCAAGATGGTTCCCTTGCCCGTCGTTGGGAGTTCCAGGAATGGGATCCCCTTGAGGGTACGGACCGCTCACTCTTTATTGCCATTGGCACGGTGGCCTTGCTCTCTTTGATCTCAACGCTGTCCCTACTGTCTTTCCTTACCTACCGTTTCATCTACTGGAAGCGCTATTACAAACACCCATTGGCCCAGAACCAATATGTCGTCCTCATTTACAACCTCCTGCTGGTTGACATGCAGCAGTCCATCGCCTTCTTGTTGTCCCTCTACTGGGTCTCGAAGGGAAGCGTTCATTTTGGTGAGACAGCCTGCTACCTACAAGGATGGTGGATTCAGACAGGAGACCCCGGCAGCGGTCTGTTCGTGCTGTCTATTGCTCTCCACACCAGCGCCGTCGTACTTCGTGGTCGCCAGCTCCCCTATCACATGTTTGTCTACGTTGTCATCGGAATCTGGATGTTCATTCTAGTCATCGGCTTCATTCCCGTGGGACTATGGGGATCAAAGGCCTTCGTCATCTCAGAGGCCGGTTGGGTATGTTGAGATGTTTCTCTTGTTCGTTGTGGTTGTCTGCTAACCTTCTCTCCCCAGTGTTGGCTGAGCCCAACCCATGAAGATGAACGTCTCTGGGGCCACTACTTCTGGATCTTCCTCTCCGAGTTTGGCACAGTCGTTCTTTACGCCATAATGTTCTTCTGGCTCCGTCGCCGTATGAGGCAGGCCAAGATGCTGCGTCGCGGCCAGCAAGAGAGCCTCCAACGCCTCAACCGTGTTGTCGTCTACATGGTTATCTATCCCGTTGTGTATCTTTGCTTGTCGCTGCCGCTGTCAGCGGGTCGTATGTCAACTATGCGGGGCGTGCCTCCCAGCAGGACCTACTTCGGTGTCGCTGGCTGCCTGATGGCGTTCTCGGGGTTTGTCGATGTGTCCGTATACACACTAACTCGTCGCCACCTGTTGATCGACACCGAGCACAGTACCACCGACCCTAACTACGACAACAACACCGACTCCCGCTACCAAACACAGATCAGTGCCCACCCCAAGTCCCGTAAGGGATTCGGCCTCACCTCTCGCTTGAATACGCGATTCCGTCAGAATCCTAAGACCGTCGACATGGACGACACACAAAGCCCTCTGGGCGGCTCCACGGAGAACATTGTTCCTAACAAGGATGTTGAACTCCAAAACTTCCACGGCGTGTATCAACAAACAACCATTGAGATTTTGCACGAGCCCGCCACTTCGGCAGAGTCGGTCGCGCATCCCGAGCGCAGGGGTTCATGATTCCCTATCCATTCCCTGTCCATGACGATTCGTTGTATCTACTTTACGCATTTTATGCCTATCACCTACTAGTTAATTTCTTTAATGCACAAAATCTATATTCAGTAATCCAATACATCCACGCACGATTGTGCAGGATCCTCCTCCTTGCCTGTGTACATAATTTCACGTGGATTTAGCAACTAATTACCGACCTGCCTCGGTACCGACGATCCAAGATAATTCGTCACAAGATACCACCGGCAAAGATATCGTTGATCTGCATTATGGACCTAAGATCCAGGATGGTGCCGTTTCTCGTCCTATTGCGTCCTGAATCTGTCCAATAACTTTTTGGACATCGGCACTGGCACACCTTTCAGTTTATGAGCCATTGCTTAGCTGGTGGAGCGGTGGAGCTGCTTAGCAGTGGGGGATAGGTTTTAGCCGGAAGACGATCTTGGAAAGTTCCCACGCTGGAACCTTGATAAATGGACTTTTTTACTTTGTGGGGCCGTTTTGCTCATGCAAAGGCGTTTCTTGGCTAACCAGTTCTGGGGCTTTCGCCGGATGGCAGATCCCCATGTTGGCGGGCCGTTGCCCGCCGTCCCCGAAATTGTAATCGCTGAATCCACGCGTTCATATTTCCAGAAAAGATGGGACAATTGAGGAACTCCCTGAAGGAGAGGCCGGTAGCAGATACCCTGGTGAACAGGAACATACCGAGACAGGGTTGTACATAGAGTTGCAGGGTTGGCGGAATCCGAGCTTGTACGTTCCGGGTCCTTACATGTGAAGTCTCGAAAGTCAAGAGAAGAAACCTTCCGAATCGAAGATTGGTGACGGGTGGTCAAGGCGGCGACTCGCTTTTCAAAGTTGCGGGTGGAAAGGCGGTCGTTTCTGGCTTCAGAAGCGGTCATTTTCGGACTCAATTTTCCAGGCCCCCATATTATTCTAGATGAATAATAAGAAGATGCCAAGCCTCATCCAATAATGCTTATATTGTAGGGCTTGAGTAGTTTGACTATTGTAAATTTATAATTACGGTCTACTAACTATTCCCCGGTCTCCGGCCCCAGTCCAATGCGCGCGCCGCCGGTCCTTACTATCTATCTCTTATTCCGTCCCAATCTACAATGGATTTTAGTCGCAGCCACATATTTCCCTGTAGACTCGGACTTGTTATTAGACTTCGGAGCTTGAAATGCATCTGTTGAGGATTCCTGCAATCTGTGTCTTGGCTCTGGCAGCTTGCTTTTTTCACGCTTGTGGTCGCTATGCAAATAGCTCTGATCAGAATATGCTTTCTAAGATCTTATATGTTTGAATAATCGTCCAAATACCAGGCTCTGGTTTGCCTCCAGGTATACCCAATAAAATTTCCACTTCGCTGTACAACTCATTATATCCATGCCAGCCTGAGCCACTTTTGTTTCAGTTGCCTGAAATTCAACTTCCTTGCTTTCATATCCATCTCATCCTCCAAGGCATGCCCATCGCGAGTTTGTGCTCTCAGGCGCGTCTGTGAAGAGATGTTAGCAATGAACTCCCTACCGGTAGTCATCGGCGGAATCAACAGCGTCATTTCTTTGGTTTATGAGGTGTGCAATGTGCAGCGTCGAGAGGCTTCAACAATGATGACATTTTGTCGAACGTAGTATCTGAGCTCGGTGATTCATATGGAAATCGCGGCCCTAAACGAAAAAGCTCATTCGTAGTAGGGGCGGGTAGGCCACAACATCTGCTCAGAAGCCGCCACTGAGAGGATACAGTATTGATATTTACCCGGGGAACTTAAACCACTCTCGCAAAAGCAGCAGCAGCTTGAATAGAGGGATGAGATGAGCAGAAGCATATCCCAAGCATTGCGCTGCCAGACCATAGGCCAGCCACACTGGGTAAACGCGATCCGCCATCCAACACCCTTTGATAGCTAAATCCAAAGATAGCTTGCAGAATGACAAATACTTACCTGAAGGAGAAAAAGGTAGGCTTAGGTTTGTGGAACGAGAACGACAACTAAGGCGGTGCAAACCCTGCTACAACCGCCGCGACTTGGCTAACCAAAAATACAGTAGTACTCGTAGTGACAGAGCAGGACTCTAGACGACTAGTTCAATACTGCCATAGACCCTGACCCGGGTTCTGGGGTTAGTCCAACAAGCTGTTGGTTTCACGCCGGAGGCGCAGCACACCAACCTCCCAAAGTGAAAGCTGTCGGCTTACGCCACAAGAAGAAGGTCATAAGGGGTTTCGGTGTTCCTGAACCGTTACGGGGTCCCCGGAAGGCAGAGATATTCCATGGTCACGTTGGATTGAGTAGATGTTTCGCAGGCCGCCATTTCGATGCAATGCCCTTGTGCTGCAATCGAGTGTTGCACAAACGTTGGCCCGTTTCGCCCGACCTCGACCATTCAAAGAGAGCCAAGATCATTCTTGCATGGCACCGGTTTGTGTTAAACAAACCGTCAGTGGTTGTGCCACCAACGGGGCTAATCTAAGACACCAGCAACAGCTTTTATATCCCTCACCCCCCTCTGAATCTGGAAGTTTACGGCCACTTCCCCAAACCATGCTCATCATGGCGGTATATCCCTTATTATGGCTCCTGGGGGGCTTCTCGGCCTTGGCCCAGGTCCAAGTGTTCACTCCTCCAGGACAGACTGATATCACGTATAGCGTCAACATCCCCACGGACACCGCGACCTTGGGTTCGGGGCCCGTTTACTTCCAACTCAAATCCACGAGTCCCGTCCAGTGGTTTGCATGGGGCCAGGGCGACCAAATGCAAGGTGCAAACATTTTCGTGGTATATGCCTCGGGTGATACTGATAATGTGACGGTGTCTCCTCGGCTGGGTGAAGGCCACTTCGAGCCACGATACAATCATGACGCACGGGTGTCGCTCCTCGACGGTAGCGGGGTGAAGGATGGAACCATCACGGCCAATATTCGATGCGACACCTGCATTGCATGGTCGGATGGAAGGGCAAACGTCACCAGCACCGCCAGTCCCTACATCTGGGCCGTGAAATATGGGCCGCCGCTAGACACCAGCGACGTGAGGGCGACCATCACCAAACATGATGATATGGGAGGTGCTACCGTCAACATGAGAAGATCCACCGGCGGCCACATCGCCAACCCATTTTCCAATGCGCTCGACTCCAGTGTAGCAGAGGCTGTCGGGCCACCGTTTGACATTGAGTCAATATATCGGCAACGGATCGCCCACGCCGCGCTGATGATTGTCGCGTTTGTGGTCTTCTTTCCGATCTTCGCTCTGGGGCTGCATCTTTTCCCGGCCCTGTGGACGGTGAGAATCCATGGTCTCGCGCAGATTTTCACCCTGATGATATCCATTGCCGGTATGGGTCTCGGGGTCTCCATGGCGCATGCGTTCGAGATGCTTCAGCACCACCACCCGATCATTGGCCTCGTGGTCATCAGTGGACTGGTTCTGTTCCAGCCCTTCATGGGCCTTCTTCAGCACCGGCATTTCCGCCAGACGGGGGGCAAGAGCGCCTTTGCGTATCTGCACCGGTGGTTTGGCCGGGCGATGATCGTTTTGGGGATTGTCAATGTGGGCTTGGGATTCCGCATGACTCGAGAGGCCAACCCGGGGGCAGCGCCTCGGGCAGTGATCATTGCGTACAGTGTCGTGGCAGGCGTAGTGGGCGTAGGATACGTGGTGGTGGTGGGCGAGCGTAGCCGGCCTCGGGCCGCTTAGTTTAGTTTCGCGCGGACTGACGCCGTGACATCATGATCGTCTTCAAAAGACAACTTAGTTTATGACGCTGCGCCCCTGGCCCCCGGACAACAGACATGCCCCGATTTCTCACCCCAATCTCTCCCTCCTAGATGGCCACACAATGCCATTGCACACGGTCGCCCTCGGCGCCGCTTTGACTCCCACCGTTCTACATACTCTCATCAATCATGTAAGTGTCGTTCTCTGCAAGGAGGCAATGTGCTGATCCCCTGCCCGCCGCAACCCGCCAGTACCTGCATCGCAAGTCACTCCGCAATCAGCCCTCCGTCCACATCACCTACGATGAAGGCATCCAGATTATCCGCAAGTTCTTGGCCTACGCCTCCAAGCACCCGGTCGAGGATCTCCAATCCTTTACGCGTCAGTCGGTGCCAAGCCCTCACTGGGTGAAGACCGAGACCGTGACGATCCCAGAGGAATCCTTGTCGGCGGCTGCAGATGCGCTCTCGAAACAGCTGGGTCCCAGGGGCATTGCGCGGGTGGGTGGTAAGAAGTGGTGGCAATGGCGGGGGCCGTCCGAAGAGCTGAAGGGGGAGTGGATTGAGATGCGCAGTGACTACAACAAGGCCAAGAAGTCGGGCCAGCGCAGCAACCGCATCATGCTGTATATCCACGGCGGTGCCTACTTCTTTGGGAGCGTGGACACCCATCGGTATATGCTGCAGCGCCATGCGCGAAAGCTGAAGGGCCGCGTCTTTGCCCCAGATTATCGGTTGGCACCGCAATTCCCTTTTCCGTGCGCGCTCCAGGACTCCCTGGCGACATATCTCTGGCTGCTGGAAACCTACGAGCCCACGGAAATCATCCTTGCTGGGGATTCCGCCGGTGGCGGATTGGCCTTGTCGATGCTGGTCATCATGCGTGATCAGGGTATCCCTTTGCCGGCGGGAGCAATTTTGATCTCTCCTTGGGCTGATCTAACGCATTCCTTCCCGAGCATTGTCGCGGACAGCCCCGGGGACTATATTCCTCCATATGGATTCAGGCACAAGCCGTCCATTGCCTGGCCTCCACCCAACGCCGACGAGATTCTCAAGATCAAGAAGCTGTCTCGGAAGGAGACAGTGACCGCTCAGGACGTAGAGGAGGCCGTCCCGGCTGCAAATACCGAGGCAGAGGAGAACGCAGTTCGCGGCTTCACCCTCCACGAAAACAAGCCGGTGTCCACGGGGCCTGCGTATCCTGGGCAGCAGCAAAATCCGGATCCGGCCACCTTGTACACCGAGCCAGACAATATCCACGTTGTCTTAGATGGCAAGACTGTGGAACTTAAGGACCAGATTCAGATGTACACGACCAACCAGCTGATCTCGCATCCTCTTGTCTCGCCCGTTTTGCAACCATCGTTGGGTGGCCTTCCGCCTTTGCAAATTCTGAGCGGTGGTGGCGAGACACTCCGTGATGAGCAATTCTACCTGGCCCACAAAGCAGCGGATCCGTCTGCGTACCCTCCAAGCGACGTCTACCTCAACGAGCACGACCCAGAGCGAAAAATACTCAACCAGTATGGCCCCACCTATGTGCAGCTTCAAGTGTGGGACAATTTATGCCATGTGGCTCCCACTCTCAGCTTTACAAGACCAGCCAAGTACATGTTTCGTTCCATCTCGCAGTTTGGCTCGTGGGCACTGGCGCGTGCTCAAAAAGCTGAGGTTGAGATTGTGGATGAAAGCGTTCTCTCACCCGTCTCGACCAGTGGCTCAGACGATCCGGACAATCAAGGTTCTGGATCTGACTCCGCTAAAAGACCACCGGTGGACTCTGTGGGAAAGGCTGGAGACCCCTTGCCTGCGTTCTATAAGTACATGATCCGCCAGAGAGTCGACAAACGCGGGCGTATCTACCACCTGGACCCACCGACCTCATATCCCGTACTGGATATTCCGCCTGCTCAAGTTGGAGCCATCAATCCGGTACTCATCCGGAAATGGCTCGATGCCAAGCACGAATGGGATATCAAGTTTGCGAAGGAGAAGCTACGCTTCCAGGGTCGGCGTATTAAGGAGATGGCGCATGGCTTCCAAGATTTTGAAGGCGAGCATCCACCTGCGAGCTCGCTTGCTGCACGAAGAGCTGCCCCAGGCGTGCTACCGAAATGGCAGGCCAAGAAGAACTACGGTCTGATGCTCTGGAGCGGCTGGGGAAGCAAGCATGATGAACACACGTTGGAAAAGGAGCACCAGGCAGAGAAGTCTGGACGGCCGTCTACCCGCACAAGCGTGGATGCTGGGCAGGCTGGCGACTGGTCTAGTGAGCCATCCAAGAAAGAACAGCCAGATACCCAAGACCCTTCTTCCATCAATGAAAAATCGAAATCTGCTGATCCCGGAACGGTCACCTGGGATGAAAAGGCGCGTCCAAGTGCGGATGCCCTGTCGGGACGGTTTTCTGGTGAAGCTGGCTCAGCATATACACGTCCTGGGTCGACACGTCCTGGGTCGGAGAAGAGCGCGGGACCGCTTCTCGTGTTGCCAGGGATGGATAACCAGAAGCTCTATCACGAGAATGCGAGTACAAGGGCCCTTTTCCATGCAGCCATGACCTCCGATGTCTCTCTGTCCCTCAGCAAACACCGCCCAGGGTCGGGTAATGGATCTGTGGCTGGTCGCAGCGAGCTCATTTCGGACAGTGCTAGTACTATCGGTGGCGACACTGACTCCGTGGCCGTGACCAGTGTCGCTCCAGATGGAGCCAGCACGCGTGCTGTAGTCCACGCCAGGGGCATCATTGGTGAGATGAAGGCAAATGATGGCGTTCGCCTATCCACGGATACTTTGTCTGTCGCTGGCCGGGACTCGATATCGCTGCGACCCGGCATGCCGTCAAGAGATGAGTTCAAAACCGCCGAAGAACATCTGTAACCGCACACTATTTACAACCATCTGTCACCATCTGTATACAATCTTTTTGATTTCCTATCTTTGTTTGTTCCACCAGTTGCGAGGGCTTTTGACCATACCCCCTGAGACATTTCATTGGTTGTCCTTCATCGCATACCCAGCCACTAAATTGTGGGATATACACGACTTGGGATTATATGGCAGCATTTCATATCGTTCTTCCTTTGTGAATACCCCATATCTAGTTTCGCAATCAACCTTGCATCGACAGACTTTTTTTTTTTGGAAGAAACCGTCATTGTGGCTGGAGATAGACATTTGATAAAAAACTATGATACAAGCCGACCCCCATACTTCGGCATACAACCTAGCTATACAATGTCGAATAATGTACAGAGATACCATAATAGCCGAAGCCTAGGCTGTCAGCGCCATTCTAGACCAATCTTCCGGGCCACCTGCTCCGCAACATCCATAAAAGCCTGGCGTCGCACACTACGCTCGGCCGACTCCTCCGCCACAACAGTGGGCATTCCACGATCTGCATCTTCGCACACCTGTGCATCAAGCGGAATATCACCGAGAAAATCCACACCTAACCGCCTGCACTCGGCCACCACACCACGGTCCTCTGCATGCGCATGACCGCTATGCTCACCGTGCGAAAAGATTCGAGTCTGATGCCCGCACTGCGGACACGCGAAATAGGCCATATTCCGAACCATCCCGAGCACGGGCACATCCATGCGCTGGAACATGCCGAACCCGCGCACGGCATCTCGCAGCGCGATGTCTTGTGGCGTCGTTACGATCACAGCCCCGTCGATGATGACTTCTTGGTTGATGGTGAGCTGGACGTCGCCTGTTCCTGGTGGAAGATCCAGAACGAGGACATCAAGCGGGCCCCACGAGACGGAATGTAGCAGCTGGTGCATCGCTTTCGTCACCATTAGCCCGCGCCAAGAGATCGGAGTTGTGTCCATAGGTGCTTCGGCGGTTGGGTTGTCGGATTGTGTTTGAGGGAGGAGGTAACCCATTGACATGGACTTGAGGCCGTAGTTTGTTAGTGGGAGGAGGCAGTTATCTGGAAGTTGAAAAAAAATATCAATATATTGTTATCGTTCTGGCCTGGGAGCCCATCCAGCAAGGTCGTCTCACTTTCGTCTAGGCGAGGTTCGCCTGATAGATTCAAGAGGGTTGGGATAGATGGGCCAAAGATATCTGTGTCGAGTATTCCAGTCCGGATACCGCGGCGAGCAAAGGAGAGGGCGAGATTTACTAATGTTAGGGGACATGTTTAGCTCCATGACCTCACAAACAGCTCCAGGTTTAAGCAAATGGTCCTTGATTTGGGGGAAGATAAGAAGCAATTAAAAATAAAAAGAATCAACCAACCCGCGAGAGTCGACTTGCCCACCCCTCCCTTGGCCGAGGAAACAGCAACCACTTTCTTGACATCTCGGATCTTGCGCTTCTCAGGCAGTCCACGCCGTCGAGGAAAAGATGGTGGTGTGCCAGAGCGTGGGAGTCCCTAGCAGTAATGTGTTAGTGTAAGTGATTTGATGGGGACTAGAGAGCACACTTACCAGGGGATTGTCATGCTGGAGAACTCGCCCTGTGGAAAAGAACCTCCCACGCACTAGGGATATACCACCTGGTGATAGTATCATGTTAGACAGGATACTCTGTAAGGCAAAAGTCCGAGCAAAGTGCGAGATCAACGACGTGGAAGTCACGAACAAAGGGGTAACACAAAGACGCGGGAGAACAGGAGAAGTGACGAAAAACAACGGACAAGATGAAGCAAAAGACCTGATTCTGCCCGCCGGTAGACAGCCACCGCCCTGGATGCCGCCCGCCTAGGCCTGATGGGGATAGTTTGGCCGCGATCCGCTTATCGCAAACCAAAAGAAAAAACCGAAGGGCTTTCCTTCCATCAACCATGGCGCCAGGCAAGACACATCCAGGACGGTCGCTGGCAGACCAGCTGGCAGATCTTGAGGATCCGACTCCCAAAGGTATGCAACATGCTTACTTTTTCTTCACTGGGGGACATTGAGAGCTGACATGGGGAATCCAGATTTCGATCCCGAGGATCTTGATCGTGATGGTCAGTCCAGCGATGAAGAGACTGGCAAGCCGTCAGATGTGAATGCTGGCCGAGAGCATTATCAAGCAGTCGGGTGAGTAGAGTGACCTACCAAAGCAAAACAAAAGGATAGGCTGATGAAGGCGAAACAGAAAAGCAAAGCTGCGGAAGCAGGACCCAGTTGTACTGGGAAAACAATACGCTGGTGCGCGAGTTAGTCGGGATGCACTTGAGGCAGACAGTGATGATGATCCATTTGCGGCACTTTCCGATGAGAGTGATCAAAGTGTCAGTGATGAGATTGAGTCCTCGAGCGAGGAATCGTCCACCGGCCGCAGTGGGCTGGGAGATGGAACAGAGGAGCGCTCAGAGCACAACTCAAAGACAGGCCAAATAGGCGGGAAATCTACCTTACCGAAAAAGAAGGCTTCGAAAAACAAAGAAACCACCGTGACATCACAATCCCCATCAAGGTACAAGATAGTATCGTCGCAGAACTCGTCCACGAGCCGAGGAAAAGAGGACCTCACCACCTCGGCGGACGAGTCTGACTCAGAATCGGCACTCCTCGCCTCCATATCGGACGACGAGCTCGACACTGTCGGGGATGGGAGTATCATCGGGGATCAGCTCGGTGAGGTTGTCGAGGACGTCGAAATGGATGATTTCGACGTAGACTCAGAGAATGCCCTTGAAGAGGTGCGGGATGAAGATGTATCGAGCGAAGAGGAAAACCAGCAGGGAGCACAAGCAGAGGGCCGCGATGCGGAAAGTATGGACGATGATGAAGATGAGCAGCTCAACCAGAAGAACAGCAAGAGGGTCCATTTCGAGAAGTCTCGGTCGAAGGAAACGAAGGATGATCGGGAAGAGTTACGAAAGCTGATGGCATCGGATCAGAAGACAATCGCGGCAACGATCTCGCAAGCTGCCAAGGCAGATGCGGTAAAGGGGAGGGCAGTCAAGGAGCAACGTACAGTGTTTGACGCGTTGTTGAACACGAGGATCAAGCTTCAGAAAGGCTTGACGGTGATGAACGAAGCGGTCGTGATGATTGGGGAAGAGGATGATGGGATGGAAGAGAACGGGGAGGCAATCAAGTCAGCTGAATCGGCAGCCCTCGCCCTATGGTCTACGCTGGAGGAACTACGTCTCGCATTGACGGATTCCCACGCCAAAGACGAGACCAAAAAACGCAAGAGACCTTCTTCTATCTCTTCAGCGACCTCCTCGCCATCCCTCTGGGCACGTATGGAGGAGCTGGAATCCGCTTCTCGCGCCCATCGTCGTGCTGTGCTCGATAAGTGGTCTGCCAAAGTAAGAGGCGCCTCCACCTCTCTTCCCAATGCCCGGGGCAAGCTTCTGGGCTCTGCCTCTGGCCAGCAAACCATCACAGCCGTCCTCGATGCGCACATTGCCACAGAAATCGGAGAGCGCGCGTCCAAACGTTCTCGCTCGTCAGAGGGCCACCATGAGCCTGTTTACGACGACACCATTTTCTACCAGTCCCTTCTTCGAGATCTCGTCGAGCAACGAATGTCCTCATCGGACGCCATGACGAACGGTCTCGACACTCTCCACCAACTGCCGTCTCGCCTGCCCATCCACCCCGTCACGGGTATGCGCAACGACAAGGTGAAGCGAGACATCGACACTCGCGCCTCCAAAGGCCGCAAGATGCGATTCAATGTTCACGAGAAGCTGCAGAACTTCATGGCTCCGGAAGATCGTGGGGCGTGGAGTACTCGGGCCCGCGACGAGTTTTTCGCCTCTCTGCTTGGCAAGACTGCCAGTGGCCTGCTGGGCGAGGCAGACGAGAGTGCCAGTGGCGAGGACAGTGATGATGACCGTGAAGAGAGCGGATTGAGACTGTTTCGCACCTAAATGATCCGTCTACAGGCCTATATGCCTTGACTTGTGTATAGATAGCAATGATGCATGTCCATGATACTGATCCGAGAGTTTGTACATGCTTTTAATTGTATTGCAAGCAGCATAATCAAATTTACACCTTGACTTTGATCTACTAGACTTCGAGACTGTCATCTTCATTCCGCCATGATGCCCGTGCAGGAAGTTAACGAGTTCACTGTCGCCGGCTTGAACAACTGGCCATGAAGCCGTTCAACGCCGTAGAGATCGGCTGTACCGTCAGGAGGCCTTTTTGACCAAATCTCCGAGCTTTGGAGATATATCAGATCGTGTCCAATTCCGAATGAGGATGCGAGCAGTGAGATTCCGTCAATGTCACAATCCCACTAAGGTTTATTATGTCCAAGTTGTTAGATTCAGTCGATGACCGTGACACGGCATTAGGGCATCGCGGTCACGGGGCCTGATCGTTATCACCACTGCCAACCTTGGCCCCTCGCTGAATCTTCTATCCCAGAGTTATTCTTGCTCAGAGTATTCTATGAGTAGGTCATCGAACACTTCCGTCATCCGTCGCGGTATTTCGTGCTTGAGACAATGGCGTCATGGCTTCCCCACATGCCGATCAATCCAACAAGGGGCGCTGCTTTCTCCGCGTCCGTCAGCCGTGATCTCTCTCGACAACTGCTCATCTCGCTCGAGTCTCCAGGTCGAGATCTCTTGCCGGACTTTTCTGCACTTTGGGGTTTAGTTTATTTTTTTGGTTGACTTAAGCGCCCGGTGCGCGGTGTTAGACCCTTTGGGATCCCAGATCTAGTCAAACCCAGTATGCGCCTCGACTGGCAGGCCCCGCTGGGACTGGGCTCCCTCTGTGCTTCGGTGCTCTCCTACTTCTGCAGCGAGCAGCAGGGCGCCGTCTCGCACCACCCCGTCCTGCCGCCATCGTATCCGCTGGCTGTCCGCAACCCGTACCTATCGACATGGATGCCCAGCGACCGGGTTCAGAATCTGCCGCATGCTGAGCCTCAATTCTGGGCCGGCCAGAACCTGGGCTGGTCCGTGATCGTGCGTGTAGATGGTCGTGCATATAGCTTGATGGGCGTGCAGAATGCCAACGCCAGCGGCATCCACCCTGCCATCGTGCACCGCGCCGAGTTCACGGCGTCGCACTCGGTCTTTGATCTCTCGGCTGGACCGGTGGCGCTGACCTTGGACTTTTTCTCGCCTGTTTCACCCTCAAATTACCTGCGACACTCTCTTCCCTTCAGTTAGTATCTCTTATTCGGACCACATGGATTGCATTGAGACTAACAGGGCGGTGCCAGGCTACCTAACGGTGCATGTTACCAAATCTCGTGGACACGATATCCAGGTCTATTCAGACATCGACGGCAGATGGACAGGCCGACCACGGCGCTCGCAAAGTGCCTTTGAAGAGGCAGATGGGCTCGCGTATTACTCGCTTACCGTTCCGACCGCAAGAAAATATGCCGAGGCCAACGACATGGCTCTCTGGGGTCGAGCAATTCTTGCATCTCGTCCGTCGGACTCCAGCACACTCACTTCGTCCTCGGGGAACGCTGCTGCAGTGCGTGGCTTGTTCGCCGGAGAGGGTATTCTCGCTGGAGTGCACGAAACATGGTCTCATGAAAGTGTAGTCGCACTGGCCCATGATCTGGGTAAAGTGGATGGTGGTGCCTCAGTGAATTTTGTTGTTGGTTACGAACGAGACCATGCCATCAATTATCTGGGAGAGCCGCAGACGGGGTACTATCGGGCAAAGTACCCAACGACGTCGAAGGCCCTTTCATTCTTCATGGACGACTATGCAGATGCATTGTTGGAGTCCGTGAAGCTGGACCAGGAGCTGGCTTCTTCGGCTACAGCTGCAGCAGGCCCAAAATACGCAGATATTGTTACTTTGTCCACTCGCCAGGCCTATGGGGGAATTGACGTGACCATTCCCGCCGACTCACTTGACACCAATGAAGTATTGGCGTTTATCAAGGAGCTATCCAGCGACGGAAATGTCAACACAATCGATGTGATCATGCCCGCGTTCCCCATCTATTATGTTATGGACCCAGATTACATTCGGCTACTGCTTGAACCCGTGATGAAGTACCTGGACGCTGGCCGTTGGCGACTACCCTACACCATCCATGACCTTGGATCAAGCTATCCGCACGCCGTTGGACATGATGACCAGCGCGCAGAACCTATGCCCATCGAGGAATGTGGAAACCTGCTCATCTTGGCGCTTGCCTACGTTCGCGCCACCGGCGATGTCAGCTGGGCTGCTCAGTATACGGAGATCTTCAAGAAGTACGCAGACTACCTTGCCCATAACAGCATTGACATCGCCAATCAACTGTCGTCCAATGATGCGGCTGGCCCACTGCCCAATGAGACCAACCTCGCGATCAAGGCCGCTGTCGGTCTCAAAGCCTTTGGTGAAATGAGCGGTTACGAGTATTACTCGCGTGTTGGCAACGAGCATGCAAGCCTCTTCTTCGAGCAGGGTCTGGGTACAGACGATGAGAAGACTCATTTTGTGCTTAGATACCCAGACCGGCCAAAGAGTTGGAAAACACCGTACAATCTCTTCCCAGACGTGCTCTTCGATTTGGATACCTTCCCTGAGGAGGCTTACAAGATGAATGATAATTTCTTCCGATCTAAATCTGTCCGGGGGAGTATGGTGTGCCGCTCGATAACCGGCAGGACTGGGCTAAGTCCGACTGGAACATGTGGTTGGCCGGCACCTTTGGGACGACGACTCGTGACGAGTTTGTCGATGACCTCTGGGCATTCATGACCAGCGGCAAACATACCTGGCCGTTCTCTGATCGTTATGTTGCCACATCGAAGAAGGGAGCCAACCCTGGCACTCCCATATTGTGTCGAGCTCGCCCAACAGTTGGCGGCCACTTCGCTTTACTTGCTTTACAAGGCCCACGGTCCATGAAATCTTTGTCTCGATATCCATCCGGACCTGGGATTTCGAGACAAGACTATGGCCAGGCGGAGGCTCGGTTTAGGAGCCGCATCGAAGAGCTGTGATTTGTTTGTGGTGGTATAGGTGACTCGATGCCATATTCTCACATCGAGATTCCTGAGTACAAAGAATACATTTGAAATGCCATTAGCGTTTCGATATGCACACCTCTAGCCTCTGCTTCGCTTTGCTTGGTGAAATTCTTCCAAAGAGAATTGACAACATAGTCGTAGATCGATTTTGGAGGTGCCATGTCCAAGGGTGCACTTAACGCATCGCCTTTGCGCGAAGTTGAACTGAACATCACTGAACGTCGATTAGGCCCATAGTATATTCTCCCTCCCTAGTGTAACCAAGCCAATTTATCACATCGGACAGTTCATGGCTGTAACCCTAACCAAGCTTCACTGTGTAGTCCAAGGGGGCTTACCTAATCTCCCTGTCACGCCTCGCCTGCCTCTCCCTCCTACCAAACCAAACCAACTCTTTCTTTCTCTCTAACTTAACCTTTCTTCCCGCCGCCGTCATCTCTTCTTCCCTCCTCTTCTTTCATTCCTGTACTGTCTCCGTCCTTTGTGATCCTCCCCAGCCCTACCCATGGCTTCTGTGAGTTCTCCTTCCCTCACCTTCCCCGTCCGCTCACCGCGGCTTCGCGCCAGCCGATTGAGTCGGTCGGACATATCTCACGCGTTGGGCACTGCGAGCTTCAGACTAACGATAATGTCTTCAATGTCTAGCCCCGTCCTCCTCACAACTTCGGTGCCCAAGGATATCCTCTCTCGAACGGCGCGCCGAACCCAAACCCGGTCCCCGGGGCCACGCCGCTTCTCCCCAACAATGGCCGAGTGATTCAGAACGGGCCAACTCGGATTCTGTGCATTGCAGATGTTCGAGGTACGGGTTATCTGAGGAGATCCCGACTACCCGTGAAGCTAATTTGATCTTTAATGTAGGCAACTTGAAGTCTCTGAACGAGCTGGCCAGGCAGGCTCGCGCAGACCACATCATCCACACCGGTGATTTTGGTTTCTATGATGATACCTCGCTGGAGCGCATTGCAGACAAGTGAGTGTGGTCTCGATAAACCTTTTTTCACGCGCCCTTGCGGCCCAACGCGAGGCGCCATCTTGGCGTAACCAGAAAGTGGGCGAGATCTGCTAACATCTCATCTGCTTCCCAGGACCCTCAAACATGTGGCACAGTACTCCCCTCTGTTGCCCGAGAACGTGAAGCGGACGATCGCACAGGTTCCTCCTCAGCAATCGATCAAGCAACGCTTTACCCCGGACCAGCTGCCCCTCTCTGAACTCTCTATGCTGCTCGACAAGCGGATTACTCTTGATGTTCCAGTCTATACAGTTTGGGGTGCATGCGAAGACGTGCGTGTGCTGGAGAAGTTCCGCTCCGGCGAGTACAAGGTTGACAAGCTGCATATCATCGACGAGGCCAACTCCCGGCTGCTGGATATTGGCGGTGTGAAGCTGCGTCTCCTGGGTCTGGGTGGTGCGGTGGTGATGCACAAGCTTTTCGATAATGGCGAAGGAAAGACGACGATTGCTGGTGGCCAGGGCACGATGTGGACAACGCTTCTGCAGATGGGAGAGCTGATTGACACCGCCAATCGCGTCTATGATCCGTCCGAGACCCGTGTGTTTGTGACCCACGCATCGCCCGCTCGCGAGGGCATGCTGAACCAGCTCTCTGTCACCCTCAAGGCGGACTTTTCCATCTCCGCTGGTCTCCACTTCCGTTACGGCTCTTCCTACAACGAGTTTTCCGTCAACCCGTCCTTGGATCACTACCGCGGCAAGTTGGCTGCCTCCAAGGCCTCGTTCAACGATGTTTGGGAGACTGTTCGCGGCGAGGTCGAGTCGGCCATCTCATCTAACGAGGCGCAGAAGACTCTGTTAGACAATGCGCTAGACGTGGTGCAGAAGATGCCGTCGATAGCCAACGGTGGGAACCCCTTCGGCGGCCCCGTCGCTGCTGGAAATGCAGCTGGCCAAGTTGATGAGAGTGCGTTCAAGAATATGTGGAACTTCAACCTTGCGGATGCTGCTTTTGGATACCTGGTCCTGGAGGTTGAGGGTGGCCGCATTGCGACGGAGATGCGTGCCCAAGGCTTCAACTTCGCTCACCGTAGCAGCAAGCCTCAGGCGGGCGGAGCTGCCCCCATTGCTACCGGTCCTCCGGCTACCACTGCGTCTCCCGCTCCTACCAGCGCCGCTCGCCCTCCTGCGGTGAGTCAGTTCGGTCAACCTACGCGAGGCGGTGCCCCTGCCCCCGTCTCGGCCAAGGGCTCTCCGGCGCCGGTCATCCCTAAGGTAGCCACCCCCCAGCCTCCCGCTACTTCTTCTGCCCAGCCCGGCGGCGAGGAAAAGGTTGCCGCCGAGACGAATGGCGCTCCTCAGCCCGAGAAAGCTGGTGATTCTCCCGCCCCTCGGGGTGAGAAGAAGCCCAGCAACGGGCTCTTTGTGTCCAACGTCGAGGGCGAGCAGGCCGTCCGGGATCTGCTTCCCGAGGAGGACAAGGCCAAGGTTGTGAAGATCGAGAAATGGGGCAAGTTTAACAACTACGTTGTCACATTTTCGACCGTTGAAGAGGCCAAGGCTGCTCTGGATCGCCAGCCCGCCGAATACAAGAAGCCTTCTCCCGCCGGTCAGCCTCGCAAGCCCAACTTCAAGTTCTTCGAGGAGCGAGGCCGTGCCCAAGGTAACGCCGGCACATGGGGGTCCAGCACTCGCGGTGGAGCTACTGGTGGCCAGCGCGGCTACCAGAGCGCCAGTGACAGCGAAGGCGCTCGCCGTGGCGGATTCAGTGGTCGGGGTCGCGGCCGGGGTGACCGTGGTCGTGGCGGACGAGGCCGTGGTGGCTTCAACAAGGGAGGTTCCGGATCGGCTGACTCGCCTGCTCCATCGACTCCTTCCGGTGACAAGCCTGCTCCCTCCGGCGGTGATGCGTAGAGCATGAGACCTGCCCTACTTGATTATACTGCTGCGTCTTTTGGGCCGTTGGCGAGCATTGCGAGCTCGTTTTCCATACGCCTCCCTTCATGTTGTCCCCATGTTCCTCCCTTCCCCCTATCTTTGAATTCTCTTGTGTCTTCTTCCCTCCCTTTTTTTGTGATATGCAAATTCCCCCCTATTTCATTTACCACTTTTTCGAGCGTGGACTTGCTGCTGGCCACGAAGAGGGAGAGAGTGTGTCTGATGAACGATGCCAGAAAAAAAAGAATGAAGAAAGAAGCCCCCTCAAGAAAGAAGCAAAAACCCCCAAAAAATCCTCCATTTTTCTGTACTTTACTTCTTTTTTTCTTATTTGCAAGAGACCAATATCGATACCCTTACACCGCTTCACGCTGTGCTAGACATCCTCGTACATTGTAGGAGGTGAGGTGGGATTGCAGAAACGCAGATGCTTTGTGTACACGGAGTAGATACATTTCGGAGACATTGCGAAAAGAGCGCGAGCCGTCCCAACCAGACCTAGATATTCATGTTCGCCGGTCCACCGAAGTTTCAGCTCCAATACAACCATCCTGTCAGATTCAAGGAGATACTGAAAAGCAGATGGCATTTCGTCGCGCGAGATGCGGGAAAACAACCACGGGAAAAAACAATCAAGGGACAAACTACTGAAGAAAGGACACGGAGGCAGATAAAATCAGAAATCCCAGAACGGGTACCGAGCGATACGCCGTGCGAACGCGCGAATTCAATCAATTCCCAAGAACCAGACACGTATTTGGGGGATGCTTATTTCCTAACCGTTTCCTCTTATTTGCTCCTGTCGTTTTTTATTTCATGACGCCGTGTGGGGTTCAAATCCAAATGAAAGATAGGGTATGAGTGCAAGAAATGATGCATGAGTGGGCGTTATCGTTCCGCGGATCGTGAAGTGAAATTGGATGCTGGGTAAAAGCGTTACTTGGCGCGGCCCATGATAGCATCGACATCGCTCTGGTTCACGACCACTCCACCCTCGGAGCATCGCGCCTTGGTACGGAGTTCGGAGCAGAGATTGTCTACGTCGATTTCGCCGTTGCGGAACTTCTCCATGGATTGCAAACGATCCCTGAGGAGATTATGTTAGTAATCACAATGACAGCGAGGCTTGTCCACGAGTAGGGCGCATACCAGATCTTGTTGCAGGAGAGCATCTGGGACTTATCCTCGCCCGGTACCACTTCATCCTCATTCAACTTGTCATCTATCAGAGAAATCAGATCTTTCTTCTGTGTTGGCTCATTCGTGGCCTCGGTGATGTTGTGCGACGGGCTACCCAAGTCCGGAAGAGGGAACGCATCATTGAAGAAAGTGCCAAAGTCCTGGGAGAGAATGGCATCTTGGGGCTCGCGCCAGTCACCAAACAGAACCGGATCGAACTGGCCACCATTCTGCTGTGTAAGCCACTCAATCCCCAAGGATTCATCCGTTGATCCGTCCATGGATCCCGCGGTGTTTCCAGAGTTATTGTGAGTCTGCATCTTGTGCTCCCGAGCAGCTGGAATGGGGTTATTGATATTGCCGCAGGCGAGGCCGAGTTGGGCGCAGAATGATATCTCACCGTCACTGGGACTAGTCTTTCCGCAGCCACAATCGTCCTTAGGAGTCGTCTCGTGCGGCTTGGATTCCCGAGGGGAGTTGACGCTTGGCTCAGGGGAAGTCCCGTTCGATGAAAGAAGCTGGCTCTGGTGAGAATCAGACGAGGAGGATGGCGAGTCCGAAGTCGAGGTATCCTGGGCAAAGGGCTTGATGGTAGAGCGAGTCATTTGGGCCACGTTGTTCGGAGTGCCGTTGGATCCCACGGTGCTCGATCGGCCATGGCCAGCTCCAGCAGGGCTGCCACCATTGGGTCCCTGTGAGGAAAGAGAGACATTGGACTTGGTGGGGGACACGTTGGTCGGACTGCTCAAAGATCCACGGCTCAGCACACCCGGGGCAGGTGGAAAACCGTTCGGGACGTTGGACTGTTCGTTTTTGTTGAAGATGCGGCGGCCCGGCAAGTCGCCAAACTTGGGGAAATCAAACAGGAACTCGGAGTTCTGGAGACCAGGGCCTCCCTTGGAATGAGCACTGGGGATTGCACTCATTGCTGAGATACCAGAGCTGTTCGTCGCCCACGAGAGGCGTTTACGATACTCACGCAGTTCTACCTGCAACCGCTCAATCTGAGCACGCAGCACGCTGTTCTCCTGGTTTGCCGAGTCCGACGACTTCTGCAGGTCCTCCACTTTTGTTTCCAAATCCTTCAGGTGCTTCTCCTTGCGCTCCCGGAAAGCCCGCTGTGCCGCCCGATTTTGAGCTTTGCGCTTCTAATCTATCCATTAGCATCAAGATTCCCACCAGGAATCGCTACACCATCACACCGAGGGCAGCATACCGTAGTCGGCTCAGAGGTCAACGGCTTCCTTCCGGGCTTCTTTGCCTCGCTCTCCCTCCGTTTGTTTCCGTTGTCCTCCCCGTTGGTCTCCGACTCGCCATCGATCGACTTGCGTTTTTCGCCCAGTTCGTAGTCGCCCAGACCGGGGGTGGTTCCCGGAAGATCGCCAATGAGACTGGCGGAGCCGGGGAATTCAAAGTCTGCCTCGTGGTTGAAGTCGAGATACGGGCTTTCGTCATCCGCCATTCCGAAAGCGTTGGAATGTGGGAAGGCGTCGTCGAAACCACCGGACGGTGGACCGCTCATGCTGTGGGAGGAGCCATGCCCCGGGGAGGTGTCGTGTTCGGATTTCACATGAGCTGTGCCACCCGGCTGGTCGTGCGAGGGGTTGTTGGAGGAGAGAGCCGCGAGAAGGAGATCGTGCTCGTTCGGGGACAGGTAAAGACCCTGGTTGTAGTGGTTGTAGTCACCCATTGTGTTGTGTGGTGTTCGAGATGAATCGTTTCCACGCAAAAGGCCGGGCTTCCCGCCCGAAGTAGTAGAAGCGCTGCGGGCCAACGTTTTCTTCAGCCGTCACGCTTGTCGATTATTCGCCCGTCCGCGGTGGATCCGATGCCAACGGTCCACTGGATTGCGTTGGTTGTAGAATTTGATCGGAGAGCCCGAGGCAGCGGTGTGGAGTGATAGGGAAAGGGGGGGGGGGGGGATGGTACAAGGAGAGATGAGGAAGGGAGGGATGGATGGATAGAGTCGTAGTGGGTGAATCGAGTGAGACGACGGGGCTGGTGCCTGGGGCAGGTGGCCAGCAATTGTGGCAACTACTAGGCCCGAAGAGAACAAGGCTGAGTTTGCGTGAGCAAGAGAGAGTGTTGAGGAAGAAAAAAGTCGGACTCGATCGATGATGATGGAAGAGGGGAGAGAGAGGCGGATCGGCACCTTGGTCGACCAATGACCCGTGCCCCACGGGCCCGGGAATGCCTGCTTAGAAATCGCCTTCCACCCTGTTCTGTTCACTAACCCGATTGCGGATTGAGATCCATGGACTACGACCATAATCTGGTACCATTCTCCCTCCTCGGACGAACCCCGTGACCCCCTCCCTGACTCACCCTGTCTATCGCAGGGTCTGGGCCCCAGTCAGCATTCGTATTCCTCTCCATCCGTCGAGTGGCGGTCCCCTGCGTCCTGAGCCCTGGGTCGATCCTGGAATATTGGTCGATGAGACTCGACGGAGAGATGGATCGGTCTACTTCACTCTGGGTTTCGTCGTAGCGGATTGGCTGAAAACAGATCTCCATCCGGACGGCCATCGGGCGGTCGCTCGGGCACGTGATCGGAGCCTCCCAGATCAGGCATAGGATGATTTTCTCTCGCGGCGTGATCCCACTCCGACCTGTGAACTCTCCACCCGGATCCCGACGCCGCGTGTTTCCCCGTGATATCGATTGCATATCCCTCCCTCACAATGTCCGATGTGACCGCTCTCGAGGCGGAGGTCAAAGAATTCAAGCTTCAGGTAGGCAATGCCATCATCAGGCCGGACCGTGCAACTCACCATCCCCACAGCTGGAAACAGTGCAGGCAAGCTTGCAGGTAGATCCCGACAACACAGAGCTGGAAAGCCTCAAGACTGAACTCGAAGAACTCATATCCCTCACCGAAACCGCCATCGCGGAACTGAAACCCGCCGCACCATCACCACCCACCCCGGCGCTCACCAAAGAGAGATGGTCCAAGGACACGGGACCGCCAACGGCCGACCGAGCGGAGGAAACCCTCACGGCCCCGGCTACCTTCACCGTCAATGAGAATGTCCTGGCGCGCTGGGTGTCTGGGGACGGTGCCTTCTATCCAGCCCGCATCACCTCGATTACCGGCTCCTCCACCAATCCGGTGTACATTGTGTCGTTCAAGTCATACGCGACGGTTGAGACCCTGCACGCCAAGGATATCCGACCCATCTCGGGCCCAGACTCACGGAAGCGCAAGGCTGATGGAACCCCAGGCAGTTCGGCGTCGCCGTCCCCAGCGCCCCCTCACCCGAGTGTGATCTCGGCGGCTGCAGACATCAACCCCGCGCTGGCCACCCAGGCCCGAACGGAGCCCAGCAAGGCCACCGACGGACCGGCTCGCCCCGCCAAGGCGCCACGAAAGGTCAAGGCCAATAAGGAACTCGAGGAGGGGAAGATGAAGTGGAAAGACTTTGCCACGAAGAGCAAGGGCAGGAGCAAGTTTGGCAAGAAGGATAGCATGTTCCGCACCGGCGAGGGCGTGAATGCTCGAGGTACGTTCTATGTGCCCGATGTACCCTCTGTATGACGTCTGGTGCTGACTTGGTGTTTTCTAGTGGGATTTACAGGCTCTGGCCAACAGATGCGCAAGGACCCGACCCGGACACGACATACATACCAGCAGGCGGACGATGAGGGCTACTAAGAGGCTGATACCCGGTTCGGATGTGTTTTCAGCGGGCCTCTGGTGGTTGGCTATGTTCTTTTTTTTTTTGGAGTTTCCATCTCTTTACGATCATCATCTTGATTTTACATTGTCCTCGTCGCTAACGGAAGATTTGGCGATGTAGATGCCGTTCATGTCCCTCGGAACTCGGAGTTTCCTGTCCATAGAAGGCGGTCCAGCGAGGAGTCGGTTCTTTTGCAGTTTACAAAATCATTTAGGAACGTGTGTGGCCCAAGTAGTTGAGTCTTCACATCTTCTAGCATCACCATTCGAGTAGGTTTAGCGAACAAGATCACCACACTCGACTTCCACTGTCCGAACTGTGTTTCTGTGCAATTCTTCTGGTACTGCCTTAACGTCACTCACTATGTAGCTATAATTCATCACGACCTAGAGACCGTGAGGTCAATCCCACGCTAAACCCCATCAGGCCCAGCCCACCCCTGACAACTTTTTTTCTTCCGTCCCGCTTTATTTTTTTTTCTCTTCCTCCCCACTACACAACAACCCTCCTTTTCTCTCTCCTTTTTTTCCTTGTTCTTCCTGTCTATAGTGCTTTTTGTGATACCCATCTGAGCGGTTTGTCTCGGTACAAGCTGCTCATACGTGTCCTTGCTGCCCTAACAGCCTGACGAAGGGGCCTAGGACAACCCCGCGACAGTGATCAGTTCATCCCAAAACAAATCCCTTTTTTTTAATATCATCCGACCATGGACCAGCAACGGTTCCTGCAGCAACTGCAGGTCGTCCTGAACCGTAAGTCCGCGGATTGATCGACTTAACCCCACGTCGCTAACCCTGTCGTCTGCAGCCTCCCAGGGCAATGTCAAGGAGGCCACCGGGATCCTACAGCGGGAGTTCTATAACCAGGCTCAGTCGCTCGTCTTCCTCATTCAAATTGCCACCGGCCATGAAGACCCGGCTCTTCGTCAGCTCGCTGCCGTCGAGGGCCGCGGGCTGATCTCCAAGCTCTGGTTGAAGGTCGCTGCCGACCAGAAGCCCCAGATCCGCGAACAGCTGCTTCGGTCGACCATGGGCGAGAGCGAGGCCCTGGTGCGGCACTCGGTGGCACGGATCATCTCGACCATTGCCAAGATCGATCTGGAAGACGGCGAGTGGGTGGACCTGCCCAATATCCTGCTGCAGGCTGGTAACAGCGGCAACCAGGATGAGCGGGCTGTCGCCATTTACATCCTTTTTACCATTCTCGAGACTCTGGGAGAGGGCTTTGAGGAGAAGTTCCAGGATCTGTTCAGCCTGTTTGCCAAGACCATTCAGGATCCGGAGAGCGCGGAAGTTCGGATCAACACCCTCCTCGCTTTGAGCAAGCTTGCCATGCACCTTGACTCGGAGGAGAACATGGCTCCCGTCAAGGCTTTCCAAGACATGCTCCCGTCCATGGTTGCTGTCCTGAAGGACGCCATTGACCAGAATGATGATGACCGGATCATGCAGGCCTTCGAGGTTTTCCAGACCCTGCTCGGCTGTGACCCCCAGCTGATGACTGTCTATCTGAAGGACCTGGTCATCTTCATGAACGATATTGCTGCCAACACTGCGGCCGATGAGGACACTCGTACCCAGGCCATCAGCTTCCTCATGCAGTGTGTGCAGTACCGCAAGCTCAAGATCCAGGGTATGCGGATCGGCGAGCAGCTCACCCGCACCGCCCTGCACATCGTCACGGAGCTTGACGAGTCCCCGTCTACCGATGACGAGATCAGTCCAGCGAGCTCGGCTCTGGGTATGCTCGACATCCTTGCCCAAAGCCTTCCTCCCAGTCAGGTGGTCGTTCCGCTCCTCCAGGCTCTCGGCCAGTACTTTAACAGCAACGACCCCAACTACCGTCGGGCCGGCATCATGGCCCTGGGCATGTGCGTCGAGGGTGCTCCCGACTTCATCAGCACTCAGATGAAAGAGATCTTTCCCATGGTTCTCCAGCTGCTCGCCGACTCGGAACCCAAGGTCCGCCAGGCTTCGCTGCATGCTGTCGCTCGTCTGGCCGATGATCTGGCCGAGGACCTCAGCGCCGAGCACGAGCGTCTCATGCCCCTGCTGTTCAAGAACCTGGCCAGTGCCATGCAGGAGTACAAGGGTGAGGAGGACGGCCCCACCATGAACATCATGAAGGCCGGCATCAGCGCCATCGACGCTGTCGTGGACGGTCTGGACGAGAAGGACGTTGCGCCCTACCAGGCCGAGCTTGTTCCCATTCTCCACAAGCTGTTCAAACACCCCGATTTCAAGATCAAGGGTCTCGCTGCCGGGGCCCTCGGCTCGCTTGCCTCCTCTGCTGGTGATTCCTTCCTGTCGTTCTTTGACGAGTCCATGCACCTGCTGCAGGAGTTCGCTACCGTTAAGGACAGCGAGGAGGAGCTTGATCTCCGTGCCTGCGTCACCGACGCCATGGGTGAGATGGCCGCTGCTGCTGGTCCCGAGCGGTACCAGCCGTACGTGGAGCCTCTTATGCGTGCCACCGAGGAGGCTCTTCACCTTGATCACTCCCGTCTCAAGGAGAGCACCTACATCTTCTGGGGTGCCATGGCCAAGGTCTATGCTGAGCACTTCTCGCCCTTCCTTGAAGGTGTGGTGAAGGGCCTGTTCGCTTGTATCGAGCAGGACGAGGACGACCTTGAGGTTTCTCTCGGCGAAGCGGCCAAGGATCTTGTTGGCCAGGAGGTGACCGTTGCCGGCCGCAAGGTCAAGGTTGCCAGTGCCGATGACGATGATGATATTGAAGGCGAGATCGAGGATGTTGATTTCGATGATGATGAGGACAACTGGGACGACATCACTGCCACCACCCCTATGTCGCTGGAGAAGGAGATCGCCGTCGAGGTTATCGGTGATCTTGTCACTCACACCCGCAGCTCTTACCTGCCCTACTTCGAGAAGACCATTGAAACAGTGATGCCTCTGGCTGATCACCCTTACGAGGGTGTCCGCAAGAGCACTATCAGCACCATGCACCGCTCCTACGCTATGCTGTTTGCCATTGCTGAGGAGAGCGGCCAGATGCCCAAGTGGCAGGCCGGTCTGCCCCTGCAAGTTCAGCCGGCTAAGGAAGTCAAAAATTTCGGTGATATCCTGATGACTGCTACCCTCAAGATGTGGACCGAGGAAGATGATCGGTATGTATCACGATTTTCCCGTTATTTTTGTTCGATTTCTTTTTTCTTTGCATGATGAGACTTCTCGTTTAACCCAGCTCACTTTGACGCGCCAAAGAGCGTGATTGATGCGAAACACGTTTATCACATCTGATTGCCATTGCTATTATTTGTCATGTTATTCAAGCAGTTTGATCTCAAGAATAAATCACTGACCTGAAAACCCCTAGGGCTACCGTTGCCGACATCAACCGCAACATGGCCGAGAACCTGCGCTACTGCGGTCCTGCGCTCATTGCTGACGAGACTGTGCTCCACAATGTGATCCAAATGATCACCGATATCATCACCAAGAAGCACCCTTGCCAAATGGAGTTCGCTCCCGAGGAGGAGACCCTTGAAGCTGGTGACGAGTCCTCCGAGTTTGACTGGGTGGTCGTGGACACCGCTTTGGACGTCGTCTCGGGCATGGCTGCCGCTCTCGGCCCGAGCTTCGCCGAGCTCTGGAAGGTATTTGAGAAGACCATCCTCCGCTACGCTGGCAGCACCGAGTCCCTGGAGCGGGCTACTGCCGTGGGTGTGATCGCCGAGTGCATCAACGGCATGGGCGGCGCGGTGACTCCCTTCACCTCCTCGTTCCTCAAGCTGCTGCTTCACCGCCTAGGCGATGAAGACCCCCAGACCAAGTCGAACGCCGCGTACGCCGTCGGCCGCCTGATCCAACACTCCAACGCGGATGCCGAGATTGTCAAGGAGTTCCCTACCATCCTTGGCCGTCTGGAGTCCTGTCTGCAAATGAATGTCTCGCGTCTGCAGGATAATGCCACCGGTTGTGTCAGCCGCATGATCCTACGCCACCGTGACAACGTCCCGATCAAGGACGTGCTGCCCGTTCTCGTGGACATTCTGCCCTTGAAGAACGACTACGAGGAGAACGAGCCTCTGTATCGCATGATCTGCCAGATGTGTATGTCTTTATATGCTTTTTTATTCTTCGAGCGCCTATGCTGACTATGTTTCCAGACAAATGGGAGGATGCCACCATCCGCGAGCTCACCCCTCGCCTTCTGCCCGTCTTCCAGGCTGTCCTCACCGGCGATGAGGACCAGCTCGAGGACGAGCGCCGCGCGGAGCTCATCGAGCTGGTCAAGTGGCTGAACCAGGTGCAGGCCGGCGCCGCTCCCTGGGTGGAGCAGCTGTGATGGGACGATGACCTTGTAATGGATTTGGATAGACGGATGACTATGACTAGACGATACCCTGTGGTATCTGCGGTGATATCCACGATTTGATGAAACAAAAGTGCTGTTGTACATACTTCGCCAATTGATCCTGTTTTGTTTAACCTTTTTGCGCATGTTTATTCATGACGTGAGTGGCTTGGGAAGTAGATGCAAGGATGCTCGAGGTTATACACACCGCATTTCCAAGGTAAACACCTTGTGCCAAGCGCTGTGGAACTACATATTGTGGCTGCCTGGACGCCTGAGAGGTTTTTCTCCGTGGCCTTTCTCATGTCCTCAGAAGAACATCCCTTATCCCTGTAATCCCCTTTATCGGTTAGTTCGAGGTATCCAGTCTCTCTTGAAACAAGTTAACCCACGGCTCCTAGTCCGTTCCATTATCACGCAGTGCCTCCTCTCTGCCATGGCCCCCACTATCCTAACCCCGATCAACTGGACACTGCCCTCCTCTGGTTCGGGTGGTTCCGTGAAGAAGCCTATCAAGACAGTGTCGAAACCGTGCTTCGGATGTGACTGCGGCGACGAGGAGTGCGATTGCTGCATCTGCACTGTGATGTGACATCACCGGGTCCAACTCCGAGAGCATATACAGACTGTCGAACATAAGAGAAGGTTTAATATATTTTAGCTGCTTGGAGGGACACTACGGCATAATCGGATTGCGCATAGCGGTGGACTGCATTTAAATTTTGTCTCTGCATTCTTCGGTTCTGTCTTGCATTGATTTGAGTGTATATATGGCCCAAGCTATCGTTACTGGAGGTCTGAAATCATTGGCTGGGGGTGAGATGATAGTTTCCATGATATATTACGAAGATGACTTAGGACCCTACTGTTGGATTCCGAGAGTTGTTGCGTAGCCAAAATATATTTTTCGGGTGAGGACAGACTCGGACTGTTAATAGCAAAGAAGATGAGATGCCAGTAAATTATACATACGACCTTTTCTACATTTCTCTTCTACATAGAAATGGACAAGATCATGGACGAGTGGAAAGCTGGAACGCTGAGTCAGGAATTTGTCAGCGGCTCGGAAGATCCGCAGCTTCCTAGACTTAATAGTTTCACGCTTCATTTGCTGCATGGCTCTTCTTACTGTCTCGCTAGGAGCATTGCATTAGGGCGGGATGGATCCAGCGGCGGAAATCTCGGACGCCCAGCCGCACAAGCGTACCGCGCGTGCTTGTGATTCATGCTACAAGCGAAAGGTACATTGTCCCGACGGCCCACGATCTAGATAAGAATGCTAACAAGAGCAGATCAAATGTGACGCAGCACTGCCGCAGTGTAATTGGTGCAGTCATCATAACATCCCTTGTACTTTTGACAGAGTAGTGCGGCGCAAAAAAGAACGAGGCGATGATGGGTAAGAACCTCTCCCTCAGCATCAGTCAAGCGGACGCCTCACCAATCCAACGCAGGCGGCCCAAGGCCTCGCACCTGTCGGACCGAATCAGTCGTATAGAACAGCTTCTGACGGATAATCTCATACAAAACTCAAGCTCCGGTATGTATTCGTTCTTGCAATGACGTGCGACATGTCTGACCAGCTCGGCAGGGTCGCCACCGATACTTCGCGAGTCTTACCATTCACCGCGAACTATCACTACGGCATCTAGCTCGCCCAGCAGTAGCGGCAGCCAGCCTCCAGCCTCATCGTCAGTTGCTGTGCACTTCGCTGGCCGAGAGCTCGGCGTCGTCAGCCTGCTCACCGGGCTTCCGTTCCTTCTGCCCGAAGGCCAGGAATGGATCGAGTCCCGAACTGGACAGCCCATTTCGGTCGATAAACTCACGCCAGTCCGGCCGCCATGGGAGAAGGAACGAGCCCAGAGCTCCAATAAGCTGCTAATGAGCATGCAGACCCAAAAACACTTCGAACTGCCCGAGTGGGCCATTGTCCAAAGCCATTACCAAGCTTTTCTCAACTCCAACGTGATGCAGCGCATCTTTCCGATTATTGATGCCGTGCTGTTTCAAGAAACCATGAATGCGGCCTATCACGAGTCTCATTCTCGCTTTTCATATGGCCAGGCTGGCGTCCGAGCTTGCATGTTTGCATTTGTGGCCTTTGTCTCTCACCTCCCTCCAGTCAAATCCCAACTTGGATCGTTTTCTCGCACTCCGATAGATCGTGAGGCTATGGCTACTAAAGCAGAGTTTCTCCTGGCACAAGTCCTGCAAGAGCCGGCCAGTCTGGAGGGAATCCAAACTGTGACCATACTAGTAAGTTTCTTATTCGCGAGTGCAAGCCAACATTGATTAAAATCTCCAGGCTCTATTTGAACTAGCCTCGGGTAATATGTGCGCCGCCAGTTACTATGGGGCTATCGCTGCTCGTTTGCTTTTCATGCTCGGTGGCAATTTGACATCGGGAAGGACCATTCATCCATCCGATGATCGCAGCCAACGCAAGCGGCGACATATCCGCAATCTCTTCTGGATTTGCTACACGGTTGATAAGGATGTCGCCTTGCGCACGGGACAACCACCCACTATCTCCGATGAGAATTGCGATCTGACCCTTCCGGAGGGCTACATGGACCGCCTGTGGGACGCCATTGAAGACGAAAACAGCCCCTATGACCAACCAGTCTTTCCCTTCGACTTGCGCCTAAGTATCATCAAATCCCGAGCTCATACTGCGCTGTACTCGGTTCGCTCCCTCCAGAAATCGGACGCTGAGCTCCTCAAGGCTATTCGGGAGCTGGATGATGAATTAGAACAATGGCGGTTGTCTGTGCCTCCCGAATGGCGTCCAACTATGTCCTTCAAGTATGAGGCCCCTGATCCTACTGCTAGCATGCATTCGGTCATCCTGCGTCTGAATTATCACCTCTGTATGACTATTATCCACCAGGCGAGCAGTCGCTGCAAGGCTTGGGTTAACGCCCAGAGCGGAATTATGGAAGGCGTGAGCTCGTCTCTCGCACTCTCCGTCGAGGCGAGCCGCTCAACCTTGTGCTATCTGGAGGCGGCAGAGCATGTGCTGGTCGATGGTATTTTCTGGTGGGTATTTTTAACCATCTGAAGATCTTTTATCGACGGCTAATCCTTCTTCAAGGACATTAATTTTCTACCCGATGTCTGCACTACTCGCCATCTTCTGCAATATCCTGCAGAATCCTCTGGATCCGCAGTCACGCAAGGATCTCGACCTGCTGAAGATTGCGTCGGGCATGGTCGAGCGCGTTTTTTCGCGACAGCTATCCTCTGTGAACGAAGTCGTACACCTGAAGCTGGTGGCAGATTTTGTCGTGGAGCTGAAGCAACTGGCCGGGTGTGCCATTGAAAAGGCCTGGGCCGAGCAGAGCGCCGGATCACGAATGCAGGAATGAGTACGGTTGATGATTTCTTTTTCGCGCTTTTATCCTTCTTGGGATTGGGATCAAGCGGCATATAGGGTACAAGGCGTCTTGAGGATACAAAAAAGGATAAACTAGACGACGATAATGACATAACTCCTACATATGTGAACTCCCTTACGCAGTTTGAAAGCGAAGTTCATCTGAAGTCAAATTGAAGGTTACATCTAGCATCGCCATGATCGAGGATACTGTGAAGAGCATATATACAGCCCTGCGTTGGCAGAAATCGGCTGCATCCACTTTGCCCCAGTTCATTCCAGCCAATGCTTATGGGTTCGCGTGGGTCCAGCTGCAAAGACCGGGTTGCCCTGTATCTGCAGAGAGCGTTCCCGAGGGCGGGCTGGAGTTAGGTATCTGCCTGAAGCCCTCGCATGGCCCTGATTGGGAGCGTGTGGAGTCCGGCGCAATCAAGGATCGGCGCGTGATGCTTCCTAGAGCAAATACCGTGGTTTTGCAAGAGGTTGATGGGCTTCAATCTCAGGCAATTGAGGGGTATCGAGTCGTTAAACCGGAATCGGTCATTGTGACTGTTGGGGGAACAAGTTCCTCGGGGGGCGGGGGTGTCGGTAGCAATCTAAACATCCATTCCCTTCAGATTTCTTGATCCAGGAGGTCCCAGATCAAACGAGCGTCGCTGTCGGCCTTTCTGTCTTGCTCCTTCGACTGAATGGCATCCGACGGTTGTGCGGTGGCCGCTTGGCTGCCTTCTGTCTGCAGCCGTTCGAGGACGCCTTCAATGTCCACCTTGATCTTGTCCATCTGTTTGATCTCCTCTCGGCTGCGGGCCAATTGTTCCTCCATCATCATGATCAGTGACTCGCGGGCCTGGTGAGGGCGGTAGAGGTTCAGCAGGTGGTGGGCGTTGATGAAGAGATTGCGCATATCTTCCACTTTGGACTCGAACTGCTCCGGTGACCCTGACAGAATGCCGACAAACTCGAGAAAATTGAGAAGCAGGGACTTGCTGATCTTGAGCAGATAGTGCGCGTGGTTGAGTGGCTGCGACGGCTGCGAAGGGCTCGCGCGGCCGTCTGTGCTGGCATCTGCGATGGGAGAATCTGGATAGAGTTGTTCAATTCCCTGTTCTTTTAGGGAAGGTAGAGTGGTCGAGAGCTACATGCGATCCTGTCAGCAAGTCTCAGGCACGAGGTCACTTCCTAGACTCACGCTTTGAAGTTCACCGAATACGCTATACTGGCCCGAGGTGGGCAACTCCGGTGGCACCAAATATCGTAGCTCCGCAGGCAGGTCCAGGGAACGCAATTCTTCCGGGGTCCAGTTCTTGTTCATGTTGGGCGATCCGTCCTCGCCCTTGGCTGTCTCGTCCTTGATGCGTTCCAGCTGGTCGAGCTTGTCGCGAGTGAAGTGTTTCCACAGCGGCGGTGGTGGTGCGAAGGCCGCCGTGACGGTTCGCTGCTGGCTGGCGTCGGCCATTGTGGGAGGGATTGCTGGAGGACGACCAATGCGGAGTGGTAGGAGAGAGAGAGAGCAAATGGTGAGTGATGGTCTGTGCTTCCGTTGTTGATCTGTCGCCGACCGGGGGCACCTGATCTCTTTCACCACCTCCCCCAAAACAATAAGGATGTCTCGCCCGGGCCTGGGATCAACGCCCTTAGCTCACCAGGCCGGCTTCGCGGGCGCTGCGGCTCGTTTCTGGCAGCGGTCGTATGCGGCCGACTATATTGCGCTGGGGTTGCTGGTCGCTCTATGGACCTTGGTCAGTTCCTGCCACACACACACACAGAGAGAGAGAGGAGTGCTAATAACAAAACAGATCCAGCTCTTTATCGTCCCCTTCCATCGCATGTTCTCCCTCGACAATCGCTCCATTCAATACCCGTTTGCCGTTCATGAACGGGTTCCAGTCGGTACGATCTGCTCCTCCTGCACTTCCCCATACGCCTCCAATAAACTGATCTCTTGGCCCAGCGTGGTCGATCTTCTACGCCGGCGTCATTCCCTTCTGCATCCTTCTCATCTGGTCTGCCATGTTCCGTCCCGGGGTGCAAAAGACACAGGTGACAGTGCTGGGGCTCCTTGTCGCCTTGATGTTGACGTCTTTCCTGACGGATGTGGTCAAGAATGCCGTGGGCCGGCCACGCCCTGATCTGCTCTCGCGCTGCATACCCTCGCGAGGCACAGCGGACAATGCGCTGGTCGCATGGACTGTCTGCACGCAGCCCGACCAGCACATTTTGCAGGAGGGTTGGCGGAGCTTCCCGAGTGGACACAGCAGCTTCGCTTTCAGTGGCCTAGGCTATCTGTCCCTGTAGGTGTTCACGTTGCTATCCGAAGCAAGTCTGCTAATCCATTGTAGCTTCTTCTCTGGTCAGATGCATGTGTATCGTCCCCGGACGGATCTCGCGCGGTGTCTGCTGGCCTTCCTGCCGCTGCTGTGCGCGTTGATGATTGCCATCTCACGCCTGGATGACTACCGGCACGATGTCTACGACGTCACCTGCGGCGGGCTGCTGGGTCTTTTGGTCGCCTGGTTCTCCTACCGTCGCTACTATCCGCCTCTGCGCTCGATCCGCTGTGATGTGCCTTATGACAAGTCCGAGGTTACCACCCCGGATGGATTTGCCAGGTTGGGCGACGAAGAGCAGGCTCTGTCGCGATCAATCCACGATGGAGCCCCATCAGAGGAGAGCTACGCGCTAGAAGAGGCCGAAGGGTCCCGAGGCCATTAGGTACGTTGTACTATGTAGCTCATAGTGGAATGAATCAATTGTAAATATGAATCATGCGGGGTGGCGGCCGATAATCACTTTCTTATCGCCAGCTTTTTCTTCTGCTCACTCCTTCCTACTCTGCGACTCACCACCACCACATCCATCGAGGGTTTTTTCGGCTGTGCAACAATAATAATCCTGCTCAGACTGGGATCGCTGTAAACAGCCAACCGATATCCTCCAGATCGAAACCCGTTCTCCGCCATCCACCCACCACTTGACCAAGGCCTGCGTCCAGGCCATGTGAAAGAACAACCCCCCTCTCTTTGACTCTTCGGATGCCACGCAAAAAGGCCGCGGATCGAACAGGCCCCGCCAAGACACGGTCCCGCAGCGGCTGCCGGGAATGCCGGGCGAGTCGAGTCCGGTGCGACACCAAGAAACCCGTATGCACGCGCTGCCGGGAGCGTGGCCTGCCCTGCTCGACACACTTAGTCCTCAAATGGCAGTCTGAATTCGCCAGTCGGGGCCTGGCCTTTGGTCGTGCGGGCGTCTGGAGTAAGGCCCGCGCAGTGCATGGCGGCCAACTCACCAGCTCGCCATCTCCTCCCGCATCGCTCTCGCTAGATGACGTTCGCGAGTGGTGCCCCGTGCCTGGGGTGCATCCCTGGGCCTTCATCAATAGCAGTGTCTCTACATTCGACCAATCGGACCAGGTGGATGTTGCGTTGAACGAACTCGGCGCCGTCGTGCCTGTCAACGGTCTTGCCTCCTGGTTGCAGACCAATTATAGTCGGAGCCCACGTCCCATGCCGCCTCTGTCTTTATTTCCCAATGTTCCTGAGTCGGGTCATGGTCCGCTATTCGAATACTATCTCCAACAAGTGTGCCCTCGAACGACGGCCAGCTCGACGTCATCCTCGCCTTTCGCCTCCGTGATCCTCCCTTTTTGTGTCTCCGCTTCCCCGACGCTGTTTCAAGCCATTCAGGCCTTGGGTGCTTGTCACTGGTCTCGTTTTGATCCGACCTACAGTGCTATGGGGCTGCGCCTCAAATCTGCAACATTAAAGGATCTCCGCCGTCGACTCTTCTCTGAAGGGTCTCTGACCTGTAGTGCGGATCCCGAAGTTCTGGTCATCATGATGATGCTCTGTCTTTACGAGATCGTGGATAAATGCGATCACTACTGGACGATCCATCTCAAGGGGGCGAAGGACTTGATTCGGCTGCGCAGACAACAGATGATTGCTCAATCTCAATCCGCCCCCGATCCAGTCACTGCGTTCGCTGAACATTTCTTTGCCTTTCAGGACGTCATGGGTCGCACGGCCTGCGGCGAGGAGGTGTTGTTTGGCACCGACTACTGGAAGGCCGATGATCGGAACATTGATCTCTGGATGGGCTGTAGCCCCGAACTGGTGTCGGTGCTCTCGGCCATCACAGAGCTGAGCCGGAGACGGCGCAAGCTAGGCTCTGACGCGGACCGAATCTCATTCTCGCTGCATGCTGCGTCCCTGGAGCAACAACTTGTCGAACTGGTTCAAGAAGTTGAGGATGGAGACGACGAGACTCTCGCGTCTGTGGCCGAGGCCAAACGATTGGCTGCTGTTCTCTACCTTCACTGTGCTCTGTACGAAGCCTGTCCAACCACCCCTTTAGTTGTGGAATACGTGCGCCGGATTCTGCGCCTTGTCTCCGAGTTGCTCAACCAAGGATCGCACGCTAACGTGACATGGCCCGTCTTTGTGGCCGCCGTGGAGCTCGATCCGGCGCAGGATGAGCTCTGGGCAGACTCGGAGAGCGATGCAATATCGGGGCGGCCCCTGGTGCTACAGGCCCTAGCTGTCATGGCCGAGTCGACCATCTCCAATGTCGCGCGGACGCGGGCTGTCATTGCGAAGGTCTGGCAGGCCCGCGATCTCGATCTGGTCAAGACGCCCGGAGCTGCTCCGCACCGCTGCAACGACTGGGAGTGGTATGTGGCTCCCATCAGCACGGCGATGAGTCTAGCATGATTTCGTCTACTTCTGTATATCTGTACAATATTATCTATACTACCGACTATCTGTGACTCGAGTATCGGTGCCCTAGTTCCCTGCCGCATCCGGTTAGCGCCCCCGTGATCTCCGCATCGACCATCAGTTCGTCCGGCGTGACTTGTTCACCAGCACCATGATTGCCCCGGCCTGATCATGACAGACGTCCGCCCGTCTGGGGGCCGCCTCGCCTATGACAGCAAACTGACCGAACAGCTCCAACAACCCTCGCGCTCACCCAAGTCGCGCTCTCTATCCGACGCTTCCAAGCCAACGACCTCATCCCAACCCTCCACCGGTGATCTCAGTCGCCCACCCAGCAAGGATGACAGTGTGATCCCGTCTTTACCCTCCACTCCCCGGCGTTCCTCCCTTCACCAACCCAGCCTGTCCCTCAACCTCCCCTCCAAGACCGCCTCTCCTTCCGTCCCTAACCGCGCACCGCCGCTCTCTCCCCAACTCGACTCCTCCCACACATATGGTTCACCAAGCTCCGTGCTTCCGCGACGCTCACGCGGCCTGGACTTTTCGCGCGCATGTACGAATCTCCACCACTCGATTCTAGCTGAATCATCCCCCGATTCGTCGCCGACCATCGGTGGCCGGGGCATGACGATTCCTCAGCGCCGCGGCTCTCTAGGCTCAACCTCAGTTCCACCGCTTGCAACCTCTGGTCCTGCAGACCGCACGACGATCTCGAGTTCTGTGTCCAGCGTCAACATGATGGAATCCGACACCAGTACGAGCGAGGACGACGATGACCACATGATGGGCGATCGAGATGATATCATGCTCAATACACCGCAGGCGGTAAGAATGGGCAGTGGACCAAGTCCCTTTGCAACGGGCAACATCCAAAGTCCCGGCAACGATTGGATGGCTGGATGCCACCAGGCAACGGCAAGCCTCATGAGCTTCCAGCGGGCACGGTTCCGCAACACCAAAGGACGCAGTCGACACAGCTCGAGTAGCGCAAGCGGTAACAGCTCCAAACCGAGTCCTGGGCCTCAGTCTCCTCCGGTTATGAAGAGCGTGGAGAACCCTACAGGGGGGTACTTCGCCCCGCGACAGACCGGACATGCGCGACGAGAGAGTCTCAGCTTGGGCACGCGCGACTTGCGTCTGTCAGATCTGAGTGATGACGGTGAAAGCCGCGCTCGTGGCGGGAGTCCCACTGCCGCATCGCATATGGAGGGCGGGCCTTTGGGTGTGATCCGTCGTGCGGTTACTCGACGCGGAAGTTTACTGGTGAGTGCTATTTGGGTTTACTCCATTCCATGATATCTGACAAATATCTCCAGCCCAAAACCAAGACTTTTGCTCGCATTCGCGCAGCCCTTATGGAAGAGGGCGCCCCTGTTGACAGCGATATGAAACGGGAGGCTGAAGTCATTCGTCAGGTTCGGGACACGGAGCCTGAGACGTCTCCCACCTTGGATTCTTTTCCATCAACCATGCAGCCACCACAAGATGTGGCATCGGAATTTGACACGGCTTCAACCAAAACGGCAACCCCATCTGCGCCCAGTTTCAGCAAGCAAGCCAGTCGCAACTCGGGAGGCGTGGAGTTTTGGAACTCGTTCGATGACCGATATCGTACCCCGCCGCCCCTGCGCCAGATGGGCGCTTCGTCGGCTCTAGATGATGAGATGGCCTTGGACATGACCCCGTCGACCACGATGGGGTCTTCTGTAGCCGACTCGGTCAAAGTGCGATCTCGCTCCTCCACTCCCCATGCCCCCAACACGGCCGCCATCGAGATTACGCGCAAACGGCGTCGTGAGGACGACTTTGACCCCAATCTATTCAAGCGCCGCGCCGTGTCGCCCAGTGTGAGTGCCCAGAGCAGTCCCGTGCTGACGCATTCCTCCACCGTCAACGAGACGGGGCCGAATCCCTGGGGGCCCCCGCCGAAGCCATCGCTCGGAGCGCCCTTCTCGGAGCGCACTAGCACGGAGAACGATAAACGAACGAACCCCCATACGGGGACGCCGAAACGCGTGGGACTGCAAGGCATGACGGAAGCTAGTGATGGATTCATGAACATGAGCATTGAGTAAGGGGTACTTTTGTTTCTTGGGGATCTGGCTGGCGTTGGGGATTGAATATTTTTTCCATAATATTGATTATTATTTCTCTTCAATACCATATCATATCCTTGTGGTTATCGCTGTCGTTGTTGTGCATACTAGAGATGTCGTCCCTTATCCAGGTGTAGAGCTGACCACGTGCCGATTGCCTCTCCGCCTTGGTCTGTTTCCCTCCGCAAACCACATCGGACAACAACGACCACTACCCAACTCATAAAGTGTGCGGCTACGGTTGATTTTCTCACCCACCCGCCATTGCACCATGGCATCCACTGTCGAACTCGCATCCTCCTTCATCGAGGGTGCCCCGCCTGGCGAGGTATGCAACTCACCACCCCGCAGCCACTACCCCCATTCGTGGCTATCACCTCCAAGACTCGCTGACCCAGATCTCTTTAGCTTGCGGATGTCGTTGCCGGTAATTGGCCTTCCTCTTGACCTGTTTTCCTCCCTACCCCGCCGCACTGTTTACCTTGCCTGTTCGCTTCGGTCACCCCGTGCTAAGCTCAATGCCGCTACAGACGTGCAAGCCCTGACCTCCGAGGGCGAGAATATCATCCCTTCGCTCGCCTCCGCCTTTGAACGATACAATGAGAGCCAGCTTACGACGGTGAAGCTGCCAGGATCCAGTCAGGAGGTGGGGTATTCGTGATTGGCCATGTTTCTGCGGAGATGCTGATACTCTCTCTAAGGTTCTAGTCAGCGAGTTTAACAAGCTGGAAGGCAACCGCTACTTTGACACGGAAAGCCAGACATCGTTCGAGGTCGATCATACCACACAGGTAGGTTTGGGTGGCCCCGGTTGCGGCGACCCGTCGACTGACATACAACAGACAGCATCGGGGGCGCAATCATCACCCTTGGAGTCTCAGAATGCCGACTTGATGTGAGTGCTGGGGTAAACGCAGAAAGAATAGTGCTGACAAGCTACAGTAAATCGCTGCTCAAGTCGCTTGGCGTCCATGCTCGTGAACATTATCCCAGCTGCTCGTACGGTGTTTACCCAATCGAGAACGATTCGACAGTCGCAATCGTTCTGGTTGCAAACCGCTACTCGCCCAACAATTTCTGGTGAGTGACTACAACGGTTTCTATGAGAAATGAACAAAAAGCCAATAAGTATCCCCTGCCTTCAGGAACGGTCGTTTCCGTGCCATCTACCAGGTTCCTGTCTCATCTACGTCCACCACCGTCACTGGCAAGATCCACGTGGACGTGCACTACTACGAGGACGGCAACGTGTCTCTGAACACCACCAAGCCCATCAACGTCGCCGTCCCCTCCGTGTCAGCCGAGTCGATCATTTCCCGCATTGCGACCGCGGAGCGCGATTACCAGGAGGATTTGAACCGGGCATTTGTGCAGATGGCCGAGGGCGCATTCAAGAACCTGCGGCGACAGCTGCCCATTACGCGGCAGAAGGTCGAGTGGGAAAAGGTCGGAGGTTATCGGTTGGGGCAGGACATTTCTGGCGGGAAGGGACGATGAAGCCGCTACCGCATTCGCATATGTTCATCAATATCTGCCAGAATCTGAGGCCCGTATATCCACTGCTGATTCCTTTCCGGCTCCTCTGCACATTGCCCAACTAGATGGAGACAGTCCCGCGCACCCCCGGTGCTTCACCGCATTAGTTGAGAATCGTACGACATAAACCACTGTCTATTAGTACATTTGTTGCATATCATGTCCACTATAGGTGGTTTCTTTCTCCCCAATGTGCTGAATAAGCAAGGCCCCTTCGAGGCCTTTCGGGAGACAACTAGTTCACTAGCCTGATCAAGCTAACTGTTTCTAGTGGGATATTTAACCCGCGATCCCTACCACACCGCATCCAGCCACCTCCTCACTCTTCTAAAATGATTCACCAGTTCACCCGCTTCGTCAATTGCACTGCCGGCCTGGACAAGACGCTACGTCTGTTCCAGGCCCTCGCACAGATCGCCGCGGTTTTCAGCGTCGGAACTCTCGCCGTGCAGTTCACGACGGCCAAGCTTCAATTGGCATTGAGTAGGCTATTTCTTCAGAAATTGCTTGGAATACTACTAATGTTTTCAGCGCGCCGGTTCCTTCGGCTCTTTGGTTTCATACCCTCATTCCAGCGCGTGGCCGCGCTCCTTAGTGAAGATGGTGTCGGCTCGATGCCCATATGGCTCGAGATGGCCAAATGTACGTCCTTTGGTTTATATATTGTGCTGGAGGATTTGACGATTGTAAGTGAATCCAATTGACCCCTGACCGTTCACCTAGGCATGCGGGCTCGTTACCCTGCAGAAACCAGAAACCAGACAAGTGACAAATGGCGTACTGACCTAGTTTCTAGCTCCATGCAACGGGTGTCCATCCAGTGCCCTGGAATAATCGTATTCTGCGCGAAGCGTTCCAGTTCTGGTTCTATGCTCTGGCCCTGTCTGTTGCAAGAAGTTCTTGGTGCCTCTTGTTTACATCTTCCAAGCCTGCAGAGACAACTAGGCCCGCTAAGGACCAGAAACAGCAGAAAGATGAGGATGAGAAGAAGAAGAAGAAGAAGCCATGTGCTTCGGCTGCCGCGCCACTAATGAAACAGCTCGTTGCTGATAGCTGCGATCTGTTGTTGCCGGGGTCACTCCTTGGCTGGATTCCCGTGGGTGACCTTGCCGTCGGTGTGAGCACCGTGGTGAGCACATTGATCACCGGCCAGCAGGTTTGGGTTGCGCAGAACCAGTAAGGGCATAGCAATCGTTCACCTAGAGAGACATAGATCATTTCAATAGTAAATATTAGAAAGCTCGGTAAACCAGACGCTATCCTGCGCTTGAAAGTTGTTCAATTGCCAGAGAAATAAATATTGACCAGGCCTTTCCACATATCAACGCAGAAAACATAGAAATCCTTTTTTTAACCCAAAGCACCAAAAGACACTACGGGATCTCAGAAAACAGGGGGAAAAGATTAAACTCAGACTATCCCTAGGCTGAGGGGATCATTTCTTATATCTCGCTGGCCATATTATTTTGTAGTGATGGCCACTGACTTTGAAAATTTATACTTGTTAACAAGGTTGTCATCCACACATCACTACATGAACAAAATCCTTTTTTTTTCTAACACTCAAAACATCAAAAATAACGCTCTTCACACATCTGAGGTGTGCATGGAGCAAAAAAATGGACTCGCGGGGAATTGAACCCCGGACCTCTCCCATGCTAAGGGAAAATCATACCACTAGACCACAAGCCCATTTGATGGAGAGCAATCCAGGGCCTAGACTAGTATAGGAATTAGAATCGTACAAACCTGGTATGCACATTGGGATCAACTGGCAGCAGGTCTTTACCTGATAGAAGGATCATTTGCTAGCTGAGAAGAAACTCTATAATAGTATTCACTCCAAGCCTATCTATTAAGGAGTTTAGGGCCTATTTTCACATCGGAACGAGAATTTCACAAGAACCAGTGGTCTCTATGGTTTCACGTTACCTTTCCGCTCTGCCACCACATGCACCCGATCTGGATAGATCAGATGATCCCAATGCATTGTGGCATACTCAACACCAAAAGGGATACGGGGTCACGAGTGGCTGTGGGATGGGCACCAGGGGATACCTACTGCAGCGGGAGGAATTATGCCAAGGAGTAGCCCAAATCAGACCGTTCCTAGAGGTCTGATAGATCTCACCAGAACACGATCCTATATCGTGCCTCACTACCCTATCTAAGATCTCCCCGAAGCCTTGGTTCATACAACGAAATAAAGCCTCCAGCCTGTAGCAATGCTCATTAGTTCGACGCGTTGTATACTTTCTGTACCTAGACCCCGGGAATGTTTCCCCAACATACCCAATGATACCCAGTAGTATCCATAGTAGCCTCTATGATAAGGTTGACACAGCCTGACCAGTGGTGGCTCAGCGAATACGAGTGCCCGAGTTCGGATGGGCGATCCACGGACGGGCCGATCACAGCCTTTCCCGATCGGGAAAGTCTCGTATCTGACGAAAGACTGCAGATGACCCGCACCAAGTGTATAAAAGCGGGACTTGATACCACGGGAAATCACTAAAATCATCATGGCTATGACTTCGACCACCAAGCTCGACTATAAAGTCGATTCCGACGTCGTGTCGATCGACTCCTCGGCCAGCACCCTCTGTCCAACCATCACCGACGAGTCGTTCACGTCCAGTCGCAAGTTATACATTGGTGCAAAGGGTATCCGGGCATTACGCCTCCCAATGCCGGACAGCCAGACAGAGATCCCCGTCTATGATGAAGATGGCGTCATCGCTTATAGTTAGTTTCGTCCGGACACTCTATTCGATTTGCACTGATCAGAAACCAGGTTCCGCACGCTCCAAGCGCTGGTCGGGCAGCTGCGTGCTGTCCAACGTAAAATGCGGCAATCTGATCCACACGGACTACTTCATCGGCCCGAACAGAGATCCAATTCTACGCTTGCTCCAGTCCACCGATGTGCGGCCGGAAGAGTTGCAGATCTCTAGCAAATGGACGTCCCGAAGTACCACGTTCACGATGCCCAATGGCACTCGGTTCGAGTGGAGCTATGCTAAAGAGAAGCGCGATGGCAAGCATGTGAACCTGATCATCCTGCGAGTGGTGGATGCCGACAGTCAGGGCAAAGAACCGACAAATGGCCGGATGGTGGCGAAGCTGGTGCGTGGACAGGATACGCGCACCCCGGGAACATCGCGCAGTCGAGCGGGCAATGGTGGCGAGCTCCAGATTGATGGAAACGCTCTGACTTCCGCCCAGCTGGAGGAAGCCGTGGTCGTCGCAACCTGCCTCGTCATGATGAAGCGAGAGATCGACCGGCGCAGGGCGCTTCAATTCGCAATGATTGCCGGCGGCGGCGGAGGTTAACATGTTATATACGCATCATCAAAACTATTCTCTTTTTATTTTTCTATCATCTATTCTTCCTGGTCGTCGTGGCTAGGATCCAGCCCTCCACGCTACTTGTGAGCAAACATTGCCGTAATGTGTCCATTGAGCCAGTACCCGTCCAGAGCTTCGGGGGACATATCTCTCGCGCCAGAGATCCAGCCTTTGCAGACCCCATCTCCGGCACCACAGGTGCACTGGAAGGGCTGGTCCATCTCCCACTCGGTGCTGGGGTAGAAGAATGTAAGGGCATCGCCCGCCTTCAAGGGCCGGTCATCCACGACGCGCACCTCCATGCGAGCCATGTCGAAGACCACGGATGGTGCGCATGAGTGGTTGCAGTACACCAGGTCGGAATTGAGCTCGACGTGCGTGTCGGGGCCGGTCTGGACCGTCGTGTACGCCTTCTTTCCGGGAGTGGGGTTGGTGATCCGGGCGAAGACGGCTCCGGCGGGCAGATCGATGAGCGAGTAGGCGCCGCTGGCAAAGGCCTTGGGGCTGCGGTTGACGCGCAGTCGGTCGGGGTGCGTTGGGGCAGGTTGTTCGGGGGTGGCGGGCGTTAGTGGTAGGGGATCAATGGAGGGCGCCATGGTGGAGAGTGTAGTTAAGTGATTCGGTGGTGGTAAATAGTTCACTGAATGAAGTAGGGCCCGCCAATGGCTCCTTAAATAAGAAACTCGAAGTTCTTCAGCCGAGGGATAACGAAGAAAACACAAGATCAGCGTTTCCCGTCCGAGTTTCTCCTAGGTTGCAGAGAGGAATGACGCCAGCGCGGAGCCAAACAGCATTAGGCTCGGAGCTCCATCGGAGGTGGGAATACATTATCCACATGAAAAAAAGGACTGCTACACCAGGGATCATGTCCGGAAGAATAACAATGTACATTGATAGATTCTCTACAATTTCCCTAATTCATTCATCGGCAGATGCAAGGGCTTCCCGTCCAGCCATCGCTCGAGGTTCTCGGCCACTTCCCGATACCACCCGCGCATCAGATCCTCTTCTCCGTAGCCCATGTGCGGTGAGAGCAACACCTCGCTGCGCCCGTCCTTGCCCCACGCGGTGGTCCGCCACGGACTGTTGGCAGGTAGTGGCTCCGGATCAAACACATCCAAAGCGGCGCCCTGGATTTGACCAGCGTTGAGAGCGTCCAGAAGAGCGGACTCGTCAATCAACGGCCCGCGAGACGTGTTCAGAATCAGGGCCGTCGGGCGCATGGTCGCGAGTTCAGCCTTGCCGACAATCCCACGGGAGCGCTCACTGAGGACGTAATGAACACTGACAACGTCGGCGCGGGAAAAGAAGTCGCTCTTGGACGCGACCACCTCGAAGCTGCCCGCCGGGAGACCTTGTGCCGCAGCCTGTTCGTCCGCTTTGGCCTGGGTCAAGTTCGCGGACCAGGCGATGACGTTCATGCCAAAGGCCTGCACGGCAATCTTGCCCACCTGCGATCCCAGCTTCCCGAGACCCAGCAGCGCCAGGGTCTTATTGGACAGATTCATGCCCAGCGATCCTTGCCATGCCCCTTGTTTGACGGCGGCATCATCGCGCGCCACATGTCGGGCAAGGGCTAGGATCAATGCCCACGTGTGTTGCACCCTGCATGAAAGAGCGTTAGCGCTCGACCGTTCAAGATATTCTGATAGTCCAATTCTCATACGTTGAATTAACACCCGGGGGCCTGCCTGCCGTGCCGGCCACGGAAATGTTTCGATCGGTGCATGCTTGCAGGTCGAGGGACAGGTTGCGCGTGCCCGTGGTCAGCAGCAGCTTCAAGTTCGGCAGCGCGGCGATGGTCTGGGCAGCGAAGGGCGTGCGCTCACGCATGGCCAACACGCCGTCAAAAGGCTCGAGGCGCCGGATGAGCTCATCGTGTTGTGCGGGGATGCGCGGGTCGAGGGTTTCGGGGAAACTGACGACGTCGACACGCGAGGCTAGATGGGCAAAGTAGGGGGGTGCAATGCCCTGATAGTCATCTAGGATGGCGAACTTAAGTTTGGCCATAATGTGAGAGTGAGAGTGTGCAACATGAGAGTCTCGAGTCGGTCTCGAGTATCTAACTATAGCCGGGGGATGGAGCCCCCCACTGCGGCAGTCGGCTCTACCGCCGGACTTTGAACTTCCGTCGTAATAATACGCACGATTGTAAATAATAGTAATTGATTATGATACGGTATAAAAGAAACAGAAATGGGCAACCAAATGCGCTGTATCATACTTTCACCGATCGTCCTCGGACATACACCTTGGCGATGTTGCGGTCGTCACCAGTCATGAGAAACTTCTCAAAGATCATGGAGATGGAGTCGTCCTCCTCGACGGGAGTCATCACTCCCGGCTGTTCTAGGTCCATGGTACGGATCTCCAGTGCATCAAACTCCTTACCAACCGCAAAATTGCCGATCCGGTCATCGAGACCACAGACCTGCGCTCCTCCCAAAGTGGCTAGGAAGAAGCCTTCGTGCAGCGACAGAGCCGGGTCCCGACCCTGGGTCAGCATCTGCTGCGCATTCGAGACCACAAAGGCCTGCTTCATGACCTCCAGCATGGATGAGGAATGCCCGCCGCCACTGTCCGTGCCAAGTCCAACCTTGATTCCACGGCGCAGGTACTCGCGGATCGGGGCGACCATGAAGTCTTGCATGGTAGTGTTGGAGATAGGGCAGTGAGAAATGCCACAGCGAAGCTCTTGTAGGCGACGGATCTCTTCCTCCTGCAAGAAGATACAGTGTGCCAGAATAGACCGTTCGTTTAGCAAGCCAAATCTCTGGTAGAGGTCGGCCTCCGTCCCAAATTCTGGAAATAGTTGGTGGGTATACTTTATTTCATCCTTTGCTTCATTGAAGTGGGTCTGGATAGGCAGATCCGGGTGTTCGCGGACGATTTCCCCAAGACCCTCGAGCAGTGGCGGGTCACAGCAGATCGCGAAGCGTGGCGTGATAATCGATTTGATCAAGAGATTTTTGGGGTCGAGCTGCTGAACGTGCTTGATCAGGGCACGCGTTTCTAACAGAGATTCGGACGCTGACTGGTCACGGTACCAGTCTGGCGCGCTCCGATTCATGTTGCACTTGCCGACTAACGCCCGTTGCCCTTTGTCCAAGCAGACATCGGCGAGGATGCGTGAAGCTTCGCCATGATAGGAGCCGTAATAGGAAGCCGTGGTGATGCCCTGCTGAAGGAACCCAGTGACGCAGGAGGTGTACATGCGACGGGCATACTCCGGGTCGGCGAACTTGGCCTCATGCGCGAAAGTAACCTGATCCAACCAGTCGAGGAGCGTCATGCCGCGGCCAACTCCGCGCTGAGCCCATTGGGGCGCACTGTACGGTGTTAGTTGATTGAACACCTCCAGAGTGAGCTCAGAGCATTACTGGTTGTGGGTGTCGATGAAGCCTACGAAGAGATCCAGATTAGCTTGAAATCATTGCTAGACAGATCGATAAAGGACATTTCACCTGGACACAGGAACTCGCCGCGGCGCAGGTACTTTACGGGGAAGACATCGGGGGCATAGCCATGCTCCGCCACGATGGCATTGATGCGGTCTGGATGTGTGTCGGCCTGGAGGGTCTGGATGGTGCCCGATTTATCGACGAGCACGAAACAGTCCAGCAGAATCTCGAGCTCGTCGAGACTGCGCGAGTGGACGACAGTGCCATGGAAGCCCAGTGGGAGACCCGACGCCGGCATGGTGATTTTGTCCAACTCGTCCATCGTGGTGAATCGATAAACAATAATAATGAGCCGAGGGCGAGTCGCACGCTTTATCTGCTCCGCTCAGCTTATCGGCGACACGCGGGGATGATGACGCTATAGTTTTTCCTGCGCAGAACAATCAAGTTTTCTTGGATCTATACTCTACTGGCTGTGAATCAAATAAAATACAGAAATCCGCCCTGAAACAAATTCCGTCTGGCGAAATCATCTATGAACCGACTCAAAGGGTATAGTACGAAGCCATCTCCTCCTGAAACCAATTGTAAGAGTAGGACAGCTGCTCCGCCATCTGTGGATCGATCATTGGTACAGTCCCACTGCCATCTACAAGCAGGACATCATCGAGAATTGGCGCCAAGGGGACTGGGGGAGGTGGCGGCGCGGCCAGAGAGATGGGAGGTTGGGGCGGACCGGGAGCTGGTGGCGGCGGAACCAGCTGATTTGGCTCCATTTGCTGTTGTTGGTAGGCCATCTGGCTGAAAATCGTCGTGCTCTGATGCCGGAAGGTCTCTGCCAACCGATCGACCCCTGGTCGCCGCTTGCCAAACTCCTCCAGCAGCACAACCACCGCCTGGGTGGCCCGGCGCATCATCTGTTCGTCCGGGTGCCAGGGGGCAGGTCGAGCCTCCCGCAATGCACGCGCATTCTGCTCCAGACACCACAGGATGGTGATGCCCGCAAAATACACTTGGCTCAAGGTCAACCAGATCCACTTGAGCTTGCCGACCGAATAGCTGTCCCAGTAGGACCGAATGACTTGGATGCTGGAGTCCCCGCAGCTGATAATACTGGTCGTGTCGGGGGTCGGATTGTGCTGGCTCGGGCGATACATCAGCAGCAGGGTCGTATAGTACAGATAATCGTAGTACGAAGTGGAATACAGGAGCGCCGATGGGAACACTGGGGCAGACATGCGCCAGTCATCCACCTCCCGGCGGAATTGGCTGAGGGTGGCCGCGACTTCGCGTGGAGGTGGCTGCGGCCGACTGCTGTATACTGACGGACAAGTGAGAAAAGCAAGCCAATCCAGGCCCAGGGACGGACCACTTACAGTATCGGTAGATGCGCGAAAAGATGCGGCGCAAGCGTATCACCTGCACCGGAATGGTCATGGCGCTGGCCCCGGGCACTTCGGTGCCATCGTCATTGAGCTCTCGCGGGAGACTCACACTGATATCTTCGTCTGCAATTCCCAAGGGTCGACCCAGAGTGCTGGCGATCAGCCGATCGAGATTGTAGAGGCTCCAGAAGGCCCGTTTGGCCATTTCTTCTTCCTCCATGGTCGGATACGACCGGTCCTTGTGCAGGCCTAGGCTCGTGGCCAGTCGTAGGGCCGTTCCCAACACATGCCAGATACTTGGGCCCGCGGTCGCAAAGGACGTATATAGCGCCAACCCCAGCAAGGCCCGGACCGCTGGTAGGTCTTCATTCTGCAGCGCTAGCGGCAGAGTCTCCTGGCTAGCGTGGTAAAACTCCGCAGGCTTAGCCGAGTCTGCAGACCCGATCAGCAGCGCAATGGCCATGGTGATGTGGTAGGCATTGTGCACCTCGGACGATGGCAATCCGCCGCTATAGATGTGGCGCAAATGTTCCATAAAGTCCAAGCGGGATAAAAATGGGTACTGATACCCTATGCTGTCGAAATACTGGCCGGCCACCTGCTCTGCTTCCTCCAACGACGACAGACGCAGGACTCGCGGGGCGGATGTGGGGCGCGCGACGGACGGGCGACGATGTTCTAATTGATCGCGAAAAATCTCCCCGACGTTGGGGAGTTCGGTGCCCACCCCGGTCGACGCCTCGGACCCCGTCGGACCAGCCGGCGCAGGCGAGTCACTACTGCCGGCAGGACTGGGAATCGATGCCGGCGCACGACTGCCCGTCGCGATCATTGCCGGCACCTGGTACCACCAGTCCGGGTCTCCCTCACCATCGACGGGAGTGCCCGTGGCCAGGTCGGCCACCGAGATGCCCGACTTGCGGCGCACGATCTCCTCCAGCCATTGCACTCGCTTCTGCAGGTTCTCCAGCTGATCGCGCGGCACGGAGGTGTTGGCGACTTGCGGGCCCGGCGGCGGGATGGTGCAGCGCACGCCGGCACGCGTGCAGGCGGAGCAGTTGGGATAGCGGAAGTCACATTTCTTCTTGCGCTTGCGACAGAAATCGCAGGCCGTAGACACGCGCTTGCTGCGCGCGGGGCTGGAGTCGAGGGGGGAGGCGGGGGCCGGCAGTTGCGACCAGGACGAGGGCAGGGACGGGGGATTATTGGAGTCGAGGCGGAACTTGCCCAACTGGTCGCGGAAGTCCTTGTTGCCGGTGCTGCTGCTCATGGTGAGGGCGGCTAGAACCGCAGCCCATGATTGACGGATGGTATTATTGGGGGAGAGAGAGGAAGAGGTGAGAAGACTTGAAACCCAGGCTCTGCCGATCGGTGACGACAAGGGCAGCATTCTGCGAGCCAAGTAGTGGAGCCCTGTTCAGGGTTCGGCGATGAAACGCTCCCGTTAGCCCTAACTGGCCGACTGGGCCTCGCAGTGCCTGATGAGACTCGCGGCCCCCAACGATCTGCCGAGTTTGTTTCTTTACGGATACGATCGATCTGCATTCTTGATACGAATGATGGGTTTGTCTGGGGCATAAATAGAGCCATCGACGCTCCTGTCTCATCTCATCTCTCCAATTCATTCGCCACGAACTAACCAAGAATATAACTTCCATTCCTACATACCAGTCTTTCGTATTATTGATCAAGATGAAGACCACCACCGCGGTCTCACTGCTGCTGTCCGCTGGCATCGCCACGGCCAACCCTCTCGCTCCCCGCTCCAGTGGGGTCCAGGGCTTTGATATTTCCAGCTACCAGGGCACCGTCGACTTCTCCGGAGCCTACAGCTCGGGAGCCCGGTTTGTGATCATCAAGGTAAGGGTACCGATCCTGCGATCTGGTTGTACATGACTGACTCGGCCAGGCCACCGAGGGCACCACCTATATCGACGCGGACTTCTCCAGCCACTATGAGGGTGCGACCAGCGCGGGCCTGATCCGTGGAGGGTACCACTTCGCCCACCCAGACGACAGCTCCGGGGCAGACCAGGCCACCTACTTCCTCGCGCACGGCGGCGGCTGGACCAATGATGGCCAGACGCTGCCGGGCATGTTGGACATTGAATATAACCCCGACGGCTCCGAATGCTACGGGCTGAGCGCATCCGAGATGGTCTCCTGGATCTCGGATTTTGGCGAGACCTATAACAGCAAGACCGGTCGCTACCCTATGATCTACTCAACGGCCGACTGGTGGAGCACCTGCACGGGTGATAGCACCGAGTTCAGCACCAACTACCCGCTGGTATTGGCGCAGTATGCCAGCTCCATCAGCACCGTGCCCGGTGGCTGGCCCTACCAGAGCTTCTGGCAGAACGCCGACAGCTACACCTATGGCGGCGATTCCGACATCTGGAACGGCGACTCGGCCTCGCTCTCCAAATTTGCCAAAGGCTAAGAGACGGGAGGGACATAGCACTCTGTTGGTTTGGGGAACTGTAGATGGTCATGTCTGTCGCTACTGCCATACATACGCTGAATTCAGTATATTTGCACAGAACCTTCCAAGTCTATATTTATGTGTACAGAACGGTCGAGTCCAGCTATCGGCCAGATCACGCCATCTTCCAGGGGGAAAGTACGGGGCCCGGGTTTCGTAGCACTGGCGGAGGAGGTAGAGGTAATCACTAGGCACGGTCAGCAATCCAATCCACGCAGACGGAAAAAACAGAGGAGGCATACGATACACCTGGTGCTGGCGACCAGGCTGGATTTCCTTTTACAGACATTGCACGCTGTGGGGGCCAGACCGAGTCGGGGTTTCGGAGTCCCAAAGGAGCCAAGTCAGGGAGTAAGCCATGACTCATCATACCTATTTAGGACAATAACCAATTGAACAGGAATTGTTTTCTCTCTCACTCCTATCGTCACCATGGCTCTCATCGTTCGCTATGCCACCGAGGCCGACGTCAAGGCCCTGACCCGCATCAACATTGTCTGCTTCCAGCAGTACGGCATGCTCCGGGCTATGTTCCCCCAGAGCGATGTGCCTACCCTGATGGAGTTCAAGGTGCTCAACGCCATGAAACACATGGCCAACCCTCAGATGAATGTCTTGACTGTCGATGACCCGGTGACCGGGGAGGCCGTGTCCTATACCCGTTGGCTGATCCCCAAATCCCTGGGTTTTACCCCTAGCACGCCCGATCTGAGCGAGAGGGGACTAGCCCTGGCCGAGGCGGCCAAGAATCCTCTACAGTATGCGCCTCAGCCAGTCAATGAGAGCGCCTACAATGGCTTCCGCAAGATGCTGGAGGAGGCTCGCGGGAGACATACCACCGATCGCGACATGAGTAAGTAGTCGTAGTAGCCTTTCTCTGCTGTCGATAGTGGTAAATTGACCAATCCCTATAGTCCTGGACCTGCTGGCCACTTTGCCATCCCATCAGGGGCGTGGCATCGGGTCTGCGCTGCTCCGTTGGGGAACGGAGAAGGCCGATGCGTGGCAGACACGGATCTTCCTGGAAGCAACGCCAGAGGGAATCCCTCTCTACCTCAAGCACGGCTGGAAGATCGTGGAGGAAGTCACCATGGATTTGGACGCCCATGGCGCCTCCGGAAAGGAAACGTTTACCATGATGATGCGCGACCCGGTTCCAGCTAAATGAATAGCGGGATATACAGTCGATGTAGGTCCGCCCGGCTATAGTCCACTTTGAAATCGGCCTCTGGGAAGAGAGCAATAGGATGTTGAGGATTCAGCTGCAGCGGGAGGGAATTATATCGGAAAGGGGCATGTCGGAGGGTACATAGTTGGGACAGTTCATTGTTATTAGATGATGATAATACATGGCAATATACCGATCGAGTGCCAATCTCTGTTGAAAGATTGGTGGCTTGCTGTACGAGGGTCAGCTCCATCTCGAGAGATCCCCTTTTATCGGAGCCTCTTTTCACAGATTCCATCGACTTTTCACTCCTCGCCACTGTTCTGCACAGAGAGTGGCCTTCCGCTAATGCCATGAGCCCTTTGGGGGTCCAAAATAGCCACGCGGCGGAATGCTCTGGTAGGGCGTACCTTGCCCATCGGCCGTCTTGGTGGAGACGACATTACCCCACCAGTTAAGAGAACCGGCCGGGAGCGTAATGCAGAAGAAGATGATGACGGTAGCCACTGCGACGCCGCAGTCCAGCGCGGCAGACAGCACGTAGTCTATAACGGCACTTAGCAATTGGTGGAAACAAGAAAGAGAGAGACTCACTATATTTCGACCACCAAGCGGTCTTCCGCCAGCGCAGCACGCCGTTGAAGATCACATTGATCACCCACCACGATGAGAAACTCACACCGGTGGCCGGAGGAACAAGACTCATGGCACCAAACGCGACGGGCCAGGACAGGTAATTAACTACTTTCCATTTTCGGCCTAGGAGATAGGTAATCACAACCACAACAGGCCCCGCGAGAAAGAACCACAGCAGATTGCTATAAATCTGCCCGGGGGAGAATAGTCGACTGGGGCCGATAGCGCCTAAACGACTCGATTTAGCAACTGTTCAGGATGGCAACTTGGGCCTGTCAGGAATAAATACCCCAGATGAGAGAGGATGAATATGTCACCCGCCCATGGGGACAGGTAAAATTGCCCTCTGCGTCCGATGTACAGACGCCGTTGATACGGGTGACCATAAAAACGGTCACCCCACATTGGACAACGGCTCCAACGAGCGTAGCGATTCCCTGGGCAAAAAATAACGTACGGGGTGCAATATGCATATAATGAGCCAGCTTCATATCCGAGACGAATCTGGGAAAGGTCAGCGAGGAAATTTATGCAGGGGTGTGTCGTGAGGTACTCACTCTAGGCCTTGGGAGATGGCGACATAGCCATAGAATTTGAATGTCATGTTGGCCATTGGTCTTCCGAGAAAGGCATACCCACCGATAAACTCGGTGAGCAAGTTAAGTTGATTGCTGCTGATGTTGGTGACTGCTTTGATAATGCCCACCGGGACAAAATAAATGATGGGAAGCACAAAAGCCAGCAGCACAGCCCACACAGGAAGACCGGTATGCCACACTTCGTTGGTTACAATGCTCAGCAAGAACATTAACCCTGTGACTGCCCCAAACCACCACCACGGCACGCCCTGATATACAGACATGAGTCGCGAGTGAACGTCTGGCTTGTTAGTGCCCTTCCACTGCCGCCATATATCCCCACCATGATATAGACTGACGTGCACAAAGATCCCCGTCAGGTTGGCGAAGGCGACGCCGTATGTGACGGCATACCCGGCCGGCAGAAACATAGGCGAATAGTCCCGATATGCTGTCTGGTTGACTGTGCCAGCGGGAGTCAGGATGCGGCTGGTGTCATAGCTGTTCCCCATGTTGTCGAAAGTATTGGAATTAAGGAGCGGTAGGTATGCTGAATACCAAGTGTTGGTGTAGTAAATGATGGGGCAAATGAGCCAGAAGAAGAGTGCAAAAGACCCCATTACATTGAGGCCGGCCCAAAAGGGAACTAGAAGTGGGCTTTGGTTGGCGTAAACGACCTGCGCCCAGTCGAAGGTCAACATCGACATGCCCAGTCCCGTGGTCTGTCCAAATAATTGATTCACCACGACGTTGGATGGCACAATCCAGCAGATGAAACTGAACGTACTCAGGCCAGTGAAGAGATACCCTGGCACAAAGTACCAGATAGAGCCGCCAATGAAGACGAAGAGAAAAAATCGAAGACGGGAGATCCGCCAGCCGTCAGCGACCGGGTTTGTACGAGAATGTAGCGTCGCCAGGAGTGCCGCATTCGACAGCACCCCGGGCCAGATCATTGACGCCGGGCTGACCAACCAGCGAGCAGCCATGCCAGCGATGCCAAACCCGAGCAGCTGCGTGGTGATACAGAGAAGAACCTCAAATCCTCCTTGGGATGGCATACCGTAGAATTTGACAACTGCCTCAATGACCTGGGTGGCAGCGGCGGAGCCAAAGGCGACATTAGCCATGATGGTGATCAGCGCATGCTCCTTGATGTTGAAGTGTCGGTCGGGGTTCAGGATACCGAGAGGCATCCATTTGCCCCATGCTCGCCCGACGGGAAATGCCAATAGCTGCGCTACCAGAGCGCTGATGGTGACACTCGGCTGGCGCAAGCTGAAGAACTGGTTCAATCCGCTCCCGACCTGGGATTGAGAGTGAGCAATGTTCTTCGCAGCGGTCGCATCCATGAATTGTACTTACAATAGTGAACACAAGGCCAATCGTCCACATGCGGACGGTGTTTACCGGTTGCGTAATATCATTGACCGGCTGGACGACGGCGCGCACCTCAGGGTAGGGCGAATCCTCCGCCTCATAGGGCAGGATTTGCTTCGCATCCTGATCGCGAAGGATGGCAGCCTCGTCGCAGACCTGGTCTGCGGGAAGTTCCTAGCAAACGCGAATTCGTTAATAAAGAAACGATCGATGCATAATGATGAATGACAATGCGATGATGCCCGTCGATCCCCTGCCGAGGTAGCCTGCCAGGCACATATGTAAGATGAATTACATAGTGAGAAGGTCTCGATCGTGCAAGTGGAGATCCATCATCACAGTTGACAAAAACGCGAGTGCAACCCACCTGGGGCCATGAGTTTCGCCGACATTTCTCATCCTCAGTCGTGGACTCCATCGCGCCCACAAGGCCGGAGATGACCGACAAGCGCCCCCGGACAGGAAGCTGATAGCGAGAATACAACGCAGCCCCAATAATCCCGCGGCGTTGGAGTAACTCGCGCCGTCTGACAGGCGGCTCCGGCGCTACCCCAGACTTGGCGCGCCTGCAGCCGTGGGAGACAAAGAATGCAAAGATCGGATAGCCAGAATAAAGAGATCGGGCAGCTTTATGACATAGTTTGGTACATCGGTCAGGTCTGTCGGGCGAAATTGCGTGTGACAGCCTGATCGGTGTGGTGCAAGAGTTATGTATGTAGGTCCAGAGTCCCCGGATGACGCGAGCGAAGAGGGTGTTGCATGTGGTGAGGAGTTAAAGCCTGGACTGCCGCTGTCCGGCCCCGGGTGGCGGCTTGACCCGCCCAGCGTGCGTTTATCAGAGGATCCGACGCTCGGAATGCTGCGCGATTCGGGTCAATCCGCCGTACTACTTGCTCCGTCACCCAATAATAATACCTGGTAGGGGGAAAAAAAAAAAAAGAACTGACGGGCTGCTGGATGATCGTCACGAGTCAAATCGCCGATATAAAGCGTCCCAAGACGCCAAAATAATGCCCTGGGTATCGTCATTCGGCGACGGGCTCTGAACGCCCTCGATACGCAGGGCCGTGCTACCGCTGTTTCTATTGTTCCCGGGCTTCTGTCACGCGGTATCAGCTCATCGCCATCATGGATGAAAGTGCCATCACCACGTTCGATGCCCCCTTCTCCCAGCGGCCGGTCGTCGTTTTAGGCGCGGGAATCATTGGGTGTGCGACAGCCCGACAATTGCTACTTCACGGCTTCTCGGTCGTGCTGGTGGCCGAATATCTGCCGGGTGACCAGAATATCTACTACGCATCCGCATGGGCCGGTGCGGCGTGGCATGCTGCTGGCGGCATCACTCCGGACCAGCGGTATTTCCAGGCCGTGACCCATCGCGTGTTGCTCAAGATGGCGCAGGACGACCCGAGATCGGGCGTCAGTGTCGTCGATGCTCGCGAATACCTCGAGCAAGAACCGAAGCCCGACTCGGCGATCTGGGGCAAGACTGTCGTATCCAAGGTGTGCATGTCTCGCGGGGTTTCCAGATATCCTTGCTCATTGCATCTTCACAGTTTCGCGAATTGAACCCTGGAGAATATCCTTCGGAGTTCAACTGTGCATGGGCTTACGAGACTCTCGTGACGGATCCCACAAAACACATGCCCTATCTCGGAAAATTGGTAAAATCACTCGGCGGTCGGTTCATACGGAAACGAGTGGAGTCGTTGCAGGAGCTGTACGACATGTTCCCAGGGTCGCGGGTGTTTATCAATGCGAGCGGGCTGGGAAGTAAGACTTTGACTGATGTGCAGGATGACCGTTGCTTCCCTGAGCGTGGGCAGAATGTATTCCTGCGCACCGATCGATGCCATACGCTGTACTTCCGGAACGGCAAGGAGTACACATATATCATTCCCCGGCCATTCTCCCAGGGAGTGGTCTTGGGAGGCGTCAAGCAGCAGGACAGCCTGTAAGAAAGTCCCGCTTGAAGTTAACATCTGAGGCTAACAGCTGGTTTCTTTTAGCTCACCAGACGTGGACATGGACATCGCGCGGGACGAGATCGCCCGAGCTCATCGTCTAGCCCCCGAGATTGTCCCTGAACAGCCTGCTGAACATGAGCTGAGCCACATCATCGGCATCCGTCCATCGCGCAAAGGCGGCTTCCGCCTGGACTCGGAGCAGGTACATGGGAGCCGCACAGTGCTATCAGCTTATGGGTTCGGCGGAGGAGGGTATGCCTTCTCCTACGGGATTGCCGATGCGTTGGTCAAGATGGTGGAGAAGACCGAGCGCGAGAACGTTATTGTCTGAAACCCAACGTCTTAGTTATGTGTTGATGCGCGCTGCAAATGATATATATATATACATATTTCTTCTCTCCTTTTCTCCCAGGGCTTTAGGAGAACTCATGACCTCCCAGCACGTGCCTTCGCCTGTCCTGGTTCTTAGTGTTCGTCATCCTCTTCTGCCTCACCGTCTACCTCTCTCTTACTCTCCTCCGTCCGGGGAATAGTCTACTAGCATCGCTTGTTTGTCTTGGATTCTTCGCCACCCTGTGTGACCCAGCTGGACCGTGAGTATTTTGCTCCCTCGCGCAACTAGAACCAAAAAGAAGAACCCCCCCCCCCCCCAAAAAGACGGCACTCGTGAGATTGGCATTGACCAGCGTCGTTGTGTTGACGCCGCTGATCCATGGGGCAGAAAAGGGCGAGACAATAATCGGTGTGCATGACGTCATTGGTGTCTATCCAGCCCCTATCCTCCTCGCCGCCCACCCGGTCTTCGAGTTCCAGAGTTCCCTATCGTGCCTCTTGCTCGTCAAGCCGTCGGCCCAGATCGATCCGGGAAGGTTGACCGTGGTTCCTTTGCGCCCGTCCTGGGAAAAAAGACTGAATTCCTCCCACCGGCGCTACTGGGTGTTTGTGCATTCTCGTTGGCACGGCACGGCGGGGAGAACCCAACGGCGCTTTTTGCCAGCCAGTAATCGACCAGCATAGCGCTCCCAGAGCCTGGTTCGCCTTCGATAGTCAATCTGCTTTGTCAAAAGCCCGGTTTAGTGTGTCTGTGTGCACTGCTTCTTGGAAATTTAACAATAATAATAGCCACCCACCACACCCTCCCTCCCCCCCCCCCCACCCCCCTTCCCGGGGAAATCTCTGCTGTCGTCGCCTGTTGGTTTGAAGATTGATCGACATCCTGCCCTGTTTTCACACTGGCCTTGCCTTGTTTGCTTATTTCTGCGTCGGAAATCTCGAACCGTCCGGTACTCGCTTGATCCGCTTCTCGCACAGCTCTCTTGGGTTCCACGGACTTTGACATCGCGACCGGGTCGAATGAGTCAAAAGACGCCGCTTCCGTTTCCTGTGTGCTGTTCCTGCCACGAGGCAGGTCAGCCGTGACCTGAGTGACGATGGTTTTGGATCAGCAGATGCTCCATCTCAATATTGGCGAAGACTGTCCGCCGACCAATTTTGCCATGGTTACAACGCCTCCGTCGGAAAGTGATTTGATCATGCGGCAGGATGACCAGGACTCCGGAGTCAAAGTGCAAGACCATACAATCGCCTCCACCAAGGCCACTCCCGTGGCAGCATGCCCGACCCCTGCCGACGACGCAATGTGCCGGATCTATCGTCGAACTCCTACCCCGACCATCGTCTTGAACGGCTCCTTGCGGGTCACCGAGGTCTCCGATAGTCACTTGGATACGTTTAAATCGACTAGGGGGCAGCTTCTACATGCCAGCGTGTATGACCTAGCGCCGTGCATGGTTCCAGCACCAGACATCGCGTTGTTGAGCGGCGCCCTGGGTGCGGCGTTTACCTCCCGAGCCGTTCAGACCATTGATCCTATCTACGTCAATGCCTGCGATGCATTCTTCTCACTTCGGGTGACTCCGATCTACGAGGGGGATGTCCTGATATACGCGCTCCTTGAAGCGCAGGACTCCAAACGCGGACAGCCCGTATCAAAGGCAATTAGTGAGCAGAAATACCTCAACGAGACATACCTCAACGAGACATACAAAGTCTTGATCGACACGGTGAAGGACTATGCCATTTTTATGCTAGATACACGGGGTTACATTGCAACATGGAATGCGGGTGCTGCCATTCTCAAGGGCTACACGCCCACTGAAATTATCGACCAGCACTTTTCGATCTTTTATTCCCGCGAGGATCGCCTGAAGAACAAGCCTGCGAAGGAGCTGGAGGTGTGTTTGCAGGAAGGCAAGGTGGAGGACGAAGGGTGGCGCTATCGAAAAGACGGGAGTCGATTCTGGGCCAACGTCATGATCACACCCATCTATCAATTCGATCGGCACGTTGGCTTCGTGAAGGTGACCCGTGACCTGACCGAGCGCAAGGCCGCCGAGGCACGTTTGATTGATGCATTTGAGGAATCTTCAAAACTGAAAACCGATTTTTTGGCCAACATGAGCCACGAGATCCGGACACCAATGAACGGGATGTCGCTAGCGCTGACCATGCTTACTCGGACGCCATTGAATGATGAGCAGAATGAGTACGTCTCCGTCCTCGAGGATTCAACTGCCATTCTGTTACAGGTCATTAATGACGTGCTGGACTACTCCAAATTGTCGTCCGGGTCCTTCTCTCTGAACGCGGATGTAATCAACATACCCAGCGTAGTCAATGCGGTTATCCGCAACTGCAGGTCTTCGCTGAAACCTAGGGTCGTTCTGGAGAGCACCCTCAGCCCCGAATTCCCTAAAATCGTCAGAGGTGACCCTCTACGATTCCGCCAAGTTTTACAGAATTTGGTCAGCAATGCCATCAAGTTCACGGAAAGCGGCTACGTTCGTGTCGATACCACCTTCTCCGTGGATGAAAATGACCCAGACACGTATAACATCTCAACCCAGGTGGTGGACTCCGGGATCGGTGTTCCCGAGGATGCCATCAACACCCTCTTCACACCATTTACCCGATTCGCAGACACTGTGACGAAGCGATACCAGGGCACCGGACTGGGACTTTCGATTTGCAAGAGTTTGGCTGAACTCATGGAAGGGGCGGTGGGGTTCCATTCGAACCCTGATGGGCCTGGCAGTGTGTTCTGGGCGACAGCCAGAATGGGTCGCGTCGACATGCCCGTTCCCCAGGAGAGGCCCCGAATCTGGCCGGCGATCGGCACACATATCGATTCGTCGGATTTGCTTCAGAAGATTGCGCCACAAAAGCACATACTGCTCGTTGAGGACAACAAGGTGAACCAAACGATCATGCTCAAGCTGCTCAGCAGCCTGGGCTTCGAACGAGTCGATGCTGCTTGGGATGGCGCCGAAGCCGTGCGGATGGTGAAGCAGAAACCACTGGCATATAATCTGATTCTGATGGATATTAACATGCCTATCATGGACGGCTTAGAAGCCACCGCGCAAATCCGCCTGACCCACAGCGAGTTGCCCATCATCGCACTTACTGGGAATGCCCTGAAAGGAGATGCTGAGACCTATTTGGCAAAGGGAATGAGTGACTACATTGCGAAACCCTTGCATCGCCAGCAGTTGGTCGAACTGCTCTGGAAGTGGTTTGAAGGATCTTGATTTAGCGGGCACAGTTGCAACCGACTCGCCTCAAGGCGCCTCTGTGAAAATCGCAAGCCCGCACTTCCCCCAAACCAGCCGCTGTTGTCTGTTAGACGGTTGTTGAAATAGACCCGTCATCAGCTGGCGGAGGGAATGAGGTCATTATCGATGGCAACAGCCTCAGTAAACCACGTGAAACTGGTCTGAGCAATCCGGTGGACCGGAGTCATCGCACCTAGGGGTATTGATCCATGTGATATTTCCGGTAAGTGTTTTGTTTTTTGTCAGATTTGGTTCCGTTTATGTCGAGCTAACCAGCTAGCAGTAGCCATCGGTGTTTGAAATCGGTTTGTGCGAAACCATGGTGTGCAACCGATGGGCCTGCTGATGTCAAGCTCAGGCTAGAATTATGGACTGTACTACTGCTGGGACCGGTCCATGCGGTAGCTTTGAATTGTGGACCTCTAAAGATTGACAGCCTCCTATATTCCTCGAATTTGCTGTCTTCCCACAATACTAAAAGCTCACGGGTGCTCCTAAAGAGCATGAGCGACCGCGGGTATGCATGCACAAGGACCACCGAGACCTCCAAGGCTCCCAACTGTACTGCAATAGTCTAGTTTCTAGTTAACAAATGATGATGCCTAGGTCTCGGTGGATTGCCATGTGCGGGGAAAGCGGGGCAGTGGAAACTACTTTAGTACAAGTCTACAATACGTTACTACTAGCAAGGGAACTATTGACCCCGACATCTTCCTGTCTCGGAAATCGATGCCTGCAGGGGGTGACGAGAAGCACTGCAACCCCGTAACTAGACACTTCCGATCGAAGGTTTTAGTTTTGATATTACTTATTTTGTAGAGGTACCCTGTATTATAGCAGATCATGAACTCCCAGTAACCCTCCGCTAGCGTTTCCATGCTCTCTCATCATCTGCATACCTTATTCCTGTATTTCAATAATAGTTAATGTTGCGCAGACTGATTAGTTAGGTATTGACTGGAAATGATTGTCTACGTACGCCTCAATTATGATCTCCCGCTGCCGGCGTGGAAGATCAGTGGGCGCCTGCTAACGTTACTGGATCAGGCTGGAAGGAGCCTAGCCCCCCGAGACTGTGCGGACGGGTCTCAGGGGGATCTCATCAGGATCGACAGATGGGCCCCGCCGGAGACGGGAGCTGGCCGAATCAGTGAGTTGGACGGGAAGGGATTGGGATTGGGAGTCAACACCGCCTTGCCCGATTTAGAAAGGTGTCGGAACGCCTAGCCATGGACAGGACCAACTAAACAACAACCCGGCCCTGTGGAGTACTGCAGGGTCCCCCCTTTTTCCAAGTCCCGAGCGCATTCTGAGCCGTACTGGTCTGTGCACGAGGAGGGGCCTTACTCTTCTTGTAGGGGTCGCAGGATTCACATGGCAGTAAATGTGTGCCGCCCGAGGCTGTCTTTCGTTGTGACTGTGGCTTGACTGGGCGTCAAGATGGGAGACGTCCTGATGGAATGAATTATGGTATTGATGTCCAGGAACCAGTGGAGGATAGGTCAACCTTTTCCCAGGGTGGACCATCGTCGTTGACGGGAGGATATCCTCATCCCTGTTCAGGGAGCGAGCTAACAACTACTAGTCCGTCCACATCATTTGAAATCATCGGAGGATTGCGATTACGAACTACGGATACGTATCATCGAACTATCTCTTCATACACCATGACGTTCCCATGGCTGTATCAGCTACGGATAATTATACATCAATATCTCGAACTCCTCAAGGATGTGAGCATCACGGTCCTCCTGGACGCTGCATGCGCGCTGGATGACGGTGTAGCCCCAAGACTCAGACGCATAAGCTCGGTCTACCCCGTGTCCTGCCCCGTCGCGGTCTTAGCAGGAGCAGATCGGCTCTTCAACCTTCCTGTTGAGTGGTTCCCGTCCACATGCAGCTGCGCTACGGGCGTGATATGGCCCCGTTTAGACCCACTGTGGATGTTTATCACGGTTCCACCACTCAAGCCAAAGGAGTCGGCATGAAATTTGAGTTGTCAGCCACGCAGACGACCTATTGGGCGCGATTACGCCATGGACCGAGGTGAGGTCCGATCTGGGAGAACTATGGGTCTCTAGGCACAGCCGGGCCCGCTATACCAGATGGTATAAAGCTCCTGCCCCCTGGTCCGGGGGTGGAGTGTTCCTCATCCGGCCTTTGACTGCTGAAGGGAGTTTGAGCTGGACCTGTTTCGATCAGAAAAATGAAGTCTTCCATCCTGCTCATGGGAGCGGTCACGACTGTGATGGCCGCGCCCGCTACCCACAACTACCAATTGCATGAACGTCGTGATGTGATCCCCAGTTCCTGGATTGAGGGTACGAGATTGGATGGCAAGACGTTGCTTCCCGTGAGAATCGGGCTGACCCAGTCCAACCTGGACCATGGCCATGACCTCCTCATGGATGTGTATGTTACCGGGTCTATCCATAACACCACACAAAGCCGGCAACTGACATGAATCCAAAAGGTCGGATCCGTTTTCCCCGAATTATGGGCAGCATCTCTCCGTCGAGGAGGTGCACGACCTGTTTGCACCTGCTAAGGACAGTGTGGATGGCGTCCGCTCCTGGCTGGAGGAATCCGGCATCCCGGCCGATCGTATCTCACAGTCGGTGAACAAGCAATGGATTCAGTTCGATGCAGATGCCGAGGAGGTGGAGAAGCTGATCAAGGCCGAGTACTATATGTACTCCCACGCGGAGACTGGCAATTCCCATATCGTGTGCCGAGAGTAAGGCTGGCCCTTGGGATCTGATCGTATATCTGGCTAATTCTGTGAATTAGATACCACGTCCCGCACCACCTGCGTGACCACATTGACTACATCACCCCGGGCATTGCCCTGCGCGAGGTGAATGGCATTTCTAAGGCCCGCCGCAGTCTCCAGAAACGTGGTTTCAACGGCCTGCCCCCTATCATTGAAAAACTTACGGTGTCCATCGAGCAGCTCTTGGACAACCTTCTTGACCTTTGTGACGTTGCCGTCACCCCGGCCTGTATCAAGCGTAAGTTCCCCAGACTGGCGATACCTGGATATAGACTCAAGCGAAGCAGAATTGTATAACATCCCCGAGGGTACGACATCCACCAAGGGCAACGAGCTAGGCATTTTCGAGGACATTGGTGATGTCTACGCCCAAGACGACTTGGACTTGTTCTTCACCACGCTGGCGATGTATGTTATTTAGCCTGTTTTGATCGGCCCAATACTTCTGCTAATGGTTTATTAGGAATATCCCTTCGGGCACTCACCCCATCCTCAAGGCCGTTGATGGCGCCACGGCACCGACCACGGTGACGAACGCTGGTCCCGAATCGGACTTGGACTTCCAGATCTCATACCCCATCATCTGGCCGCAGAACTCGGTGCTCTTCCAGACTGACGATATGCACTACGAGAACGACTACACTTTCCGGGGTTTCCTCAACACCTTCCTGGATGCCATCGATGGCTCCTATTGCAGCGAAATCTCGCCTCTTGACCCGAAGTATCCGGACCCCAACGGATACAAGGGTAAGCTGATGTGTGGCGTCTATAAGCCGACCAATGTCATCTCCATCTCGTACGGCAGCGCCGAGGCCGACCTTCCCATCTCTTATCAGCGTCGCCAGTGCCAGGAGTTCATGAAGCTTGGTCTCCAGGGTGTATCGGTTGTGGTCGCCTCGGGTGACTCTGGTGTGGCCGGTCGTGGTGGGGATCCTACTCCTAGCAATTGTTTGGGCAAGGATGGCCAAATCTTTGCCCCTGACTTCCCTGCCACCTGCCCGTATCTGACGGCTGTGGGCGCGACTTACCTTCCCACGGGCGCTAGTGCCAAGGGCAGCAATGAGGTGGCTGTGTCGCGTTTCCCATCGGGTGGTGGTTTCAGCAACATCTACGAGCGGCCTAATTACCAGGCGCAGGCTGTGAAGGACTATTTCAACAAGGCCCAGCCCACCTACCCCTACTACGAGAGCGTCAACAACAACAGCTTTGGCGCCAATGGCGGTATCTACAACCGCATTGGCCGCGCCTATCCCGACGTCTCTGCCATTGGCGATAACGTGATCATCTTCAACGCGGGTGCTCCCACCTCGATTGGTGGTACCTCTGCCTCATCGCCTGTGTTCGCTTCCATCCTCACCCGGATTAACGAGGAGCGTCTGGCAGCCGGCAAGAAGACCCTGGGCTTCGTCAACCCTACCTTGTACGCACACCCAGAGGCCTTCTTCGATATCACCTCCGGTAACAACGCGGGCTGCGGTACCAACGGCTTCAATGCTACCGAGGGCTGGGACCCCGTTACTGGACTGGGCACGCCCAACTACCCTGCCCTGCTGAAAGTCTTCATGAGCTAGAGAGCTCCGGGCATTGAGATGGACCTCGACGGTTGATCTTGCATATAGTACACCTTAATCAATCTCACTCTTTGACTATGATTGCCAACTTTGATTTCCATCGGACTCTGTAACTGCATGGCGACTATTAATGGTAGTAAGAAGGTCAAAAGCACCCAGGCTGCGTGGCATCCGTCGAGGTCCTCATAGTCGACCGAAAGTTCCCCCGACGCGCCACCGCCTCGATCCTATCGGCGCGATCGCTCCGGCCGGGCCTCGGGCTCGGTGGATGTCCGATCGGAGGGGAGAAAGAATAGTTACTGCATGTATTAGAGAATTATTAATCTTTTTTCTCGGCGCCCACTTTCTGGACGCGGTCTAGTGCCCCTCGGTCCCGTCGGCTAATTCTACGGATAAAAAAACCCGTGACATCATGGCCGTGGGAAGATACCTAGTCGTGCCCAGAAAATTTGTAAATTGCGTTGAGCAAGCACCGATGACAGGAGATAGGATGTATAGCTCGGTACGGACTGGTGAAGTAATTTTTTGTCCTATAGTATATCCTACCTACCTTAGCAGTACTACTCTCTGGAATCTTCTCCCTCTCTGTCTAACACCCCACGCTGCCCCTCCTTGTCTCCACCGAGGGGAATCAGAACCTGTGTATTTATTTATTAATCGGGGATGCCCCGGTGTTCTCTTTCTCTTTCCCATACTCTCCCTACTCCTCTCACTTACTACCAGTTACTACCATATCCTCATATACCCGTTTCTCCCACATTATGTCTCTAGGCAAGAAGGTCACCCTCAACACCGGCCACCAGATCCCGTAAGTGCTTGCTCCATGCTATAACGACCCCCACGCCACGTTTCCAGCTCAATTCTGACGAGCATTATAGCCAGCTGGGATTTGGCACCTGGCAGTCGGCTCCCGGCCAGGTTGGTGAGGCTGTCTACGAGGCCCTGAAGGCGGGCTACCGTCACCTGGTATGTTGATCGATCGTCCCACAGCGCAAACAATGCTGACGCGTCGTAGGATCTCGCCACGATGTATGCTATCCGGATCCCTTCACGGTCGCAACAGTCCTTGAGAGACCGATACTGACTACTCTCGTTTCCAGCTACCAGAACCAGCGCGAGGTTGCCGCCGGCATCAAGCGCGCCTTCCAGGATATTCCTGGCCTGAAGCGTGAGGACCTGTTCATCGTAAGGTTGCCCCGACGGGTCTGTATCGACGGAACTTGTACGCTAATATTTTTTTTCGTGGAAATAGACGTCGAAGTTGTGGAACAGCCAGCACCGCCCGGAGGTTGTCGAGGCGTCGCTGGACGCGTGCCTGGCTGAGCTGGAGCTCGACTACCTGGACCTGTACCTGGTGCACTGGCCCGTCGCCTTCCAGAAGGGCGATGACTACTTCCCTCTGATTGCCAACAGCACCATTGAGGGTGGCGATGTTGTCATTGACGATGGCGTGTCCATTGTCGACACCTGGAAGGGTAGGTAGCCCCCAGGACATCGTGGATAGCCCAAACTCACATCCTCCAGCCATGACCCAGCTCCCCAAGAGCAAAGTCCGCTCCGTCGGTGTCTCCAACCACACCATTCCTCACGTTCGTCTCCCTCCCATAAACCGTGGGGTCCGTTCTGACCGCACCGATAGCTCGAGGCCCTCATCAAGGGCACCGGTGTCGTGCCCGCTGCTAACCAGATTGAGCGCCACCCCGTGCTCCAGAGCAATGACTTGATTGAATACTGCCAACAGAAGGGCATCCACATCACCGCGTACTCTGTATGGATCACCGCCGTCCCCCTCAGGAGAACATTACTAATCTTCCCAGGCCTTCGGTAACAATATGCTCGGTCTTCCGCTGCTTATCACTCGCCCTGAGGTCAAGGAAGTCGCCGAGTCGGTTTCCAAGCGCACTGGCAGCGAGGTCACCGGTGCTCACGTCATGTACGCTTATTGATGCCCTTCAGTTTTCAACTGCTCGTGCTAACCTTCTTCCAGCCTCGCCTGGTCCCAGGTCGGTGGCCACAGTGTCATCCCCAAGTCGGTTACGCCGTCGCGCATCCGTGACAACTTCAAGGAGGTGGAGCTTACCCCGGAGGAGATCCAGAAGGTCAGCGCTCTGGGCAAGGACCGGAGGCGCTTCAACACCCCTCTCACTGCCAGTATGTTTTACACCCCAGTGACCAGCCAGCGTTTTGATGTGCCTAACACCATACAGACAAGCCGCGTTGGAACATCAACATTTTTGGTGAGCCCGAGGAGCAGTCTGCTGGCCACAAGGTCATTGTTTAAGCAGGACATTGTCCCATATTAAAATATAAAAGAAACAAGGTAAACGCATCATGTATTTTCCTTGATGGGAGAAATATCCATAGAGACCAACAGAGTACATGAATAAAATTCCGGAGTCGGATGCACGTGGCTTCCTCCCCTCTATAAGATAGTCCGTCCAGTGTCCATCACAGCCAAGCCAACCAAATAAGGAAGAATATCGCCAGGTACATGCTCGATAGAGGTGCTTTGTAGGCCAACTGTCCCGCATTGCCCTGGCTGTCATTGCTGCCGTCACTAGTAGCAGATCCGCTGGACGACGATGTTTCGGTGGCGCTACTGGCACTTCCGGACTCCACATTGTTGGCATTGTAGGTGGCTGCAGTCACCGAGTACGTCACACCCAGGATACTCACTGTGGTGGTCGCTCCCCCGGGCGGCGATGTCAAGGGCCCAGATCCCTCCGTGGTGCTGAGGCTCTGAGTCCCACCAGAGGGGAGATTCGCGATGTCGACATATGTACCGTGGTCGGCGGATCCGATGCCAAATTGATCAAGGCAGATACTGGCATCAAGATTGGGGCAGCTGCCCACGATGGAGCTATATTCCCGGACTTTCTCCGTGAGTCTCTCAATATTCAACTGGGACATGTCGGTGGTAGGGCAGATTCCGTAGAATCTATTCAAAAAATGATTCAGAACATATTTTGGAAGGGGCAGATAGGCAAGGGCAACATACGCCGACAGCGCTGCACTAAGAGCACAACACTGACACTCGGATAATTTGGTCGAGCTGGAGAACGTGTAACTGGAACACTTGCTTTCAATGAGACTGATGCTCGTGGTTGCATTGACTAGCACATCACCCATATTGCATGAGCAGCCGCCAGGGGCATTGGCCGGGGCTGGAAAGAAAGGAACGCTAACTTCGGTGGTGTGCTGTAAGAGATAGCTTGACACCAAGTATTGATATTCGCAAGAGTATATTTTATTCCAGCAATCGCTCATGTAGCATAGCATCTCGTCCACTTCTTTCGCCAATCCACATGCAAGGACCACAACGTCGCTGCCGGCAGCGTTGATGCACGTAGCTTCTTTGTCGGCGGCCGCGTTGATGCATGCCGTGAATCCTGAGGGATCAACACAGCCTGCCGAGGTTATCGTAGTTGCATTTTGCGCAAGTGCCCGGGAAAGCAGCCAAAAAAAAGCGGGAATAAGGAAAGAATTTGGTGATAACATGCTGAGAGCTCGATGGCATTAATTCTCTAGTTTCCAAAGGAAGGGGTCAGCAGAGAAATATATGTTCCGACTTTCACTTACTTAAATACCGATGGTCGAATGCACAGTGCCCATCAGAAAGATAGTTACCTGGTAGATGATCTTACATAATATTTTATTAGTATGCAGCTCAGCACGAAGGCTCCCGGACGCGCTGGCAAGAGTTGCCGACGGAGGTCCAATAATGCAATGGTTCGTGTAAATTTGGGGTCCAAGCCAGCACCACAACAGGAACTCTGAAGCGAGAATCTGACAAGCGAGAATCTTATTATTTTCACTTAAGACTCGTTAGCCCATGTTATTGTGAGGCAAGTGTGCCTTGGCTAACGCTTAAATACACATAAACCACAAGAGGGAAAATATCTTGTTTGGATCGGGGGTAAGTAAACCAAGGGTGTATAGACATTGAATTCAGAGAACCATCTTCCTATGTGACGATCCCTATCCCTGGCCACAGACTGGTGGATTTAGCTGCTATTATTCTCCATGAAATTCAATCACGGAAACCGACAACATAGGTCCGAATAGGAGAAGCGGTACGGACCCACAAATCCGCCGGACCAAGGGCCAGCTGAATTACCTAAACGGCGTGCCGGCGATAACAGCATCGATCTCCGGGTGATCTTAAAGGTCCGGCTGAATGCGGTTAGCTCCGTCGGGGTATATACATCTATGAGATGAGTAACCAATGTAGAGTTCGATCTGGATATAAATGCCCTGGGTTGTGTGTTAGTCCAACAACTCTTTCTCACTCTTTCTCTTCCATTCTACACTCACCACCACCACCATCACAACCATCCACAATGACTCTTCCCTCGACTTACAAGCACGCAGTCTTCAAAGAGGCCGGTGGTCCTCTGACCATCGAGGACACTCCCATGACAGCACCCGGTGCGGGCGAGGTGCTGGTCAAGGTGGAGGCCTGCGGAGTGTGGTGCGTACCTATCTGTCCCTTCTGTGGTGATGGCTTGGTCTGACCCTGCGTAGCTTCTCCGACACGATCGCACAAGTCCATGGAATGAAGGGCCAATTGTACGAGTTATCGGATCGATCATTTCCAATGCATCCACTGACCACCATTAACTAGCCCTGTCACTCCCGGCCACGAGATCATCGGGCGCGTGGCGGCGCTGGGCGATAACGTCTCCCAGTGGAAGGTCGGCGACCGAGTTGGTGGACCCTGGCACGGCGGCCATGACGGTACGTCTTTGGAATGGGTAGAGATATCGAACTAAACTGGACTCCTAGGCACCTGCCAGGCCTGTCGCAAAGGCCATTTCCAAATGTGCCAGTTAGGCATTATCAACGGCGTGACCAAGAGCGGCGGATGTACGGCTAGCGTCCCCTCCTGACCATTGGAGCCGACTGACTGAAGACTAGATGCCCAATACTGTATCCTTCGGGCGGAAGCAGGCGTCCGCATTCCCGAACACGTGGATGCGGCTAAATACGCCCCGATTCTCTGCGCCGGTGTCACCGTCTTCAACTCGATGCGCCGAATGAATGTCCCCCCGGGATCTACGGTCGCCATTCAAGGACTGGGCGGTCTCGGTCACCTCGCCATTCAATATGCGAACCGGTTCGGTTACCGCGTCGTGGCTTTGTCCCGGGATTCCAAGAAGGAAAAGTTTGTGCGGGAGCTGGGTGCTCATGAATACATCGATAGCAGCAAGGAAGACGCGGCGCAGGCACTGCAGAAGCTTGGAGGTGCTTCCCTCATCGTCGCCACAGCGCCCAACGCCCAAGTCATCTCGCCTCTGGTGAACGGGCTCGGTATTATGGGCAAGTTGTTGATACTGGCAGGTAAGGAGTTCTGTGCCAATCACTGAGACAGACAGACAGACAGAGCGAGAGAGAGAGAGAGAGAGAGAGAGAGAGAGAGAGAGAGAGAGAGAGAGAGAGAGGCTGACACGCGGCGTAGTCCCGGGAGAAGTATCCATTGATACGCGACCGATGGTGGGTGGACCTACCCGATACTGATCCGGGATTCCTACAAGGTGGTCGAGATGGCTGACATTGACCGTGCAGATCCAACGCGGCCTGTCGATCCATGGATGGCCTAGCGGTCACGCGATTGACTCCGAGGAGGCCATCCAATTTACGGAACTGGAGGGCATCAACTGCATGGTGGAGACCTTCCCGCTGGAGAAAGCCCGCGAAGCCTTCGGTGAGTTTCCGTCTCAAGGCTTGATCTAGGGTTTGATCGGCCGCTGACCGTTTCACAGAGGCCATGCGCCAGGGGAGTGTCCGGTTCCGCGCCGTGATCACGATGGATTAATGCAATCGGATGGTTTAGGTACGGTAGTTCGCTAGCGGCTCCTGCATACACCGCGCTATTCGCGCTGATTGGCCGGCGAGTCGCTGCCTGGGCACGGAGATAGTAGTCGAACACCAGAGCAATCAGAATAAAAAACGAACGATTCTGTTTCTCTCATCTACGCTTACCCAAGTCCGGTTTATAGACCGGCAGTTGCCTCCTGGTCCCGTATCCGCGTTCTCTCCCCGCATAAATACCCTAAATTCCCAACTCTTTCCGTCCTTCCCCCAACACCAATCTCCCAGTCCTATCGCCTCCCGGACACCAAAACATCCACTATGACAATTGAAAGCTGGACTGAGATCGTGAAGCAGAAGCAGGCCGAGGTCGCCACCCAGATCCCACCAGCTTGGCGTCTGTCAGCCGAGTATACGGATATCTCGCCGACCAAGTCCACCAATGTGCTCGATGTACCTCGCCAGTGTGGTCTCTTGTCGCCCAAGCAGATGGAAATTACGGAGAAGTATGATGCCACAGCTCTGCTTGAAAAGATCCACCACCAGGAGTTATCAGCCTACGAAGTGACCGAGGCCTTTTGCATTCGCGCTGCCATCGCCCAGCAGGTGGTATGTTACCCACTACAGAACGCTCGTACGAGTTTGATTGTTAATGGACTCATGATAGACACATTGTCTGACGGAAATGTTTTTTAACCGTGCCCTTGAGCATGCAAAGCATCTGGACGAGGAAATGCAGCGCACGGGAAACCCCATCGGACCTTTGCATGGCTTGCCAATCAGTTTCAAGGTAATGGAGAGTATAAATTCTGAATGGATCTATTAACACCGTCAATAGGATTGTTTCAACATCGAAGGTATCCCCTCCTCGATTGGGTTCACTTCCTTCATCAAGAATGGGCCTATGCAATCCAATTCCGCCATGGTTCAAATCCTGCAGAAACTGGGGGCGGTTCCTTATGTAAAGACGAACATCCCACAGACGATGATGGTAAATTTGTCTCCCGTACAAGCCATGAAGTAGTGCTAAATCCCCTCCAGGCAGCAGACTCCCATAACCATGTTTTCGGGCGAACTCTTAACCCGCATCGATCCAATCTAAATGCGGGCGGATCTTCGGGTGGAGAGGGCGCGCTCATTGCGATGAGAGGCTCCGTGTTGGGCATTGGAACCGATATCGCAGGTTCGATTCGAATCCCTGCAATCTGCAATGGAACATTTGCCTTGAAGCCTTCTGCTGATCGCATTCCGTACGGGGGGCAGACTAGCTCCGCGCGTGGTGGCCTGGCAGGAATCAAAGCTTGCGCCGGTCCGTTGGCAACATCAGTGAGAGACTTGGAGCTGTTGATGCGCGTGGTGACGAATGCAGATCCCTGGCAAGCTGACTCCTCGGTAATTTTTGCCCCATGGCGCTCGGTAGCGCCGAAGTGCACGCTGCGATTGGGGCTGATCCAAGAGGATCCCCATTTTCCGCTGCATCCTCCAGTTTTGCGGACCCTGACACATGCTGCCGACAAGCTGCGAGCGGCGGGACATGAAGTTGTGCCGCTGACCACCCCCTCCATCCGGGACGCCTGCGCGTTGGCGTTTCGCATGTTTTCCATGGACCCTGCAAACACACCGTTCAAACATATTGCTGCTAGTGGGGAACCTGTCATCCCGGCATTGGCATCAACGGCCTTGCCGCACGAGTACATGCAGTACGATCCCGCACCAATGACACTCCAGGCGCTGTACGACTTGAATGAAGAGCGACAGAAGTTCAAGGAGGCATTCCGCTCACTAATAGTGAAGGCTAACATAGATGCGATTATCATGCCAGGCTACCAAGGGACTGCCCAGCCACATGATCTTTTTGGCTTTGTCCCCTATACAGTCATGTGGAATGTAATGGACGTAAGTTAATATTGGATTGCTTGACTGGCTTCAGCTCACAGACATGAGTATCCGGGATGTATCATCCCATATGGCAAGGCCGAAAAAGGTCTCGATGCGGCCTTTGCTCGTGATGATGTCGAGTATAAGCCACCGTGTGAGTGTTTTCCATGAATTTCTAACGCTTTTAGCTCCATATTCTAACTACAGAGTAAAGACACGGCGGATGCGGTTGAAGGAGCTCCCTGCTGTGTGCAGGTTGTTGGGAGGAATATGCGTGAAGAGGAATTGTTGGTAGTTGCAGCGACGGTTTCTAGGGTTCTCGCCGAATGAAACCACTTTCGCGGTGGAGCCAGTTCTCATTGAAATCCCAAAGAGGCCATTCAAAGCTGAACAGATGATAAATCGACGGTGGCGTCTGTCAGTGCGTAGGGGTTCATATTTCGCAGAATGAGAGACAGCTGAGTCAGATAGCTGGAGTGTAACTTATAGAAACACGCAGAATATACTCCATGACGTGTTTCTTGATCGGTGATTCATCTTCATACAGTACATCAGATTCCGCAAACCCCGCAGACGCACACACATGTAGCTGACATGTATTAGATTACACCTATTGCCAACAGTGATGCCAATACCTTCTTGGGCGGATGAGAGGCAAGTTGGTTATTCAGGGCTCACCAGAATTGTTGCGAGTCTAGTTCGTGCCCCGAAATTATATTCTAGAAGGAAATGTGGACGACAATGTATATCTCTAGGTTGGAGTTAGTCCCGAATTGGCACGGAACAGAATCCGATTAAATTGGCCCGTCCGTGGATGAATAACACCAACCCCCACTATAGATTATAGGGCCAGACGGTAACGTTCCATCTTCCGTTGCAACCCAGGAACATAATGGAGCCTTCTCACGAACTAGATGAGCTCGAATCTCTGCCTGACCATACTCCTGCCCCAGCGGTCGACACGTCAATCTCGAGGCGCACATATCTTCGCCTGATCAGTGCCGGTTTTGCGTTTTTTGTGGCCGGAGTCAATGATGGGAGCTTGGGAGCGTTGATGCCGTATATCTTAAATACGTATCACATTGGCACAAATGTGGTCACTGCTGTGTCTGTAACTGTGTTTAATGCGTTTGAGCAAGAGCTGATCGGGTTGTAGATACGGCACCACATTTGTGGGATGGTTAGTGGCGGCACTGACCAACACGCTCCTGTCTCAATACCTCGACTTAGGCGCCATGCTTATTCTTGGAGTCTGCTTCCAAATTTTAGCTCATGCGCTTCGTTCCTGGCAACCCCCGTTTCCTTTGTTCGTGGTGACTTTCTTCTTTGCCAGCCTCGGCCAAGCTTACCAAGACACCCACGCAAATACTTTTGTTGCCTCGGTACATGGAGCGCATCGATGGTTAGGCTTCATTCATGCGATGTACATGGCGGGCTGTCTAGTTGCGCCATTCATGGCGACGGCGGTGGCATCGGCCAGCTCCTCGACCCGATGGGCATTATTTTACACCGCTCCATTGAGCCTAGGGTGTGTGAATCTCATGCTGGCCTCCATAGCATTCTATGAGCTTGTCCGTGCAAGGAAGGGCAGACAAAACGCAGTGCCTGCGACGTCTAATACGTCTCGAAGCCAGACTGCCCTGTCCGAAATCAGACGGATCTTACTCAATCCAGCGGTGTGGTTGCTAAGTCTCTTCTTTTTTTTCTTTTTGGGGGCAGGTATTACTGCCGGCGGTAAGCAGAAAAGCCTCCGTTATCTCCAAAATGTGAGCTAATTGATCCAAGGCTGGGTTGTCGAGTACCTGGTTCGCGTTCGCAAAGGCGATGTCGTCGATATGGGCTATGTCCCTGCTGGATTCTATGGTGGTGGATTCCTGGGGAGACTTTTATTGGCGGAACCGACGTATCGTTTTGGTGAGCGACGTATGATCTTTATCTATGTCGTGCTGTGTGTAGGACTGCAGTTGATATTTTGGCTGTACGCAATATACCCAGTTTCCTGTCAGAGCTCTGTGGATATTTGGCTCAGCTGATGAATAGCGTACCCAACATTATCACCGAAGCCGTTGCAATCAGCCTTCTTGGACTTTTCTCGGGTCCCTTCTTTGCAACAGTCAGCTTGCAATTACTCCTCTGATTACCAAAACATATCTCTGACCCCTTTCTAGGGAATCTCCGTGGGATCTAAGATTTTCCCCCCTGATATTCGGTCTTCAGCTCTCGGTGTGAAAGCCCAATATTATTCAACCGCTTAATAGAGGACTAACGTTATGTACAGCTCTTGTGTTTGTACTCGGACAGATTGGAGGATCCATATTTCCCGCGATTACTGGCATTGTTACCTCCTCCGCTGGTGTTAAAGTCTTACAACCGATCCTGATAGGATTGTTAGGAGCAACTGGCATTAGCTGGTTATTAATTCCAAAGACGAGAGCTCATCACAACGAATAAAATGGTAACTATACTGGGTGCCTCAAAAGCCTAGGGAGCCAACCTGGCTTCCCCCAAACACCATACTTGGTTTTTGTGGGAAGAATATCGTGAAAAGCCAGGATATGGACCAAGTGTCTCAAGAATAAACAAATTATATGTCACCAGAAGCCAAGATAAGACAAAAGGAAGGCTTACTGAAGTGCTGTAGAACGTAACTCCAAGAAGGGCAAAGTCTATCCTTCCTATCCATATCTGACACTCCCATGACTCTTGAACATCAAGTCCTGTTCGAATGTGGCAATGTAACAGACAAACCTGGAAATGGCTCTACAGAATGCAATTTTGACAGAATCGACAGGCCTACTTCTCTTCTTCACTCACATGCCTCTGCAGGAATAGGGCTTTCATGGAGGGACATGTGCGTACTTCCAGATCTTCGGACAGCGTCGAGGTCACCTCCTTATTCCCAAGTCCGTACAAGATCGTCTGAGGCATCTTCTCTTTGGCGCGTTTTGCAAACCAGATAGCATAGGCCCAACCAATCCAGACCTCTTAACCACCACTTTGGTCGTCAATCAAAATGGCGGCATCTTCGTGAGATCGGAAGCGACTGTCAAGGCCAACACTCTCTTCTTCGCCCCCTTATTCGTCAAGCTTGGCATTGGAGATGATTTGTACCCGAGTGCGGTCAATAGATATGTAGAAAATTGTGTCACTTCCGGAAATAATAATCCATCGGACAAGGTCACATTGAAAACATTCGTCTGAAACTATAGCTTCGAACCATTTTCTAAATAAAACAGATTTCTTCTATGACCCCGTTCTCCAGACGAGTATTCTGGTATGACAACGCCGACTTTCCCAATCTGCTCATCACTCGTGGACCCTAACAGCTGTAAAGTGGAGTGGTCTCCATCGTTCGCAATAAACCGATGCTGGTTGTCTATCAATCGGCCCACCACACAAGCTCGCATCGGTGAACCATCTCGGTGAAACTCAACTGTGTATGTCTGGTGACTGTCAGCGTTGTGACTCATTAATTCGGAGCGAGGGAGGTGTCACCTCGATAATGGCTTTGCCCTCAGCCTCTATGTCAATCACGGGCACAAACTCCTTGACCACATTCCGGAGTGCATTGCTGTCAGGGTAAGGGGAATTGTTTCGCCGTGGCTGGGAGGAGATACAGATTGCATGCTGGTATGAAAGTACTCCACCATTGGCAAGAATTATTCCGTTGCGCCCAACACCCTGCCGCAGCTGACGGACCATCTCGGTTATCGCCTGATACATCAGTCAGAGGCAGCCATATCTTGTCTAAAGAATAGAAAGTCTTACATGCATCGAATAATTATTTCCGGCTCCACCGAACGACGTCAGCCCGCCTAAAACGGTGATAGGCTTTGCTGGCTCTGTGATAGAAAGCCCTAGATGATGACAGGCAAGCTTTGGAACAATCGGAAAGCATCTAAATAATTGTTAGATACTTAGAAAGTAGATGATCAGATATGTCTAGGAGGTTATACGAGTAAAAATCGTAGAGATCAATCTCGTCACGGTCAATTTGGCTGGAGCTGAGACACTGATCTAGCGATTTTGATACAGAAGGAGATTCGAAGAAATTCGGGCGTTCCCAGACTGAGTAAATTGATTTTAGTACAATTTCCATATACACCGTGCTGAACGTACAGTAATCGCTGTCCTTGTAGCCGGCCCCGCTTAGTGGATAGATCCATTTATCTTTGGGGATCTGGAGCTGCTGTGCATACTCCGTCGTGGTTAAAACACAGGCAGCGGCTAGATTGACAGTGTTGAATGCATTCATCAGGAGGGGATCTGCAACACAGATTAGTAAGATAACTACAGTGAGGTGAAGCAGAGATGTTATACACGGAAGACAAATTATACGATTTCTTTTTGACACCGTTCCAATAGACTTCATCGTCTCGGCGTCGTGACCATAGTTCCAGGCATATGGATTGCGAGCCGCGACTTGGCTGAAGTTGGCATAGAGAAAAGCAGACTCTTCGTGATTTTCGCTCACTGACTGGCCCCGGTGTGCTCGAAATCCATGCTCGTACAGTGGGTATACATGGATCGGAGAGCCAACAGAATGAATGCCACCAAGATCTGAAAATTTGTACTATTAGAGCCACGGTCGTTTGCCGCGCACTAAAGACACACATACCTTTCCTCAGCCCTCTTGTAGTGGGCGAGAAAACATCTTTGACAGACTTGGACGGTCGGGACCATCCAGTGGGGGGCATCTTCTTCTCTTTAACACAGGAGGCCACTATCGAACGGCACGTGAGTCAGTTGGCGTCTGGTGCTTGCATGAAGTTGTACTCACAAGAAGCTAGTGCTTCCCCTCCCGTAAGCACAGCAACTTTGCTATCCCCAGTCGCAAGCCGGAGAGCTGCTTCGTCAAGAAGCTTAGCAGGCTGATTGCCCCCGTGGTCACTATACACCTGATGGCCAGGGTTAATCCCAAGATGCAGAGAGAGAAGCCCTGGAAGATCCGGGTAGTCCCAAGTCCAGGTTCGAACAACACTAATGCTATCAATGCTAGATCGTAGACGTGAAGCAGTTTCTGGCCGGTCGCTTGCATCTCGAATAGCCGAATTGATAGCCTCCAGAATTAAATCAGCCGGTTCTTTCGCATCTTTAACCGCTACCGACCGATTCTTGATATCAGCGACCCCAATAATCACTGGCTGCATCCTGAGAACGTCTTGATGGCAAGTGCATGGGGAAAAGAATCAAGAATTGGAAACGAATTCCCTAAATGCTAATTATTCCGGCAGCCATGATTTGCGCCTTCGGCAACGAGGGATCATGTGGAGAACCACTCGAATTGTACCCTCGGCCCGAGTCCCTTTGGATGGATGAACTACAGTACCAGTACCATTTGGTAGAATATGTCGCGCCCGCCATATTATCGATTCTGTTGATAGGCTTTCCAGAGGATATTAGAGCTCTCAGGCAATAGGCGTACAGAATGAGATCTATAGGCACTGTCACCTACGAATGGGAATTATTTGACCCAAAAACTAGTGGTCTTTTTCCGCCCGACACAATCTCAATGTCATGATGTGTAACTTTGAAGGTCTGTTAAATTAAAGGCGGGAGGGAACCCATTTCGGTTTTCGCTTATTTGCAAATGCTTCAACACCAATTTTGAAGTTCTCGCCAGCAACGAGCCGATTCACAAATTCGTGCCTGGTCCGCGAAGTTGCATGTTCAACACTTGGATCATCCCAGGCTTCTCGCAGGCCCTGGCGAGTCACGATAATCCCATCGGGAGAGAAACTTGTTATTTTTGCTGCCAGGGAAAGGCACTCCTCCACGACTGATTCGGCCGACTGCGAGATTTGATTGATTAAGTGGTAGTCTAACGCATCTTGGGCAGATAGTCGGCGACCCGCCATTGCAATCTCAGACGCCAACTGAAGGCCGACAATTCTCATCAAACGCGGCAGCCCGCCAGCAGCAGCATATAGTCCAACTGCAACCTCTGGTAGTCCAAAAATCGCATTAGGAGCTGCAACCACCATATCACTTGGTGAGTATTGGTGTTAACATAAATTGTGCCAATCAGTCGGGCGGGTGGTCATACCAATTGAGGCAAATTTCGAATCCGCCCCCTAGAGCAAATCCATTGACAGCTGCCAGCACTGGCTTCTTTCCTCTACGCTGGCTTAACCCCATGAATCCACTCGGGGGATGGTTCATCACGGCGAGTTGCGAGGCAGTTCGTGGTCCTCGGCGAGACGAACTTTGTTCAACCAAATCCTGCCCAGCACAGAATGCTTTCTGACCAGCACCGGTGACGACTGCCACCAACAAAGACGGCTCTTCATCAAACCAGGAGAACACGTTATGACCCTCCCAATGCGCCTCGGCGGGTAGAGCGTTGCGTTGCTTTTCTCTATTGATCAAAACAAGGAGGATTCCTGGTCTTGGAAAAGAGAGTTGCAGGAAATGGGTCGCCGGGAGCTGCGACTGCAGATTTTCGGCCATAACTGCTGTCCGAAACGAGGAATTTGATCTCTGAATACGCGGACTTGGTTGTCTTGCAGATGATGCGAGTGCGGATAGGCGATTTACCGTTAACTTATGCTCATGTAGTTGTTCAATGGAAAAGTGTGCTTTTAATAGTTCCATTATTAGGCAGCCCAAGCTCGACTTAAGCGATGTGGTCCTTGTGCGGGGACATACCTCGGACCCCAACCCACCCGAGGTTGGGTGATTATGATTGACCGAATAAATGCCAAGAAAAGAAAAAAAAAGAGAAGAAGGGGAAAAGCAGAGGCGTCGGGATCTGACGTTTACTGAGTATTGTGTGTGAAATTAATCAATCTATGTAAATTGCTGGAAGATAACCTAGTTATATTCGTAAGGGCTGTAATTATACTTAGCACCAGGACTTAGTATCGTGAATTATTTGGAGTACCTGCTGGATTCTGGAAGTTGCACTGCAGGTGAACTGCTAGTCCCGTAAAGCTCCTTCGGTACCGACGATGGTCCTAATTCCCGATACCCTGAGTACCAGATGTACCGATTTCAACAGCGCCTTGAGCAGACGGAAATTTTCGAACTGGATTCAATGGGACCTCTACCGCGCTGTCTCTCTTCTTCGCATGGATTCGACGCCTGCCCCAAAACCCAAGGGCCCCAATAAGTGCGCAGCCCGTGATAGGACCAATGATAGCACCAGCAATCCAAGTTTTGCTTTTGTGTGGTTTGGAATCATTTGGTGTTACGACAGTGACAGTGGAAGTCGGAGAGGGATTGGATGCCGTGATAATAGCCCCGGGGGCGATTCCAGTCAACGTAGCTTGTGCTTCACAGCGCAGAATCAGCAAACAAGTTACCGATTTTTGATGACGGCATTTCAAGGTTGTGCATAATGCATCTTACCAGAAGTGGGAGTCGCTGTAACATCGGTCGTGCGGAAGATGGTTGAAGCTTCCCAGTTCGAACAGCAGAGTAGATAGACAGTAGATGAGTCACTTGTCATCGACTGGTATATATTCACTATCGACATGTTTGACCCGAGCGCTAGCAGAAGTTAACCGTCTTGGTCAGCCTGATTCCACTGATGCACAATATGCAGAAATCTCACCAAACAGACGAGCCAGTGGAGTAATAATAGATTGTAGAATCTGTGCGACTAGTATCGAACCCGCAATTCGACAGCGTGTTGTCGCAACATCGGCCTATTTCAGAACGTCAGGCCATTAAGTAGGAATTCCAAGGCACACCGGCCTCAAGGAAAAGAGCCAGCAAAACTGACCGAATGTGCTTGATCTGACATATGTCTGATTGTAATCACAAGTGATCGGTTGCCCTGTAGGTACGGGTAAATTAGCAGCGGGTGAAAGGTCACGAATGATGATCACCTACAGGAATTTCGAGACCGAATGATACCCCTCGACAGACCATGGTATTGAGTGTGCAGTGACTTGTTCTCCGAATGAAACAATGGCAGCTATGGGAATAACGACGAGGGGTGGAAAAGGTAACATTTTTAACCCAGGATCGTTGGCTTTGAGGTCGAACGATGGGCTAAAAAGACCGAGATGCTTTCAAACAGGGGCCAACATGCTGGCGACTCAGAAGAGGGTTACCAAGGTCTAAAGAATTGCTGCGTGGTCGTGGGGGATATATTGGGAAACACTTTTCCAGTTCCATCCTGGATTGCCCAAGTGAGACTCCCAGGAGTCTATCTGCACCTTTGCCGGAACAGTCCATGTGGCTCCATTGATCAATGTCGAACCACCTAGTTCGTTGCCTGTGTAAATGGTTACAGGTCGCCTGTTGATAGCCAGTGAGACGGTGTCAAGCGCATGATCGACAGACGTGCCGAAGGCCTGACCGAAGGTTGTCACATCTTCAATTATAGGCCCCGGTTTGACTGGAAATAACCACTTTCAATTACTAAAACCGTGATGTTTGGATCTGCAGTCAACCGTGCCGCAGTTGTGAGAGCAGCCAGCCCTCCTCCAGCGATGACATAGTCGAAAGCTGCTCCGACGATTTCATTTGGGTCTGTGAATAGGCTGGAACCGGCGGTAAGTGAACATGCGGGGATAGCGACCTGAGCAAGGAGTAGCAGTTTCATGGCGGCCACGAACACAAGACTCTGGAAATTTGGAGGCAAGGAGAGCAATATCTCGTTGATATGTAGCGGGTTCAACCTAGGGCAATCCCTTCCCGAAATATAATGCTCGCTCAAGGTCCGACGCAAACCGCATTAGCGGTGGGGGGCCTAACTCGAGGGCGAGTAGTACGTTGTCCTTGATCAATACAAGGCCAGTAAACGTCCCTCCTTCCCAAAATTGTACAAGTAAATTCATTTGTGCCCTCTGCGTTAGCAAATTTATAGTTCCCATTGCATACCAAAATAGCAGTAGTCGTGAGGTTACAAGAGATCTGCCACAATTCTCGTTGTCCCTGAAGTAAAAACTAACTGGTATTCAGCTACCGACCATATTACGTGCTGGCACAACTATATACGAGCGGATAATTTTCCAATGGTTTCCTTCAGAGCGTAGTCATGCCGCTTTATCCGACTTCGGACTCGTTCACCATCTCGGGGCGTGATGAAACGTGCCTCAGTGGCTGGATTGTATTCCAGACCGGAGATCCTCTTGATTTCATCATCCGAGACTGCACGAGTGGTGTGGCCATCAGCTCGTTTATAGACGGTCACTACCACGGCCCCTCCCAGTCCTAGATTGTGCTGTAGCGCAACATTCGCCCCCTGGACCAGTCGATTGTTTGCCCAGCCACGGAGCTGCCATGTGAGTTCAGCACACTGTGCCAGTCCTGTTGCTCCAAGTGGATGGCCTTTAGAGATCAGCCCGCCCGACGGATTGATAACTGGACCGCCGCCGCCATAAGTGATATCACCCCGACGAACCATCTCATGTGCTTTTCCGGGATCTGAAAACCCCAAGGAATCCAGAAGTAGAAGCTCATTGGTGGAGAAACAGTCATGTAGCTCACAAACTTTGACGTCCTTGGCCTCTACGCCTGCTTCTTGCATCGCAAGCTTAGCTGCTTGGCGGGACATGTTGAACCCTACTAGATCAATCGCGCTGCGCGAGTAAACTTCCGGCCCATCAGTCATTAGAGTTTGACCGGCCATTAGAATAGCTTGTGATCTAAGGTGTGGCCGCGCATCTAGGAAGCGCTGCGACACAATAACCGCCGCTGCTGCTCCGTCGCTCGTCGGGCTGCATTGAAGCTTGGTCAGAGGTCCGTATATACTGCCGGAGTTAAGGATCTGATCCAAAGAGTACGCTGTACGGAATTGTGCGTATGGGTTGCGCTGCGAGTGTTCGTGTGACACGCGGGCAATCTCGGCAAAGTCTTCTGCTTTAGCCCCAAACCTTCGCTTTTGGTCAGCCTTAGGGATTAATCATAGCCTGGGAGTATCTTGCCTCTGCATATACTCCTGTCCCGCATTTCCAAAGTACTGCGCATTGCGAGGGCTGTCATGCTTGCCGTAAGTATCTTCCATCATCTTTGTCGAAGGACCCAAGGGGCTCGGCCGGTCATCCCACACGCTTTTGATGGAACCTGGGCGCATCTGTTCGAATCCAATGACCATAACACAGTCCGCAAGTCCTCCTTTTACCATAGTACGAGCCAAATGCAGCCCGGTTGAACCGGTGGCACAGGCATTGCTGGTGTTATAAATAGGGATGCCTGTCATGCCGAACTGGTAGAAAATTCGCTGTCCACAAGTGGTGTCGCCATAGCAGTAGCACGCGACGCCCATTTGGACATCATCGTATGTAATGTGAGCATCCGTGAGAGCCTTGACTCCAGCCTCGTATCCAAGTTCGGGGTCTTGATTTAATCAGAGTCGCACAAACATCACTTGAGAAAGAGTGACTTGGGCTTACATTCACGAATGCGGCGCGGTTTTAGGAACTGGGTCATACCCACTCCCAAAACGTACGCGGCGCCTGAAGTGCTTTGCGATGACGATGTCATTGTTGTTTCCCTGGTGAGAGTCAACTTCCGAAAAAGCTGTATTGCGTATATTGTATAATTATATCCCCCGAGGAAGAAGTTACCGAATATCCGAGGCAACATTGTAGGCCCCCGCTTTATCCGCTCGCACCGTGACCAAAACGCCGACTTGGGAGGGGAACCAGTGATGACTGGCTCAGTGCAACTTTTGTTGGCATAATCATCCACGATTCATAAAGCAATATAATTCGGTATGACGGCTATACAAGGGTTTAATGAGCTTGGGTCTTGAGCTGCATGAGGTGACTCCACTCCTTACGTACCGGACCCTCTAATGGTTCATACATAGCTTCATCTAGTAACAACGAATTGGTCCGCCAAAGATGTGAGTTGAGCTTTCTAGCAATCAGGTTCTATCTCAAATTACATGACCCCACTTCCGAAGCCAATTATTGACTTCTAAAGTAGTTTATGTGAAGCGTCAAAGATTAGACACCCTCACACGCGCTTTCCCCTCCGCATAAGTTGAAATGAAACCCATAAGCGGTTGTGACAAGGCATTTCTAACCCAGCCGCTTTAAGCCTCAGTCTCACGTCGCCCATTCTCTCAGGGTTAAATTCTTATTCAATTATTGATGACACAAACCCGGCTAACCGAGGCTCTTGCCATCCCTTTTCGTCCGACAATTCCACGTGCACAAAATTTAACCCATTGAAAGGGTGGTCTTTCTCAACCCGGCCAAATATCGACGATCACAGCCAGACCCTTCTCACCACTTTGATTACTATTGATTCCTGAGTTTCCTCACCATAAAGGCAACATAATATCTTTTGTCATTATGTTGTGGGGTCAAACAGAAAGATTTGTATATCCTTATACCATAATTAGAAGCTTATGTCAAGAATTGGAATTCCTACAGGACACATACAGGGATTTTACCCCTCATCAACATTTCCTATTGTGTACTAGTCATTCATTACTTAGTCGGCCCTTTAAATTGTCCTACATTCCCAGATTTATCTGAATCAGAGACTTATCTCTTCGTGATTTAAAGTTCCATGTGGGATCGTCGTACGTCTAGATTTCGACAGCTTACGATGCTTCAGCGACCTAAAACCCAGGAGAGGAGGATTTCCCGTCAGTAGAACATCTCCGCCCTATCCAAGCAATGTTAAAGGGCAATCCTCGCATGGAAAGAAAAGACCTAAACAAACTTTTCTAATTGGTTCCTACCGCTTCTCAACTGAAAGATTGCCTGAATGACTTTTAAAAAATGTTCTTCTCGCGGGTAGCCAATAGTCAAACCGGAGGGTCCTGATTGAGAAAGTGAAGTGACATTAGGGTGCTGTAATTATCTCGGGAATGCCGGTGGCTTCTATATGAAACACATTGAGGCGCGAATGCATTGGCATTTTTTCCGAGACAACAATATCTCAACGTACTTCAGCGAATCGAAGAGTATTGTGTAGGGAGCAAAGCTTACCGTTCCTCCATATGTTAGTCAAAAAACGCCATCCACAACTTAGAAGATCCTGCGCCTAGGGTGCCCTTCACCCTCAAAACTCCTAACCGAAAATCATTTGAAATATCTGTTTGTACGGTGTCACATTCTATTAGTTCAGATTATTCGATTCTAACGAGGATATGTCCTTCGCCCTGCTTTCCTCGATGAATAGCGCATCTGCACGATATGCTAGTAATAATGAACTTGAGGGTGCGACGTCAGAATTAGGCAAAGTATAAATTAAAGATCCTGGAAAGGTAGATGATTGACAGTAACACGCTCGGGTTTTATCATGAATCTGGATAGCTTAGGAGTCGAATACTATGAGCAGATCTAAAGAAATCATAGTGGTAAGATCGTTTGATTTACCATCCGTGCACCGAGCAGAATGCCTAGTAAACCAATAAATTTCAATAATAGGGAGGAAACTGTATTATGGTTTGAAGAAAAAGCCCCAACATTGAAAGCCAAGACAAAATTCATTGCTGGTGCGGGGTTGCAAATTCTTGTCTCGACTATTATTGGAGCCCGCAACGGGTAATAACTTGCCGTCGGACTGCAGACGGAGCCTGCGAGCCCGTTACATTGGAGTAGATAACGATAGTTCTGGGCATCTCAGACCAAGATTCAAGTTGTCGGATCGTTTTCAGTAGTGCCCCGTGAGAATATCAATAAGGGAACAGTGGCCTACTCTTGGATTGCATCCATATATTGGTGAACTTTTTCTTTCGATCCTAAAGACTTTTCCCTTGAGCTCCAAACAATGACCACTGCCACATCCACAGTCACTACCGAGTCAAATGGACTCGACCAAACACCCCTAGGAGCGCCGAATGCCACCATGTCCAAGGACAGCTTCTTTGAAGATGTTCATTTCTTGGGCGACAAAGAGGGACGAGTCGTCATTCGTTCGCCCCCCTCGTTCTCTGACAAACTAGAAGATCTTGCCTATCAGAAACAGCACTTGGCGGCTGCATTTCGGGTTTTTGCCAAGCAAGGCTTCGACGAGGGGGTCGCAGGCCATATTTCGTTGAGAGATCCTTCTAATCCACGTCAGTTTCTTACGAGCCTCGAGATATAAGAATGAAGAAATAATTACTGACCTGGACGGATTCTAGACCATTTCTGGATCAACCCTTTAAGCATGCACTTCTCTATGATTCGTGTCTCTGACCTCGTCCTTGTGAATGACCGCGGTGAAGTCCAGCCAGGTGGCGCCCAGCATCCTATCAACGGCCCGGCCTTTGCGATTCACAGTGAAATACATAAAGCTCGTCCTGACCTGAACGCTGCATGCCATGCACATTCTGTCTATGGAAAGGCGTTCTCGTGTTTTGGTAGACCCATCGAAATGATCTACCAGGACGCACTACGCTTTTACAATGACCTTGCTGTCTACCCGCGGTACGGCGGAACCGTTGTCTCGGTCGAAGAAGGAGCTCGAATTGCGAAGGCTCTTGGGCCGAAATGCCGCAGTGTCATCCTCCAGAACCATGGCATGATCACTTGTGGCAAAACGGTTGATGAAGCTGCTTTTCTGTTCATTGCCCTTGATCGCTGCTGCAATGCCCAGATGATGGCAAATTCGGCGTCCGGACCAGGGTGGGAGAAAATATATATTAACAAGGAGGAGGCCGAAATGACACACAAGAAGAGCGGTAACTCCAGCAAGATGTGGCTTGCGTTTCAACCATACTTTGACCAGGTGGTCAAAGAGGACCCCTCGGTGCTGGAATAGGACATTTATGCAAGTATTGCGCTGAACTACAAAACCCCCGACTTTCTTGTACCCGGCCATATAAGAATGAGAACATATTTCTTCTTCAACATATTGGCCGTACATAAAACAAGAATGAGTTATCAGGATAAGGTGTTAGATATTTATATCACTCAAAATTGCCGGAGAAGGGACAGCCTCGTTCATAAATCCGAACAATAAATCCAAATCATGAGGAAATTCCTGAAAGCTCTCGCTTCGGAGACACTCATCCTGTCTCGCCTGATCAAAAGTCAATTCTGAAAATGATTGGAAGTCAAGATTTATATCGATAGGGTAACTGCCTTGGGAAGCAGTATCGTGATCTTTCAAAGTAAGGTTAGCGATAATCATTTACCAAAGATGATGGTCGCCCCTACCATCTTCAACGGGGATTCCATTTGAGTCCATCAACCGCCGAATAATTCTGGCTGGCGCTGAAACACCACAATTCGGTATGGCAAGCTCATCTAGGCATCGCAAACACACCGTCAAGGGAGAATTCGCCTCTCGTCGCCGGGTGCTTTCCCAAACGGTAGGATTGCGGGCATGGATAGTGCATGCCACATACACAGCGTAACTGAGCATGTAGTTGGCCTGGCGGAGTGAATAGGTTGAGCGATACGAAAGCGCCAGGCGAGTAATATTGCGAGCCGCGGTAATGCAGCGCTCCCAAGAATCAGCAGAGCTATGGGTAGAACGAAGGTGTCCGCTGGAAATGAAAGGGCGATGCAAGAGAATGATGAGGGCATTATATGTGGTTAAAAGGATGATGACATTAGGAGCAGCGACAACAAAAGAGTCTGACGATGCCCCAACCCAAGGCTCAAAACGTAGCTTTTGTGGTAATTTTCGATACCAAGCAGACAACCGGCGATCGATGATATCGAGATATTTTCGAGCCACATCACCCGTTGCTCCAACAACGTAGAATCGGTCAATGATACTGGTCATCAGCTTCGAGAGCGAACACAACTGTTGGAACACGGAAATTGAATGTATGCGTGTTAGGATGGAATTCGTTTTCGCTGTTGATGTGCCAGGCAGTTGTGGGTCAACATAAGGCGTCCATAACTCGTTTTCTTCGAACGTATCCATGAAGTCTCGCGAGACATGTACATCGCGGAGTTGAATGGTAAATGGCCGACCAAAGTACAGACTTTGCAGTTTGTCACAGATGAACGCGGCCCAAAACACCCTCCGACGGACTTCTATATCCTCAGCGCTTCCTGCAACAGCATCGCAATCCAAGTGAAGGCCGAGGTCATATACCATACGAAGTGCATAGCCTGTGTACAGCCAACCTTTAGAGGTTTGCCCCCGAGCGTTGAACGTACTTCCCAACATTAGCAACCCAGCAACAGTAGATATGCTGGAGTAGGCGAGAAGTGATTTCTCTGCCAGTAACTGGTCACAGCGATCAAAAAACTGCTTTCCAGCGGTCTCTGGGCGTGTTATATCGGAACGAACGTCCAGGCGCTCCGAGAACTTGCTTGAGCAGGCGAAAACTGCATTGATCAAAAACTCAGAGCAATATGGGCCACCAGAGAGTAGGTCTCTCATGAAAGCTGGCCGATAGGTCAGAAGAAAAGTGTGATGCTGCCGATTCCAGTGAAGATCAAGCAGGTGCATTGCAAGCTCAGAGGGTATGCCGGCAATATTTTGTTGGCAGCGCAGATCGTACTCTGTTTGCCTTTGCAGCGCAGCATACGCTATTAATCTGTAGGGGTCAGGCTCGCATTTTGATTTCGATGTCGGAGAGTCCGCAAATTCAATTGAGCTCCCTGCATGCCATACTGAAGAGGGCCCGTAAACTCCAATAGTTCCGCACTCATCTCTCGATATAAAGGGTGTAAGATCATAACCATCATCCTCAGAGCTGGAGGGATTCAAATCATCCGCTGTATTACTTACTAACAGGTTCGAGCCGCTGCCACCAGCCTTCGTCTGATCAAGCCGTGTGCTTGTTTTCTCGAGGCTTGTCAAAGCATCGGAAATGTCCAGGCAGCCATCTCTGACTAATAAGGAGCTTAGAATTGAATCACGACTAAGTCCATCCGCATTTTTTAATGCAATGAGGATTTTTTCAACGGAATGTTTTTGTCGATGGGCCTCGTTGACCAGAGCTCGAGACGGCCTAATAAAACAAGTTATCAGTAATAGAGGGTCATTTCGCTTTCGGAACAAAGTACCTCTGTCTAGGTGGATTGTTCGTATATACACATTGGCGGTCATGTGCGGTACAAGACGCGCATCTCGGTTTGATTGTATCGCATTTGATCTTCCGCACTCGGCAGAATTCGCACGCCCGTACTGCCCCGGCTTGGGAAAGAGAATGTGAAGAAACTGTTTTCGGGCTCATAGTTGAACTATGCCTAGTCGAATTTTCGGAGGAATTGTTCACGCTACGGGGTTACTGACGGGAAATCACATAGCGCAGAAAATTCGCATAACCCTGATTCTCGGAGGAGATGAGTGTAGATATTGCCTAAAAGCCCCGAACAGTGGCCGAAGTTTGTACAGCTAGCCGCAATGCTAGGAAAAAGTCCAAGGTTAGAGAAAGAAGTGATTGAGAGAGCTGCCTAGAATTGAGTAGTGAAACTGGTGACCCCGCGTATGCAAACAGGAATGCGCTTGCCTGCTTATTAATGCCAATTTCTTTAGCCAAGTTGACTAACTAGTTTGTTAAATATTTAACTAACGTGTTAGTTAGTTAACGTAATTCATAAGCGACCCCCCCACCTCAAAACACCGTAATAAATGCGATAGATGAAACTCAATACCTTTACAACAATACCTTAATATGAGGTTCTATTATATCCTAGTATTATTTAGGTCATATCACGTCTCCTTATGAGGTTTAAAAACCAATCATATTGTTTATGGTTCGGGCTTATAAATTCGCACCTTAACAGCAGCAGCAGCAGCAGCAGCAGCAGCAGTAGTAGTAGTACGTAGTGTTCATTTGCTTGATTTAGTTTGTCTTACCTACAGCCACTATGCGGGAGTGCAGTTACGCCTGCTCAACAGTTAGAAGGCTCGTTGTCCGAGTAGTCGTTCTTGTCGTCGCAATCCCAGTGGCCTCATTCTCACCATCATCCTAATCAGGTATAGCCGTTGACGGGAGATACCCCTTTTATTGTCGGTGGGACCTACATCCTCGTTCCCGCCCGCTACGTGCAGGAGGTAAGCACCCTTTCGCTATGTGATATCGTACTTATGGGGTAAACTGAAACCGATCGTGCTGAACCCTTCGAAACTCAAACAATCCATTTTCATCCACCCGCCGTATTTCAGGTGTTCCGTGACCTATGGTTTACATGCTCTAGCAGCCACAATTGCCGACTCAATGTCAACCGAAGGCCCCCATGGCACAGAGTGGTATCCAGTCAGCTGCGAGATTTGCGTAAAACTGATATCAAATTCCACGACGAGAAGCAAAGCTGCCGGAGATATCAGGGCCGATGCTATGATCAATGTCAGCCTTGATGGCAAGCAATGAATATGGATGTAAGAGCTGCGAAGTGAACTGGGTGCTATTGGAAAATTGCAAACGAGGACAGGATAAGTCTCAACTCTAGCGCACATAGTAGTGCAATAATAAAACAACACGAATATGAAATTGCGTTGGCATAGCAGCTAATTCAGCGGATCGTTTTGATCATTGGAGGCTACGGGATGAGCAGGATCTTACCATCACCCGTGCTTAAGACGCGACACGTCTGACGCCCCAGAAACATCCCCAAGCATAGGGGTGCCCGGAACAAGATCCCGGACGTTCTTGGGCTCCAATATCCCGAAAGTCATGGCTACAAAATGCTGGAGTGAGGTGTGAGAAGAAATATTTTGTGCTACTGAATACCGACAAGCCGACAGACAGTATTTACGTAAATCAATATGCTCCTGACGTCTCGATTTCTTGCTAATGAAGAGAAATAAAAATATCGCCACCAAGGCCAAAATGTGACTGTAAGGCTGTTCTACACTATCCCAGTACCGGCCCAGAAGTTATTTTCCGATTTCTTGACAAGTGCGCCAGACTTTGGCACGCCATGGCTGGCCAAATTTGTAGCTTCAGTTCTATCCCAGGGCTGTCACTGAAGCGAGGAAACAACGCCATGCAAAAAGTAGTTCGAGAAACAACTTGCACAATCTAACCCTTCGAGGAAGTACAAGACGGTTCGAACACACCAGGGTGATCGGTGCAAGATGCTCAGGGGATCGAAGCGACGACAGAAACCAGAAGAAGCCGAGATCACGAAGGAAAGGCAACGAGCGAAGTGAGTTGTATTGACTAAATGATTGCCCAAAGGGGAAAACGCTACGTATCTAGTATCAGAGTGGCCGCACTGACACCTCAAGCACACAGATTATTATAAGCCGACTCCTTGTGACCAAACCTCTTATTCGAAATCCATTTTGTCTAAATTGCCCGGAAAGCGCTTGCTTTACATTGACAAAAGTTAGAATCCATCTCCTAGCGGATCCTTCAGCAAAGCTGCGGTGCGGGGAACTGTGGGGAAGCGGGCTTATTTCTTGATAATTTCCACCAGTGATAAGCTTAACGGATAAACAGCATGAAGGGGAATATTTATCTGTATTTGATAAGTGGGCTATGCTCTCTCGAATTTGTAGAATATTTGCAACTCCCAAGAAAAGCAAAGTGATTGCTGTCGTTTATTCTCACGTCATACAACAATGCGCCTCTTACATTGTCAGCTGTTGACACTTTTGGTTCTAACGGCTAGGGCAGAAGCTAGCATCTCCCCGTCCCAGCGACGAAATATAGTGAGATCATTCAACCCACACCGCAATGTCAGCTCATCAACAACACCTCTGCAAGTCGGAAATGGCAATTTTGCCTTTGGCGCCGATATCACTGGCTTACAGACATTTTCGCACTTTGCCATAGAGAGTACCTGGACCTGGCACAACTTCAGCCTGCCAACTACTTCAGGACAAACCTTACCCTCCGGTATGTATGACAGCAGCTCAGCAGCACTCCCAACCAGAATGTTGACACTCGGCGTTTAATGGCGTGCTACAGACTTCACGGGTTTAAATTGGTGGACGCATGACCGCCTCGTGAACTACGATATGCCAAACCCAACAGAGGAAGATATTTCAAATTGGCTTATCGAAAACCCACAAAGATTAAACCTCGCAAACATCGGTCTCTTCTTCGGCGGAGATAATGTCACAGAGAACCAGCTGGTAGAAAAGTCTCAAGATCTGGATCTTTGGGCAGGTACAATCCAGTCTACCTTCCGCTACAAGGGGTCAGAGGTATCTGTAGAGGTCTGGTGTCATCCAACACTGCCTACTGTGGGTATCCAGATCAAGTCCGATCTTCTAGAATCTCGCGATCTGGGGGTTTTCTTTGACTTCCCTTACTCCGACACTAACAAGTTCGACGCCCCATATGTGGGCGTGTGGAACGACACCTCTCATAATATCGTCAAATTGCGCTCTACTGCCGGTATGGCTTCCTTCGAGCATATTATCGACAGCAATAGCAATGAGATCATGGCCAAATGGAACACGGAGGCTTCCGTTTCCGGCCCTCTACCAGGTTCAAACAAGTTCGTTCTCAGCTCTTCGGGATCCGATACTTTGCAGCTCGTGGTTGCCTTCGATACGGCCAATTCTCAATATAAACTCCCATCCTATGACAATATTGTCGCGGCGTCCAAAGAGTGGTGGGCTGACTATTGGGTATCCGGCGCATTCATTGACCTCTCAGCAACCGAAAATGCCAATGCAACAGAGCTTCAGCGTCGTATTATCCTCTCGCAGTATCTTGTCGCCGTAAACGAAGCGTCGCATAACCCTCCACAAGGTTCGTGCCAGGTCCCTCTTGTTTCCGGTCCTTTGGATGTTAACTTTATTTTAAAGAGTCAGGTATTGGGCCCCCATAGCTGCGCTGCCTATATCTTAGCCGTGCCACTTACAGAACTTCATATAGGGTTGGTAAATAACGGATGGTACGGCAAGTTTCACGTAAGTTTCGTTCACGTCGGCCACAAAGAGCGGCTCGGATCCGATCCCTCATCTGCTAGGGAGTCTTGGACATTCAACTGATTTTAGAAAAGCTCGAAATGTTCCTGTGGCATTGCCTACACTTTGCCCGATGGGGACACTATGATCTCCTTTCCCGGAGTGTTCCCAGCACATACCAGCGATTCCTTCAATCCAGCATTGACCGCGCTACTGCGCAGGGCTATGAAGGTGCACGCTGGGGTAAAATGACGGATACTACTGGCCGCAGCGCCCCTGGTGAAATCAATGCTCTTCTCATCTGGCAGCAGCCTCATGTCATGCACTTTGCCGAATATTTTTATCGAGCGTTTCCACATGAGAATACATTGCGAGAGTGGGACGAAGTCCTGACGTCTACGGCCAATTTCATGTCCTCGTATGCGTGGTGGAACACGACTACACAGGTTTACGACCTTGGTCCTCCCTTGTACCCGGTCAGCGAGAACACAAATCCCAACTCCACAATCAACCCGACATTTGAGATAGCATACTGGCGCTTTGGTTTAAATGTTGCTATTCAGTGGAAAGAGCGCCAGGACCTCCCCATTCCGAAAGACTGGGTCACTGTGCGGGATAATCTCGCCCCGCTGCCTGTCATTGACCACGCCTATGCCGTCTATGAGGGCATTCCGGATATGTGGAAGCCTGGAACTACCACCTTACAGGACCACCCTGCAATGATTGGCATCTACGGCCTACTTCCACCTCCCTCGACCGGCCCCTCTCTCAACTTAACCATCATGCACAATACAGCTCAGCTCATTCGGGAGCGGTGGGACTTTGGAGACTCGTACGGCTGGGATTTCAGCATGTTGGCCATGAATAGCCTCCGCCTTGGCGATGTAGACCAGGCCATTGCTTATCTCCTCGATACCTACTACGTCTTTGACGACGCAGGTTACCCTGAGGGTGGCAGTCGAGTTCCCACTCCTTATATGCCTGACGCTGGTGGCCTGCTTCTCGCCACCGCCATGATGGCGGGGGGCTGGGATGAAGATGAAGGCCCACATTTCCCTACAGATTGGAATGTGACAGTAGAGGGCTTTACTCCGAGCCTATGAGTCGGAAAGATCAATGAAGAAGCCTAGGTCGTGTTCTCTAAGCAGGTAATGAATTAGAGGGAGGGATGTAAAAACCTTTGTCAAAATATGGGCGTACGACAGTCCCACATGGACGTGTAAATCACGAAGAAATAAATCTCTGATTCAGATAAATCTGGGAATGCCCGACAATTTAGAGGGCTCTCTAACTAATGAATGACTAATACATAATAGAAAATATTGATGAGGGGTAAAATCCGGTAAAATCCCTGTATGTGATCTGTAGGAATTCCAATTCTTGACAACCTTCTCTGTGTCTGCCTGTAGATCGCAACTTGGTTGTAGGAATCAACCAACTTCTAAGATATATCAACCCAACCTTTTGTACACTTAGTTGGTCAAGTGTCCAATGCTTTCAAATCTGATGGTCAATGATGAAAATTTTCGAATCTAATACTGTCTACCAAGGACCAGCGTGTGGTGTCGGACACGAGATCAAGCCAGTCCTATTCACACCGCCTTCTAAGGTGGCATGATCATCAGCGCGTGGTCGTTCGACGGAGACTGCCGGTCGCGTTGCAGCATATGCCGTCCTTCACTCTATCGAGATCGATCGATCCCAAATGCAGTCGGTATCCGCGCAGGCCCCAACCGGGCAAGACCCACACAATGACCGTAGACCGTCAGTCCGTGTTCCGCGTGCTTGCATGCGATGTCGACGACAGAAACTCAAGGTACGAGAGCTACTTGCTGAATCTACACGCTACGAGATACTAATACCCATACGACACATAAGTGTGACCCAGCCCGCCCATGTACAATGTGCGTGCGATCCGGCAATGAATGCCAAGCTCGTGAGCCCATTCTTCCCCGACGGGCACACTACAAGCGTAAGCAGCAGTTTCCAGCTTCGGTCGATGCTTGCACCATCAACAAGTGCCATCTATACCGTCCTGCGGTTGAAAAAAATCCTACCCTCGATGCGCAGGACATACCTACCATTACTAGGCAATGCCCCACGGAGAGTTCGCAGAAGGGTGATGCTGTTCCAACCGATCCCCAACGTTTCGGAGCTAATAGCTCTGCCGTGGGCTTTGCATCGAGGCTATTTGGGGACCAAATTGATTCTCCCAGTGATCAATTTACAAGTATTCCAGGACATATTCCTGATTCAACGATAAATGAAACTGGATGGACTTTGCAAAGTTTACAACGGCTTCCTCCATTAGCTGTGCTGACTGTCCTTTTTGATGCTTATTTTGATCAAGTGCATTGGTTCATTTTTATTTTTTACGAAGCTTCGTTTCGCCAGAACTCGTTGGAAATACTGTCCAGAGTCGCATGGAACAAAACACATGTGGGAAAAATCCAAGTGGCCTTGATGGTCGCAGCCGTTGGTCTATACAGTGTCAAAGACGATGTTAGCTGGCCCGGACATCAGATCTTGAGCGCTGCTTCTATCGACCCTGAAGATCTTCTCAACAATTTGATCAACGAGGCACGGAGCAGCTTTATAGATCTTCTTGATGAGTGTAGTATTGAAACCGTGCAAGTATGCATACTCCTCGGAACGTACTACATCTACAACGGATCACCAACCCTTGCTTGGAGCATTATAGGACAGGCAGTGAGAACCGCATACGCCCTGACACTATACTGTGATAATTTGAATGAAGGTAACATTGTTGTTACACAAATTCGACATCGCCTTTGGGCTCACGTACTCGTTGCCGACACTTTTGCTGCCATGGTATACGGTCGACCCTTTTCCCTGGATCCGGCATTTTCTCAATTACTACCGTTACGCGAGCTGGATGATACTAAAATTCCTGTCTCTTTTAGAGATCACCCATGCTTCAATGGCCGTCGAATGCCATTGACAAAATTATCATTTGCCAGGCTCAAACACCGCCTTTATGATTTGATACGCCTTGCTCTGAACAAATTTCGCTTGCTTTTCTCACAAACTACAGTACCTTTGGAAAGTGCATCCTCGTTGATCTGCTTTGTCAAGGAAGCCAACTTGTCACTGGAAACCTGGCGTGCGGACCTGCCTCCTCTCTTTGACTGGGAGCTTTGGCCGGAAAACGGTCCTGCTGCGATGCTACCCAGCGAAATAACATTATCAGAATCGGGACGAAAAACTCGAAGGCATCTTATTCTGCAGGCGATAACCCTTCAAATATCCTACGATTGCGCGGTGATTTTCATCAACCGGCCAATCCTCGAGTATCGGTCTCATATCGAATCTCATCCTGAATTGTCGTCGTCTTCATCGCAGGCTGTTGCGCAATCTTTTCACGCAGCGGCAAATGCAGCAATTCGCATTTCAAAGACCCCAGTGGCTGCTACTGCGAAAGGATTCAATGCCTGTTTCCTTCTCATGAATTACTTTACGGCTGGTGTGATTCTTTGCGTCATTCCTACAATTATACCTTATTCCCCTCTCTCAAATGAAGCCAAAAATGCGCTTCTACGAATTATACATTCCAGCCGAGTGCTCAGGAGGTCCAATAAGATTGCGAAACACACAGAGGAGCTTCTTTCAACTTTGATGCGGCTCAGCCTGCAACAGGAGATGGAAAATGCACTTCGCCATGACAATGGCGTCGTCCAGAGAAAATCAGCCGCGGAGATCTCAATGCCTTCCTATGGGGCGCAGTCTTGCCAACCTCCCCGGCCGGAATACTATCCTGAGCTCATCTCATCCATCTCCCAAAGGCCTGGCACGAGCAACGTTCTGGAAGATGGAAAAGTAGCTGAGCAAAATAGCTTTCAAGCTGTGGCATTGGAAAACCCATTACCTGGCTACAACGAAGAGAACGAATCTTTTGACAACCATCTGGACGATATCCTTGGGACTTTTGGTCAAGGTGAGCTATCCTCACATGTGACGATAACTATTGGCGGCTGACATTGCGGCATCGCAGCTTTTTTTAATCTGAACCCCGGGGATCCACTTGCTGCTTGGACATGGGGAAACAGAGGTCAGGTTGGCCACAATGGGGAATGAAAGAATGAAACTAAGATTCCGAGCTTCGACGCATGTTCATTTTTCAAAGCTCCAGTGGGATGTATACCAGGACCCGTAGTGGGGGCTCCAAAGAGATTAATTAAAATCGGGTGTGGCAGCTTCTGACTATCTTTAATCCCAGGATCAGCTTTCGCATCTTCGAGTCATTCTTCAGGGGCCAGTTGTGTCTCGCCAAAAGAACGAAAGTCCTTCTTGTATACACCTGTGCATGTTGTGTAAACTCTACTGCAGTATTTGTAGTGAAGTTTTACGTTTTACAGCAGCGCCAGGTCCAAAATTATGAGGCATGATGGGGCCATCAAACGGATTTATCATACGATGGCCAGGGCGCATGCTTTTCTCTCTCTCCCTTTTCTGTAGCTTTTGTTTTTCGAATATTGGGTTAGGGACTGATCTGAAATTGCTGTATCTAATATACTTCATGTCAAGTTTTCTATCCACCCTTAGATCTATATCAAGTGAAATTCCAAATACCAAGTGTTAGTCTACGAAACTTGCTTTTAATTGCATTGTAAACAGTCCAGCGAACAGCAAACCAAAAATATATAGAAAATGTATGGAGTTTGAGAAGAAGTTATAAACGACAACCTGTGATAGCCAGTTATTACAAGTTGAAGATACATTACGGTAAGGTCTGCGTTGTGGGGGCTGCGCTATTAGACGGCTGACCGGCACTGCGATCTTGCCTGGCTGGCCCCACCAAGTGTCTACTTTACAGGGGTTCCTGCTTATGCTGATTGGTTGATTGATACTGCATGTCCACCGGAAGCAATGCTACAAATCTAAATTCAATGCAGTTTTCGTGTTGTGATTCCGGTGGATCCCACATGACAAGTAATCAAAAGTTTTCGGAGAGACGTGTGGAGGGCATATCAAACGTATTTGGGGCAGTTCATGAAGTTGACTTTTACGAAGAGCTTAATTTCGAGCTCAATGCAGAAACGAGTATAGGATCCGTTGCTTTTTATCCTAGCGCAGGGATTGAAATATGACTATACTGTAACTTTGCAAGTAGTCAAGACACGTGTATCCCCCGGAAAAGAAGGTGTTTGCTTTAAAGGAAAAATCCCAGTGCTACGCGTTGGAGGTCAATGCGTCATGTTACAGGCCTAGGAAAACCACCACTTTTGCGCTAATGGCAGATACCAAGACCTCACTAAGGTTTTCGTACGACGTCGACCGATCGGTGATTACTTGAGAGGCATAGATTGACAGGACTGGCCTAGGATTGATGGTCCCGTTACTATTCATGAATTTCACTGGTATCTTAGTTTGCCGAGCTTGTGTTGTCTGTAATCTTACTTCACCGGCTACTGAACTCGCGGCCGACAAATCTCAGTGGCATGTTTATTGGATAGCTCTAGATGAGCTTGCAGCTATTAAATAAATAACCAGGGCAGAAACAGCATTTATCCGACTGATAGTCGTCTGAGAATATTCTTTCTATAAAAATAAATCTTGGTGGTGAAAAAGAGATTTACGCAGTGATTAAGTTATCTGAACAGGTTATCTCTGAACGGGTTATTTGTGATTATCATGCGTAAAACTTTGTGCCCCGAAGCATAATAAAGACTTAAGGAAATGAGATTCCTTGGGACAACGTTTAAGTTTCTACTAGGTCTCGTAGTGAGTGGTGTGACCTGAAAATCCAATCTCCTTACAGCTCCCTGTCGCATCGCCACGGTCGCTACCATCAAAACATTGTGCGAAGATTTCGATATCTGTTTGGGGTGAAGGACTTGTTCGTTTGACGGACACGGCAGCTGCAGAAAAGAAACGGAAATCCCAAAATTAGCAAACCAAGGTCTTCTTATCAACCATCGTATTGCCCCTATTGTATACACAGGGGCCGGTAAGTGATAGTGTAGAGACATACCTCTATCTCGAGCCACAATTATCCCTGGATTACCCTCAAAATATCGATCGATGTCTTCAAGTGTCCTTCCAGTCGTCTCCGGATAAAAGAGGTAGGTGACGGGGATGAACGAAAAGCAGATGATGGCCCAGATGATCCAAAAACGCCAGCTTAGATTTTGAATGCCGATAGGCGTAATTTGAACAACCATGTAGTTCTGTGAATGGAAGCCAATGTGACAAATTTGATCAGCAACAAAACGTTTATTGTGTCCTATCACTTCGCCCCGTAAAGGTCGTGATATGTTGGAGAGACGAGAACAAAACACATACAATGATCCACTGTATAGCAGCAGCGAGGGAAGCGCCTTTGGTGCGCATTTCGAGAGCATTTATCTCCGCCGCGTAGACCCTATTCTCTTAGTTTTTAGCGGTTGCATTTCGGCCTTGAGAGTATGATTCAGCTGACCAAGTAACACCAAGAATACCCATCCCAAAAGATGCAAAGAAGATGAAGAAGAAAGCGACGGCTACAATATTCAGTCTGTAGGTATCTCCAAGTCCTTTGTCAGAGAGATAGAGGACTATTGCAATGACTACCCAACAAATACAGCAAGCGGCTGAGGATAATATCATGACTTTCCGACGACCAAAGTGTTCGATGGTGAAGAAAGCGGCACACGCAAAGAAAAGATAGTCCATGCTGGCTGCTGCTGCGAGAAGACGGGAGAGGAGCTCATCGAAGTTCAAGGCGTTTTCAAAAATGTATGACATATAGTAACTAGCCTCTTGTGTCAACAACATTGTGTCGGATTTTTGAAGAGATTCGGCGAATCATAAGACTGACTAGAGTGAAATACATACGACGTAAGGTTAATGCCAGATAGTTGATTCATGGCTTGTATGCCAATGCCGAGCATCATTCGTCGGAGAACACCGGCCGGCCCTGAACGAATGTCAGCGCTGGCAACGGAACATATATGCCTGTATGCAGAAACTGCGTTCATAAATACCTTTCCCAGTCACCAATTGAGCCCACGAATAAGTGTTGATTTGCTCGGTATTCAAGACGTTTCTAATATCCTCAAACTGGGCCCTTACTGACGGCGAGTCTGGATTGGCGCCATTCCCCTCTAAAGCAGCGAGAACCTCTAGTGTTTCCGCATGCTTTCCCTTTCGGAGAAGCAATCTCGGGGAGTCTGGCAAAAACGGACACATGAAACAGATCAGTAAGGAGAAGAGGACTTGAAAAGCGAGAGGAAATCTCCATGCGACGCTGCCTTTCGCAAAAGAAAATCCTAACGTGAGCCAGTTGGAAATGGCAAAGCCAGTGATACAGTTTGCCTTTGAACAATAACCCGCCACTTAAAGTCAGCTTCAATATTGATATGATGGGAGCTAGACATAAGGAGGGAGAGGGTAAGAAGCTACCATTTGCACAATGATCAGCTTTCCGCGGCTGGAAAATTTGCTAGTTTCAGCTTGCCACACAGAGGCGGTTGCGGTATTCATTCCTGTTCCAATTCCTGCTATGACTCTTCCCACGATCATTTGAGCGACATTAAAGGAAGATGATTGGATTATCGCTCCGATTGCAAGGACAATACTGCCCAGAATAAGCTGCCGGGGCCGGCCAATGAGATCTCCTGACCACATAGTACTCAGCGAGCCCACGAAAGCGCCGATCGTGTAGAGAGACGCCATCGTACTCAGAAGGTCTGAAGAGGGATTGCCAAAGGTTTTGAGAAAGTTCTTATTGATGATAACATTGCCGAAGACACCCTATACGAAAGAATAGCACCACATTAGAACAGCCAGATCAATCTATCTGTTTGTCTCCCAACCGCGGGAATAAAGCAGAGAATATGTAGAGTTGAGCACACACCTGGTCGTAGCCGTAAAAAATCAACACAGTCGAAGCTGCAACCGAAATCCACACGGTCAAAGGGTGACCAGAGCCACCCAAATACTTTCGAGACATTGACAAGGAGCCTTAGATTTAGATATGTCTCACGTCTTTCGCCGAAGCAGAGTCAAGGTGACGAGGATTGTCGTTGGTGCCACTTAAGAACCACACACCAACGGGAGAGATCAGTATAAGTACTCTTTCCCCCAATGCCCACGGGCGGCCCGAGGTAAACTCAACCACCCGAACAAGCTGGGTATTTAAGATGCGGGGAACTTCATCTCCATGAGAGCGAACATTACTGAGTGTAGCTCTCCGGTCGTTTACCGGCTTCCGGTGGATATCATGGCGGGTGTAAATGTGTACACGCGCGTCATCATCCGTGACCCACTTTGTTCCACCGGAAGTTCGTAGAAAGTAAACGCCCCGAACGGACGGGACAGAACGTGGACTACGGCGTGATTGTTGGCTCCGAGCGCAAAGATTACTAGTCCACTTGTGGTACGAAGTCTGTGATCCTGTTTTAGTGTCCGTAAGGAAAGCCCTTCTCACTCGTCACTTTTTTGGATTCAATTTTGTAGGAGATATAATAGGATTGGAGCAGTCTAATTGCTTTCGTTGTCGGACCAAGTAGTAAACTTAAGCACTTTTCAAAGAGGCTGCCAGTTGTAGTGCTCAAGCGCGCCAAGCTTTAGGTTCTATTATGAGGAGGTACTTATATCCACCTCTACCTTCAGCTATAGACCTACCTATATGGTATCGTGGAATCCGTATACCTTAGTAACGAAAATACCTCCTACCACGCTGTGACCCATCCACCTCCCCCTCCCCCAACCAATACACCCCTATTTAGCAAGACGTTACACCTAATGCCATGATACCTACCATCTTACCTATCAAAAAGTCACTCAGAGATCAAGTTACTAGATCACTAGCCGGTCAGCTTTGTCATACATTCGTTTTCCAACTGACCTGGGGTCCAGGGAATATTCATCCAATACCTTGCTGAACAAGGGCATAAGGGTCGTTAACTCAGAACGGAAACCAGATAAGACCGTTGATAACACAGATCTTGGTGCACACCGAACGATGATGCCAACGTGCCGTAGCGTCCGTAGTGTCACACAGCCTCAACCTCGAGTTCCTCGGCGATGTAATTCCCAAGACAACTATTTACAAGCAATTAAAAGAGAAAGCTAATACGGCGGTTGGGAAGGGGGTGGTGGTGTTATGGAGAAGGGCCAGCGTACATTGAACGGGACTAGTGGGCCCGTCAGCAAGTCGAATGCCACATCGACTAAATTTCCAACGGCAGTGATTATGGCACTAGCAGAAGAAGAGTCTCGGTCGATGCCAGTGACTCGGGCACCAGTAGTCACGCACTCGTCGGAGTCGGTGAGAGCGCCGGTGGTGGATCGGACGGTTGAACAACCCCGGCGCCGGGGAATTATGTGACGATGGGCTCTGTACTAATTGAGCACAAATATTTGAAGAACTCAGGATTCATCGTGTCCGAATTTATAAAGATGCCCTTAACCTAGTTTTTATGAGGACAAGATCTAAATTGACTTTCGTTATTGACTTCTACCTTCTTCACTTGCTGGATCTTATTAATGCCTTAGTATTTGTTTAAAAAACTTGGTAGAGGCTTAAAAAGAGCCAAGTGCAAACTTGAGCCCTAGTTGGAAATAACATATGGCAAATCAGCCCGTCCAAAATCTATCCAAGTCCCGTCTGAATGGATTTCCATGGTACTCGAGCGGAGGGTACTACCAAATGGGAAAGCAAGATCAGCAGTTGCTCCATCGATGGCTGTCTAAAGTAGGGCTTTCCATGGCAGATTTCTCACATTGAAAGGTTTTGTGTCATATTCAATTTATCAATCTACTGTTCTTTGTGCTTGGAAATGGGATTTCCTTGTTACCCCCCCCGAGTCCCCACTTGGCTTTTGTGTAATATTCCCACCTTGAGCGATGGAATATGATTTTTATTTCGTTTTTCTTTTGGGATACAAGTAATCAGGAAAACGACAAACAATGACAATTAGCGATTGATAGTTTTTCACCCAATTTTCCTTCTTTTTGGCCCACAATGCTCCATATTCAGGAACCTCAAGAGATTGGTCATCTGTTCCTCCGTGGCAATCTGGTATGAGAACCATCTCAGCACTAGCAGAAATGAGATTAGTGAGCAAACAGATCTTTGTGATCGTGCTTGATCAAGTCAGCACCCTTCTCAGCCACCATGTAGACCGAGTTTTGGATACGGCAATCTGGAATCACGGGAATCACCGACGCATCTGCCACACGCAGGTTTTTGATGCCGTGTACCTTGAGGGAAGGATCCACAACGCCCTGATCGATGTTCTTGGAGAGACGAGTGGTACCGCAAGGATGGAACGAAGTCTGCGATCGATCCAGCACCGTCCTCTTCATTAGAGACTCGTCATCCAATGGCATCTCCCATGGGTATTCATCAACAATTATATCTTTAAAGCCTTCGCCATTCTTTAAGACGTCATAGCTGTATCTGATACCTTCGCGGATTGCAATGATATCCAGATCGTTATTGAAGTAATTAAGATTGATGTTGGCTTGCTCGAGAGGATCAGAGCTATTGAGCTTGACTTCCCCCGGATCCGAAACAGGACGGACAAGATCAACCATCACGGTCATATAGTCGCCCTTCTTAGGAGTCGGGTAGTGCCATTGGAAAGCACTACCGAATAAGCAGACAAAGTCGAGCTCAAAGTGCGGTTGACCATAGGGGGAGAAAGGATCCACGCCGCCATTAGCAGCCTTTGCTTTTTTATACTCTGGCACTTTCTCTAGATACTTGTCGATTCTAGGGAAACCAACCATTTCTAGGAATCCAGATCCCATTGGCCCACCATGATTTTTCTTGTAGGCCGCAACAGCCTGATCATGCTTAGGGCCTTTGCGAAGGACATGGTCGTCCATGCCGAACCCATCTTTCACTCGCAGAACGAAGGGCACACCTGGGTGGTCAAGCAAGTGCTGACCAACATGACGAGAGTCGACAATCGTGCGAATACCGTGTTTATTTAATTCCTCCTTAGGACCGATTCCACTAAGCATCAATAGTTTAGGGGTCTCAAACACTCCCTCAGAGACAATAACTTCTCTTGTCGCGTAGAAGTTTAGTTCTCCTTTAGGAGTGATCGCAGTGACACCTTTGCAGGAGCGATCGGCATCATCGATGATCAGACACTTCGCATGAGCCTCCGCAAGAATCGTGACGTTTGGTTTATCTTGAAGAGCCAAAAAACTTCCAGATCGCTGACCCTTATAAATTGTATTCACGCTATGGGTTAGGCCATTTAATTCGCCGTCAAATACGTTCTCTGTAATCGGCTGGCCGGTCGACTTCCATGCTTTTGTAAGCAAATCACGAAATGGTTGCATCTCCGGAATTAACGCCGAGTGAGCAATTGGAATAGGGCCGCCAAGGCCAATTTTCGTGAGCTCTTTTGGGTACTTCTTTTCATCGTCATGGTATGTTGCAGGCTTCCGAAGATAGTGAACAAGGTGATCCCATGTCCATTCCTTGCCTCCGTAGGCTTCCCACATATCGAATGTGGGCTTACAACCGGGAACCCAGGTAAAATAATTCAATGATGAGCTACCACCGAGAGCCTTGCCGCGTGTATTCGGCTTTTCAATACGCTCGTAGTCGTCACGTTTGACCATCGTAGTTTTATAGGCCCAGTCGTACTTGCTACTGCGAAGGGACATCGCTTCAGCAGGAGTCGTAATCTCATCGATGGCATGAGAGTTACCCACGCCAGCTTCAACAACCAAAACAGTAACGTTCGGGTTCTCTGCAAGGCGACTGGCAACGATATTGCCAGCGGTACCGCCACCGACAATGACAAAGTCGAAGCGGGCACCGTCTTTGGGAGTCATGATTGATATTTGACTGTTGAACAGATTCGATAATTGATTTAAGAATGGGATAACCAGAAACGAAGGGTGTTCTTCGTTCTTATGTAGAAAATAATCCGTCCTCCTTTCCGGAAGAATGTCTGTTCAACTATCCCGCAAAACTACGGCTCAGTACAAATTCTGTCAGCAAATGACGTCCCAGACTGGAAGTCAATCGACGAAATCGGAACTGGAAGGTTTCGTTAAGAAGTATATTTTGATCGAGATCAATCGAATCAGCTTCAAGAACCAACCTATGAGATCATAACAGGCCTCGAGATGGACAGAAATTCTCGCAGGATCTTGCCATGTTCAAATTGTCATTCGCTGATTTGTAGCGACCGAGATTTGATTGCAGCTTAATCCGTCGACGAGCTATGGTTCAAGTTCGGTCTTTCATTAAATAGCTCGTGTCGGCAAAAATATTGAAAACGTTGATTCGCTACTGAGGGCTTCCGAAAGAAGAGCGAGTATGGTTCCAATTAGATCACAAGCTACAGGGCGGTGGAGTCAATATTAAGACAACTTTGCCACTTTTATCCAGAATATATGGCATCGATCATATAGGCATGCGAAAAATGCTGAGAACATGAATCATGTCCAAACCTTATCGCCGCCAGCGTCGTCAAATTAGCGAATTAAATTTTTTGGTTTGAATCACCCATTGGGTAAATATAGCCCAAGGCAAAGCTGTAATCCCTGGTAACGGCAATAACGTAATCTGTATGACATACACGAACTGAAGCTACTCCTTTGGTCTTTTTTATCTAGACGATGGCATACAGAACCCGTTGTTTGGTAATGTGTAGTTATTGACCCAATATCAGATTTCGGGACGGATGTAAGGGCATAATGATGACGCAATCGGCGGCAAAATTAAGATTCACATGTAACTTTTGGATCTTCAACGATCCGATCAAACTCTCTCTGTCCAAATTTGAAGGGTATTCGAAGGGAGTTACGGAGTGAATTTGGAAATGCGTCTGGTAATGTGTCGAGTCTGCTGGGAGGCTCAAGCGAAGGTAAGATAGGTAAACTAGACACCGTCTCACAAGCTAGAACGGTCAAGGCCACTAGACTTGGTGTCTCAACGGGTTCGAAGTCATGCGCCACGAGGGTAGCATAACATAAGGAATGGCAATTATGCCATGATAGCCCTTAGTGAGGCTCTAAATTCGTTCTCAGGAAATAGTAGACTCGAGTTGTACGCACACATGATTAGACAGCGGCCCTAGCCCGTTACGTAGGGTTTCTTATTAGACCCCTAGATGGGGATGACCTGAGGGAGTAATAGGGATAGTTCGATCGTAATGATATTATTTTCATTCGAACTGCCTGGCCTAGCCGGCACTATTTATGATTAAAAAATATCAACATTCCGAATGCTAGGCCGCTCCGGCATTGAGCGTTTCATGCGGTAGTTTGGGGAATTCTTTTGGGTACAGCGCCAATCTCTGCCTGAAGTTTATACCGTACACGGATCGATTGTCGCTCTATAACATATTCGAGGAAAAAAATGGCCCTTACCTAGTAAATCATAATGCGACCGTGGGGAAGAACGGCATGATATGGACGCTGGGCCCACTTTTCCCACCAATAGGCCATCTCCCCCGGGGACGCCCTAGTGCGAGCGTGCCAGACCTTCGAGACCCTCAGTCCCGTTGGCTAGATTACGTCTGCTGAAGGGACCATCGTCGCAAATACAGTCGCAGTAATTGAAATATTTCTCTTTTTATTTTGGTGAGAAGTATGCTGAGGGTAGATGCGCGGTCCTGACCTGCTGAAAGCTCTTTAGAGGCAGTTTCGAGATCTAAAATTACGTGATGTATGTAACATGGTCATATGGATATGCGTCCATCGAGCTAAACTTATTTTGTTATAATTATGCCATATCCTCGTGTTAAAATCCCGCCCCGATGTTGGTAATGTGGAACCCCCGGTTTTACGTTGTGTGATGATTTTACTGCTAATTACAGTGTTTCCCCTTATGTCCGTGCGTTCTCTCGTCTTCCGGCTTTCTGCTGACCAATAGTCGCACCGTGTCAATTACGGTGACTGTTGTGATCCTGTGACATATTGATCGCCAATGCCATTGTTCGCAATGTTCGCAGCCATTGCCACGATCCTGACCACAGAAGAGGTCCCGGATGATAGCGGCTGGAATTACGGCTAAGAGTTACGAGTATTGCGGCAGCAAGCATCAAACCAGGCATCCGACATCCACGCATGTAAATTATCACATTTTTACTCAATTAAAATATCCACCCCGTCTCAAGAAGCCCAGCTTTGACTTTGTATGTGTGTAACAGTGTGTTCGAATGGACAGAATGCTGGCATGGATATGTTACACAGTCAGAGCTCTTACTCCATTATTCTAAATGTTTATGCACTCAAATCAATTATTTTATATTGTTGGCTATCCTAGTTAAATCTCGTGTTTTCCTGGGTCTGGGATATGTCCGGATGCGTATGTACCGTGATTGGGACCGCTCCATTCAGCATCTTCTCAGGCCAGACGATGCGGCCTTCCATCCCGCCATCGACGCTGATGCAAAGACCTGTAATGTGGCCAGCAGTCCTGTGAGACGCCAAAAATGCCATAGTCCTCGCAATATCTTCAGGTTCGCCGATCTTGGCCATCGGGACCCTAACCACACGTTTTCGTCAGTCAGTCGACTTGGAACATGAAGCAAGAAGATCAATTACAACAACAAAGGATCAGGGCAGCGTACGTCGCCTGGGCCTCAAACCAGTATTCATGCGCATTATCAAGACGACCATAGTTCATTGCCGTATCAATCCACCCGGGCGCCACGGCATTGATGCGCGCTTTACGGTTTAGTCGCACAATCTCGTTCTTGACCGATCGAACCAGGCCGTACTGCAAGCCCGCTTTCCCAGATGCGTAATCGGAGTGTCCGGCCTGGCCGTAGACCGCCGTCTCGGACCCCGTGAGCACGATACTGAGGTTATCGAGCTCTCTGCCGTTCTTTTCTTGCCATGCCTCGGCAGCGAGGAGGAAATACTTGATAGTCAGGAAAGTTCCTGTGTCGCTTTAGCAGCTTAGTTCCTGATTTCCATCCCTCTCCCCTCAAGAAGCTAGAAACCAGGAAGTACTTGCTCACCTCGTACGTTGTTATGGTATCGCTTCTCCCAAACATCAAGCGGGATCTTCCAGATCGGCCATGCATGCGACTCATCGGACACACCGGCATTGGCGATAAGCATATTGACCGGCTGTCCAAAGTGGTCTTGTGCGGCCTTGAAGCATGCTTCGATCTGCTCAGGGTCGGACATGTCACCTTTGACGGCATAGAAGTTCTCTGCCGGTTCGCCGGGGGCATTCTCGATTTCACGCACATCATGGCCAGTCACCTTGCAGTCAGCATCTAGAGGTTGTTAGCATGTTCTTGTCCTTGCTTGGTATTTATTATCCTGAAAATGCAATAAGTTATGGACACATACTGAGGAATTCGACGACTGCTGCAGCGCCGATACCCCCTGCTGCTCCCTGTCCAGATGGCATCAATCAGTGACAATTAATTATGAATTTGTGGTACAGTTCCGCCTGCCGGGCCGAAGCCTTAGACTCTGATCTTACCGTCACAAAGACATGGAAACCTTCAATTCCTAAGAATGATTGGGGCATTTTATCGCTCTTTCTTTGTCTTTCTTTTTATATATTTTTTTTTCCTGGTTTTCTTGAAATATCGGGGAACAGGTCCTTGCTATTTCATCAGTTTTCTATAGAATGTACCTGTAGCAGACAGCTTTGTTGGCCATATATCTAAATATTCAGCTAGTGCCGTCGATTTGACACTAGGAAAGGTCTGCCTATCTTTTTGCCTATCTTTTGCTTATCTTTTGCCTATCTTGGCCCTATCTTTGCCTCAACTACTTTGACCTAAATAGCTAACTAGTAACTTAACTAGCTAATGTGGTACACTACTACTGTATATGCGAAGACATGGTAAAATAGTGCTAAACTACTAAGAGCATCGGCTAGGAATTCTAACTTGTATGGGCATGGGGCTGTACAAGTGATCTTTTCTGTCTGTGCTGTGTTATTCGTTTGATCTTAAGCGAGGCATCTTTTATCACTCAAGGTACCCTCAGACAACTGGAACCTGTGTGTGGTTCACCCATCTGACGCATCTCGGTACACCTTCGTATGACCAAGGTCGATCAAGGTCCGTGATACCGTGTTGCTGTGGCGCTTTTCTGCAAGCTGAGCTGAGAGTTTCAGTCTCCAGTTAGATATATCTAAACCTTTATCGCCCTATCGCCCGGTCGCTGTCTCTGATCGGCAGGACAACCCTCCCGGGGAGGTTGGTGGGTCACAGACTTTTGTGGCGCCAAGTTATTATAGAAGTCAGACCAAATAAGATGATTATCTCAAGCGATATTAGTTCTTCCAACTTGAGATGACCTTAGTGATCTAGTCAGACCAAATAGAGTTCTGAAGAGTAAAGAGTGCTTTGCTCTACAAAGTCTATTCACTCCGTTCCTACAAGAGTCAAGACAGTATTGAGTCCAACAGCGCCAGTTTGTCATCATTGTGAGCAGGCTCTGAGTATAGAGTGGGAAGGGCTCAGGGGAAGATACCCGAAATAAGGTTTGCCGGCTAACATGGGAGCCTTAGGTCAAGCAACTAGCAGTGATAAAAAATTCAGAGGATAATTCATTGATTTAGATATTTAACCATATGGCCCTCGGTTTATTTCCAATGAACGCATTTATATAAATATGTTTTGCTTTAAATGCGGTCAATTCTTCATATTATTAAAATGTTATAATCCTTGTAATGTGTCTCCATATATTTATTCCTGAGTTTTCTATAGCTTATTTATGTCCAATCTTATAATTTTATTTAATGTGACGCTTATGGGACTTCACACACCCACATCTATACAATTGAGACTAGCACACTTTTGTAAAATTCAACAGATGGGGATCTGGATATCAAGCAACAATATCTACCCAATGAGCAAGCATCGTGCTCTTAGAGCATCAATTATGACTTCTCACCCTCCAACCACATCAACTTTCCATATTTCCCGCCATTTACATCTAAGATGTGTCCTGTGATACTTCCGCTAAGGTTCTCACTGGCCAAAAACAAGATGCCCTTAGCCACTGCTTTCTCAGGTATCGGTTTCCCACTAGCAGATGTCGCCTGCGAGTCCTTCCATAACTGTGATTCATCGGCCGCACACTCTATTTTGAACTGTGGTGTGTCCACAGGGCCTGGAGCTATTACATTGACGCGACCATCGGGGAAGATGCGCGGCACATCTGCCTTGAGACTGGGAAGTAGGCCGTACTGCACTGCCGCCTTGCCCACCGCGTAGTCGGGGTTGGTACGTTCGCCGTAGTGACCCGATTCTGAGCCAGTGATGATCAGGGAGACATTACGTGTAACGCCGGGGATGGCATTCGCGCGAATATGTCGCAGCCACGTCCGCGACGTCAGGAATGTACCGAAGACGTTGATATGGAGCGTGTGCTGGAACTGATATGGAGTCATGTCGCAGCTGCTTGGAACGTGGTTCAGCGCACTGTAGTCGAGAGAGGCGAGCGCTACGCAACACGCCACAACCCCGAAGCGACCACATGCGCGTTCAAAGCACTCTTCCAACTGTGACTCGGACGTTATGTCGCAAATTTCCTTATTCAGATTGGGATGATTGCCCAGATTGTTAAGTTTAACAGCATTGATGTCTAATGCAGTGACTTTGGCGCCCACAGAGAGAAAGCCGGCTACCACAACGCTCCCTAGATATTCACAAGTTATTTAACATTTGAAATGATGCAATATGTGTATCCGTAGCTATAGTGCATTAACGTACCGATGAAGCCAGCCGCACCAGTAACAATAACATGGGTGTCTTCCAATCCATACCCAACCTCAAAGAGTTCAACCATCGTGAGACCGATTTCAGAGCAAACCTGTGTTCTGGGAAATCGTGAATTAGATGTACGCCACTTTCTGCAGAGGCAAATTCTGTGGGTGAAATATGGGTGGTCGAAATTCTTGCGACAATAACTAACGGATCGTGTTGGAATTATTGTGCCCTAAATACATTATATGCAACATGCAGCGTACCCTATCAAGCTATACAGAGGGGTACGCGGAATGCAAGAGATTGTTACCATGATTATCTCGTATAATTTCAATGTTCTTATCTTAAACACTAGAGCTCAGAAGCTTAGTTCACAGTTCCTTATCAAAATTGATAACCCCTCCCTTGAGAACATGCTATATGTATGTATAGTCTTATCATGGCTAATCTTTAACCCGCCTCAGAGATATAGGCGGCGACGTATTTGGTAAGCAGAACTATTATCTATTAACCATTTTTAATATTATTCTTGATTTGTTATATCTAATCCTTTTATTTAATATTATCAATTAACTAAGAATTAACTATCCAATCCGTATGCTTATCCAATGCAGCAATGGTTACACGTACCTAGTAAGTATCCTGATGGATCCCGGCGGTGAGGCTTGTTTGATAAGACAATGATAAGAAGTTTCCAGCTCCTAAGCCCATATAGGATTCCAAAATCCATGGGTAATTTTAAATATATTAGCAATTTAATGGTGTCAGCATTTTCTAATCTTCAGCTGTGGATGTAAGATGCTTTTATTACTATAATATAGATAGATTGCGGACCTTGATGTCACTTGAACAGTGAAGAAAAGGACAATCAATCCATCCACATAAACTGACTCTCCTTTCTGCAGTATTCAGCCGACGAAAGAAGGTTAACATGGCACCTAAGAAAGTCCTCTGTGCGTTTGGTGTGCATATCGACGCCGTTGCTGGCTGGCTAGGCACCTACGGTGGTGAAGATTCCATATCAGACATTTCCTGCGGTCTCTTCGCGGGCGAGGTCGGCGTGCAACGCATTCTTGACCTGTTCAAGAAACATAGCGTCAAATCAACGTGGTTCATCCCCGGGCACTCGATCGAGACGTTTCCGGAACAATGCAAAAAGGTCGTCGAGGCTGGGCATGAAATTGGATTGCATGGATATTCACATGAGGTACCTATTGTCATGCGACAATTATGTTGAAACACAACGTTTTAATCGCGAAGTATGCTGACGGACGCATATGACTTTAACAGGACCCCCGAAAATGCACGGTCGAACAGCAGCGCGCGATCATGCTCAAATGCTATAATTTAATCAAGGAACTCACTGGAAAGTCACCTAGAGGTACCTGTGCGCCATTTAATCAACTGTCAGAAACACAGGCCGACATGCTTGAGGAGCTCGGGGTCGAATATGACAATTCATTGTCGGCACACGATTGCCTGCCTTACTGGTTTGTCGATGGACACCAGTGGACGAAAGTACAATACGAAAAGCCTGCCGAGGAATGGATGAAGCCATTTACGTACGGCCAAAACAAACGCAACATTGTTGAGATTCCGTGCAGCTGGTACATGGAAGACATGATGCCGATGCAGTATTTGCAAAATGTCGACAACGCGGTATGTGAAATTAATGTATAGAGCTTGAAATGGCGTTTCTAACGCGGCAGCGCTGTTGAACAGAACGGCTGGATCGATCCACGCACCGTCGAATACATGTGGAAAGAACGTTTCGAGTATTTCTACGAGAACTACGACGAATTCGTCTTCCCTATGACACTGCATCCGGACACCACGGGCCTACCGCATGTGATTCGTATGGTGGAGAGGTTTCTGCTCTGGACCAAGTCAAAGCCGGGAGTGGAATGGGTGGAGTACCAGGACATCAATGATTGGTATCGGCAGAAGAATCCAAGGAAGTAGAAGCAGAAGCAATTTATGTGGGTGCGGGCGCGTAAATATGAAACAACGATGTCTGTGAATACTGAGCAGTGAACATTGAATGCGAGATAGTCACCAGAGAAAAAGCGTCAGAATGGATTACATAGTGATTGGCAGTCTCAAGCGCCCATGGTGACATGATAGGGCTTACTTCGATTCCCTGACGGATGGTTTCACTTCAAGTATAGAGATAGACCGAGATCTAGTAGAGAGATTTGGTAGCGAGAAAATTACAAGTTCGTCCATTTCTGGATGGACACTAGACGTAGTGTAGTAGGCGATTGAATAATCTGACTCATCTGGTCCCATTTTGAATTTGTCCTCGCCGGAATCTTGGTCTAAACTTCGGCGAATTGGGACTAGGGGGCTAGCCCTTGTTAGGACCTAGTTAATTCTCTTATTGTAGCCCCCTCCTCTCATATCAGTCATATTGGCACAGAACAGCCTCTTCTGCGTCGTATTGATGCCATTGTAGAACAAAAATAGCTATAAATACAGTACAAGAGATCGAAGTATCCATTTTTGGCAATTGTGGGGCTTAGAATAGTAAGAGAGCCAAATATAGTAGTCAAATCATAAAGTGATGTAAAATCTCTATCATTATTATTGCAAAATGTAATCCATCTAAACATTCGAATGTTGTTTATTATTGTCATCAATTTTAAGAATAGTTCAACTTAGGTATAGTCGTAATAAGTCGGGCAGAAACTGATTGGGAACATGTATTTGGAAATTTTGGCAAAACCTCTCCATTATTATTCGTTTAGATACGACTTCTGCTGCCTCGGGCTTCCCTTATTCTCTGATCATACTTCGTACGTTTCCTCTGCTGTGTCTGCTGATAACGGAAATCAAGGAGAAACGCTATAATTGAGCTGACGAGTCAGCCACCAATAAGACGCTCACGATGGCCGGGCGATAGGGCAAAGCCTGTTAATATATTGACGTCTATACTTTCAGCATGAATAGTCTCGCTAAGTTTAGCCGGTATCTAGGAGCACTGGTGTCAAAAGGAGGATCCACGGGGCTTATCGCCTTCGCAGATTCGCAACAGGCTGAGCAGCACATTTCCAAAGAGGAAGGTCGATGGCGTATCCCAGCGAGTCCCGATTACCGCGAGCTTAGGACAGAGTATTTTCAGCTAGAGACTGGTGACTATTCTCTCTGAGCTAGAAGCTAGAGAGCCAATTATGCACGGTCCCATATCTTCGGGATACGGATTACGCGTGCGGCGATAAAGTTCCAAACCGCTAGATAGTGTCTTTGGCGCCCCTGACTCGTTCAGAACTATACTTTTCCATGTTAGGTATAGGGTTATACAATTACTAGTCTTGGAAGCGCAAGATTAATGGTATAATAATGGCCTAATCGATGTCTTTAACAATCGAAACTCGCGAGTGATGTTCTTGACAACTGCACGTAGCTTTTAAGAACCGTTATCTCTTGCACAACCATGCAGTCACAGCAGAAGGCTACGGCCATTGAGCCCATTGTGGCGCCTATGACTCCCAAGATCCAGTCGGATCTAGAGCAGACGCTTCCTGAGGATGAAGATGCTCGGAAACTACAAGCACTAGGGCACAAACAGGAGTTACGCCGGAACTTCTCGACATACAGCATTGCCGCCATGGGGTTTGTCAATGGGAAGTATGTTTGAAAACAACCGTTACAGACAGACAGTGTTGGCTGATTCAGAGCAGTGCTTGGTCTGCGCTGGGTGGTAGTATCCTTGTTGCCATCTACAATGGTGGTCTGGCTGGAGTGCTCTATGAGTTGTACGTGAGCTTCCTGCAAGCTTAGATAAACAAATAGGATGTGAACTGATTTCAGCAGAATCGCAGTCTCCCTCGCGTATGGGGTCATCACCATGTCCTTGGCTGAATTGGCGAGCTCGATCCCATCATCTGGTGGAGGTAAGCAGTTTCCTGTGCCATCTTTGTGAATATCAACAGCTGAGGACGAACAGTATACCACTGGGCCACCGTCGTTGCGGGTCCCAAGTATGGCCGAATCGTTGGGTTCTACGCTGGCTGGTTCAACTTCCTCGCCTGGGTGTTTGCAACGTCGTCGACGTGTGCCATTCTCGGTAACGCGCTAGTGCAGATGTATTTGATCAGCCACCCGGAAGTGGTATGGAAGCCATGGATGGTCTTCATTGCCTTCCAGCTGCTCAATTGGCTGGGATGCTTCATTGTCTGCTGCGGGAACAATTTTTTACCGATGTTAAACTATGTCGGAGCGTTTGTGATGGTCAGCGGTGTCTTTGTGTCAATCATTGTGCTCGCCGCCATGCCCAAAGTGCATGCGACCAACGAGTTTGTATGGCGAAGCTTTGTTAATGGGACGGGATGGTCGAACAACGGGCTTGTGTTCATCATGGGCATGTTGAATGGCGGTAAGGCAGCTCAATTCTCTCCAGTACGGGCATTACTTGACTAAGTCTCTACCAGCGTACTCGGTCGGCACACCAGACTGCACCACTCACCTCGCGGAAGAGGTGAAACGTCCAGAAGTAGCTGTACCTAAAGCCATGTTTTTCCAGCTCATTCTCGGTTTTGCAACGTAAGAAACATGCATCCCGTTTACACCTTTTGTCGATGCTAAAGAATGTTTTATTTAGTGCATTCGCTTTCGTCGTGGGCCTTGCCTATTCCATTGTCGACCTTGATAGCGTCCTCAACATCCAGTCCAGCTTCCCATTGACCGGAATTTACCTCCAGGCGACCGGATCCCAGGCGGGCGCTGTCGGCCTTACCTGCGTTATCTTCCTGGCGTACTTTGTTGCGCTCCCCGATACATTCATCGCGTCGGGACGCATGTTCTGGGCCCTGGCGCGTGACAGGGCAACCCCTTTCAGCGACTATTTTGCTAAAGTTTCTGAGCGCTGGGACAATCCGATCCGAGCAAACGTGCTCTGTGCCATTGTCACCACGTGCGTCGGGTGTATCTACGTGGGAAACACCACTGCCTTTAACGCCTTCGTGGGGTCTTTTGTGGTCCTGACAACTATCTCATACGGCATTGCAATCGCCTCTCATATGGCGGCTGGCCGTAAATCCATCCTGCCGGGACCATTCCACCTCGGTCGATGGGGCTGGCTCGTCAACACAATTTCGATACTGTACATTGCTTTCTCGGACATCGTGTTTTGCTTTCCTTTTGTTCAACCCGTCAATGCAGCCAACATGAACTATGTCAGTGTGATTGTAGGTGGCTTTACAGCCTTTGTGACATTGTGGTGGCGGTTCAGGGCGCGCTCGAATTATGAAGGTCCGGTAAGTAATCTTTTCTCTTCTTGGAGCTGAGTCTTGAGAAAAGAATCAATGAAACTCATTTTGCGTTTAGAAATACATTCCCCAGATCCTCGAGGGAGAAGAGGCGTTGCATGAAGGACAATCGCGTTCACCCGTCGAGGATAAAGAGAAGGTGGAGGCTTCCGTCCCATTATAATAGCAGAAGGGAATCTGTGATATCTGTCATGTCTCTTGCAGCCTTATCTCACGTGTTCGGGAGGTTCAAACAGAAAGAAACACCAATCAACAGATTTTTCAAGGTCTAGTACTGCTTTATATTGTTAACTGTCCGGTATTCGCTCTTTAGGTGCACTATATATATAGTATTATCTCCTTACTGAAGCATTTGCCTAGGAGGTTAGGATAGTGGTTAGGTGTGACCTTGACTACCCAGCGAGACACTTAGATTGCCACTTTGAGGTCATTTATCTGTCCTATACCTTTATATGGACTCTTGGGGTTGATTTCAAGGTTGTTCACTGGGCTATAAGATCGGGGTGGTCACTAGGCGTGGCCTTCATGGCCTAGCCAGACACTCGGGTCGCCTTCTTTCAACGTTAAGTACATAATCCTTAGAAAAAGTGGTGCTACTCCATCCTGCACAAATATATATATTGACAAGCGTATTATAAATCTATTCTAACTTCCTTATTAAGTAATTTTACTTGCTACTACAATTATATACATATACTGTAGCTAGAGAAATCTATAATAAGCCTAATAAAAAAAGTTACATATACCAGGACAAATAAGAGTAAAGCATCTAACGTGGTTTACAGTTACAATTCATAATTCACAACATGCTTAGGCTTCTATTGAATTTAAAAGCTATGTTGAGCTGGCCCTAGAGTGGTTTAATTGGACACAGCACTGGGTTCAGTTGGGTCCGCGTTGGGTTTTGGGTCGATGTCTTGGGCCCAAGTTGGGCTTTGCGAAAGTCTACTCAAGATCAAACTCCTAATTGACTGCTAGAGGGGTGTGTATCTGCAATTACTCCAGCTGCGTGAATAAGGTAGTGTTGAGCTGAGTGGAGATATGAAGTATCAATGTGACTGTAAGTACGATCTAGCATTATATTCTAATTCATACATAATCTACTAATTTATACAGTTAAGTTGTATACATCCACCTACCTAGAGAATGAGATTACTTGCGCAGGCGATAGCTGCCAATCAAATCTCTCTTCTTCATCACGCCGGCTTCCTCCAAGGCTTCAATGCGTCCAGGACCGAAGTTAGGCGTGCCTCCCAGCGTGCCAAAGATATCCCCTATATAATTGGTGGGCATGATCCCGACTTTGAATGTCTTCTCCCACTCGTTCAGGATGCCCTCCACCACCTTGATCCCCGCATTGTACAGGTTCTCCACAGCTGGCTCAAATGCATCCTGGTTCACATACAGCAGGTTCTCAACTGCCGACTCCCCAGGATACGGGCGATCAAAGTCCGACGCCGTGCGCATGACGATCACGCGCGAGAAATCCACCAGCTTATGGTAGGCGGCGCGCAGCAGGGCCTCGAGGGTAGCATTGTCCTCCTGTGCCGTGGCACAGTATACACCCGTGCCGTTGGTGATGAGGGCGGTAAAATTGCCGAAAGCTTCGCCAAGGATATCGCCGGAGAAGTAGACGTCGCTGGTAGCGCCGTCACACTCCACGACGCTGGGGGATTTGGTGGCGGCCTCGTACAGGCCGTCAACGGTGGCGTACTTGGCGCGGTAATCCTGAGCGATGGTGGTGTCGGCAAGCTTCGCCTGACGGGCGAACGCCACGGCCTTTTCGCGTAAGGCGGCGTTTACCTCGAAAACTTCGGTTCCGTAGAGGCTGGACGGGTATTGACCGGGGTAGTATTCCCCGAAGGGGATGTAGCCGGTGGAGTAGTTAGCGGGCAGTTCGCGGGGGTCAATCTCGTACTGGAGGGCGACTTGAACGGCATAGCGAGCGAAGGTGACGGAGGAGATGGTGGCGACCTTGGGGTTGATGCCGGCGATGCCGGCGATCATGAAGTAGGTCTGCGTCAGGTCGAAGACTGGAGACAAGGCAACGGCGGAGATGGTGGAGGCCGCGTTGATCTCGGACTCGCCTGTCGTAAGCTGGCAGACCTCGAAGTCTTCCGTGCAGTGTACGTCGGGGTAGATGGGGGACATGCCGGGGATGGTAATGTTGCGGGCAAGCACGTTGAACTCGGGGATTCCCCACCAGGCGGCGGCTTCGGGTTCGAACTGGCTCTGTTAGGATAGTATCCTATTCCGAAGAGGAAAAGCATACCATGGTCACAAGGAACACCTTAGGGGCGATCTTAATGTTGTCCTTGGGTTCCGGGCGAAACGGGATTGTCTTCCCAGCTGCAATGGAGGCAAACCCACCCGCGAGCATAAAGCCGGTCATTGACTGAAGAAGCTGCATAATTTTCTTCTCTTGTGTTCTTCTATTTTGAAACGGGGAACCTGCAGAACGTGAGCACTCTAGAGAAGCGATGCGGAAATCACGCAACTTATATTGCCGATCCTTCCCTTTTCTTTATCCATGTTAGTCAATTAATTGGACCTGGCGACGGGGGCCTCCTATCTAATGTCACGATTAACGCTACCTTCATCCTAGCCAAGGCAAGATCAACGATGATAAGGGAGATAAGCGCACGACACTTGTCTTGGCTCTAGGCCAATTGTGGCCAAGGACCGGTCCAGAAGATTAGATCCTTTTGGGTAAAATGAGGTGTTATCGTGGAAAATTCTGGAAGGATTGGTGTCAGGCCCCACTGGCGATAGGAGCTCGCCGCCGACAACGATCATCGTGTCGTTTATTATTGCTTCATCTATGCGATCCCAGAAGCAAATTCTTATCTGCTAATTAAAGTTTACTTTATACAAATATTTAGATGCATTTCATATCTACTTATAGTATTATTAATGTTGTTTGAGAAAACAGAGGTAAGCGTGTCCAGGTGCTAGGTCAAGAAGGAAAAAAAACAAAGAATTCAATTTGAGTGCCATGGTCGGGGAAGTCCAAGTTGAGAAAAGGAAAAAGAGACAGAGGAAGAGTCTCTACTTATCTACAACATTCTATGTCCTGTATCACCTGTCAAACGTAGTCTTCAAACGCAGTCTTTAATCGCAGTGATGCCAAACGCGGTCCCGTCAAGCGTAGTCCCGTCAAGCGTAGTCCCGTCAAGCGGAGTTCCGTCATGTCTGGTCACAGTGACTGCCGAGCATCTGTGCTCGGTCGGAGATGGATCGATGCAGATGTAGATCAAGCCAACCCGGAATGACCCACCTAGAAACAAGAATCTCACTCACCATGTGGCTGTTTCAAGATTTTGGTATTTATATGTAGCAACTGCTTGGAGAGGGGTAGACCAGATGAAACTAATCTTCATACTTTTGCAAAAAGATTCCCCAATAGCTCTTTTTGGCATCCAAAGCGTTTAAGGATGGCTCTCGTGATTGGTATTTGACCGTGTAATTGTAAGGTATAATCAAAAGATGCAATATATACTGAGATTATATGAGCGTCTGGACCCTTAGCGATACTACTATCCCCGCAGTCTTAAGTGGTTAAACAAGAGGCCTGTGTTACCTACTTTCTTTGGAATTGATTTAGAATTTGCTGGCTGGAAAGTTCACTCCCAGCCAGATATCTACCCCTAGAGATCGCGTCATTTCCCCTGGTACATCTACTAATTCAAACCCAGCTGATGCAACTGGACATGGTGAATGACACAATGCATTTAAAATGGTGTTCTGGAGTGGCCCGCGCGCCTATGCGGCCACTCGCTTGTGGAATACATTACACATTATTAACGATATGGGGTTTCTTTCGTGACATCGGGCACAAGGGCCTAGCGGATAAAACAATTAGATAGCCATGTTAGCACAAGTAAAAGCCGGCGTCACAGATCCCGAGTAATCGGCGATAATAGCCTCGATGGCAGCATACAGTCCGGGACCCAGCAGGAACAATCCCACAGCAAAAATGAAAACATAGAGCAGAGTCTCAGCCGTTCGCCCTAGACTAGAGAACAGCTGACCACGATACAACTGCCAGTAAGCGACGGCGAAATAGATGAAACCAAAGAAAGAATCAAACGCCGCGCTGAGCAGAGAGAGGAAATCACCCATGCTGGGCACGACTTCAGAGAAAACGAAGGCAAGCAGCCAGATGCCGATCATAACCAGGATCCAGACACCCCACCCGATAACGGTGTTGCTGTGCGCATGTCGAGACTTGCCCATTGTGAGAGTATAGATGAATTTGGCCGTAACATTGGCGTAGATTACGCCGATAATGAGCGTCGGCACGATCACGAATCCGAAGGACGCTTTCTTGTATGAGATCACACCTAGACTGCCAAAGGCGGGTGCTGTGGAGTATTGGCCTAGATATCGGAACCCAATTGCCGGAGGCACGATGAATAGAATGGCCGAGATGACAGCTAGAACGGCCAGGGCTTTGGGAAAGTCTTGGGGCCGTTCCATCTCGGCGATGAAGGTTGGGAAAAGGATCTGCGGAACCCAGAGGAAGGTGATGTTCAACACGGCGTTCATGCAGGCCACCCAGGTGGTTCCTGGAAGGGGAAATGCGTAGGTTTTCACGAGTCCGTCCGTTGGGTAGTTGCCGTTGTATCCGTATAGAGGAGCCGTCTCGATACCGGCGAAAATGAGGAAGAGCAGGATGGCGAGTCCCATGCAGGCAGCTGTGCGAGAGTTACAGTGAGCAAAGAACCTCGTGAGAGCGTTGTTCGGTCATGGGAGGGCACTCACAGGAAAATATTGACATGAAGCTGACATGGCGCAGAGTTCGCGGAAGGGACATGACAATGCCCATGAGTGTGACAATAACGGAGAAGACAGCAGTGCATAGCGTGTGGCCAGACAAGGTATTCAGAACCTTTGCGCCAGTGAGGACGTGGAAGCCGATGAGCAAGATGTTGTTGGCAAGCAGCATAAATGCAGAGAAGACATAGGCAGCCCGGTTCCTTCCAAAAATGTAGTATCCGAAGTCGCCTGTAGATAACCAATTGATTAGGCTGGGTCCGATGAAAAAGAAGAGACTGATATTCCACGTACAGATGTCCTTGATTTGCGGATGTTTCATAATGTACTTGTGCATGGTGATGGAGGTGATCCAGAAGAGAGTGCCGGAGAGAACCATGGTGATGATGCCGGGCACCCATCCTAGCACACTGCCGGGCATCAGTTTCAATTGTGCCGTGTTGCCTTAGTATGAGTCTTAACTCACGAGAGAGACCACGACTGGGCCATGATGGCCAGGCAGACCTGGTCGCCTGCGAGCAGACAGGCGGTCTTCTGCCAGGACATAGTCCGAAGTTTGATATCATGTTCGTGATCTGGGATCGTGAGCCAAATGATCCTGACACTACGAGTTGCTGTTTCCTACCTTCAGCAATGAGAGCCGTGATGGTGTCAAAGGAGCTCGAGACATCGACCTCTGTTCCAAGCGCATAGCCCACCGGCTTCTTCTCATCGACCTCCTGAGGTTGAACCATTGTGAATTTCGCCGATGGAGTCCGCAAACAAATCTACGAAGAGAAAGAGGAGTGTAGAGGGGAAGATCTACAGGGACGCTGCAGCATTTAAGGTAGGCGCAAGAGCGGATTGCACAAGGATTACGGGGTATTTTTTGCTTTTGACTTTCTTTTCTTAGCGCTAACACTCAATGTACCATACAATGTACGTAGACGTGGATAGCGTCATAATTAAAAGAATTGCGATATACCGCGGCTGATGTTGTGATTTTCTTTATCGGCCAGTCCGTGGGTCTAGGCCACGCACATACCCTTGGGGGCTGTCACTTTCTCGTGTTCCCATTAGTGCACGGCGCTCAGATCCAGGCTAAGCAAGGTGGACACTAGTCTCCACACTAGTCTCAAGTAAGTAGGTGCTGCCAAGTACAAGCCCAAGTCGACCAGTAGGAGGCCTACCATATCAACATCAGGATCGTCAGATTTTGGCTCGGTGGCCCGAATATCGCTATATGGGGGTGGCTAAGATGTGTATCGGATATCAGTCACCATAGAAGGCGTTCCGGCCTTTGTTTTCTTGCTCACCGTTAGACGACGCTTAGGAGTTTCCAAGGAACACTCTGATCTCCGTCGTGGCAAAAATGTTTGTGCTGGATATGCAAATCAAGAATTTAAGAATGTCTGGCTGATGCTTTGTCAACATAATAGGAGATTTTTCGAAAAAAAAGTGACTTCTGGCATTGCGAGGCCCTTTAAATGCTCAATCATGGTGTTCGGAGCTGTAGAAAGTTATGGCCCGGCGGCTAGATCATGAGTCCTGTGCACAGTAGTCACTAAATAATTTGTTTTTAGTTATCATACTAATATGCCACAGCATCTTTGATCAAGGTAGACAACTTGGAAATGGGGGTAAAGGGCCAGTCTTTCATTCCAAACAATTTCTCCTGCTAAATTGGAACGACACGATAATCATGTGGTCAGACATAAGCCCCACGGTCCGTACTACTTAGTACGAATCAAAGCACTTTTAATGGCGGTGAGACTCAGGGGAAGCTGAAGTGCCACGGCAGATACCTGAGAAGGAGCTAGATCATGAAGGAGAGCAAAGAAGTGGAGGGAGTTGTATTCACTGAGTATTCTCCCAAAATGGAAATCATATCTATCCAGGGTGGCGGCCGCTCACACCTCAGGCAGCCACTTCATCACTTCCCCCCTCAGCGCGCACCGCGGAGAAGTAGGGGATCAAAATTTTCATGAGATAGCTAAAACAGGGTACCAAAAAAAAAGGGGGGGGGTTGTGGACCAATCAGACGACGGGAATCAAATTACTTTGGGCATGCACAAGCCTAAGCCGGTAGTCTCTAAAGCGGATGATATCGTCTGTGGTGGTGGCCAGATCAGGGCGCTTACCGAGGGGACCCTTAAGAATCAGACTATATACAATCCTTTATAAGACCCTCGCGTATACAATAATAGGGTCGCGAGAGAGAAACTTTCATGATCAAACAATCAATATTAGACGATGCAACGCGACGCGTCCCATACTTAGATAGCGCGAGCGAGGTTGAGTCGTTAGTTTTAATATATCAGTATAATGGCCCCCAGGTAATTAATTTATCTAGCTGCCGCATCCTGACGCTGACTCATACGACAATTTCCCAATCAGGGAATTGTGCCCCGATGTGGCCAGATTTCACCTGTATGTAGGGTTTTTTTACGGTTCTCTACTATAAATTTAGTCATGATAGCTAGACCTGAATACCCTCGTTTTCAATCATTGTCACATGACACTACCTAGTAAGTTTACCAGTGGACACGCGAATTCCAGACTCCGACATAATTATCGTCGCAGGTATTCTCTATGTAACGGGGGGTCAATTTAATACCGCTTTATCCTATTTCGAATTAGTAAATTTTAGTGCTAGCCAAATACTGATGTCTCCCCACTGTACTTACACCCTAATCTAAGAAGAAAATGGTCTGTGCACTAAAGGAAAAGATTTTTCAACCAATCAAAGACGCTCATGTTCATATTATCATCTCCTTAGTCTAGACACGTTCAGACCTGCTTTTCTCTTTTTCTGGTCTACGGATCGGAAAAACAACCGAAAATTTCACGTATAAGTTATAGTTTCCCCGCTCTGCACACAGTCGAGATTTCCCTCGTCCACCGACTAATTCCTCATCCTTGCTGTAGTGAGCGACTTCAGGGGCTTTGCGCTTACTCTCTATGACAAAGCTCCCTCAATCCCCCCGTTGGTACCAGTCAAATTGGGCTAGGAGTTCTCGATACTTTGACTCTCACCATGGTTGTCTCGCAAGCACCCCGCGTTTCTCCGATTGAAGCGTCACCACCTACATACGACGAGCATGCGGAGAAATCTGCATACGGTTCGGTGACAGAACCTATCGACGGAAATCAGGTGGAGACAGAGCATCCGGTTGCGAGTACGGATGTCACGGAAAGACATCAAGATGGTGAGCTGGGCGGTCAGCACTGGGCACGGCGCTTCTTTGCCTACATGAAGACCCGCGAATTTTGGATCACCCTTGCTCTCGGGTCAGTACTGTCATCTTTGAGGGGAACCAGTATTCAACTTTGATCAATAATAACTAACATTTCTTGCTCGGCCAGGCAAGCATTGGCTCTGGCGAACACTGGGTCGTCTACGTTTACGAACCTGATGGCACGGGGAGGCAACAATATTCCCGCCTTCCAGACGTTCTTCGTTTATGTCTCCCTGAACATCGTTTACACGGGCTTCACGCTGTACAAATATGGGTTCAAGAAGTGGGCTCGGATGGTGTGGCGTGACGGCTGGCGCTGTATGTGAAGTGCCGCTTTCGCATTGCTTTATGCAGTACTGGACTAATTGCATTCATCATTCAGACATCATTCTTGCATTCTTCGACGTGGAGGGGAATTACTTCATCGTCCTGGCGTACGACTATACGACTCTCCTTAGTGCTGAGCTATTCGGATTTTGGACCGTCGTTTGCGTGGTTATCATTTCGTATGTTGTTCTCAAAGTTCGCTACCACCTAACGCAATACCTCGGCATTTTGGTCGCGTGCGGAGGACTAGGCTTGTTGATCGCTTCGGACTATCTGCGCGGCGCGAACTACCCGGGAGAGAACTTGGTAAAAGGTGATGGATTTGCCTTGCTCAGCTCGACTCTGTACGCGGTGGACAACGTGTTCCAGGAGTTTTTGGTGTCTAAGCGGCCCATGTATGAGGTGGTAGGTCAGCTTGCCTTCTGGGGCATGCTGATCAACGGAGTCCAGGCCGCCATCTTCAACCGCACGCAGTTCCAGACGGCCACGTGGAACAGCGCCATTGGAGGATACTTGGCGGGCTACACCATCATGCTGTTCATCTTCTATACTTTGGCACCCATCATGTTCCGAATTTCCTCGGCCGTCTTCTTCAACATCTCGATGTTAACGATGAACTTTTGGGGGTTGATCATCGGTATTCAGCTCTTCCACTACCAGGTCTACTGGCTATACCCAATTGCATTCGTCCTGATCGTCTTGGGACTCTTCGTCTACTTCATGATGGAAGGCATCCTGGGAGAAGCCAAGAAACCCTGGCTTGGCGAGAATCAGGAGGCCGGCGTGGATGGCATTGGAACAGGCAAGCGTGCTCAAGTTGTGGGCCATGCCATCGTTTAGAAATACGACAAGGCTGTTACTCCATGAGCAAGCCAAATGGCACCTAAGTTTAAGACCAGAAACACAGTGTAGAACTGTCATGATACGTCTCACGATACACCTGCTGTGGTGGTTTTACGGATTTGAGCAATAGAGACTCGTGGGAAAGTTCTAGGTACGACTCAGTATAATTCCAAGACTGATCACTGGCCCCTGAAACTCAGGTGCTAGCGAGATATTCATGTATATGCCCCTATACCTTAGTAGCGAACCCGTTAGGCTGCCACTTCGCTAGGCACTAGGGAGGTGAACTACTGCGACTACAAATAGCTGGACCTTTCCTTATAGTTAGAATATCATCACACTTGTACCTCAATTCAGAGCTTCAACTTTTTGCGAGGGGTCAGGGTAAATAACACACACACCCAGATTGTAAAATCTATGATAATTGCAACGCAATCAGAAAACCACCAACTCTACGTACCGAAAACGACTTGCAATGTAGCAATACAGTCGGGTAGCTGTACATAGACCCCATAGAAGACGATCCAAGCCAGAGCAAACAAAATCAAACAAGACAACAAATCCTCGCTTTCCATATGGTGCTCATGTTCAGGTCGTATAGACAATTGGCCCGCCGAAGGCGCATCTGCTGCGTATCAATCGGTCTAAGTGCCGAGATTGCGTCGCGCTCGAACGAATGTGGTATATCGCTTCCCCCCAAAACGCCAAAAAGAAGGAATAAGAAGAGCAAGGGGTAGATAAACTCCCCGACGATCAGCATGTATCGGATGTCAGGCTGGATACGGGTGTTTATGAATAGCCAAATCGGAAGTCCCATCGGATCTCGAAGTCTTATATATACAATGAGGCCAGCAGCCTTGGATCAATGGTTCTCATGAGGCCATTGCATTCTCGGCCATGGATGCTGGAGAGCGAGGGTTGCCATATGCTTGTTGAATATTCCTAGGATGGCGCCTATTTCCTCGCCGCTGTGGCCCGTCAGCAGCCACACGAAGCGGCCGAGCTTTTGATATAGTAGTGACGGAAAGTATAGAAGCAGTGCCCATAGCAATAATGTCAGGACCACGAAACTTTTCACTCGGAGTCATCACGTAGAGCCCAAAAGTGACCTCGTAGCGGTAGTACTCCAGCCGCACGCGGTCGACGCGGCGTTGGATGGGACCGCGGCGTGGGTTTTTGAGGGTATGAGACGAGGTGCTCGTATTAATTGTGGAGGAGTATTTGCGAGAAACTCGTCGACAGCCGGGCTGTGGGAGATGTATGTTGAGGTTGACGGTGTATAGAAGGGCTACATCTCGGTCCTCATGGTCGGATCTATGCGGATTGTGGGACGACCCTGCCTACCACAGCGTGCAATGGCGAGGGGAAAGGGAGAGACAGGTCGAAGAGACTTCTATTCAAGGTGGGAGAAACTGCGAAGACGCAGAGTGATTCCCCAGACACCAGAATCCGGTCGAGGTGGAAACCTCTCGAATGCAAGCGGATGGTCACAGGCCTCTCGTAGATCGGAGGGAAAGGGTGGAGCGACCGGTAGAGAAGCCAGACAGACCGGAGGACAATCCCAGGAATAAAAGGGAGAGAAAGAAAAGGAGCTGGGGCAGCGAGACCAAGGGGATGAGGCTCAGGGGATTGAAACAGAAGAGAGAAAAAGGTCGGGTTTGGAATATTCACTCGCCAGCCAGCCCTGGTCGGCGGAGCATGAGCACTATGAAGTATGTATCATTTCTTGAGCAGGATCCACACGAACTATTGTTTAGTTCGCAACTCAATAAAATCCAGTGAATCTGTATCTTATGCACAGCATAACGTGCACGGTCGCTCAAATGGATCTGGATCATCGCCAGGAGCACAGTATATACCACATAGTATTACCTAAAGAAAGGTATAGAGTAGATCTTAGAAATATTAGCAATAAAAAAAAATCCTATTTTATACTTACATCAAACCTTTGAGTCCTTTATAATCATCGAAGCCCGAATGTACCGAAATGAATCTTTTGACCGACCAGTATACTCGTCTTTTAAGCTGTTTCTGTAGTTCAAGCTGATGAGGTACATTAGGGTACGAATAGTTCTGGTACTATTTTCTAACTGTATTAAATTTTTGGTGTCTCTGACGATCCATTCAATATGACAAGAGATATATTCATATCCAAATCCTACGTCAATGATGTAACCCCTGATGGAACAGCACAATCGTGATTTAGGCGAAGAACTTGCTATTGGTCTATTGGTCACAATCAAAACTTCGTAGATTTTTGGCAATTGACGGCTCTATTGAAATCCACGTCTCTAAATAGAATGGTAACAATTGTGTGCCAATTTACAAAGAGCAGTGACTTACAAATGAAGTATTTTTCAAGCCCTTCTCAACCTCATTTCGGCCTTTTCTCTCATTTTTCCTCCTACCCTCTCAACTGGAAATGTAGTAAGTCAAACAAATAATGTATGAATTAGAGATATTAAAATTGAACCATGGACAACAACATTATCGCTTACTTCTTGTGGGTTTGTACATTGGGATTCTCCACAAATCATGATGGTAGTGGCGCGTGTCACCAGTGAGGGTTCTCATGCCACATGACCATATCCAAGCGACACAAGGTCTATTGTAGAAGCAATTCTTTCGAATAAATATGCCTGATGTTACCGATTCCCACGAAACTTCAAGGAAAGAGGGTTAGAGCAACGGACAAAGGGGCTAAACGAGAACATGCTTCTAACTCAGATTATTGTATTGCGAAGGAGTAGCCAATTATTGTTATATCAGAGGACTAACGTAATTGTACACCGAAAGTCACAACATACCGAAAGTCACACTTTAATCCGCTCACATAATAAATATCGCGATAATTCCACCACAACGCCTAAAATCAATTGATACTACTAATAATCTTCTTCCTCAGACGTCTCTATTACAATCTGACAGGTGCGTGCGTTATGTCCGGTCTCGCCGCAATTGCTACAGCGCCGCGCGCGCGTTTCTTGCCTTGGTTTCCGACCACTACGTGCCTGCGTTTCCTGCTTTATCTGCTGCATAATGTCCCTCTCATCTTGTAAATCTTGTGCTTCCTGTTGACTAAGTGATCCACCTTGCCGTAGACGTGTCTTTTTAGCCCTCCGGCGTTTACTAAGCTCTTCATTTGCTTGTCGAAGGATCTGAACCTCTGACTGCAACAACGCCAATTTGTGCATAATCTTCGACGTCCCTTTCGCAAACTGGTCGACAGCTTCGTAAATTGAGGTTGGAGAGCTATTATTATGATAGGCAATGCGATTCTTGATGAAAGTAGTCTGCGAAGTGGCTTCGATTGGGTTATTAGGTGTCTGAGAAACCCAGGGTTCAGGGGTTCGGGGGCGGGAAGTTGTAGGTGTTGGCGTCTTTAACTTGAGATCTAGTGTAGATATCACACTTTCCGGGTCAAATGGAATAAGTCCAGCGCCTCGGAAACCTCCTTGAATGTTGCTTTCCGTCATTGTAGCAAAGAATGCGCTACGAAAGGCGGGGAAGAAGTCGTCCTTCGTAATATGGGTGATATGAGCCCGCATCATATCCTCGATGTGTCGGCCATATACCTTCTTCAATGGGCTAAAACACCCAATATCTAGTGGCTGAAGGATATGAGACGAATGAGGAGGCATACAAAGGGTGATAATGTTGTTTCCTTTGCAGTATTCCTCAAATTCGTCCGAGTGGTGGCTCTCATGGCCATCGAGGATCAAAAGGCGATAGCAACCTGTAGTTCGGGCTCTAGTATGCTTCTCAAAATGCCGAATCCAATCCACGCCTTTCTCATTTGTTGTCCAGCCGTTATCAGTAACAGCGATTACCCAGTCAGGTGGGAAACCACTATTTTGGTACCAAGACGAAAGGTGATTTTTGCCCGCAACAATGATAAATGGCGGCACCGTCCAGCCTTGGGAATTAACGCCCTGAATTACCGTAACCCATTCCCGATTACCAGGCTGTAGCTTTTTTGCCTTTATACGTCCCTCTGAGCTTGTGACAACTGTTGCGGTAGAGATAACGCCCATCATAAACCCAGTCTCGTCAAAGTTGTAGATATCTGACTCCACAATGCCGTACTTCGCGATTGTATTGCGTACAAGCTCAAACCAGCCACGAATGATCACTGGATCTTCGCACTTAGCTCTCTGGTAGTCGTATCTCCGTTGAAAACGAGTTCGGAGCTCTGGGCGGCGATTAATGAACCTAGAAGCCCAACGCATCCCGACGCGTGGCGCGTCGCGTGTCGCGAGAAGCCGATTTGCCATATCTCCAACAATAGACACTCGGGGAGGGAATCCTTTGATAGCTAAATCGAGGATATGTTGAATAAGGACTGATTCCTCTAGATCGGTCAAAATTCGTGAATTGGCCAGAATATCGCGTCGTGATTGTATACCGCGCTTGCGACGACTCAGCTTCTCGTGGTCCACAGAATAGATCCTCCCTGCTGCTCGAGCGCTTAACTTTGGGTCATTTTGCATAGCTTGAAGGGCTAACATGACCCGCCTTTCGTCATTTTTTTGAGGCATCTTTTGTTGTGGAGGAATTTGGTGTTTGGTGGAGGAGACGCGTGAGCGGATTAAAGTGTGACTTTCGGTATGTTGTGACTTTCGGTGTACAATTACGTTAAGTGAAACTATATATACGATGAGAAGACGAATTTGATTTCCAAGTTAGCTTTTATCAACTTGGTAGCTCGTACAGGTATCTTGGGAATTGTTTCCGATGGTGCAGTCTTGTCTCTGTATTGACGGCACCTGTTTCCAGGCTTTGATTCCAATTCAGGAGCATGCAGGTAAAGGGAGGTCGCAATAAATATAACCTCGACAGCGTAAAAGATCTAAGTATATCAATACTACATTTTTGCAATTCAGATCGAGCAATTCCTTTATGCACCTCATATCATGATAGGATCTGTGGCTTGCTAGGTAATTTTGTTTATTGACGAATATTCAAAGGCACTACTGCTAAGTTGGAATCAGACCCAG